AAAAATTGAATGCAGTGGTTGTTGATTTTAGAGATGGAAGGATGATGTGCTCCTGTATGACAAATGCTTAACAATTTGCTGTGCATACACTAGAGAACATTGACTATGATCACCGATTAACAAGAAGACTCTTGGGGTGCCTCCAGACAGGTTTTTTTAGTGACAAGACTCAAGTGAGAAGACATGCACAAGCCATCATAGGGCTGTGCCAATTCCTGTGCTGATCTCTGCTGGTCTTCATCATGGCAATGTGGGGACTAGTAGGAGCAGCAAAGACAGCAAGACTAACAGAACACAACCTTGCCTTATGATCTGTTGCCTGGTGCTTTTATTGTTCTCATGGTTCTTTCTCTGCCCTCCAACTCATTTCAAGCTTAATAACTACAGTTCTATACCAGCCATAAGGGGAACGACCCTCTGGCCAAGCACTTTCTCCTGGACAATGAAGAACTGTCTTCATGGTCCAATATCCTCCAGACAGCACAGATGCCTTGCCAGTTAAACTAGTATGCAGCCAAAGCTGTATGACTAAAGTCAGTTAAGACCTTCCCAAGATCGATGCTGGCATCCCTCTGTCTCGGGAGACAATGGAGGAGGGGTGAGCTTTTGGGGGTGAACTCAAACCATTGGATATGGAAACCAGCTGGGCTGCAGGAGTTGCAGGAAGGAGGTGTACAAGGCATCATCCAACTGCCTAAGGGACTTCACTCTGGATTTGTGCAGGGTTTACTCTTTGGCCTTTTCTTCTCCCAGAGATGTCCCACAAGGCAGCAGGTATGGATTATTCCTCAGCATTTACTCAGGAAATATACAACGATATCTGACATTTCCTTTAATTGCTTAGCTGCCCTTTCTCCTGTAGGGACCATTGTCACTGAGAGGACCGTTTCCCCCTGAGCCCTGGATACACTTTTATGAACTCCACCCTGGTTACAGGGGATTGTATGGGTTAAGACAGGGGTAGGCAACCTAAGGCCCGGAGGCAGGATGTGGCCAAATCTCCTTCTCAATCCAGCCTGCAGATGTTCCGGGAATTAGCGTGTTTTTACATGAGTAGGATGTGTGATTTTATTTAAAATGCATCTCTGGGTTATTTGTGGGACATAGGAATTCGTTCTCTTTTTTTTCTTTTCAAAATATAGTCTGGCCCACCACATGGTCTGAGGGACAGTGGACCGGCCCACGGCTGAAAAAGGTTGCTGAAACCTGGGTTAAGATGTCCTGCATGTTGCAAACTGCTTGTTAATCTTTGCATGCTACTGAGCTTCCAGTGGCATCAAGAGCGGATACCTGGCAGGCCCCAGGTCCTTTGCTGAAGGTCTGAGGGATTAAACACATGTTGAGTATTTCCCTTTTTTTGGTCTGACCTATTAGACAGCAGGCTCAGTGATGCTAAGATGTGCCAGCCCTGCAGGCGAAACCACAACAGGTGAAGGTCATGGCTGTTGTGAACAAAATGAAGTCCCTTCCAACTCTACAAATCTATGATTCTATCCAATCTCCCACACATGATTGCAATACTGAAGCAAGTGATAACTGCAATCAAGTGTTGCAGTATGGAGTGCTTCAGCTCAGAGTTCTAGCCAACCACACAAGACCTTTTCAAAGACATTCACTCTGTTCACATTCCCATCCAGTCCTGGTTTTCTTCCACCACTCCTTCAATGCAAACACTTGGCCTTCTGTGGCTACTGACCATGTTCAGTTCTCATTGAGCTGTTTGGAGGCAGATTGTTGACTTTGTTCCCTTCTCCCCAGATCTTCTTGTGCTTCTGCAAACTTTGGGGTTCCCCTGAGCATGCTGATACCTCCCTCTTATTTCTTGGGCTGGGTACACGCTATACCTTTAAAGCACATTTGAAACAAAACACATTTCCCACCTCAAATAATTCACTCTAATATAGGGTTGCTGGAGATTGTAACTCTGTGAGGAGGAAACTATAGTGCCCAGAATTCCTTGAGGTGGGAAATGAGCTTTGAAGCCAACCTGTGTGGCTCTGTTTTGATTTTCTTAGGTGCTGACACTCAGCACCTGCTTTTGCTGTTAGAGGGAGTGATGGTCTTACAGTACAGCACTGAACGTTGAAATACATGGAATGGCCGTATTACAGTATAAATCACTGCCTTCTGGAGCATCCCAGGAATCTGTGGAGTGCTAAAACAAACAAACAAGCTAGTGTCCCACCACCAGTTGGAAGCATTTCAGTTCAGGACAGGGACTGTGCAGGGGCCAAAGCAGGGTCACTCCTTGCACAGAAGAGTTCCAGGCCAAAACACAAAGAAATAAAAGATTTTTAAAAGCACAGATGTTTTCTGTGCATGTCCACCCTATTCCTGGGAGGCAGCCCACTGCAGCTGTTGTCTGCCTGAGGCTCTGTTCACTTAGTCCGGCCAGCACTGAACCCTCCAAGCTATTTTTTCTGTTTGTGCCCCCCCCGACTTTTGTACAAATACAGAGGAGACTGTATTTGTATATCCACGAGAGCTTTCTTCGTATTTTCCTATTGGATCATCCCAAAACAAACCAGAATGTTCCTGTGGAATCCAAGCAGCATGTAGCAATTGAGACTATCACTTTCCTAGAAGAAAGATGTTAGCGTGTACAGCGTTTGAAACCAACTTTCAGGTCATGCAAGTCTAGGGCTGTGTGCACACCATACCTTTAAAACACAAATTTTCCCCTGCGCAAAGTATCCCATGCACTGTAATATACGACTCACAGAGTTGCAATCCCACAAATGGATCTACTCATGAGAAATATTCCCAGATTATTAAAGGGTAGCTCCCCAAATAGATCTGCTGGCAGGAAACTGCAAAGCTTGACTTTCATTACTAAGGTCCCCAAAATGTTCATTTTCTAATATTTTTCTTTGCAGAAGTCCAGTTTCATGCCCATTTCAGCCATCATTGTTTTTTATCACAGTATAGTGGATCCAATAGCCATTGCGTTATGCAGTGCCTGAAGAATGTGACTGTCTGCACTGACATAGAACACAAGAAACTGGATAACATATTATAATTTGAACACTTGGAAAATCCAACATCTTTAAACAGAAAAACAAAACCTGAGAAACACTGTCTGGATCCTATGCAAAAAAAAGGGGGGGAGGCTAACAATTCAGTGATTATTACGCAAAAACAACAATAATCTTAAAAGTCCCTTTGAGCAGCTTACTTGGGATAATTCAATTTGAACACTCCATATGGAAGATTTGGTATCTATCCAGATGGTGTAGTCTTCCTTCATAAACTGTGTTGTCAGAATTAATCCACTCAGATTATATTAGCCCAGCAAACACGGCTATTACTGATAAATTTACTGTCTCCATTTCCTAGGGAGGGCAGTAGCAGACAGTATGTAGGGCTGTCTCCTGTTGTCCTGTTGGTCACTGCCACTTAACAGGAGGTAGAAGGGGAAAGCATGGGACGTGGATGGTGCTGTGGTCTAAACCACTGAGCCTCTTGGGCTTGCTGATCAGAAGGTCAGTGATTCGAATCCCCATGACGGTGGTGAGTTCCCGTTGCTCTGTCCCAGCTTCTGCCAGCCTAGCAGTTCACACCATGCCAGTGCAAGTAGATAAATAGGTACCACAGCAGTGGGCAGGTAAAGGACGTTTCCGTGCTCTCTGGTTTCCGTCATGGTGTCCTGTTGCACCAGAAGCTGTTTAGTCATGTTGGCCACATGACCCGAAAAGCTGTCTGTGGAAAAACGCTGACTCCCTTAGCCTGAAACGAGATGAGCGCCGCAACCCCACAGTCACCTTTCACTGGACTTAACCGTCCAGGGGTCCTTTAGTTTTACCTTTAGAAGGGGAAAGGAGAAGCAGCAGAGTGTCAGGTAAACTGGGAAAACTTCACTGTTTATCTGAAAAGTAAATTTCATTTTAACGCGATATCCAGTTCCAGGAGGCATCTTAGGAGTTTTCATAATGTCAGTGAAGTGGCTAAAGCCTTTTAAGAATAAAAATTCTCCCTGAAGCGGATTTACAGAAAGTCTTATTGTTTCCACAATAGTTGCCTGAGTAAAGTTGCTGTGGCATCCTCAGAGCTAACGGGGGCACATGCTTGCAGGTGCATGAGTTGCAATGAAACTCAGCAAAAGCAGTTCTGCATTGTGATCACGAGAGGTCACAATGTGAAAAGCCATTTTTAAATGTGGGGTTTACTGCAGTTGCTCTATATTGCAACAGATTGTCCAGATTTGTATTTCAAAAAATAAGGAACCTCAGAGAGATGTGGCTCCAAGTGGCTGTGGACATGTTGGTGCCAGAGAAGTGAGCATGGTGTTGGTTAACTTTATTACACCTACTCCCATTTCTGTGTCTCATTCAGGGTTTTTCAGAAGCTCCAGGGTCAACAAAGCTTGCTTGCATTTGAGCATCCCTGACTTTCATATCTAGCACAGGTTCTGTCATGTCAAGTAGGCAGTCTCACCCATGCATATACAGTGGTACCTCTGGTTACGTACTTACCGTATTTTTTGCTCTATAAGACACACCAGACCACAAGACGCACCTAGTTTTTGGAGGAGGAAAACAAGGGGGGGAAATATTCTGAATCTCAGAAGCCAGAACAGCAAGAGGGATCGCTGCGCAGTGAAAGGAGCAATCCCTCTTGCTGTTCTGGCTTCTGGGATAGCTGCGCAGCCTGCATTCGCTCCACAAGACGCACACACATTTTTCCTTACTTTTTAGGAGGGAAAAAGTGAGTCTTATAGAGCAAAAAATACGGTAATTCATTCCGGAGGTCCGTTCTTAACCTGAAACTGTTCTTAACCTGAAGCACCACTTTAACTAATGGGGCCTCCCGCTGCCGCCGCGCCGCCGGAACACAATTTCTGTACTCATCCTGAAGCAAAGTTCTTAACCCGAGGTACTATTTCTGGGTTAGTGGAGTCTGTAACCTGAAGTGTATGTAACCCGAAGTACCACTGTAGTGTTAGCAGCACACTAGGGATTTGTGGTATAAGTACTGAAGACAGAGAGAAAGCCAGGGGGCGCCATTTGCTGCTCTGCCTCAAGGCAGCAAAATGTCTTTGACCAGTCCTGCTAGCCATCATGGAAACATGCCTTTAGGCAGTAGATGGCAGTAGGAAACTATGTAATCTTTTTGTTTACTCAATGTTACTCAATGGAGCACTGGGAACAGGCAGTTGAAGGCGGAAGTACGGACCTAGGAAGGTTTTTCCAACGGCATTGTCCGTGGGTCAAAGCTGAACTCTTGTTGATTCATAGGCCCATCTTGCAGACATGTGGCAGCAGCTCCTGCAGAATGTCAGGTGAGTGTAAAGAGGAGGCAGCAGGCGCTGCTCTTGGGGGAGCTTATGGGGTGGGATAAGCTGGACTTGGTATTTAGCTAGAAGCTAAATGGCGAGGGACTGGTCTGAATGCTGGCTGTAGAGTCGTGAAGCCAGGGCAGCCAACCCAGTTCACTGTGCTCTGAAATTAAGAAGCAAAGGGCAGTTCAAACTCCTTATTTTTATTGTGCAGCAATGAAACTAGAATAGCTACCAGCCCAGTTAGGTAATCACAGTCATGTTTCAGGTAGATTGGAATACCTACTTCCTACATAAACATACATAAAAAAGAGGTACAGACATGGGCATAGCCAAGATTTATGTTAGGGGGCAGGCATGACACCTGCCTGTCATCATTTTCTGTCTGGCTCTGTCAAACAGATTCTGAATGAAATATCTCAGCAACAGTTGTTTAAAATTACTTTTTTTTTACCCCAAGTGCTCAGAAAAGTCTGTCAAAATCTTTCTACAGTTTCTACTTTTAGTTAAGTATTTTTATTTATTCGCTTGATGTCGGGGGGCAGTTGCCCCCCTGGCTACACCCATGGGTGGGAACACCCCCCAATTTATTCTTTTTATCCACAAGCGGGTGTTCATCAGGTTGGTAAACACCATATAGCTCTTAATTTCAATGCATAGTTAAGTAGAACTGCTACTTTGTTTTTAAAGCTCCCTTCAAATATGTACCAAAGCACAGACTGAAAGGAGCCTAGGACTGTTTGCAGAGGAAGTGCTGGAAAGATGGACCCCTCCACAAAGCCATCAAGTTCTGATCCTGCTTGAGGCAGATTAGCACCACTAAAGCTGCTTCGTGCTGAATCAACGCCATATTTTACCAGGATAAGGCCTCTGAGTAGCTAAATCCTTGTGAGATTTAAATAAACAAGGATCTGACTACTCTGCTTCTAAGGAGCTCGAAAACTTGGAAGAGGGGGGAGTTCCTGGTTTGCAGAAATCCAGGTGTCCCTTAGTAGCAAAACTGCTCACTATGTCATATGTACCCAAACTGGTGGTTTCATGGAAAGCTACTTTTTCCTGCCACAAACTCACTACGTGGCCTTCAGTAAATCATTGCCTCTCAGTGGAAAACCTCAATTGCCAAATGAGGGTAATATAGGACATAAGGATTGCAAGAAGACTGTGCAAAGCATTTTGAATGTTCAGAAAAGCACTGCTTAACTGCTTCTGCTGGTTGCTCTATTGTGCTCAGCCAGGAATTGAAATGCTTTGTGCATTAATAAGCTTGATTTTTGTCACTGCTGTGCATGGGGCAAAGGGCAGCCCTTCAGAGAGGCTTTGGCAAAAGAGCCAAAGTACAACCCACAATCACATGCCAGGTGCCCAGTTTACATAAGAGAATGGAACAAAGTTTAGAAATAAGGATGGGTTAGCAGGCAGTATTGGAGAAGGGCAACTAAAATGATCAAAGTGAGCTACCTCCTCAATGAGGAAAGGTTGCAACATCTGGAGCTTTTAATTTGGAATAAATATGATTAAGGGTGGAGGGGAGGGCAGAGGCACATAAAACTCTGCATGGTGTAGAACAGGCACGTCCCACAGGTAGATTGCGACCTACTGGTAGATCACTGGGCGTCTGTGGTAGATCACTGGTAGATCACTGGCTCCCCCCAAAGAAGCTCAACATTTTTGCCCTGAACCCCAAAAAAGGGGGTAGATCACTGCCAGTTTTTAACTCTGTGAGTAGATCACAGTGTCTTGGGAGTTGGCCACCCCTGGTGTAGAGAAAGTAGATAGGGAGAAGTTTCTATCCTAATATTAAAATCCAAGGTTAACCAGTGAAGCTGAATACAGGAAGATTTGGCACAGGCAAAATGAAGAACCGTATTTTTCGCTCTATAGGACACAGTTTTTCCCCTCCAAAAATTAAGGGGAAATGTGTGTGTGTCCTATGGAGCGAATGCAGGCTCCTTGGCTTCAGCGATAGCAACGCGAAGGCTCCAAAACGCAGAGGGAGTGCTCCCTCCACGCTCCGGAGGCTTCGCGTTGCTTTCGCTGAAGCCTGGAGAGCGAGAAGGGGTGTGCACCGACCCCTCTCACTCTCCAGGCTTCAGGAATAGCCGCCTGAAGCCTCCGGAGCGCAGCGGGAGCTCCTGCTGTGCTCCAGAGGCTTCAGGCTCCTTTTGCTGAAGCCAGGAGAGCAAGACTCTCCTGGCTTCAGCAGACAGGCAGAGGCAGAGCTGTGCAGCGCCCCCTTCAGCCAAGCAGGAGGAGAAATGGAAGGGGCTCTGTTTCTCCTGCCGCTTCGCTGAAGGGGTGCTGAGCAAAGAGGGGGAGAATTTTTTTTCTTGTTCTCCCCCTCTAAAATAAGGTGCGTCCTATGGTCGGGTGCATCCTATAGAGTGAAAAATACAGTACTTCTGCACTCAGTACATAGTTAAAAGTGCAAAATGTGCTGCTGCAGGATGTTGTGATGGCCACCAGTTTGGATGACTTTAAAAGAGGATTAGACAAGTTTGTGGAGGTAAGGCTATCAGTGGCTGCTAGCCAGGATGGTGGTGGACTGCCTCTAAATGCCAGCTGCTTGAGAACACAAGTGGAGAGCACTCCTGTGCTCAAGTCCTGCCTATGGGCGTCGCTCAGACATCCGGTTGGCCACTGCAAGAACCGAATGCTGGACCAGAGTGGTCTTTGACCTCCTCCATCAGGGTTCTCCTTGCATTATGGTGTATTTCTGGCCCCTGTAACCCAACTCAGTTTCTCCGTTAGGCTGCAATTTGATATTCACTTACCTGACACAGAGCCCCCTTGAAAATAATGAGTCGTACATATAGGATTGCACTGTTGAGGTCCTTTCAGAGTTAACATTTCTTGCTTAATACATAAGCAGTTGCTACTCATTTGTTGTGAAAGACCAATAAATTTTAAAGCAAGACAGTGTTTTGCTTGCCAGGACATTGCATTTTTCCAAGGGCAATATTTTTGTCACTGGGAAATGATGTTCTTCCTCCAGCCAACTCACACAACTGTGAAATTCCATAGAGTTAGAGATAGATAGGATAGTGCCTAGCAAGACATCACAAATGATGAACAAGACACTCCCCTACCATGTCATTTAAAGAGATTTTTAAAAAGTATTTCTTAGTACTCTTGGATTATGTGTTCTTCACAAAACGAAAAATGGCAGAATACCAACAAAGTTTTCCTAATTCCTGCAGCAGTGCTCATTAGGACTATTTTCTCTTTAAAAACATGGTTGTGTGTTCACCTTCTACAGCAGGCATAGGCAAACTTGGCCCTCCCTGTTAGCCAGGGATGATGGGAGTTGTAGTCCCAAAACATCTGGAGGGCTGACTTTGCCTATGCCTGTTCTACAGCACTTTCTGCCATTTTGTTTAAAATTAATAGTAGTGTATTTCCCCCCTAGACTTTACAGGAATGACAGGCTTTCATACCTCACTGCTTAAGCTAGCTGTATGAAGCAAAATGTTATGCTCAGATATGCCTACATTTGCACATTCATAGCTGTATGCAAAGAAAATGCACCCAACCTCATCCTCTATTATTCTCAAGGAATGAAATTAACCACGTGTTAACTCACAGTTAAAAACAGGTCCAGATTGACAGTTATGCCAAGCTTAAAAAATGGGGACTGAAACTGAGTTCTCCGCTTTGGAATATATTCCCAGACTATGCCCATTCTGTTTATATGATTCGGCTCCTTTCAAATTACCCAGTGTGACAGGAATTTTATGGTCTTAGATATATGGTAATGTTCATAACCGCACATACATGGATCAGCCAACCTGGAACCATTTTGATTCCTAAACTGACCAAATGTTTTCTCTGCAAGGTCAAAATGGAAAAGCCTCCCCATTGTCTTTTCCTTCACAAATCCTGTCTTAAGGGTATGTCTGTGTTTGAATAAGGGTGTGAGCCTGTGACCTGGCCCAGGAACTATTTATCACTACAAAAGACTGGCCAGGCTCCACAGGCAATCCAATCAAGTAACCTGCCAGACAGGAAATAAACAAGGATAAGAGAAAAACAATATTGAAATTTCTGTCTTAGGTTACACCCCTTCTGTGATGTATGTATAATGGGAATTTCAAAAGTCTTTATAAGCCCTTGCACAGCATTTTTGTGGGTCCTCCTCCTTTCCTGCGAGTGAGGGGAACACCCTATTGCAACAGATCAACAGATCAATAAAGATCGAGCTTACTAGCTGCTTTGCTTCTCAATATTCTCTGGTTGGCCTCTGTTATTTTCTCCTACCAATAGGGAACCTATGTAAGGACTCTATATGGGCTCTTGCATACCCCATAAGGGAAAAGGGCATATTTTTATTTACAACACCAGTCTTAAACACAGTAGCTATTTGGACATCACAGGATGACAGTAGTAACAGTTTCCAACTAGTCTAACTTTTAGAATACCAATAGTGCCTGGAAACTCTCAGCGCAAATTACTATCCTCTGTTTATCTAATCAAAATTACAGGAGGCATGGGTGAGCAGGAGGGGGGGGGGGAATGCAAGTCACCCCAAACAAGTAATTCACCCACTCACCTTACCGCTGGGATTATTTGAATGAAATGCATATTCAGTTATAATCTGTAGCCTGAAAAGTACAGTTGATAACTGGAAATTATTAAAACAAGGCTGCAATCCTAAACATGTCTACTTGAAAGTTCATGCAATCAAAATCAATAGGGTTTACTTCTAAAATATGTTTGGGATTGGAGCGTTAATGTAAAATATACTAATATTTATTTTACAGAAACCTAACACATAGACCAAATCTTGCCCTAGAATCCCCTTTGTGTCTCCATCTACCCCAATCTTTATTTCTCGGGCCACTGCTGATCCCAACAAAGAATGAAATTTCAGTTTATTACCTCTTGCAAGCATAAAAGAGTGATTAAAATGTTTAAAGAACACTTGCATATACAACCTTTGATTATATGCTTTTTCAGAACTACTTTTTTGTCCTATTAATTTCTACTAAGCTATGATTTTAAATACAGTGGTATCTCAGGTTACATACGCTTCAGGTTACAGACTCCACTAACCCAGGAATAGTACCTCGGGTTAAGAACTTTGCTTCAGGATGAGAACAGAAATTGTGCGGCGGCAGTGCAGCAGCAGCAGGAGGCCCCATTAGCTAAAGTGGTGCTTCAGGTTAAGAACAGTTTCAAGTTAAGAATGGACCTCCGGAATGAATTAAGTACTTAACCTGAGGTACCACTGTACCAAGAAGCATTTCAGTGAAAACCCACCATTTGCTTCTAAGGAGACTTGCAAGTACTCCTTCTTTTGCACACATAGATTGCTTATCAGCCTTTGCCTCACAAAATGTTGGGTGCCTTTCTAGGTCTTATGACACACCCCAGAAAAACATGATTGCAGCTTCTTGTGCGCTCGGAGGTGGAGGCCTCCTAGTATATTGGCTTCTGTCTAGGCAGAGGATGAAGACCCTAGAAATGGGAGATGGATGGTGGGGCTCTGGAGAGAGACCACATACTGATGAAGAAGATAAAGGAATTAGACCCTTCAAAGTAACGACATCAGAGGAAGAAATCCAGGTACTAATGAGAAGAGGGAAATGGGGGGGGGGTGTTATGTGTAAAATTTATGGTACAAACGCGTTTACCCTGGCTTTTGACACTTGAGATGTATATTTTCAGGACCCAGCTTATTTTTGTGATTGTTTTCAACTGCTTTTAATATTGTGTTTTGAATTTCTAACTGCCCTGTGAGAGCTGGAGAGTGTATAAGTCTGCCAACTGAGTAGGATTACACTAAGGATTGATCACATTCCGGTTCTGTAGCTGCCTACCTTCTTTTCAGCCAATCATGTTAGTCATGCTTTTTAGGTCAGATGAGGGTGCTGGTAAAGCCCAAACTGGCCAGGCCAGTTTTCCTGTGTCATTGGGATACTATGCTAGCCATCAAGCTTTGTATCACTGTGACTCTCCAGCTACTAATTACTTGAACTGCAGGTGATCCTGAGGTGGCCATGCCATGTTATCTGATTTTAGAAGGCTGCAGAGGATTGTGGTTTAGCTGAAGCAGGGGGAGGCGGTCAGGTTTCATCACCCTAGCAATTCAAGCATTACTGTGTTGGAGGAGGGCTGAGAAGACCTCTATACATTGCCCTATACATTGTTGAACTCCCCACTGGGGTAGAAATCATATATCAACTAGATGGAAAGCTCTTTTGACTTGAGTAGGCTGAAAGCAAAGAGTAAGGTTACCATAACTTCCGTCATAGAGCTTCAGTATGCTGATGACAATGTAGTATGTGCACACTCAGAGGATGACCTCCACTTTTCCTACCTAGGCAGTTATCTTTCCACAAGGGCAGTTTTCTCCTGATTGAAGTGCAGAGTGTTTGAGGACCGGGACATTCGCAGGGAAACCAAAATGCTTGTTTACAAAGCTATTGTACTACCAACCTTACTGTGAAACACGGACCACTTATAAATGCCATCTCCAACTCCTCAAAAAATTCCATCTACGATGTCTCTGAAAATTTTTGCATATCACTTGGGAAGACAGGTAAACTAATGCCAGTGTACTGGAAGAAGCAAAGATCACTAGTGTTGAAGCAATGATTCTTCAACGTCAACTTCATTGGAGTGGTCATTATAAAAATAATAATAATAATTTATTATTTGTACCCTGCCCATCTGGCTGGGTTTCCCCAGCCACTCTGGGCAGCTTCCAACAAAGATTAAAAATACATTAAAATGTTGTTTGGATGCCTGAGTATTGTCTTCCAAAGCAACTACTCTATTCCAAACTTAAAAATGGAAAGCATAATGCTGGTGGCCAACAAAAGAGGTTTAAAGACTATCTCAAGACAAATCTAAAAATCTAAAAAAATGTAGTATAAACACTGACAACTGGGAAACACTGACCTGCAAGTGCTCCAATTGGAGAACAGGCTTTACCAAAGGTGTCATGGACTTTGAAGATGCTCAAACTAAGGATGAAAGGGAGAAATATGCTAAGAGGAAGGAATGTTTGGCAAACCCTCACTGTGATCAGCTCCTGCCTAGAATCCCATGTCCCCACTGTGGAAGGACGTGTGGATCCAGAATTGGCCTCCACAGTCACCTACGGACACACTGTTAAGACCATGTTCATGGAAGACAATATTACACTGCTATGAGTAATCGCCAAAGAGAAGAAGAAGAGAGGGAAGACCTCAACTAATAAATTGTCACCTGGTAGCTTATACTGTATTGGCAATATGCTATCATTGACATGTTCACAGCAGCTTCAAAAATTGCAACAGCCCCTTTTCTGTAAGGGACTTGAAAATCTTTCAAGATGTTAAGATATGTTTCGAGGGTCACATTTTCTAAATAGGAACAAAATTAATTATGCTGTCTAGCAACAGGAAAGCTCTCCTGAGTTTTGACTGTTTCAGAATCTTTTACCCAGTATTTGGCATGCATTTTAGGACATGGAACACTCTCTATACTTCCCATTCCCCAATCATACAAAAGAAATAATTCTTCCTAAATGAAATGAAAGCCTCTCTCGTCTGTGTTTAAAAAAAACTATTCTAGTTTGAGGCCTTCAGTCCAAGTCTTTATCCAGCCAGAAACCCATACGAACAACACTGTTTTGCGTAATATTCCTTAGGGCCATATAGAAAGTGCAATCTTTGTGCACCCCTAATATATAGTGGAAAGCCTTTGATCCTCTAAGAACTATTCATGGAGGTTAGGATGCCTCACTTTTGAAAGTATTCTTTATGGGGACTCTCTCTCTCTCTTCTCTGTAGGATTTGTACCAGCGTCTCGATCAGACCCGCTACACACCACCACTGGAAGGGGCTGCCTTCAACTATGGTTTCAACTCCAACTATCTGCAGAGAGTGGTCTCCTACTGGAGAACCCAGTTTGACTGGCAAAAACAAGTTAAAATCCTCAACCAGTACCCACATTATAAGACAACCATTGAAGGTGAATTCTTTCCCCATTGAACTACACATAAATATATACCTGTAATGGGGTGAATCCTTTCAATCCAACCCCAACCCCCCAACCCTATTTTCCACAGTGAGCTTTCTCTGCTGCAACTAGCACTTTAAAAAACTAGCACTTGTCTGTTGGATTTCTGGCAGGAATTGAAGTTCATTTCATCCATGTGAAACCATCTCACACCCCGAAAGGTCAGAGTGCCAGGCCGTTGCTGATGGTGCATGGATGGCCTGGCTCCTTCTATGAATTCTATAAAATCATCCCACTGCTTACGGACCCTGCTGGTCATGGACTGAGTGGCGAAAATGTGGTGTTTGAGATCATCTGTCCATCCATCCCGGGTTATGCTTTCTCAGAGGCCCCTCACAAACAGGGTAAGAGGCAGATAAACCAAAAAGGGTCTTCCAGGGCACTGCTTTTAATTAAAAGCTGTGGTAGATGTCTTTTAATGATACTTTTTCTCCCCACTGACAGGCTTTGATTCATTGGCTGCTGCTCGAATCTTTCACAAGCTAATGCAGAGACTCGGCTTCCAGGAATATTATCTACAGGGTGGAGACTGGGGTTCCAAGATCACCACAAACATAGCCCAGATGGTGCCACAGTAAGTGGTGGAGGTCCTTCTCTCTATTACATGTGGTGGTGTAGTGGTTAAGAGCGGTAGTCACGTAATCGGGGGAACCGGGTTTGCGTCTCCGCTCCTCCACATGCAGCTGCTGGGTGACCTTGGGCCAGTCACACTTCTTTGAAGTCTCTCAGCCCCACTCACCTCACAGAGTGTTTGTTGTGGGGGAGGAAGGGAAAGGAGATTGTTAGCCGCTTTGAGACTCCTGAAGGGGAGTGAAAGGCGGGATATCAAATCCAAACTCTTCTTCTTCTACATATTCCTCATCATTCAACATAAATTAGTGGCTGTGCATATCTATACATTATAAAGGTAAAGGTAAAGTGGGTGGTGCTGTAGTATAAATCACTGAGCCCCTTGGCCTTGCTGGTCAGAAGGTGGTTCGAATCCATGCGACAGGGTGAGCTCCTGTTCTCTGTCCCAGCTCCTGCCAACCAACAGTTCAAAAGCATGCCAATGCAAGTAGATAAATAGGTACCGCTGCAGCGGGAAGTTAAACTGCATTTCCGTGCGCCCTGGTTTCCGTCCCATTGCACCAGAAGCGGTTAATTCATGCTGGCCACATGACCCGGAAAGCTGTCTGTGGACAAACGCTGGCTCCCTCGGCCTGAAAGCGAGATGAGCACTGCAACCCTATAGTCACCTTTGACTGTATTTAACCGTCCAGGGGTCCTTTACTTTTACCTTAAAGGTAAAGGTAAAGGGACCCCTGACCATTAGGTCCAGTCGTGACCGACTCTGGGGTTGCGGCGCTCGTCTCGCTTTATTGGCCAAGGGAACCGGCATACAGCTTCTGGGTCATGTGGCCAGCATGACTAAGTCGCTTTTGGCGAACCAGAGCAACACACGGAAACGCTGTTTACCTTCCCGCCGGAGTGGTACCTGTTTATCTACTTGCACTTTGACGTGATTTCGAACTGCTAGGTTGGCAGGAGCAGGGACCGAGCAACGGGAGCTCATCCCTTCGCGGGGATTTGAACCGCCAACCTTCTGATTGGCAAGTCCTAGGCTCTGTGATTTAACCCACAGTGCCACCCGCATCCCGTATTTTACCTTCATTTACGTTATAAAGCAGGGGGTTATCTAGGCATAATCTTTCTTCATGCAACTTGGTTGCAGGGGTAGCAAGGGTTGTTGTTTGCAAGGATGGATGTCGGAGAATATAATGAGCATTTGTTGTCAAAGTAAGACTCATGGAAGTAATTGAGAACAGAAACATAGGTTTTGGATTACATCTGCATGAGGAATCAATTTCTGCCCTGAAGAAAATCCAGATTTTGCTCCTAAGTGAACTTATGGCAAGCAACTGAGAAATGCCAGCTTGCACAAGAACCACTATTAAAAGCAGTATTAAATAACAGCAATATATCCCTGCCTGTGTATACAAGGGATGATTATATCTCTTCCCTGGATGTCACTTCTCCCAAGTATTTTCTCATTGTTCTTCCATATTTGCTGGTTCTGACTCTAATGCTAGCCAAAGCACATTTACTAGAAAGTTCAGGAAAACTCTCCATGCCTTCTTTTCAGATCTGTAAAAGGGCTTCATCTGAACATGGTTTTCACCAGTAACATTAGCTTGGTTGGTTTACTACTGGGAGCCTACGTACCATGGCTGGTGGGCCTCACCAGGGAAGACGCACGTCGTTTATTCCCATACTTTGAGAAGCACGTGTATGAAATTTTGCGAGAATCTGGTTACTTACACATCCAGGCCACCAAGCCTGACACAGCAGGTTTGTTGATCATCCTGTGTTTTGTGATGCCCCCACTGAAAAAGAGGCATTTTAGTCTCCCCAATACAGAATGAAATTATACTAGCTAAGGCACATAGGAATAACTGCAATAAATTATAGAGATTTGGATTAATCAGGCTTCATTAATTATAACTTTCTATTGCAAAAGGGACTGCAAAGAGACTGAAGGATGCCAACAATTGCAGAAGCAAATGAGAAAGGGCAAAGTAATACAGTAGGATTACAATTTATGTGCATTTAACCTGCATGATCACAGCTGTACGTGCTTGGTAGCCGGCCAGCTGATATTGCACAAATTAAACACACACAAGGCAGAGAGCTCAAAAGCTCTTTCCATGCCAGGTTTTCCCAGCACAAAAATAGCTTTTAAGCTCTCTGTCTTGCTTACCGGGCTCTGGGAAGGTCTCACACTTGCTTTGGCAGGTAAAATTCCAAGGTGTTGTTTCGGCTATACGTGATTTCATATTTATGCCCCTCCCCGGAATGTAACACCTACACGAGACTACTGTACACACACACACAGATCTCTGTCCCCCACTTTTACAGACAGCAAAAATAACTCTGCAAGTAAACGAGATTCACACAATAAGCTCCCCTGGTAATGGGCTTACATGGAGGGAGGAGAGCAAACTGCCAAGGTACCATAGGTGAAAGTCAGCAGCAACCCCTGTGCTCACACTGGCCACTTTTCTAGCCAAATGCTTTTTTTCTCCAGCCAGGTTAACTAGATCCTTGGAAGAACCAGGCCCTTTCAGTTAAGACATCCAGAATGATGTGGCATTAAGTTGGTTGCAATCCAAAGCCCTAGTTCTCACTTTGATCTCTGAGCAAGTCCCATGCAGGGCCCAGTTCCTAGCCAGAGGTGGTGCAAGTGTCTGATGTAAACGGTAATATGCCGTTTCCCTGATCTAGGCTGTGGATTGAATGATTCTCCTGTGGGACTTGCTGCATACATCCTGGAGAAATTTTCCACCTGGACAGACAAATCATTCCGGAACATGGACAATGGAGGTCTGGAAAGGTCTGTACCACAAGTGTAATGGGGTGAGGATCCTTTTTAGGAAGGGGGAGGGGAGTTCTCATCTCAAACAGCCAATAAAATTGGTGTTGTTTTTTTTTAACCTATTACTGCTTTTCTCAGTATACTCTTAACACACCCCAAAGGTAGCATGTTATTAGCTCACTTTCTATTTTGTATTAGTAGACCAAATTGCAGTCAAGTACCAAAGGTATGATGGTAAAACTATGATAATGCTTTAAACTCCTCTGTTTAGGAAATACTCTCTTGATGACCTTTTGACCAATATAATGATTTACTGGGTCACTTCCTCCATTGTACCATCAATGCGCTTTTACAAGGAGAATCTTTCCCAGATGCCCCAGAATGCTCCTGACAGCAGGTAAGAGGTACCAGAAGCTGTTTTAAGAGAAGTCATTGCACTGCAAAGATGCTGTGCTTTCTGTCTTAAGGCATTTTTATAGCTGTTATGGTGGTAGTAGCAATAGCTGGTTACATAACAGAAGCACAATATTCCTGTTTCATCACATCCAGAAGTATTTTCTCCAAAACAACAAATTTGTTTTTGAAAGCAAGTTTTGAAATCTTACATGCTTTGATTCAAAGGAAATAAACAAAGCCCCAACTAGCATTATGGAATTCTTTGGCCATGCCTAAAGATCAGGTAATTGTTCTCCAAGTTTTAAGTTGATTCACTGAGAAGAAAGTCCATGATGGCTTCTTTCCCAATTACCAAAACTATCACAGGGTCCATTGTTGCTATAAAGCTGGAATGAAAGCTTCAAACCCAACTCTCTTGCAACCCATCTGCAAGAAGAGAACCATTTAGCCCTCATGGTTGCCAATATATTATTAGTTGTTGTTGTTTAGTCGTGTCCGACTCTTCGTGACCCCGTGGACCAGAGCACGCCAGGCACTCCTGTCTTCCACTGCCTCCCGCAGTTTGTTCAGACTCATGTTTGTGGCTTCGAGAACACTGTCCAACCATCTCGTCCTCTGTCGTCCCCTTCTCCTTGTGCCCTCAATCTTTCCCAACATCAGGGTCTTTTCCAGGGAGTCTTCTCTTCTTATGAGGTGGCCAAAGTATTGAAGCCTCAGCTTCAGGATCTGTCCTTCCAGTGAGCACTCAGGGCTGATTTCCTTAAGAATGGATACGTTTGACCTTCTTGCAGTCTATGGGACTCTCAAGAGTCTCCTCCAGCACCATAATTCAAGAGCATCAATTCTTCGGCGATTAGTATTCACTAGTAAAGTTATATTATTTCTCCTATAAGAGCTCAGGGCAGCTTACAATTAAAACATTTGAGTGCATCTCTAGATACAACTCCCGTAATGCAGCAGACAAGACACTATTGGAATCCAGTTCACATTTATGCCCCCAAAGTCTGAGCCTTCAGTGCACTCCTGAAAATTATCCACTTTGGTGACAGACATTCTGAAATGGGGTACCACCAAGGAGAAGGCCCTATCTCTTATCATTACACAGCAAAGGGACCTTGAGCATGGCCTCCCTCAAAGATCTCATAGCAGGATTCAACAGGTACTTAAACCCCATACCATATAGACCACATTGTGGAACGCTTCCACATCCAGTTATGTGGTTATTAGAACAAGAGTTATAAAGGCAGGTTGTCCCAGTCCAGGAACGGCTATAACTAGCGAACCAGCCATAGTTTAGTTTGCATACATGGTAAAAAATTGAAGACAAAGGATACAATATGTATTAATGGGTGAGCTATGGAAGAGCATGTGAGGTTTACCAAGATAAAGTGTTTTGCAGTTCCTATGTTATCTAGTAAGCTCTTGAGAAGTTATGGTATCTTCTGCTACAGGGTTGAAGTCTATGTTCCTACTGGTATTGCTGCCTTCCCTGGTGAACTTACTCATATCCCACGTTCCTGGGCAAAGAAGTTGTTTAAGAACATTGTCACCTATTCCTACATGCCACGGGGCGGACATTTTGCTGCCTTCGAGGAACCGGCACTTTTAGCTCAAGACTTCAGGCAGTTTGTGAAGAAGGTGGAACACCTGTAAGTTAATATTAAATGGCACAAGCATTGCAGAGAGCTCTATGAACCAAAAGTTGGAAGCTTTCCAACAACTAAACAGTACTTAAAGCATGTATTTACTCCTTAGGTTTTGGGTAGGCAAGTATTTTTCTATGAGGCTAGCTGTGGAAGCCATACAAAGTAGTGTGAAAAAAGGGAAAAGACACTGTTTACATTAAAGCAACTTGTTTTTAAAGCCAAAGTAGTAGCGTTCTTGTCTTATTATGATTTTACAAGATTTGTTACAAGACAGATTCCTTTTACATTTCATTTCACCTTCACAAAAATCAAACAGAAACATTTCCCAGGGGTGAGGAACCTCCTCATCTGGCAAGCAGCCTCTCCTCTTTCAGTCCTGCCTCACCCAGGATTATGCTTTGTGCAATTATGCTTTAGAAAATAGGCTTTAGCTGCTTCAATGGAAGCAAACTGCCATGCAAGGATGACAATTTTTGGTAGAAAGTTACCGCTGGGAAGGAGCTCCCCTCTTGTGAAAAACAGCTTGCACTGGTGCCAGTATAAGCCTAACTGCTGTGCAGGGGGAAAGGTGGCGTGAGAGAGAGAGAGAGGCGAATGGAATGAGGGTGTGTATTAGTGGCTATGAACCTCACCCACTACTGCCTTGTAGTCCCCCAACAGATTTTCCTCAAGGAAATATGGCAAGTGGGAAGAAACAGTTCCTCAACCTTTTTAACACAGCGTTCTGCATTGTAAGATTATAGTGGATTACCACTGAGTTTGCATGTAGGGGCTATAAAGTTAGGATTAGGAACACTGTCAAGGGCTGGGCTCCACTATATAGGCAGCCTTTTAGAAGGCAAGGCAACTTTCCTCATAATCCATGCTATTTTCTCTGAAAAAAGTGTTGTTGTTTTAAAAAAATACATTCAGTAGCTATAATATTTTGTTCTACAGTAACCGATGCAGCTTCTTTTGTGCTTCTGTTATCCTTCAACAGGCATTTTTTAAAAGCAGGATGTTTGTTTAGCCTCTCCCAGAACAATTAGAACACAATACAAAAATGTCCCAAAGGTCAAAAAATCCATAATGCTGGAGACTAGAGAAACTCTCCCTTAAAGTTTGCAACTTTTCTGGCCCAGAACAGGCAAGCAGCTTTGTAAATAAATAATAGTTTAAATGGAGCTCAAGTGCCTTTGGCCCAAGAAGTAACATCTGTTCTTAGATCTCCCATAGGTCTCAACTTTAACCTGAAAACTTCCAAGCAGAACAAAATCCTTATTACTCCTGCTTCCCATCCCAAAAATCTTTCCTTAGGGAACTGAGGAAAACCTATTACATCCAATTATCCTTACATCTGTCATGAGCTTCTTTTGATAAATGTTACTCCCACCTAAACACATAGGGATCTATCCTCAGGAAAGCCACACTTCTTGAACTAACTAACCTCTTCCCTCACTTCAGTGTAAAGCGTTCAGACCCTTCATAGTGGGTATGTTCACATTAAGTAAAATGTTGCCCATTGGTTGGAACAAGATGCTACTTCCTTTAATGCTTGCCCAACAGTGGTTGTCCCAACCCCCCAGCCCTACCCTGCAATTTACCTTCATTGATGAAGAAAATCAGTGCCATGGTACACTGTGGCAAATGAGTAGAGAACCTGCCTTGTCATCTGCTTTTACATCATCAGTACCAACTTTATTCCCTGTAGATGCTTTGGATAACAGTTCACATCATCCTTTACCACTGGGTATGCAGGCTGAGGCTGATGGGAGGACACCAGGTATGGGAAGGCAAAACTATAGCTTCACTTTGATCAAAGCAATTAAAGATGAGCAAAACATCTTGTGCAGCTTTATAGAAGCTGATATTACAGCAAAGATTGTACTTCAGAGCCTTTTCCAAAAAGATCACATTAACAATGTTAGCTTCTAGTTTTGACTAACGGAGACAAACACAGGAGGAGGCTTAATCAGAGTACTCATGTACGCAAACTGTTAGGAAAGCAAAATGAACTTTTCAATATGAGAGATAACATTTGTACCCTACTCTTCAGCCAAAAAGGCTTCCATTATTTTACATTCCACAATTTAGAAAGTGTTTTCACCCCAATTTGTAATTTTTCAGACAAATCATTGTTCACAAGCAGCCTTCCCTAGTGCCCCCCACGTGCCCTGTAACTCTCAGGACCTGAAGCCAGCATTATCAATGGTCAGGGATGGTGGGAGTTGTAGTTCAAAGCACCTGCGTAGCACCAGATAAATATTTCTAAACCAACTTTTCCCACTCTAATAATCCTCTGGGGATGCAAACTTTAAAAGTGATTAGGCCTCCAGTGTTGAGGGGATTTGTGCTGCTCTTAATTATGGCCACAACCCTTACAATAGCTCCTTAGACAGTAACATTTATTACTCAGGAAAAAGCAGAAAGTTATATGGCTTTTACCAGATTCTTGACCAATCACAGAAACCAAAGCAATGCATGAACATTGTAGTTATCTACCTGTAAACATTGTTCATAATATATTATGCAGGAAGTTCCCCCGCTGGTATAACTATTTCAAGTATCATGTAATAGGTTTCGTAGGCCTTAAAGCAATCTCTTTTCCCTTTTGAATCAATTCCCCAAAGGCCCTTCCTATATTCCTGGGTGGATCTGCTTCTAAGCTCCATCATTTTGAAAGGAAGTTAACTCTGGAGAATATGATAGTGCTCATCTGCTCATCACAGATTTCTAAAGGGTCTGGCAAAAAGGTTCAAATTAGGGGAACTTGTGGCTGCAGCTGATCAGATTTATTACAAAGCAATACGGAGACAGGAAGTTAAGCATTCTCTCTTAAAAACGTTGTCAAGAGTAACGAAAGCCCTTCACTGTCACTGGAGCTTGAAACCATATGTAATCATCCAAGTTAAAGTTCATCTCCTGATTGGCAGAAAGGGCTGTATTCTTGCTGTGACTGCACGATAAGCTGACCGTCAACTTCCTCCCTCGGGCTGGGACTTTGTAGTTTAGTTTCGGTCTGAACCAGTTAACGCCACAGTTGCGGTGCCCTTGAACCATAACAACAACACCCATAGTGGGAACGGCTTGAAGCTCGCTGAATACATCTGCCAGGAAGAGCGAACGGAAAAGCTTGCGAATGCAGGCTCCTGTCTGCAGACTCTCATCAGCACTGCTCATGGAGATACCTTGCAGATTGATCTCATAGAGTTCTTTGGGACTGACAGCAGTGCCCCCAAGCAGAATAAGAACTCGTGGGACCAATGTCAAACTGAACATGTTTTCTAAGTGCTGAAACATTCCTTCAAGTTCACTCAGTACTTGCTGACACCTCTTGTTGTTGCTGTCTTGATCTTTTGGATTGATTTTTTTAACCACATCTTCATCCTGTGAGATTAAGGTAGTTGAAAAGATGTCAATATTTTAGGGGGAAAGATGACAATATTTAATCTCGAATATAGTTATTTCACACATTATCTCAAAGTCCAGGCATATAATTGATAACATATAGAACAAACCAGAAAGTGTCATAATCATAACAAACCAAAATCACTACTTAAATTAAATAAGCCAGTTACTAATAAGGTGGTTTGTCTTCAGTGACCACTTTTCTCTTAACTGCTGCACAGCACCAATTAAATTATGGAAATTCATTCCCCCAATAAATACAAAGACTTATTATTTCTGTAGTGCCATTTCACCCAAAGTTTCTCTCACACCATAAAATCTGCATCGGAATATGATCAGGTTTGCGAACAGTATGTCTGTCCTTCGGAAGGTGTCAAAACAAGTATAAAAGCAGGTGTTCCCAGTTTCATACTAAACCAACAAACATACAACAGGCAAGTTCCATAGAAGATGCAGCCTTGGCTAGGAAGATATAATGCAGGAGTTCAAAACGCTGCTTTAGAAAATTAGAAAATGTGAGGTTTTGTCTGCTTAGTATGTTTCATACAATGAATAATATCCCTATTAATGCAAGAGCCATTCCAAGTTCAGTCGTCGTATTAAAGGAGCTCTGGTAGGGGGCCAAAAGTACAAATCTGAAGAACGACTGCCAGTCAATCAGATCTCTAAGCTCTGGAAGATGCCAAAAAGGTGTAGCTGGTGAGTACCTTAACGTACGAAGCTAGCCAGGGGTTAGCCATATTGTAAGTCATTTCTATAATAGCTAAATTTGCTGTTATTAATATTAGCAGATTAGGGACAACTATTAGAATACTACAACTACCTATATGCTAGGAAGTATCATGTGTGCATAGTAAGCTCATGGCCATTAATTATAAGCAGTGAATCTTTATTTTAGGATTTATCTCTTTGCCAGGAGCTAGTCATAATGGTGTATTATACCATGTTCACTACAGACCAGCTCACCACATCATTTGTTATTATTTTATTTATGAATCTCTTCCCGTGAGTCATCTATCTAGATGTGATTTACAATGAAGTAACGTATATAAAACTGTTGCATATATAAAAAGTTTAAAAGCAACTTTTAAACTTTTTTTATATTTATAGTTTTTTAAACAGCAACACATATATATATATATAACATCAATTCAGGTCCTGGGTAGATACCAACTGGGATAAAGATTTTAGAGGACTTGTTAAAAGAAGAACTTCTTAAGCAGGCACTGATACACCAATGGAGAAAGCTGCTGCCTGATATGCAGTGGGAGGGAGTTTCAAAGGGCAGATGCTGCCACACTGAAGACACCATTCCAACATGGTGTGTCACAGACCACCTGGTAGAATGGTACCTGTAGGATGCACACTCCAATAACAGCACCTTGGAGCAAGCTCTGTAGCCATTTGGCAGCCAGTGGAATTCCTTCAGCAGAGGCATAATACAATGGTCATATTCTGCTGTTCTGCCCTAATAAGTAGTCCAACTGCCACGTTTTGCACTTGCTGCAGCTTCTGGATCAGCCTCAAGGGCAGCCCCACTTAGTGCACTGCAGTAAACCAAGCTGGAGTTACCAGTGTATGATTAACTGGTCAGGCTAACCTGATGCAGGAAGTGCCACAGCTGTCTTACCAATTGAAGCTGATAAAAGGCTGCCCTAGCCACTGAGGTTACCTGGACCACTAGTAGCAGAAGTGGGTCCAGGAGTACCTCCAGATTGTGAACCTGCTTCTTCAGGGGGATTATAACTCTAGCCACAGCAGACAATTGACACCATGGTAATGATTCCAAAGTGGTAAAGGCACATTATCAAAGTTTATAATAACGAAACAGTAGAATCATAGAATTGGAAGGGACCACGAGAGTCATCTGCTCCAACCCCCTGCAATGCAAGAATCTTTTGCCCAACGTGGGGCTGGAACGCACAACCCCATGCTCTACCAACTGAGTTATTCCCTCCTTCCAGTAATACTGCATTTTCCAGCACATGATTGTTGCAGGTACATATGCCAAGAAGTAGGAACTGTTTGTGGGTCCCTGTGATGTACACAGCAACAGTAGCACCCATTACTTCAGAACTCCTGATTAATCCAGTCCTAAGAACAATTATTATTAGTAATTAAAGCTATATGATTTAACCTTCAAAATTAAATGAAGAATCCAACCACGTGCGTCCATCCCCCATATAATCAGTGAGGTAGGCTACTCCACCCTACAGAACCTCAAAGCATAAGTAAATTTTCACCCAATGCATCAGAGTTAGCCTGTGATGATCTTAGTCACCCTGTTAGACTCATAATTGGGAGTTTAATGGGGTCTGATTGCTCCCATTTTTAAAATCCCTTTTAAAATGCACAAGTTGTTATCACCATGCAGAGGCTGCCCCCAAATACTTGCCATAACCATATGAAACCACCGAAGATAAACTGCAGCTGAATCTAGAGCGACCTCCAGAACACAGGAAATACTTTTAACCAAGTCTAAACCACCCAGAGGTAAAGCAAAGATCCCAATTTGTATTTGTGGTTGCAAGCATGAGGAAAAGGAAGTTGAATACATCCGCACTTGTGGCTTAATAGCCTACCCCCCATCAAAAAACCCACATTCTTTCGTCTCTGAAAACATGTGGAAAACCGCGCGAGAGAGAGACCTTTTTTGCCACACAAGTGAACATCCTGGAGCCAGTGTCTGTTTGATGCTCCTAAAGCGAAAGCGAAAAACTCAGCCAGCGCTTCCCCGGGTGCACAGCGTGTATTGCGAGGATGCGATCCCGTGTATGCGCGAACAGCCTCAACTCACCTGGCCGGGGGATTTCGGAAGCTGCCTCCGGGAGAAGCAGGCGAGCTGCTCGTAAGGCAAAGGCAGCTGCTGCCTCTGGTACAAGACGTGCTTCATGAACTCGGAGGTGAAACGGAAGCAGCCCTCGCGGGTCACGAAGCCGGGGAAAACCACAGACACCGAGGAGGCGGCGCCGGGAACCGAAGCCACGGGCGGCGCCGGCGCCACAGTCACGGCAACGGCGGGAGCGTCGCGCAGTTCCAAGCCGGAGTCGGCGACGCGAGGCAGGTCGGCTGCGCAGAAAGAGAGAGAAGGCGGAGCGGCCTCATCACTCGGCCGCGGTGATGCCGAAGGCCCAGAGACCCGCAAGGGAAGGGAAGGGGCCGCCGTCGAAGACCCAAAGCCCGGCCTTACCTTCTCGTTGCGTCGCTCCGGGCGCGGCCATTTTCTGCTCTTCGACGTCGCTCTGGTTTGAATGGCCGCCCTCCCGGAGCATCATGGGAACTTTTTAGGGACGTCAGTGGGCGGGGAAGGAGGTCGTGGCGCCAGTAGGCGCGCCGCTCTTCAACCCAAAGGAAAGGTCGCCTTTTAACTCAAGGCTGGCCCGAGACGTTTTACTGTTTGAGGGGAATGCCGCTTCCTTCCCCCATTCAAACCAAGTCAAGTTATATATATTATCAAAATATGTTGCACCAGAGACAGAAAATCAATAAACTCTGTTTTTTTCTGGGAGTAAAAAAACAATAATGAAAACCACAATTTGTTGTACTTTCATGACATCTAGTGCCAGCCCTGGTTCTATTCCATGTTATAAAATGAAACACATTTTATTAAACTTGAATTGCTTTTTATTTAGCTTATTACTTTTGTATCCCTTCTCTCCAAGGAGAGCACACCACAGTTCTCCCCGCTCCTCATTTTATCCTAACAAGCCTGTGAGGGAGTTTAGGTTGAGGGACAGTGACTGGTCTAGTAACCCAGTGTAATTCATGGCTGAGTGACTATTTCAATCCTAGTCTCCTAGGAAGAGGCATAACAAGGATGGAGAAGAGATTGCTTGTGTGCAGATGCGATCTCTCGATTCCTTGGGCGGGGGGGGGGGGGAGAATCCTGGAGAGGAGGGGACTTAGGCAGCTGTGGGGAAGTGGGACCTTCAGTACAGTGGTACCTTGGGTTAAGAACTTAATTCATTCTGGAGGTCCGTTCTTAACCTGAAACTGTTCTTAACCTGAGGTACCTCCAGCTGCCACTGTGCAATTTCTGTTCTCATCCTGAAGCAAAGTTCTTAACCCGAGGTACTATTTCTGGGTTAGCAGAGTCTGTAACCTGAAGCGTCTGTAACCCGAGGTACCACTGTATCAGCAACTGCTTCATGGGTGACAAGAGCTACCAGAGATAAATTGCTGTGCTCATGAAGGCTGACAAGTCTGTGCCAATCACATCTTTGTGAACGAACTTCTACTTCCACGGTGTGATTTACTACCAGCTCACTCCTGACAGATGTGCTCTATGGGGAGGTGGCTTCAAGCACCTGGTCCTGGTTACATCACTACCCTTTCCCTAAACTAAGCCCTCTTCATCTATAGAGGGAGAGAGGACTTCATTCATTCATTCATTCATTCATTATTTATTTGTTTCCCGCCCATCTGGTTGGGTTACATTCTAACACCTATTTCCTTTGAGCTGCTCATGGTTAATCCCCCCAGACAAGTGGTTTTCAACCAGTGTGCCGTGGCACCCTGGGATGCCTTGAATGGTCAAGGGTGCAGTGGGCAACACTGGCCTCTGTCCCTCTTTCCATCCTTCCCTCCATCCTCTGATGCCCTCTTGCATCTCTGCCTCCCAAAGGCTTGTACAGCTGTTAGTTGCAGCAGTTCTGGCTACAAGCTCTGCAGATGAATGATGCCTCTGGGGCTGGCCAGGGGGTGCTGGTTGTCAGGAGCTGAGGCGGCCTTGGAGTAAGCAAGCAAGCGGGCAAGGGAGCCCAGCCAGCCAGTCCACCAGCCCTTCCTGTTGGAAATGGACAGACAAGTCCCAGGCCCCTGTGGGGCAGTGTGAGGTAGGGGCGGCAGCAGCAGCTGCCCAGAGGACTCCCAAGGAGACAAGAGAGGAGAGAAGGCTAAGGGAACACTCCACAAGGGAGCATGTTTGAAAAAGGGTGAGAGGCTGCCAGCTCTGCAGGCAAGGGGTGACATAACTGGGTTCCTGAGCCCCACAGGGGTGCCACAGAAAGAATGTAGCTGGTCAAGGAAGCAGTGGACTCAAAAAGGTTGAAAACCTCTGCTCCAGACGGTCTGATTTCATTAACACTTGTTGATTTTACTAGGATTACAGTGTCCAATACACAATCCAGGAAGCTGCCTACTTAACTAGCTTTTACATGTGCTAATTCCAGATTAGCAACTTCTAACACACATCTTAAGTACACATGAGTCTGGTTATTACTTCCAAGGAAATTAGCTTTGACACCCCAAACCTTAATTAAATTCTAGCACCTATATCATTATGCTTTCTTCCCCCACTTGCCCCTGACACATAATCATAATTTGGATTATATGGAAATAAACTACTTCATTGGACTGCGGTAATGAACTAAATACATTTTGGAATACATTTCGGAAAGCAGTTGTTATTTCTTTAAGTGTTATTTAAATGATAATTGTGTCTTTGCTATGGATAGCCCTAATGACAATTAACCTGACACAAAGCGTCACATTTAACTAAGTTTTACTTAGAGTAGGACTATTGAAATTAATGGACCTAATTTAGTCATGTTCATTAATTTCAGTTGGTCTTCTCTGAGCAAGAGCACCCACAGTGACCACCTTTATCCTATGTTTAAAGCGGTTTCAGTAAGCAAATATATTTTTAGTAGTTCCTGGATAAAGTAGTTGTCTCAGCAAACAGCTGAGCCACACAGAACATGCCCTGAACTTTCATCTCAACCTGATGCAATGACCGTATTAAAGAGAGCAGTCCCTTCCAACTGATGCAATGCGTTGCCATCAACAGAGACTTAGCACCGAGGAAGTTCCTGAAAGAAATATGAAGATGTGGCTATACTATTTGAAAACAAAGCCTCGCACGAATGGGGGAGGAGCTCAGTGCGTATGTTCCGATTGCATGATGGTATCTGTAGTTCTGCTGCTTTACTAGTGCACTTAGCCGTTCGTTATTTTGCATTTCTACAGCGTGAAGATACATACAAACGTATCGTGTTTCTGAGACTGTTACTCTGAGATGATTTGTATTTTTGTGCCGCTATGCAATTGCTAAACTTCACTCCTTTTCCATTAAATTTATTTTCGAGTTGCAATAGATGCAAGAAGCAAACAAAGTGCACCTCCATAGCTCTCTAAGCAAAGGAAATCCTGCCTAATCTGCTCCTGAGGACCGCGGTCCTAACCATAGAAGAAACAAATCTTATGTCTATTCAGATTCGCAGCTGCATAAGTCACCCCATACACGTTGCTGGAAACGGTGGTTCTGCACCCCGTCCCGAGAGCCGTCCCTTAACGCCGCCGGACTCGCCGTCATTGGAAGAGAACGTATGCCAGAGCGGCATTGTATCCGAACGCGCCCGCGCGGCGAAGAGGACTCTGGGAGTTGTAGTCCAGCGGCTCTGCCGCCCTGTTTCCCGTGGTGCCTTGCGGTTCTTTCTCACGTCAGGAGCCGGAGTTTAGAGAGCCGTCATAAGCCAAGTCCGGGGCTGGGAGGCGGCAGCAGCATCCGTGGCCGGGGGAAGGGCTGGAGCGGGGCCGGGTGTCAGGCCGGCCCAGGATGGACTCGGGGGTGTCGGAGCTATTTGGGGGCTGCTGCCGGCCTATGGGGGGCGGGAACGGCGGTGCCCTGCGAGGCCGCGCGGGCAGCGGCTCCGGTAGCGGCGGAGGGTCTTCCAGGGGGAGGAAGAAGAACGGGAGACACCGAGGGGGCAAGGCCAACAACCCGCCCTACCTGCCCCCGGAGGTGAGTGAGGCGGGGCTTCGGTGGTCGGCTGTCTTTGCAGGGTCCTCCTCTCGTGTTGCATCCGATGGGCTTCTCTCGGGGTTTTCCTCCCGCTTCTGCCTTTGTGGTCCCCCTGACTTTGGGGGAGGTGGCGGCAAGCCCCCTGTGGCAAATCGGGATGTGGGGGAAGAGAGGGAGATGCTGGAAACGTACAAGGCTGGGCTGTGTTTTAGAGGAAAGGGGTAGAAGACCATCCTACCAAGACTGCATAGCTCTACCGAATAGGGCCATTCGATATTTTGGACAGCTGGTACTGCCATCGGCTTCACACTCGTAGCCCGGTTGTTGTGCTCCGCAGTGTACGCACATTTCACTTAAGTTGCAGTATCCTTGGACTGAAATGTGTGGTTTTATAGTAGATTCTTTCTTTCTTTCTTTCTTTCTTTCTTTCTTTCTTTCTTTCTTTCTCTCTCTCTCTCTTTCCTTCTCTCCCCCCCCCCCCGCACTCCTTTTGCCTAATAGATGACAGCCACACTTTGAGGTTTCTCTTGACCTCTCTCTGACAGTGAATGACTTGAGCTCGGAAACTGTAGGTTTCCTGAGTGTCAAAAGGGAAATATATACCATTTTTGTCAACTTCTAGCAGTGTTTCTTTTCCTCTCTTCCACTTGTGGCGATTCCGAGTCACTAAAGTTGTGCTTTTATTGGTTCATACAGCTGTTAACTTGAAACGAAGGCAGCCAGTCCAATTTGGAAGGACTAGGACTCTCTTAGACTGAAACTTAAGTTCATTAGTAGTTCCAAATGGCGTTAATGGGCAAATATATTTAGTCCATATCTACTTGAATTGTGGATGGGAAACTCTGTATAGTATGTTGTTCCCAGTGCTATTTTTCTAGATAAAGAGGTGCTGGAACTCACCACAAATGCCTCCTTTGTTCTTTTATCATGGCAATGGCGCCCACCTGAGAGGTGCCGGAACTAAGTTCTGGTGAGTTCTGACTGAAAAAAAGCCCTGGTTGTTCATGTGGAAAGCTCTGTCTAGCTCTCATTGAGGTCTTCTGTCCAATTTAATTCTCCAATTAAAAAGGTCAGATAATTTGTTATATGAAAAACCTTGAACCAAAGCCCATCAGATCTACTGCCAGACAGAGTGTTCAGTATTCAGTTAGATGGAACAATGGTCTGACTGAGTATAATATAGGTTTCTTTGAATTTCAATGGCATGCTTCAGTCTATAGTTAGGGGCTCACATAATTGCATGTTCTTCGATCCTACTGCTATCTCTTAACAGTTGCCTGTACGTAGAAAACATGATGTCAGGAATTTCTTTTTAACCTAGTGTTTTCACTAACATATAGATTTCTATGTGTAGGTGGTCTTTTTTTGGGTTGTGCTATAGAGAAGCACTGTTAAGTGAGCCCCCACCTGAAACTGTGCAACCTAGAAATAGGTTTACTACTTCTATGAGAACTAGTCCCTACTGTGTGTCACCTGGCAGTGGCAGATTAGCTTGAACGTGGGCTGGACCTTGATGCAGATAGTCTAGAGCAGGCATCCCCAACCTTCGGACCTCCAAATGTTTTGGACTACAATTCCCATCACCCCTACTACTGGTCCTGTTAGCTAGGGATCATGGGAGTTGTAGGCCAAAACATCTGGAGGACCGCAGGTTGGGGGATGCCTGGTCTAGAGACTCAAGGCTTAATAAAGCTGTATTACAGTCTCAAACCCATTCTGTTATCCTGGCTCATTTTCATTCAAAACTCATATATGCATACACACATATGCCCCTTCAGTTCTTTCATACTAGTGAAGGCTGATCTCCAACTGTTCTGTTTCTGTCTCATCAAGCATTGATAGCAGTTGGAATCAGTGTGAAGCAAACCATATAAGATGTGCAACAATATTATTAATAATAAAAACTTGGTCCTTTGTTTTAGGTAGGTGAGCCTTCCTTTCCCCCAGAGAGCAGAATTAGTCATTTCACACACACCCCCTGAGACTTTAGTGGTACTGTACTTCCTCTCTGCCCTCAGTTGACTTGAGTGGACTATTTTGGGGCATGCCTAAGCTTGTCACTTTTTCTGCATCACTTCTACGGCAGCTTCAGTAGATAAAAGTTAAACAACTTCTTGCTTCCTAAAATACATTGATATGTTGTGTTTCTAAGGCAGTGATTTCCTAGGCACTCTAAACTCAAGCTGGTGGGGATGATGCTACATGAATAAAATAAAAGCTAGAGGATTGAGTGGGCATATTAGGAGAAAAACTCAGCATTATACCTGTCTCATTTCCAGTACTATGTAGGTGGTTTATTCCATGATGTTGTTTACTATGTGTTTCCCTTGCCACCAACATTTTTAGCTAGAAAATAGCAGCAGGCTGCATGGAAAGAACTCTGAATGTGCTCATAGAGGGAGTGTGATATTTACTTCCAGAAAAACAAGATTATTTCAGGAAGAAATGAAATTTGAGTGGATCAGATTTCATGCTGCTGTTAGTCTTGTTTATTACACTTCCCTTCTGCACTCACACCACTATCTCTGAACTAAGATTAGCAGGGTACAATTCAATGTCACATATCTACATTTTAGAGATAGTCTGGTCTCCCCCACCCCACTTGAGTAATTTTTAGTACTAGTTATTAACACTTAGCTCATATGGGGGCAGTGGCGTAGCGTGGGGGGTGCAGGGGGGGCCGGCCGCACCGGGCGCAACATCTGGGGGGGGGGCGCTCGCACTCGCAGCTCTCTGCCCCTACCTGGCTCACTCACTCTCTCTCACTGCAGTGCTGGCTGTGCGAATCCGATCCGAGCCGCTGGGTCGCCGCCCACTGTGGAGCGGGTGGGTGCCAGGCGTGTGGTGCGGAGAGAGAGCGAGGGACTATCTGGGGGAGGGACAGTGCAGCGGCCGCCCAGCGCAGCGCTGAGTGCGGGAGAGAACCACACCAGACCAGACCAGGCAGCAGCAAGAAGAAGCTGGCAGCGGCGGCAGGTTAGGGGTTAGGGGGCGCAAATTACTTGCCTTGCCCCGGGTTAGGGGGCGCAAATTACTTGCCTTGCCCCGGGTGCTGACAACCCACGCTACGCCGCTGTATGGGGGTGTCTTCTGGAGAAATATTTTCTGAGTACTTGGGGAATATCAGAAGTGGCGATCTTCCTGTGGATCTGCCATGGCATTGGGATGTTTTTTGTACTACAAGCTGGTTACTACCGTAGTTTCTTCTCCCTCAGCTGCCTGTCACATTAGTCATTCCAAGCTCTGTGTGCTTGAAGGAAGAGACCAGCATAAGGCACATTTGTTAGAGAACTATGCTATTTGCCAGAGCAGTATGAGGGTAGTGCAGGAGAATATCTTGGGAGGGTGAAAGGAGGAGGAAGAAATCTTTAAGAAACAGACAGTGCTTGCAGGTGTATGTCTTCGTTATTGATTAATGAAGCAAGGTGTTTTTCTCCTCATGTCTATTCCAGTTTCCAGGCTTACTATGGAGCTAGATGGTAGTCATTTGAACTTGTTTTACATATTCAGAATTTTTGATATTGTTGGTCAACATAAGTTGTTCCAGTTAGTTGTAGAAGCTGAATTTGTGAGTTCTTACTCCACTTCAAAAAATAATGTCTATCCACAGATTCAAAAACTGGCAGCCAGCACACAGATTTCAGGAGGTATCTTGGAGACAGAGGCCCAGTGAAGGATTCAAAGTGATTCATGCAGGCAGAGTAGGAGACTGGGTCTGTTTGAAATACTGACCTGAGATTTACTTTTTCTTAAGAGAATTATTTCTGAAGCCTTCTCCGTGATCTGAGCTATTACAGCAGCTGGAAATATACTACTAAAACTCACAGTCAGCTCTTGTGGCTTTCGTAAATCTGCTTGTTGTTTTGTTTGCAGAACAGTGATGACCCAGGCAGGCATAGTTCTAAAAGTGCACTATGGGAGCCATGTAATTACAGTTTGGTCCTTTTTATAGATATGGAGCCCAGAACTATAGCATTTAGCAACTCTTGATATAATTGATTCTGTCTAAATCAGGCACTGCTATGTGCTGGCTTCCCTGAGCTGACAAATGAGATGTCAAGAGTTGTATGTAAAATGATGAGCAGTGCAGAATTCACTAACCTGTGATGTTTTCTTCTTTTAATTAGGCAGAAGATGGGAACATAGAATACAAGGTGAGTTACTTGTGGGATGGGCTCTTGATACCAAGTTCTTAAGAGCCATATGTCAAATTATGTTACGAGTCATACTAGTACCTAGCAATTAGAGTATATTGCTGCAAACAAAACAATACTTTTTGGAAGATACAAAGCAAATGAAATGTTCGTGCTTGTATTGGATATCTCGTATTTAATTTTACTGAATCTGGGAACCTCTCTTCAAAAACTAATGTTAAGTAGTAGACAACCTGTAATAATTAATCAAGATATTTTTGCTATCTTGGATAATTTTTCAGATTTGTTACCCAGTGAATTGTTTTTTCTCTTATTGAGCTGCCTGGAATTTAACTGCTGCATCTGAACTTGACAGAGTCACTCAGAACAAATGATAAACTGTTCAACCCAATGGTCAAACTCTAGTGCAGAACTCTACTTTTTTTCCTTTAAAAAAAAAAGCAAATTGCTTGCCCATATCAGATCTCCTTGCTTGTTGACTGTAATCACTCCTTTCTTTGGGCAGCTGAAACTAGTTAATCCTTCCCAGTACCGCTTTGAACACCTAGTAACGCAGATGAAGTGGCGACTACAAGAAGGCCGTGGTGAGGCAGTGTACCAGATTGGTGTAGAGGACAACGGACTGCTGGTAGGACTGTCAGAAGAGGAGATGCGTGCCTCTCTCAAAACACTGCGGCGGATGGCTGAGAAGTATGTGCATCTGTCCTACTTCTGGGCCAGAGCAAGCAAATTATGCTTCATTATTTCCACAAATGAGCTGGCATTCTGGTTTTGCTATCCCACAGAATATTTCCAGCCTAGGAAAATGCATTCCATGCACCAAGTCCTTTGCCCTAAGGGTTTTTTCTCACATTACCATAATCCCTTAAGTGCACCTACTGGCAAGTCACACTTGTAAGAAGAGAGTGTTCCTTTAAAAAAAAAGAAATCTATGTAGTTTCCTTGCACAGCAGGTGCCTGATTCTGTCTGAAAAGAAGCCAAATCTGGCTGGTTTCTCACTAATCAGTGCTAATACAGTCAGTATTCCTCTCTATTAGATTTATTTAATGAGAACTACATAGTTTGCTATATTTGCACACATTGTTTTAACCCACTTTACTCCTCTATGGTGAGAACTTTATATGTCTGTGTTGTCATGTCTAGTGATTTCAAATGAGCAGCTGTGTGGTCTGGCTAGTAAATGGTTTGTGATATGTGGTGGCGTACATTTCCCCAGACTCCTTAGTTATTAAATTTGGAAAAGTGGGCTAATATCTATGCTGAAATGTCACATGTGAATGTCCTCACCCCCACAAAATTGGCAAGCAAGCTATTACTTAATGGTCAGAGATTGATGAGGGCTCGCCAAATGGGGAAGCAGACAACATTTCCCCTGAATTTGTAGGCTGTGTCCACATGAGGCCTTTCTGAAAGACGCAGCAAAATAGTCCTGTTCCATCACCTATTCAGGAAGTCATTGCAGTTGATGTATTAACACCCAACGGCTTTCTGTTTTATAATGTGCAGAGTAGGAGCTGACATCACGGTGCTACGGGAAAGAGAAGTGGATTATGACAGTGATATTCCCAGGAAAATAACAGAGGTCCTTGTCCGAAAGGTCCCAGATAATCAGCAGGTAACGCACTCGATTCAAATGCCCTCTGATACAAGCAGTTTGTTGTTTAGAAAGTTGCAACTGGAACTTCATGTCCCATGAAGGTATTTCAAAGGATGCTCCATTGGCTAGTGCTTTGGAGAGCTGCCGTACATCACAGGCAATTATACAAATTGTCCTAGTGATTTTGAATCCCTTAGTATTTTACTCTGCAAGGCAGTCAAGGTCTGAATCACACCTTGCACTTCAAAAACTCTTGTCTCTATCGGTTAGTTCTGTTTCGAAATATGCTTGTACAACTCTTCATTTTCCCCTTAAGTTCCTAGATCTGCGAGTGGCTGTGCTTGGGAATGTGGATTCAGGCAAGTCAACTCTGTTGGGTGTCCTGACTCAAGGAGAGCTAGATAACGGGCGAGGTAGAGCTCGTCTCAACCTCTTTCGGCACTTGCACGAGATCCAATCTGGGAGGACGTCCAGCATCAGCTTTGAAATTCTTGGCTTTAACAGCAAAGGAGAGGTGTGTTTGTGCTGCTGCATTGCTGTCTTGCTCCTTTGGTTCAAAATATGGCTTCTTGCCTTGGCTTTTGAACGCTCAACAGCAGTGTCTTCCGCTATCTAGGTGGTCAACTACAGTGATTCGCGGACAGCTGAAGAGATCTGCGAGAGCTCCTCTAAGATGATCACTTTCATTGACTTGGCTGGCCACCACAAGTACCTTAAAACCACTATCTTTGGGCTCACAAGTTACTGCCCCGATTTTGCAATGCTGGTGGTGAGCGCTAATACAGGAATTGGTAAGCTGCATGTTTCCTGTTATGATTTAATCATATTTTGTAACCTAGGCATGACACATCTCGTTCAAAGATGATGTGCAGTCAATAAAAATCAACACCTCACTCCTTGTAGCACAGTAATACATATGCCCATTTCAAGCAGAATGTAAACTGCTCTGGGGTCCCGTCTTCTCAACTTGTTTCCTCCCTGCCATCCTATCTCTTGCAGCAGGCACAACACGAGAACATCTCGGCTTGGCTATGGCCCTCAAGGTCCCCTTCTTCATTGTCATTAGCAAAGTGGACTTGTGCTCGAAAGCCACTGTGGAGCGGACAGTGAAGCAGCTGGAGAGGATCCTGAAGCAGCCTGGCTGTAACAAGCTCCCCTTGCTAGTAACATCGGACGACGATGCCGTCACTGCAGCACAGCAATTTGCACAGTCTCCCAAGTAAGAATCACTTGCCCTTCTCAGCGTGGGAGGGAAGATCACTTGGTGACATGGGTGGTGCAATTGCAACAAACTCACTAGAAGAGAGTGGATTTAAAGAGAAAGGTGCGAGTACCTCCAGGTCTGTGGAATATTGCAGTGTGACCAATGGGATCACTCTCATATTCTACTATTAAAAACATGTATAGATGAAGTCCTTACCCCACTGGCTTAACTAGGTGGTACAGGCGTTAGTAGCTCTAGTGTTGCATTATGGGACTAGATAACTTATGCCTCCGATATGATTGCATCCTGAACTGTTGCAGCTGGTAGTACATTTCCATGAGAAGGAGAAACAAGCCAGGTTCTCTCTGTTTTGAATGGACTTTTTATGTTTTTGTTGTACTTTATTTAAATGTGAATTGTTAATGTAAGCCTTCCCAAGGACTCCTGTTACAAGGCAGTATTTAAATAGGTAAAATTATAAAGGCAAGTGGGACTGGGACTGCAGTACAGAGCTAAGATCAGACCTATTTATGGGCACAGAGCAAGTTTGTGTTATCCTAGATGACTCCTCTCAAACTTCTCTGGGAGCCAGTCATAGGGACTTGTTCCCTGTGCCTATTTACTTGTAAAAGTCAAGTTCCCATTGTGTTCAATGGCAATCGTACACAGAATTGCAGCTCACCATCTTATTTCTTTCATGTGTGTTGGCAGCATCACTCCTATCTTCACCTTGTCCAGTGTTTCTGGAGATAACCTGGATCACCTGAAAGTTTTCCTCAACATCCTTCCTCCTCTGACAAACAGCAAAGAACAGGAAGAGCTTATGCAGCAACTCACTGAGTTCCAGGTACACAAGGCTCTCTCGATGTTATTGGGAGTCTCAAACAGTAAGTACCTTCATGTGTCGAGGGCAAGGACATCTTGGAGATGGAAGGATGGTTGCCCAGTGAGATTGTGGCTGGCTCTTTTTATGGTTGGCTTTTATACAAAGAAATGGATTTGATTTAGGTCCCTGGTATCATTTAGTTGTGATTCTCAACCTGTGGGTCCTCAGATGTTCGTGGACTACAACTCCCATCATCCCTGAGTTCTGGCCTTGCTAGCTAGGGGTGATGGGAGTTGTACTTCAACAACATCTGGGGACCCACAGGTTGAGAAAGGCTGCGTCTAGGTTATCTCATTTGTAGACAAACATAGGAAACGCCTGAAGAATGAGGAGTATTCACTGAGGGCTGGTACCCTGGGATGCTTGAGACGTGAGAAATAGTGTAAGGAAGAAAGTGCTCAGGAATGGGTCCTGAAGACAGAACTGTATTGACATTCATGGGGGGTGGCAGGCCATATAGCAGGTCTCAAGCTCCCGATTTTGTCTTGCTGCAGGTGGATGAAATCTATACAGTACCAGAGGTGGGCACTGTTGTTGGAGGAACTCTGTCAAGGTGGGTGTTGCTATTTGCATGGTGCCTTGGGGTCAGTATTGATAGGGAGGGGATGCAGAAGAGCTTCTGTCCCCCAGGGGAGGACTGGCAGTGTAGTTTAGCATTTCCTTCCCCATTGTAAGCTTGGGAATACTGTGCAGGTGGAAGCCGAACGCCTTGTCTCAGTAATCAAGGGGATACAATTTCACTTCAAGGACAGAAGTGACTGTGAAAGAGAAACAAGAATACATCCGAAGGGATTCATTCCCTGTGGGATATAGAGGGTAGTTGAGGTGGGAAAGACTGTAAAGAAACTGCCCCAGGGTATGTTTTAAGAAGGTAGAAAGCAAAAGCTTTCCCTTTCTATGAGAGCTAAATACACACTCCTGATTTTTGTGCCCTTGCCAGCGGGATATGTAGAGAGGGAGATAACTTGGTGGTTGGTCCAACCGATGATGGCAAGTTCCTCCAGCTGAAAGTGTGCAGTATGCAGCGAAATCGTTCGGCGTGCCGTGTGCTTCGGGCTGGGCAAGCTGCCACCCTGGCTCTTGGCCACTTTGACCGCTCGCTGCTGCGCAAAGTGAGTCCATCTCCTATTTCTGGGGGCTGTGGTTTTAAAAAGCTTTCCCCTACCCTCTTGGGAACCATGTGTTGTGAAGGGATGATATTTTGAGGGACTGTGGTTCCTCTGGAACTCCTGTTTGAGAAGACACCCTAAAATGCTGCAGGCAATATACTCACTTAAGTCATTTTGATTCGGGATCAGGGGTTGGGAATAGTTGAATCCATGGCTTTGGGTGGTTTGCTTCCACAAAAAACTACAATGAAGAAAATGGAGTGAAAGCCATTGAGCAGAAGGGGGCAATTAAACACTCCCCGCACATCCTCACCCACTGTTAGTCTGTCTTCATCATGTACACACTTCTTATCTTACCCTTCCATTTTTTGGCTTTCTGTGGAGAGGCCAGCTTCCTGCAAATGGAAAATTGGGCACTTCATGAAGGACAGTAGCAGTCCACCTAGTGTGCATGTATTGGGGAAAAGAGGAGCACCATTGTCAAGAGTATTGGTTCAGCTGTCTTGCTGTCACTTAGGGTATGGTGATGGTCAGCCCAGAGATGAATCCCACCATTTGCTCAGTGTTTGAAGCTGAAATTGTTCTGCTCTTCCATGCCACAACTTTCCGGAAGGGATTTCAAGTAACGGTGCATGTTGGCAATGTACGACAAACAGCAATTGTGGAGAAGATCCACGGGAAGGTAGGTCTTTGAGAAGAGGGGTGCTTTTCTAGTCTATTCAAGGAATCATTCCATTGCTTTCACTTCTTCATCCTGCATCAGTTATTGTAACCATGACATTAGGACTCCCTTCTGCAATGCCTTCACCATTTCAGAAGAGAACCTGCATAGTTAAATCCACTAGGGGTTTCATAAACACGCAAAGCATATTGGGACTGAATTGCTCAGTGGCCTTAAACATCCCCCTCATTTCCTAGAATCCCTAAGCTGAGTAGCTAGGTGACTGACCTTGTAACTCTTATTATTTCCCTCCTTCAGGATAAGCTGCGTACAGGAGAAAAGGCTGTGGTATGTTTCAGATTCATTAAACATCCTGAATATTTGAAGATAGGAGCCAAATTGCTGTTCCGTGAAGGAGTTACCAAAGGTATTGGACATGTCACTTATATCCAAGCCATCACCATCGAAGAGAATGGACTGGATCAGGGCTTAAGTTCTGACCTGGTCACTTTCTGACTCACAAAATCAGTGGGGTTTCCTGATGTTAGCAATAGGGGAAGGGAAGAAAGTCTCTCCCCACTGTCCAGAGCTGCTGCTGGCCAGTCAATTTACATGGACAAGCCTCTTCTGCTCCTGCGGAAACTAGAACTGCCGCTTGGATTGAGTGCCCCTCCTGGAGCGAGTTAAGCATGTTGTTTGTTCATCACCTGCTGCTTTCATGTCCCTTCCCCGGAATAGATGAGAGCGGCTGCATCTTTGCCTGGACCGGCAACTCCTGGTTCTGTTGACTTTTGTTGGGAAGTTACTGCCGGGTAGAGGGCAAAGCCATTAGTGTGTTGGACTGCAGCTCGGGGATTCTGCTTCCTGAGGCAGCAATAGTGGACATCCATTGCCCACAGCACTCAGTCTCCATTGTCCTGCTGCCTGATTTTTACAGGCTGCCTGTGACAGATGAAGAAGCTTCAGCTGAAAAGTTTGCATTGCCCACAGTACAGCTCAGGATATTTCTGATTCATTTTAAACTGTTTGTTGGTTTCATTTTAATCTAATGGCTTATTGGGTCTCCCCCTCCCTACTACCGTTGTGTGCTGATTTTTAACAGCTAATTTCATTGTGGGATTTTTGTTTTTGCTTCTAGAAAAAATGTGGGGTTGGGGGTGTGGGAGAAGAGGGACATTTGCCTGAAATAACCCTGACCTGATGGAAACCACTGTCCCCATCTCATGCAGCAGGTACAATCACAAACATCTTAAGACAACTTATTCCTGGGCAGAGTTGAGCAGCTACCTTATATATAATGTGGCTTCCTAGAGCAGAACTGCCCCCCCTTTAGCTCTGGCACTTCTCAGTACTTTGCTGGTGGTTTTCTGAGCTGCTGCTGTTCACCATCTTGACTGAAAGATTGGTACCGTCTGGCTTTCGTTAGGAGTTCAATAGCACCCCAATCCAACTCGTTCCTTGGGAAACATGCCTTATTTTCTCAAAGCTAATGCAGTAAGCGCTGCTTGGTTATCCCAGGAAGATTTGAAGTGTTGCTACAATTACTATTACTACAATTATCAACGCTGCCTACTGCAGCAGTTTGTCTATATTGCTGGTATGCACCACAGAAAACCATACGATACCTAAGATTTCAATCAGTCCACTTACAGCTATAGTGAATGCCTAGAGTTTGCAACAGAGCAAGACAGTCAAACATTGTGGGATATTTTTAACATTTTGGTAGGAAATTATATTTTAAAAGTCAGCAATACATTTCTCGTTTTTGCCTATCCCCATCTTAGCCACTGCTGCACTGAGTGTTCAGCTGCTACAGCCAACATGGCCAGTGAAAACAACGATCCATTTTTATTCACTATAAAACGCACACCCTTGTTAGTTCACCTCAATCCAACAGCTGTTTATTTAATGCAAGTACTCTTTGAGATTTAACTTGTAGCTGCGCAACCATACAGCCAGCTTCCAAGTTGATGCTTTTTAAGTATAACCCACAATCATTTATCTTTCTGCTAATCATCTTAATAGCACAATGGACAGTTAACTATAAAGTAGTAGTAAACATGGCCCAGAGCATCATGGTTATCTGCTGATTAAATTGGCTTCTCTCTCAATTGCCCTTTAATCACTTGGATTGGTTCTACAAGAGGCATTTTTGGATCACTTGTTTTAGAAAAGACAAAGAAAATTGGCCGCCTAATGCACTCCTCTAGAGGGTTTGCTGTTACCCATTGCCACTACATACTTGTCCTGTGGGAGAAATAGGTGCTTTTCCTGCAATTTATAGTTCTGGCAGAGTTAACCCCATTGCAGACAAACATTCAAAGGTGCTCTTTCTGGTTGTCTTTTCCTTGCCTTCTGTTGTGTGAGTGTTCTCGGTGCCATGCTTTTCATATTCACTGTTTGTGGATTCTTTAAAAATCAGAGAGGTGTTTTCATCTCTCTCTATATATAGATATATAATGTACAAAATAAAGATGTTTTATTGAAAAGAATAAAATTGTGCTGTACGGCTGAACAGCAACTTGTGCCAGCATTGAGATGCCAGGCAATATGTGGAGGCTTTTCTGTTAGTTTTACATGCAGATGAGTGTTTACAAGTTGGTAGCACATGCTTATCTGACATTCCGCAGTGCATGTAGAGAACTATCGGCCTGACCACAGCAGTTTTGAGTATAAAGGGGAGGATTGTATGCTGCTGCTTGCTTGCAGAGATAATGAATTTTTGAAGGTTTCTCTACTCCCACACTATGCCAATAGGTCTCTGGATATAGATAACGCAAGAACTTCTGCCACTTGCATTTGAAATAGCAAAGTGCCACACGTTTTGCCAATTATATGACTAGTTCCTTTATCCTAATAGCACTGACTCCACCATCTGTGGGATGAAGCTCTTGCTTAGCCTGTTTGTTATGTTAGTAAAACTGCCTAAAATCGGGTGCTGTTGCTAGCATTGTTTCCATCCTATTGTGGACGATAACAACGAAACAGGCTGCAATTTCTATACAGAAGCCCCAAACCTGCCAAAATTTCTTTGAACACATAAAATTTCCCCTTATTCTGCTTTACTGGATAGTATTTTTGCCTATGAGGAAAATTCCTTTCCAGCAATTTCCACAGAAAAGGGAAAAAAGCAGACCAAGGTTTTAGCAGGAAGTAAAACAAAACAAGACCAGATAGATATCTTGTGTCTGTAACCTGTGCATAATAATGCACTCTCTAAAGCCCTATAACTAGTTTGAAATCCTGTCCCTGATACCACTGAGTGCTACAGGCTGTTAGGTTTTGCACTAGCAGTAACCACATTTCCATGGTTCCAGAAGTGTAGCTGAAGACTTCATACATCATGGGTTTCATATGGAATATACGTACTTAACTATAGATCACATCCAAGGAATTAGAAAGCTGCAATTGGACACTTTTATTTATATCCTACCTGTCCTCTAAGAAGTTCAAAGTGCCATACATGGTTCTCCCTTCCCCCCTCATTTTATCCTCACAAAACCCCTGAGTCAAATTAGGGTGAGAGGCTAACTGGCTCAAGGTTGCACAACAAGTTTCATGACAGCGGTGATTTGATCCCTGTTCTACCATCTCCTAGTCCAATACCCTAACTGCACCATGGGGCAATAATTGTATATGTTTGTTACTATCCAGGTAGGAAAGTTAAAGGTGTAAAACACCCTAAATCATACTGGACAACTTTATTTAAATAAGGTCCTGCTTTTTCATATAGATAAAACCTATACTCATCAAGTAGATATTTAATCAAGCCATCAAATTAAAGTACAGATGTTATAGATTTGCCTCAACTTTCCATATGTATACACTGGTTTCTACATTTTATTTCATAAAATTTATACACCACTCGATTGTAAAAACAAACAAACCTCAAAGTGGAAAAATTCACAAGCATACTTTAAAATACACAAGTTAAAATATTAAAGACAGATTAAAATCACCTCAGCTTTCTAAGCATCTGGTTAGGCTTGTCTAAACAAGAATGTTTTTAGCAGATGATGAAAAGAGTACCATGAAGGCGCTTTCTTAATCTCAGTAGGCGGGGGGGGGGGGGTCCAAAGTGCAGGTGCTGCCACACTAAAGAATCAAATTCTTTAAAATGCAGAACAGTTATCACATGGCACCTAGATAGCACCAATTCCGCTGATCAAAGTGGTCAAATGGGCACATGTGGACTTGCGCAATGCATATTCCAGCATCCATTCAACTCTAATGACTGTCTTCCTCAAAGTGCCTATGGAAGGGCAATCCCCACCATAGTAAAAGCCAGTCACAACCTACAACTCTGACATAAGCAGCTCAATGAGAGAACACATGAGCAGGATGCAGAAGGGCCCAAGTTCATCCCTTGACATTTCGTTGCCTAGAGCAGGCCTAGGAAAGCCCATGAGCAGCACCTCTCTAGAGCTTCAAAAGCATGGACTGTACAGTGGACGCTCGGGTTGTGAACGTGATCCGTGCAGGATGCACGTTCGCAACTCAAAGCGTTCGCAACCCGCAGCGGCACGTCTACGCATGCGCAGGTTGCAATTTGGCGTTTCTGCGCATCCGCCGAAACCCGTAAGTAACCCGTTCCAGTACTTCTGGGTTTTGGCGGTCCGTAGCCCGAAAAAACGCAACCTGAAGTGTCTGTAACCCAAGGTATGACTGTATTGCATTTAAAACCTCCCTTCTGCCAAGGCAGTTTACAAGTTTAAAATACTCAAACAAATGAATGACATACAATGTAAAGATGGTCCTGTGGAGGGGACAGTTTGACTAGAGACGGCCCCAATGACTACCATAAATTGGTAGTATTGTTAATATGGCACCTTGATGCGACATCTGCCACCATCTGAAGCTACAGAGCAAGAACGTGCTGCAGAAGGCATTAACAACCTTGACTACCAAGTGCAGGGTCTCGTAACAACATGGAGTCCTGTAGCTTTCCAAGCACCTGTTTGAAACAATTTATTATCCTGTTTGTTTGTTTATTTATTTACTTATGGATATAAGATAGATAAAGGCAAATAAAGTTGCGCCTTCTTTTTCCAAGATAAGCTGCTCAGATGAGCTTCATCCTAAGGAGGTGGCCGCTTAAAAAAGAAATCCAAAGTCCTATCTGTGCTTTGCCTTGGCCTTTTGGCCCTAGAGGCTGTGTGTGTCTTCTGTTTACTTTTGCCCTTAGCTGGGGGGCTGGGGGGAGGCAAAGATGGCCTGAAGGAGTCAGTTCCTGAGAAAGAATTCTGCAGCTCCACAGCAAAGTGGTAGTCCGAGTGTTCTGTGAACTCCCATACCAACACCTGTTGATTACATTTCTCGCACAGCATCGTGTCACCAGTACAGGGCTGAAGAGCCCAACTATCAGCCCCTACCTGGGAAATTCCAGCAGCAGGATGCACTTCCTTTTCCTTGCACAGATCAGGGAGCTCTGAAGAGACCTCAGGCACTTCTGTTTCTAAAGGGGTCTCCAGGAGCCCTGCTTCAGAGCTGGCCACAGACTGCTCTACCAAGAGCTGTTTCTGCATGCAGTCTGGGTCGCTCCTGGTGATACTTTGTTCCGCAGGAACTTTTGGAATCTGGCTGTTAATGGGAGTGAGTCGTTTATCCTGACAGATACTGGACTCTGGTACTGATGGTAAGTTCATTTCATTGCTGACACCAGGAAGAGAGTTCCTGACCATAGCCTGGGCCTGTTTCTTTTCCACTGCCCTCTGAAAAAGCATCTGAATAGGATTGGTTGTCTTCTTGAGGGTCTCCTTTTTGGGGCTTTCAATGGACTTGCCATTTGGGCTGGATGCACTGGTGCAAGTGGCTTGGGTACCTTGGTTGTCAGTCGTCAGGAAGGATGTAATGTTCACGGAGGAAGCACGAGCTTCTGAAAACTTGCTCGCAGAAAGCTGAAGAAGTGTAATTGGAGGAGACCTGTAGGCGAGGGCACATTAGCAAACAATTCAAAGGGAGTAAACTCAAAAAATAAGGCTGCACAGATATTTTTCAACAATTTGCTAAGCGTGGAAGAAGCTGGCCCAAGGATATGTGATGAGCAACCCTCATCTTAGCTCTAATCGGAATAAATGTTCTCATATCATAAATATTTGTCTTAACAGCGTGGCTGTCCAGCCCACTAGTAGTTCATTTTCTGTTCTAGCACAGACTCTGCAATATGTACATTGGAAGAAGGGATAAAGCTAACATTTCCTCCTCTGCAGTAACACTCTTGTGTCCAAGGGGGGAAAAAGTTCTCACCATGCAGCCTGCTGGCCACCTGCAGTATTGCAGTTCTGGATTAGCACAAAAGCATCTCTGCTGATTTTATGGGCGTCATAATTTGCTAAGGCACAGCAGCGGGATAAGCTGTTGGCATGTTTATAGCCCTGCATATGGATCCCAATAGTCAGCTGTTTAGCTACGCGATTGTTCTGTTGGAAGAAAGATATACAGTATATAAGAATCCTGACAAGAAATCAGATATCAATAACTTGGATTTTAGGAGGACATTCTTAAAAAGGGGTAGTGGATATCAGGCTGGATCAGGCATAGGCAAACTCCGGCCCTCCAGATGTTTGGGACTACAATTCCCACCATCCCTGACCACTGGTCCTGTTAGCTAGGGATGATGGGAATTGTAGTCCCAAACATCTGGAGGGCCTGAGTTTGCCTGGGCTGGATTAATCCAGATGTGTTCCAGCACGGAGCTTAACCTACTGTCTTTCTCCATGATTCTCCATTGAAGCTAAAAATGTAGGAAGACTATAAGGAACTCTAGTCTTTAACAAGAGCTCAGTACTCATGAGCAGCTCACCACAACCGTGACAACATCTGTAAGGAAAGCCCAATGCTAAAAAGGGATGTATCTGTGTTATTTTCAGGAAGTGATCTAAAGGCACACACTTTAGTCAGCTTCATAAAATGAGCTGGTCAAGGTCCAGTCAGTGCTTAGCGGAAAGATGGATATACCACCCATAGGCTTCATATGCTAATTAAATGATGGCACAAGTGGAATGACATCCACTTCTGTGATGGGGCTTAATCCTCGTCTTTGACTCCATCCCTGCTCCCAAATCTACTACAGAGGACAGGGTCGGGGACGACGACGACCCAGAACAGGTTGAGGGGACATACCCCGATTTGCTGAAGATACTTAATTACTTCAGACCTCTAGCAAGCTACATCCAGTCAAATGATATGTATGGTTACCAGAGGCAGGCACACTTGCACTTCTCAGCCCAATTCACATAGATCTCCTTCAGACATCAAGTACTCAATGAGATAATAGGACCTCTATCTTTCCCTACTTACTTGATCTCTGTCCTTGTTCAGTCTCTCCTCCAGCTCCAAGGCCAGCTGCAGAAGCCAATGCTGCACCTACATACATAATTACTGTGTTTTTTATTATTGTCTTGGGACATTGCTCAGTTTACTACAAATAGAAAACCAAAATATGCAAGGAACATCTACAGGACATTTTTATCAGATGGAAAGCCAAGAAGAACAACAAAAGCTTTCGGATCTCTAAACAATACTGTAGGGGGAGAGTACTGTTTCCGTTTCTGGTTTTGTTTGTGTTTCTATATTGTAAAGCACCCTGTGGTCTTGGGATGAAGGGCAGTATAGAAATTTAATAAATAAAATACAGTGGTGCCCCGCAAGACGAATGCCTCGCAAGACGAAAAACCCGCTAGACGAAAGGGTTTTCCGTTTTTGAGTTGCTTCGCAGGACGAATTTCCCTATGGGCTTGCTTCGCAAGACGAAAATGTCTTGCGAGTCTAGAGATTTTTTTTTCGCTTTTCCCCCCCTTTATCTAATCTGCTAAGCCTTTAATAGCCTTTAATAGCCTTTTAGCAGCTAATCCCCTAAGCCTTTAAGCCTTTAATAGCCGCTAAACCGCTAATAGCGCTAATCCGTTAAGCCGCTAATAGGGTTGCTTCGCAAGACGAAAAAACCGCTAGACGAAGACTCTCGCGGAACGGATTAATTTCGTCTTGCGAGGCACCACTGTAATCTTGAAATGATCAGAAATGTTGCCATGGAGCAATTCAATTGCAGGGAAAGATGTGGTTACAGAATGCTCAAAGGACAGGACACTGCGCTAGATGCTAAAGTGGAAGAAGGATCTCATTTGCTAGCACCGCAGAGAGAGATCATGGTCCAAGGAATAATTCCTCCTCTGCTACATTAGCTCATCAGCAGGTCACAAGAGACATTTGGCACTCCCCTCCCCATTGATAGAATTCTTCAACAATTTATTGACCATTTCAGAGCAAAGTGATGCTGAAAGGTGATGACCAAATTAGGTTTGAGAAAGGGTGCAGCAATGTGTGCTGCCTTATCTTTTATTCCTGCTCTCAGGACAAACTTGGTTCGGCTCTCTGGACACTCTCTTACCTGCTTCTGAGTAACCAAAGCTGTTTTTCCGCGGAAATTCTTACTACAGCCAATGGATTTGGGCAATTGTCTAGGTTTCACAGGCTCATGCTCCATCCCTCTGCACAAGTCATACAACCAGGAGCTGCAAAGCATATATAGAAACCCGAGCTGAATAAATAAGTGGTTCCAAGGTTGGAAATGTTACTTGTTTACTTAGAGACATCCAATATATCTGGCACCTGCACACAAATCAATGGAGATGAGGATCAAGTCCAAGAGTTAGATTCTAAAGAGAATACAGGCAAGGCAAATGAGAAGTCCCTATCATAAGTGTCTCTGCCACTTAACAGCACATCTGAATAGATATTGGTATACAAACTGCATGGAGTGGCTATTAGTGATGCACCCTAATCTGCTATGACATATTTTGCTGGGGTGCAGTGAATCAATAGCAAGGACCAAGCTGGATATTATGGGAAGAACATGGAAGTATGATCCTGGTAGATCAGCATCAATTTTACGTCCAAAAGACAGTTGATGACATAATCCACTGCTACCATCTGTATTTTTTTTCTTTTGGTGATTACTTGTAGCCGAGGACAACTGTCTTCCATAAACATGGTCTTAGCAGTGAGTCCGTAAGTGAGTGTAGAGGCCAATTCTGGATGCACACATCCTTCCACAGTGGGGACATAGGTTTCCGGGCGGGAATTGATCATGGTGAGGGTTTGCCAAGCGTGCCTTCCTCTTAGTGTGTTTCTCCCTTTCATCCCGAGTTTGAGCATCTTCAGAACCCATGACACCTTTGGGAAAGGCTGTTCTCCATTTGGAACGCTCACAGGCCAGTGTTTCCCAGTTGTCAGTGTTTATACTACAGCCCTCTGTATAAAACCCCCAGAGGGTATATTGTTTTGATTTCATAATAGCCTTATTGGGTTAACGGAGTCAGATAAACTCTGCTGTCCCACTTGGATAAATATGTAATTACATGACCTCATCTGCTGTAGAAGCGAATATGTTAAATAAATTGCAGCTTCCTGTTATGGGTGACCATGAATAGAACATTTGGACAGTGAAAACAACAGTCTCTATTACATATCTATCACCTGAGGATGACACTCCATATGCATCTGATGAAACAGACTATCCTTTGAAAGCTTGTGCCATAATAGATCTGTCAGTCTTTAAAGCGACTAAATAGTCTCTTTTTGCTGCAGCTAACACAGCTACCGCTATAGAATTTGCACAGTATATGCATAATATTTGCTTCCCTTTTGTTATTTTGTCATATTAAGTGTTACTTCAATGCAATGACTGAAGTGAGCTTTTTAAAAATGCACATGCTGCAATCTTCCCTGAATCTTGTAGATGTTTCATCTGGCTTTAAGCAAATGCACTGCCTCTTAATGTGTTTGTGTCAAGTTCTCAGTAGAAGTGAGACTTTGGAAACTCAAGACAGACCCTGTCTTGAGCAGAATCCTCAGCAGCATAAACATGAATGGAACCTGAATATGTAGCAGAGGCCAGAAGTTTAGTGAGCAACTTACCCAGTCTTCTCTCCAAAGTGGGTCTGAAGCTGTGATTCGCTGAACTGGATCAGCTCTCCTACATACTCCACTCCCAGAAGTTCAGTGATAGAGGCCCCAAGCTTCCCTCCAAGGTTGCGGCTATGGGAGAAAAGGAAAGCTGTCATGTGTAAAAAGGCAGAAGTCTTCAGACACAGGTTCTTGTGTACCAGCTAGCAGAAGGCAGATAGATAAGCAGGACAAGGAGAAAAAGCAATGCAAAACTTGGCTTTTTGAGACATCCCAACGGAGCAAGAAATTAACAAGTAGCCTCTTCCTTACCTACACTAGTATGTGCAGGAGAAGAAATCAACTGGGAAGATAATATAATAAAACAGCACCGCATATTTATTAGAATTCATTTACATTTGCAACCAGGCCTGAAAAATCCCAGTCCACTCCCTAATAATAAACTGGCATATAAAAATATTGATAGTTTATCAATTTTTGCACAAAGGAAGGATGGCTGAAAAATAATTATGGCTCCCCAAATTCTGGCGCTTGCACAAGGAATTTTTTTCCTCTAGCATCCATTCGTATTATTATCTCTTGACTGCCATTGGTCTGATGCTTACAGTATACCTAGAATACCCCTAAACAATAATGTGCAGAAGAAAAATGCTAGTTCCGAGATTCATGAGTGCAATCTCACATGGGGCTTCTAGAAGCAGATCATCAGTTTTACATACATGTTGCTGATTGGCATCTTGCTAAAGAGCTGAGGGACGGAACCCTGTGACACCAGAGTCTGACGATTAGGCTTGTTGAGACCACAGGCCAGCTTTGCTAATACCTAGAATAAAGAAAGTATCCAATTTAGGAAGCTTGGCTTTCCAAGTTGGGTTTCCAACACACACCTGGTCTATCAGAGTTTATTTTGTCATCTTAGAGAAAAGGCTGAATTTAATACACAAATACTGCAAGTAATGAACTGGCAGTTTATGTTTTCAAATGTTACCATGGATTGTTTTCTTTTCCAAATCACACCCCGTGTTTTTAGAAAGGAATTCAAAATTAAATGAAACTAGACATAGCACTTGTGGCGCTAGAGGTATAGAAAATCTCTCATACTGTCAGATTTTGGTTCTTATAATCAAAGAATAATTACGTCCTGCTGAATTTCTTAAACCAAAAGTTTGGTGGCAGGGAGAAGAGAATCTCTACTCTAAAAACATTTACTGCTTCAGAGCTTATTATCTGGGCTAATCTTGTCTCCGCAAAGGAAACCTCATACAATGATACCCTCTTTTTATTTGGGTATATGACTTTTGTCTGTGGCTGAAAGATCTAACAACAATTTGTTTATTTCTAATATTTTGAATACAGAATAATACTAATCAAATAAATAGTACTACCTCTAAGGTCTACTATATACACTAAATTCTAGCATTTTGCAGAATAGCTGTGTGGAAGAGGAAATCTACTATTCTCACTCTCGGGTGCTAGGTATCCTGGCCTCCACCTGTGGCATCAATACAGTTATCACCTAGGGCAGGAATGGCTAACTCCATGTTTTTTGTTATTACAACTTGCATCATCTCTCCCTCTCTCTTCTCTAAAAGTGCCATTAGTTTTAGAGCAAGAAACACAATAAGATGTTGTGCCTGGATGCTGTAACAAGAAGCTTCTGAATCAGAATACTTGATTCCAGCTTGATGCCATCTGTATAAGAAGGTTCAGAGGCAATTGCCATTACTAACTGACTAAGTCCACACAAATGTGATCTAATCAGTTGAAACCTATTGAATAACTCAATTAGCTAGCCACACATCTATGTCTAGGAAGCTTACAAGAGGCTCAACCTGGAGATGTATTCCTGTTAATCCTGCTCTGCATTAGATGCCAAAATCTTCAGTCCATCACATCATCCAATCTCACATTCTGGAGCTGTTCATAAAAATACATTTTACCAAAACCAGATTGCTGATGGTATTTACTACAATTATTGGGTCTAATCCTATCCTGATTCCTCCATTCCTGTTTTCTGTGCCAGGTCACAATAATCATCTGTTCAGCACAGATTCCACTGAATACATAGAGAGGCCAAGAGGTACACTGCTTTAGTAGTGCTGAGTTCAAAACCACAAACATGCTGGTCTTACACATACCTTGTTGTGAGAAATGCCAGCAGAACACCTAAATCCAGTGACAGATTCCACAGCTGCCCTCATTTCTTCCACAATGACAGCTCCCACAGTCAGCTGCAGCTCTGGACTGCTGGGATCTCCGAAAGGCAATGATTCAAGCCACTGTCGCAAACCACGTTCCCGCAGTTCTTCTAAAAGGGAACACAAAGCAACCTATCTCCAATCTTGAAAGAATAATTATTGTCATGACAGAGTGACAGATCAGGAAAGCTACAAAAAGCACACAGTGTTGTAAAACATCTAGTGAAGAAGAAAACAGGAAATCAGAAAGCTCTTTATAAGGCCACCCTTGGTCAAATAAGCCCACGAAAGAAAGAAAGAAAGAAAGAAAGCTAGCTTGCAGGGCAAGCAAATAAACAGGAGGAGGCAGGAGGGGGGAAATGGTTTTGATTTTTGTAAAAATGTTTGCAGCCAAAGGAGGGCTACCCTTTAGGCAAATCTCAAAGATTAGATTAATCAAGGTAAGAGTGCAACACACAACCTAGCATACAGCTCTCTCAACAGGGAAGTTTCATACCATTTGGCCTTTAAAAGATGTTCTAACACTAGTAGCAAGGTAGCTGAAGATGTGCAATACAATCATACCTCGGGTTGAATGTGCTTCGGGTTGAGCACGTTCGAGTTGTGCTCCGCGGCAACCCGGAAGTAATGGAGAGCGTTACTTCCGGGTTTCGCCGCTTGTGCATGCGCAGACGCTCAAAATGACGTCATGTGCATGTGCGGAAGCAGCAAAACGCAGCCTGCCCACTCGCGCCGTCGCTTGTTACGTTCGCTTCAGGATGCGAACGGGGCTCCGGAACAGATCCCGTTCACATCCCGAGGTACCACTGTAAACTTAAATGGCTTAAAATAAATTTCCAAATTTGGAACTGAACTAAAGACAATAGCCACATGGACTTGAGCAATAAGCTCTCTCAAAGTACATCAGTTTTGGCAATTCCTACTGCTTTTACTCTTAACCTTTCCCCAGATCTCTCCACTGCAATACTGGCCTTTCAGCAGCGGACTAATCACCTTCCTTTGTTCCTGCTGCAGGTTGGAAAGCAGACATGTCTTTCTTCTTAGGGAACATTTTGCTGAGGTCAAATTAATCTGGTCTTACAAAGCTGAACAAGATGTGCGCGAAAGATTAGAAAGTGACAAAATAGAGAAAATATACTTGTATTATAAGCTGCAGCTCAAGAAGAAAATGCTATGGTACCATATCCATTACCTCTGAAGGGCACACTTCCAATTTCATACCATCCCTTCAAACCTTTAGTACTCTCACATGAACACCGAAGCAAAGAGAAAAAGAAAAATATATGCTAAACCTGGGAGTCGTGGATTGGCTCCAGACCATCACCATGCTCTTCTGTAGGCACACAAGTTTGAGAATGAAAATACCTCTGTATAGAATTATAATCTACACAGGATTAAGAGCAAGGGAAGTTGAAGTAAAAGAGTGGAACAGTATGTCTGAAGGCATGCAATACCTTTGTTGCCTGTATTCTCTTCTGCTGTGAGGCTGTCTGGCCATCCTTGGATGTAGGTAGTTGCCAACAGCTCTGCTTCAATAGCCTGCCCTTTCATCTTCTGAAGCCTTTCCTGCACAGCGCTAGTTAAATCCATGTAGGCTTCATCAATGCTGGCACGTTCAATCACAGCAAAGCGTGACATCACTTCCATCACCTCCACGCTGGCTTCTCGGTACCTACGTGGGAAGGAGACCCAACAATGCTCTAATATTCCCATTCCATCTTAACTGATAATTGGGGTAACTAATTAGCAATACGCCATCAACAGTGGTACACCAGAAAGTAGAAGTTGTCGTCCCCCCACCCTGCATGCTGCTAACAGAGCTATCTTACCAATTACAGATAAACTCTAGCTGAAAAAATATTGAGCTCAGTTCACTATACAGTGGTACCTCAGGTTACATACACTTCAGGTTACATACGCTTCAGGTTACAGACTCTGCTAACCCAGAAATAGTGCTTCAGGTTAAGAACTTTGCTTCAGGATGAGAACAGAAATCGTGCTCTGGTGGCGCGACGGCAGCAGGAGGCCCCATTAGCTGAAGTGGTGCTTCAGGTTAAGAACAGTTTCAGGTTAAGTAAGGACCTCCGGAACGAATTAAGTACTTAACCTGAGGTACCACTGTACTCTGAAGAAAGCCTGGACTGTTCAATTTGCAAAGAACGGTAAAAATAATTTCTAGAGAACTGCTGCCTGAAGACCCAGAATAAACAAACTGTATCCACATTGGAAAAGAGACAGCAAAAGAGGATTCCAAAAACTTTCCAAAAAGCAAACCTAAGCCACAAAGCAGAAAACTCATCAAAAGAATAGCTGATCTGTAACCATTCTGAACCCTATTTTGTTTCAGAATACTTCACAATCACATGGACAACAATAGCTGCAAGTAATAATCAATCCTGGGCTTACTTGGTGAGATCCGCTTTCCCATGGGCCTCTGGTACTCGCGCTAACAGGAGATCCGGACATAGTTTCTTTGCATCAGCAGCAAACATGTTTCTGGTAACTCCAAAAGCACGAGCTTCGTAGCTCACTGCAATGATTCTAAGTTGGGTGAGGGAGAAATGATGAGCTATTAAGTTATGGATTTAAGACAATGAAAGACACACACAAACCCGGGCACTTTTTTGGTTCAGTTTAGCATTAGATAATGAGTCGTTAACAAATTAACATGTTAAAAAAAAACCCACCTACAAATTACTGTAGCTTAAAAGAAAGGAGAGTTTTTCTTGCATCTTTAGTCATCTTAAGAGGAAGGTACATTTTTAAAGGTTTTGAGGAGATATTGAGAGGCAGGTGGAAGACTATAGTTTGTTAGTTGTGGAAGTGGATTCCATTATGCTGCATTTGGCTTTCCCACCCTGAGAGGTGAAAACCGAAGTCCATTTTAGACTGGGAGTGGTAGACTGGGAGTGTGCAGGAACGCATCCTATCATTTTGGGGGGAGCAGATAAAGAAAAACAAACATGGGTCACAGGAAGGAGCAGGTGTCTATAGTCCAGAGAAACCCTAGGAAACCCAGGCTGAGCTGGGAGCCAGCCTGGCGAGAACATTTGCTCTTTGAAATCAGCAGAAAACCCTTGAACTGATACCAGAAAACATTCACGAAACCATATTCTCCCACTGCCATTTCTGGGTGGGAATAGGATCTGCTCTACACACGTAGCAGAATGAGGCGCCTGAATGGACAGTCCTGTCTCAAGGCTGAAGGTTTCATGTTTAATGCCGAAGAAACCCCCTGCAAGCAGAAACATAAAAACGAGCACAGCAAGGAGCCAGCGAGGCTTAAACGTTACACCCTGGCATGCTAGTTTTTTGTGGCTTGTTTGGAAGAAATTTAAAAACAAAACACAACGCGGGGAAGCAATTGGGGGGGGGGGAGCAACTTAGGAAGCCACCCTAGATCGACCACACATCGATCAATCAGCACCGGTTGGGGCGGCAGCAGCAACTCAACAGGATTTCTGGATTTGTCAGCCCTCCCTGGGGGTGCCGGTGATTAAAGCCTTTTGCTCTGACCACTGAGCCGCACGGCCCTTTCCCCCCAGCTCCTCGGTCAAGATCCTCCTCCTCCCACCTCATTCCGCCGACACGAGCAGAGCAGCAAAGCTAGCAGGGCCAAGCAGCAGCAGCAGCTCCGTACCCGCCGCCTTTCCACGTCTTGTACTGCACCACGGCGCACGGCTTCCCGCGCAGGCTGGGCTCCAGGCGCTGCTCCACCTGCATGTAGAAGCAGTCCATGTCCGCCAAAGCCACCACCCGCTCCCGCCCGCGAGACATGGCGGGCCACACGGGGCCGCCACGGCGAGGAGGCGGAGAACGGAGCCGGGTTCGGCTTGAGAGCCGCAGGTGGGGTGCGCGGAGGCTGAACAAGCACAGGCTTGTTCAGCTGCCTCAGCCGCTAAAACTCCCGCCTTCACGCCGAAGGGAATACAACTCCCAGCATGCCTTTAACTACCTCCGCGCCTCGAACGCAGTTGGTTATACCGCAATGCATATTGGGAAATGTAGTCTTCGGGGGGGGCGGAAAGAAGGCCACGGGCTAGATAGACCGAGAACGGATTTCCCTCCGCCCCGTAGTGGAAGGACATCGATTACGTCATTCTTTCAGGGACACCGTGACGCGACTCTCCTTCACCAAACTAGCGGGATGATAGATGTAGAAATGTTAGACTGGCAATTCCTTGAGCTGCTCTGTGGACTTTCTGGATTCCACCCCCGGTCGTGTGATCACTTTCGGAGAGGGATAAAAGTGATAGCTGCTCGTTCAGGGACAGTGGAAGCTGACAATAACCCCAATTTAAAATAAAATAAAAAAGCACGCATGCATTACTTCACAATTCTATCACTACACGTCAGAAACGGGTTATGCCGCTTATTATTGTTTCAATTGATGCATAGATTTACCGCGGACATACACAAAAAGCAAACTCACGGGGCTCATTAGACTTCTCTTTTCTTCCTAAGGACGAAAGTAACTCTTTCCCTAGAAAGTAACTCTTTCTAGCTGAAAGAGTTACTTTCTAGGGAAAGAGTTACTTTCGTTCCTAGGAAGAAAACTAGAAAACTAGCTGAAATCCATTATGCTAGCTGAACGGGGCGGCAAAGTATTCCCCCCTCCAATAAAAAGTAGAGGCAGAGAGAGGTGTTATTTCTAGTCCAAGTCTTACTTTATGAGAAAGATGCGTGGACTAAAAGTTTTTTAAAAAAATTACAGGAGCGAGCCTGAAGCAACCCGAAAGTTCCACGTCAAACAACGAAGCCTCTCTAAACTTTCCTATCTCTACATGACGATCGTAGAGCTACTATCGCATTCACTGCCGGCGTTTAAGAAGCGTGTGCGAAAAAAGGTCGCCGGGGTCGCCTGCGCCTGCGCACTACGCCACTTTGGCCGTCGCACCCGGCGCAGCGTTGCTCCCCTTACTCTCCCCGAGCCCGGTTGCCCGGGGCAACAGCGGCTTTCCTCTCCCCCCGCTCCCCAGCCTGCCCCCACCCCAGCCCCGCAGCAACATGTCGTGGGACCCGGTGAGCACCCTCTGCGAGCAGCTCGTGAAGGCGGTGACGGTGATGATGGACCCGGCCTCCACGCAGCGGTACCGCCTGGAGGCCCTCAAGGTACCGCCGCGCCTCCGCCTCCCGAAGAGCCCCCTGAGGCCGGGCGCGGGGTTGTTTTTGGGGTGGGGGGCTGCCTGAGGGGAGCCGGGATGGGTGGCAGCCAGACACATGGCCGGCGCCGGCCCCAGCTCGGGACCCCCGTGCGCCTCTCGCACCGCTGCTCCTTCGGATGCAGGTCGTGCCTCGTTGGCTTTCCGTATGCAAAGCAGAAACTGCGGCGGTTTCTGCCCCCCGAGGCCTCTCCGCTTTCGAAAGGGGTTGCCCGCCGTGGGGAGCCTCGACCTCTCTTCTTCCAGAGTGTGGTGTCGCTCCACGGCCATGCTGCCCCCTCGCCCGCCCTGGGGCCCACGTGGCCGGGTGTCTCCATTGCAGGGGGCTGAGCATCCTGCATGGCCGGCTTCCTACAGTGGTGAGCGGGAGCAAAAAACCCCTTGCCTCCTCCGCGGACTCTCCGCGCTCACCTGGGAGTGTGGCAATGTGCGAGTGTGCCCGCTGGGTGCGATCTCGACAGTGCAAGGCAGATTTTGTTGCTTACTCGTTTAGTCTGTTGTCCCCTTCTCCTTGTGCCTTCCATCTTTCCCAACATCAGGGTCTTTTCCAGGGAGTCTTCTCTTCTCATGAGGTGGCCAAAGTATTGGAGCCTCAGCTTCACGATCTGTCCTTCCAGTGAGCACTCAGGGCTGATTTCCTTAAGAATGGATAGGTTTGACCTTCTTGCAGTCCATGGGACTCTCAAGAGTCTCCTCCAGCACCATAATTCAAAAGCATCAATTCTTTATGGTCCAGCTGTCACTTCCATACATCACTACTGGGAAAACCATAGCTTTAACTATACGGACCTTTGTTGGCAAGATGATGCCTCTGCTTTTTAAGATGCTGTCTAGGTTTGTCATTGCTTTTCTCCCAAGAAGCAGGCAGATATAAAAGGGGAAAGGATGCTGGGGGGCGGCAGGGATTGTTATATTGGGATTGCCACCTTCCTCCTCCTTTCTCTCACTCCCTCCCCCACCCAAGAGTCCAACTGCACTGACAAATTAAAAATCAACAGATGCAGGTCATGTAAAGCCAAACCAGTTTTTGTTTGGTTTCTGTGTTGCATTTATATCCCACTGCAGAATGCACAAAAAGTATACATTTCCTACAAAAGACACAAAACGTTTGGTTCCTGAGTATGCCAGTATCCAGTAGTAGAAGTGCTAGGGGAGGCAGCTCTGAGAAGTTTGAGGTGCTGTACATAGTTTACCTCTTCCCCATTTTGTCCTGATGACAACCCTGTGAGGTACGTTAGCCTGAGAGGTAGTGACTGGCCCAAGATCACCCAGTTTGCTTCGTGGCAGAGTGGGGACCCACTAGGTCCAACCACTGCACCTCCCTGGTATTTCTGCTTGAATAGGTTCTCTCTGTATTGCGCACAGAAGAGCCCTGCCAGAATTAAAAGAGATGACATAACCCTGGATGAAGCAGAATAACATTGGTTGCATTTCCATTTCCATTCGAGGTGATACTAGGATAGCCCCAGAGAAGCAGGATTTCTGCAAAGGGTGTTAAACCAGGAGGGGAAAGATGTTGGTGGCATAATGGTTGTGGAATGATGAGCAAAGACAGGAGTAGGAAAACGGAATAAAAGAGGCATAAACAGCAGCGACAGAGAGATAAGAGACTTATATGAGGGCATAGCAGACAGCCTTTAGCGTAATCTCTAGCAACTTGAGGTTGATGCAGAAAGCAATGAATTAATGTATATAGACAATTGAGGAGAAGTGCTCTAACTTGGTGAAGGGAGAATGGTTTTGGTTACAAGCTTTGTGAATTGACACAATATATGAAATTACCAGAGAGAAGACAGGCAAAATAAAGCTGTAGTGGGCGTAATGTAATTGATGTGTGCACAGTTGTCTGTGTAGCACAGAGCTTATCAGTTCTTACGTGGAAAACCCCCCACAAGTATGGGGGAAGGAGGAGTCCACTGAGATTTGTGTGTGTGTTTCACATATTAAAATAGAAAGTGAAAAAAGGAGTAGTAAGAACAGCAGTTTTACTGGTTATAAACCCTAAAGGTTGCATTCAAAACCATTATATGCTTCAGAGTTTTGGCTGTTGGTGCACATTACAGTACCATATGCTTTGTTGCCTTAACAAGCCCTTTGTATTCTCAAAACAAGTGTGAGGGGATTTCCTTTCTAGGAACAGTTTATTTGAAAACCAAGCACTGGCCTTCTCACACATCTTTCTCTGCATTATCTTGGAGGGCGGATATTTTTTGAACCAGTGTGGTGTAATGGGTAGAATAGGGCTGTGGAGATTCAGGTTCAAACCTTCAGTTATGCATCTCTGCCTAACCTACTTCACAGGGTTATGGTGAGGATAAAAGGTTGGGGAAGAGCCATGTGGGATGCCTGAGCTCATTGGAGGAAAGGCAGGATATAAATGTAATAAATAATTAAATATGAATGTTCTTGTTTGCTTAAAAAAATAATTCTTGCTCTTTTTTAGTTCTGTGAAGAGTTTAAAGAAAAGAGCCCAGTATGTGTTCCCTGTGGACTGAAGTTGGCCGAGATAACACAGACTGCTATTGTCAGACACTTTGGTCTTCAGATTCTGGAGCATGTGGTGAAGTAAGGAAGTGAATGCAAAGCAAGTGGTGTGGCATTGCAACTTTTGAGAGTTTTTTAAGCAGAAAATCAGGCATGCACCTGTCACCATAATCATCTCTGGTTGTTAATACTTCTAAAGTTTATATATAGCAGGGGAAACCCAGTGACAAGCTGAATAATGAATTTATAATCAGTATTTTTTGTGTTAGTTCAGCAACGAGATCACTCCGTTGTACTGTATGGAGATTCCACTTTTCTCTTTGCTGAGCTGTCTAGAGATTTCACTTCCTCTCTGTTTCTAGCAAACTAACACCATCTTCTCTCTCTCTCTCTCTCTCTCTGTGTGTGTGTAGTATTAACTCCTGCCTATTTTCTCAGCTGTGCTAGGTAATGTTCATGATTGACTGTTTCCAGAGGGGTCTGTGTTGATGACAGATACTATAAAGGAAGCCTTTCTGGATCAGATGAAAGGGCCACCTAGTTCAGAGCTCTGTTTCCAACATTGGCCAGCCAGATAATTGTTGAGAAGTCCACAAGCAGAGCTTGTAGCCCTTTCCCACTGTTGGCACCCAGCAACTGGTTTTCAGTACAGTCGTACCTTGGATCTTGAATGCCCTGGAACTCAGATGTTTTGGCTCCCAAGCACCGCAAACCCAGAAGTGATTGTTCCAGTTTGCAAACGTTCTTTTGGAACCTGAAAGTGTGACGGGGCTTCCGTGGCTTCTGATTGGCTGCAGGATATTCTTGCAGCCAATCAGAAGCCGCAGTTTGGTTTTGGAAGTCAAAGGACTTCTGGAACCGACTTCCATTCGACTTCCAAGGTACAACGATACTGCTTTTTAGCCTGGTGGTCCTATTTAGCTGTTGTGGCTGCTAGTTGTTGAAAATGCTTTCCTCCATGAATTTGTCTAATTCCCTGTTAGAGCCATCTAAATTGGGGGGCATCACCACATCTTGTTCTATAAGTGAATTATTGTCTGTGTAAAGAATTACCTTTTTGAATCTGCTGCCAATCATTGGGTAGCCTCAGATCCAAGTGTTAAGGGAGAAAGAAATACTTTCTCGATCCACTTCTATCCGTGTTATGCATAGTTTTACCATGCTCCTCCCCGCCATCTTTTTTCTCTAAACTTACAGGCCCACACACTTCAGCTTTCACTGTGTGTTTTATTGGGCAGGTTCCAGTGGAGTAGTGTGAGACAATTTGAGAACCAAACTTCTCTCTTGCCCTAGCCATGTTAGCTATGCTATCAGTGTATTGTAAAGATGATGCCTCTGTGTTTTATTGGGCAGATTCCGGTGGAACAATATGGGTCGGCTTGAGAAAGTCTTTTTGAAGAACAACGTTATGGAGCTCATATCCAATGTGAGTCAAGCTGTTCATGAAGTTAAATTTCTGAGTTATTTCTTTTAGTAATAGAATGTACTTCAAGGAAGCGAGTTTGAGCTTCTCCTCCCGCTCCTTTCTTCATTTCAGAACACATGCAGTTTCCATTTTTGCTTGTTAATATCAATATTACTCCAGTGTCCCTTCCTCTCTTGTAAATATATTTTTATCTTATATTCCAGAGAGGGCTGCCAAATCATAACTACTGTATTTTTTGCTCTATAGGACGCACCGGACCATAGGACGCACCTTGTTTTAGAGGGGGAGAACAAGAAGAAAAAAAATTCTCCCCCTTCCTGCTCAGCACCCCTTCAGCGAAGCGGCAGGAGAAACGGAGCACCTTCCATTTCTCCTCCCGCTTGGCTGAAGGGGCGCTGCGCAGCTCTCCCTCTCTGCTGAAGCCGGGAGAGCAAGACTCTCCCGGCTTCAGCAAAAGGAATCCGAAGCCTGCGGAGCGCAGCGGGAACTCGTGCTGCGCTCTGAAGGCTTCAGGCGGCTATCCCTGAAGCCTGGAGAGTGAGAGGGTTCGGTGCGCACCGACCCCTCTTGCTCTCCAGGCTTCAGCGAAAGCAATGCGAAGCCTCCAGAGCGCGGAGGGAGCGTTTCCTCTGCGCTTCAGAGGCTTCGCGTTGCTATCGCTGAAGCCAAGGAGCCTGCGTTCACTCCATAGGAAGCACACACATTTCCCCTGAATTTTTGGAGGTGAAAAAGTACGTCCTATAGAGTGAAAAATACGGTATATAAAAGAAGCTTAAAATAAACAAACCGAGGGCTTCCCTCTCCCCAACTGACTCACGCCAAAGAAAATCTTAATCTCAATTCAAACCTTGGATCTATGTAGCTGGTATATTCAGCAGTATGTTGTTGCAACCTTTTTCCATCACATGCCGGTACTTTAAAGCCAATTAAGGATCCAATTAAATGGAGAACCTCTGCTTCTTAATGGTGGCGTAGGAGGGTTTTTGCCAGGGAAAGTGCTTTTGCAATTAGCGCCTCCCTGCTTCCCACATTCCATGTTGGAGCGAGAGCCGGGTACCGAGATAAACTGTGAGTGAAGCCCATTCCCCCCCATCCCTGGGGGGAAGTTGCAAGGATGATTTACCCTCTCTCATCCTTGTTTTTCGTTCACCGATAATCCCCGCTGTCGTGGGGGCTGTCTCCATTAAGGCATGTGGGACCGGAAGCCACCTCCGTTCCATTCTAGCCTTGGCAGTTGCATAACTATATTTGACCTGTGAGAAAGAGAGAACCCATAAATCAACTATGGAAGGGGGTGCTCATGTTTGTGAGACCTTCAAGTGGGGAATGCAACTTAAGTTGACCTCCTGGGACAATTCAGTCATATAGCCCTCAATTCTGCTAAGAAAAAGTTTATCTGACATTATAGAGCAGTGATTCCCTAAATTCCCTTTCCCCAATGTACCGCTTGACAGTTGCTGAGGGTTTTGACAGACCACTTGATGATTTTTCTGCCTTCTGTAACAATTGTAATGTGTTGTGCTAGATGCAGCATGATTTTTAATTTCATTTTAATTGCTTCTTTTATTTCTTATATATTGTTTTGTATTGTGTTAGAGTTTGAAATCCATAGCATGCAAATGGTAATGCAGTAAAATACTACGTAAGGAATACAAGTCCATGAAATACAATAAAAAATCAATATGAGTACTTCATGTGATGAATGTGCCATCTCCCATCTTCGACCACAAATCCACAGAAATGTCACAAGCCACAATAATGAAGCTACAGACCACAGTTTGGGAACCTCTGTTTTGGAGGATAATTAACAACAAAACTCAAAGCTTACTGATCTGTCTCAGTACAGATTGTCCCTTTCTGATAGATCTATTTTTATTGAAGCAACCGTTACCTTGGCTCACGGAGGCTCCCAAGGTATGATAGGCTAGGATGGGGTGCAAATTTCATGTGAAGTTTGTTTGGTCTGGAATGTGTCTATAGCAAGCTTTTGCTGCGGGGTAGGTATTGGATGATCTAAAATTTCTGTCTTGTAACACTTTAATTTTTCATTTACAGGGTACCCAGAATATTTTAGAAGAAGAAAGTCACATTAAAGATGTTCTCTCTCGCATTGTAGTAGAGATGATTAAGCGTGAATGGCCCCAGCACTGGCCTGACTTGTTAAATGAGCTGGACACTCTCTCCAAACAGGGGGTATGAAATATATCTTACAATCAAATTGGTGCATCTTTTCTGGGCTTAACTTGTAGGATATAATTGTATCAAAGTATACAGACGTAATGCATATGTGCACGCCTCCTGTATTATCCAAATATGTTCTTCAAAGATCACAAGGTTATTCCTGTATTCATTCTGTCTATTTGTGGGGTTTTTGTTTTGCTTGGGACTCTAGGAGACTCAGACAGAGTTAGTGATGTTCATACTTTTACGACTGGCAGAAGATGTGGTGACCTTCCAGACTCTGCCAGCCCAGCGACGACGTGATATCCAGCAAACTCTCACTCAGAACATGGAGACTATCTTTAGCTTCCTGCTCAACACCTTGCAGCAGAATGTAAACAAATACAGACGCATGGTAAGAGTCTCTTTTCTTTTGGCTTATGATGCTGTCCTAACCCCACTTACTTGGGAGCAAGCCCCATTGAATTCGTTAGGACTTCTGAAACAACATGACTAGGATTGCTTGGTTAGGATTGGAGAGCCTCAATCTACAATAGCAACCCTGCTGCTGCTTAAATGCTCCAGGGTGGAAGAGGTGATATGTAAGCTCTAATCTTGGCTATTGCAATATACTTGATTTTGTGATCTGCCTCTCAAAGTGGAAACAAATGAACTTGAAATGTGGTAGTAGTTGGGCTGTTCAACTTGTTTCATTTAAGAAGAATATAGACGATAATAATGATGGGGTGGGAATTAGTAGTAAGAAGCCATGTACATGTCAGTAGCTCATTCATTCCTTATTCTCTTTTCCAGAAAATGGATCCAACACAGGAATCAAAAGTAAGTGGAGCCAGAACAAAGAGGCACATTTTCCCCCCGCTGTTCATTGTGCTGAGCTAGCAGTCTGTTGCTGAACTGTGGTTGTCCCATATAAGTTAGAAGTTACCTTTGATGGAGTAATTGTGAAGAATATGGAGAAACTGCTCATTTTATTTGTGGAGAGAGTAATGACAGAGGTAGAAGGAGAACCCATTCATCCTAAACTGATTTTTCCAAACTAACTTTCACAAGCATGCTGGGAAACTTTCGTAGAGCTGCGTCAACTTTATTTCTACTTAGTTCCTCTGTATCCATAGGAGAAATAAGTTTCTCATAGTACTTAATGACTTGCATCAGAACCAAAACTTAGTAAAAAAACCCAAAAAGCTGTTTATTTTCACCTTTCCATAGGATCTGCTGTCAGTGATGCCAAAGTATTATTGTTCTTTTGGGACTGTGTGAAGTAGATTGCAGAATCCAGTATTGACTGTTTATAACCTCTCAATTACTTTCTGTTCACAGGCACAAGCAAGTTGTCGAGTAGGGATAGCAGCACTCAATACTCTGGCCGGCTACATTGACTGGGTGGCTATGAGCCACATCACAGCAGATAACTGCAAGCTGCTAGAGATGCTATGTCTGCTCTTGAATGAGCCAGAACTTCAAGTGGGAGCAGCAGAGTGTCTCTTGATCGTGGTCAGCAGAAAAGTGAGTTTCTCTGTTCTGTCCCCTTCAAGGTGTTGTTGTGGTTTTGGTATGAATATATTTATGGATATAATCCAGGAATGAGTAGGGTAAGGCCACAAAGTTATATATTGTCTACTGAGGATTTTGTCCTGTCCTGTTCTGCACTGCAATTACCATATTTTTCGCTCTATAAGACGCATCAGACCACAAGACACACCTAGTTTTTGGAGGAGGAAAATAAGAAAAAAAATATTCTGAATCTCAGAAGCCAGAACAGCAAGAGGGATCGCTTCGCAGTGAAAGCAGCAATCCCTCTTGCTGTTCTGGCTTCTGTGATAGCTGCACAGCCTGCATTCACTCCATAAGATGCACACCCATTTCCCCTTACTTCTTAGGAGGGAAAAAGTGAATCTTATAGAGCAAAAAAATGGTAATTATCCCTCTTTGATTTGAGGGACATGTTGTTCAGGGAGAATGAATTCTGCAGTATGATAGCTATCGTCTGCCGTTTGAGCACTGGATGAGTTACTGTTCCATTTCCTATCCCACATTAACCTTTAGCAGCATTTGTGGTTTCTGTTGGTCACATCTGTAAAGAAAGCTGACATGTAGTATAAGTGGTAACTAATGAACTGGCAGCTGCTAGTTGATGCTGAAGAGCTAATTTCGTATGTTGTGACAAAGGTCTCCTTTGTTTTCTGCTCAGGGGAAACTGGATGATCGCAAGCCCTTGATGGTTTTGTTTGGGGATGTTGCCATGCACTACATCTTCTCTGCCGCCCAGTGAGTAATATCCGCTTCTGTGAGCGCATGATGACTTCCCAAGGGAAAGAAGCTGCTCTTAGTTTTGGCACAAAATAGATTGTGGAGCTCATAAATCTTAGCCAGTGGCTCAAGAGTTGGACGAAGGTACCAGGAGCACACCATAGAATGCCTCCTATTCCAGCCATGATCCACAAGTCCAGATTGATAGAGAGTGCCCCCAAACCCTCAGGTGGATTTTGGGTGTGCTGAGGAGGCTGCAGTGCAAATGAGAGGAAGGAGAAGTCCCATTTTACACAAGCAGAGCCCATTGCTTAAGCAGGACATCACTTTTGGATATCGCCCACAGCAGTCACCACTTGAGATGTGAGCCACATGTTGCTATTGATCTCAAGGTGATTTTGTTAGAATGATGTGAGTTGGCATTTTCCACATCAGACTAGGCCACTGGGTGCTAGGTGTTTCTTTCGCCATGCACAGGTGCTGAAAATTGATGTGATAAAATTACCTTGTGATGATTTCCGCCCATTCCTTTTTGGTGTAGTAATGGCCACACCTTACCTCCTGAAGCATGTTGTCTTGTCAGAAGATCTGGTGCTATAAAACAGTTCAGTTAAGATAGTTCTTTGCTTCTAGTGTTCTCCTTCGTGTCCTATTGATAGACACAATAGAGTTGATACATGTGGTACTTAATCCAGTAAGTTTTCTTGTTAAAGTTTCATACTACTTAAGTTAAATCCATAAACTGATGTTTACAGTATTTCATAGTGATACATGACTTCTGCTTTATTTGTACTTTTCAGGACAGCAGATGGTGAAGGCCTAGTAGAGAAGCACTATGTTTTCTTAAAGAGACTTTGCCAAGTCTTGTGTTCTTTGGGTAGTCAGCTGTATGCATTGGTGGTGAGTTTTCCATCACAAAGCATTTTTCCAAGACTGTTATTCAGTGACTGTTACATAATCTCATGCCCCAGGTTGAACTGCTCTATACAGTTCCCATCTCTTTCCAGTGCGCTTCATAGCTGAGTGCAAATTTGAACCCTGTTCTCCCAGGTCCTAGTTTGACATGCCAACCACTACACCAGAGCTTTCCAAATTGTGTGTCGTGACACATTAGTGTGTTGGCTGCAGTGTGTAGCCATGTCACATGAACGCTCCCTGTGCTCCTCCCGGGGCTGGAAAGGGGTTAGTTTTATCATGGAATTCTACTCAGTATTGATCCAGAGCAGAACTCCAACATACAGTTAGCAGAGTAAAAACTTAAACACATTGCAGGATTCTCAAAAAATAGACCAGAGGCAATTGTATTTCATCCAGCAGAGCTTTACTGCTATTGAAGGTAAATAAGCATAATGGCCACAAATCAAATACATTGGGGATTGGCACTGTCCATAAGTCCAGTTGCAGCAGATTTGACTTTAACTTATAATAACTTATAATAAGTCTAAATCTTAGCACTTTATGCAGAACACCACACGAGAAGGAAAGAGAGACAGAAGGAGATCCAGGCTCCTTCTGGCCTTACTATTATAGTCATCATGACCTTGACAGAAAAGATAACAGATCGAGTTTAAGCCAGCTGTACTCAGCTTCTCTGAAGGAATAACTGAACATCATGAAACTTCTGCTTGCTTCTTTCACACAGAGAAGCTTCCAGAACCCTCTTGAATTAATTAGAATAGGAAAGATCTCTACACATCAGATGAACACTTTCTGTACTAAGAAATGAAAACTGAAAAGTTTAACCTCCAGTTTAATAGTAAAACTGAATTACTGTGTTGCAAAATGATGCATGTCTGAAAAGTGTGTCACCAACATGAAAAGTTTGGAAAGCTCTGCACTATGCCATACTAGTTTTTCTGCAGCTGCCATGTGGCAGCTTGTCATCTGAATCCACCTTTGAAGTTTGCCTCCCCTCTCAACAGGGCTCTGATTCAGATGTGGAAACACCTGTCAACCTTGGAAAATACCTCGAGTCATTTCTAGCTTTCACAACCCACCCCAGCCAGGTAGGTAAAGGTGAAGGTTTTCCAACCTCTTGTGTATAAAAACAGCCATTTGTGCTCTGTGCCTGTGTATTGAAAATGTTTTAGGTGCCTTTCTCAATGGAAGAAAGGCTTTGTTGTCAGCAGCATGGCGCTTAACCTTAAACACTTCGTTCTCAGTGCTGATTTGGTCTGTTTATGTAACTCAGGATAGTAACTATTGCATACTTGTATCCTTTCCTTCTCTGAAACTCTGTCAAGTGATGTGGCATGCTCTTTCCTGCCATCCAGCATTCATGAAGATCCAGCTTGCAGTAGCAAACGGTGGTGTGTGTGGGTGTGTTGAACAAAAGTTTCAGTTGTTTTGGCATGTGTTTGTTGGAAGTAATTGCTGCTTGGTTTCAGCTGAGCTTGGGAGTATTTGCCAGTGCCTAAGCTTGAGAGGATCAGTGTGGATCACTATTGTCATTTGAGCATTACAGTTGGAGATTACTAGCTTGATAGACTGATTCCTTGTTTTTCCCCTAGTTCCTACGCTCTTCCACCCAGATCACATGGGGAGCTCTTTTTCGGCACGAAGTCCTGTCACGTGATCCTCTGTTGTTGGCTATGATTCCAAAATACCTGCGAGCATCTATGACTAATCTTGTGAAGGTATGGTGCCATGAGAGTCTTTAATTCTAGAGTGTTCTTAAGACCTTTGGTTTTCCAAGTGTGGAGCGGCAATCTTGAGGAATGGTTGGAAGGCTGCTGGTATGCCGGTGGAGGTCTCTCCCATCATCTCCCTTCACTGGGTTTTTTGATTCAGCCAGAAGGCAGAACAATAACAATTTATGCCCCCTTTTGGTTAGTGCAGATCATGTCCCAAAGGGACAACCTATTCCCCCCTCCATGCTTTTTTATTCTGAAATGACAGCCCCCTAGAAGTCTTAAACTTATTCTAGATTAAAAACATAAGTAGATACCATAAGGCCACTTGCATAGTTATATCCTAGTTGAAATTTGTGTGGCTCAACAAGCTGAGTTCTTGAAAATGTTTTGCTGCAACACACATGAGAATTCTGCCAGTGGGAGAGTTCTGTGAAATTACTATTTTCCCACTCAATCTCTTGAATCTGACACCCCTTCTTTTTGCAGGTGGGGTTTCCTTCCAAGACAGACAGCCCCAGTTGTAAATATTCTCACTTCGACTTTGACAGTGATGAAGACTTTAATTGCTTCTTCAACTGTAAGTTACCTTTGTTCTAGTAAAACCCATCTCTTTGGAGGATAACCTGGAAGTTTCCCCCTATGCTCTTCAGTTTGAATGGCATTAACAGAATCTCAGAATGGGCCATTTGAGAGCAGAAGGAGATGCTTCGGTGTGAAAGGTCCTCACATGCCTTCAGTCAAAACAGTTCATGAAAGTATATCAGCAATTATTAGCCATGGTAGATAAGTGGGCCCTCTGGGTTCAGAAGCAATATGCCTCTGGATCCTAGTTGCTGGAGCACAATCTATTGCCTTCATGACCTGATTGTATGCTTCCTTCAAGTGTCTGCATCCCAGATTCCTTCATCTGACTTAGTGTTCAATTGTTGAAGTGAGCAAGCAGAAGCAGCTGCCACATGGACACTGGAGAGCCAGTGTGGTGTAGTGGTTAAGAGCGATAGACTCGCAATCTGGGGAACCGGGTTTGCGTCTCTGCTCCTCCACATGCAGCTGCTGGGTGACCTTGGGCTAGTCACACTTCTTTGAAGTCTCTCAGCCCCACTCACCTCACAGAGTGTTTGTTCTGGCGGAGGAAGGGAAAGGAGAATGTTAGCCGCTTTGAGACTCCTTCGGGTAGTGATAAAGCGGGATATCAAATCCAAACTCTCTCTCTCTCTCTCTCTCCCCCTCGTGGTGATTACTGCTGCCTTTCACATGACTGGGTTATTTGAGCTGTAGCAGTAGGTGCCTCTAATTTAAAAGCCTTTTGAAACCAAGCCTTTCATGTGTAATTTCCTTGGCAGCTTTCCGTGCACAACAGGGAGAGGTGATAAGGATGGCATGTCGCTTGGACCCTCGAACTGGCTTCCAGATGGCTGGAGAATGGCTGAAATATCAGCTGTCCACTCCGGTTGATATTGGACCCGTAAACTGTAAGTTTCCTTAATGGGAGGCGAAGTAGGCTTGGTCTCCAGCAGTGGTGGACATTTTGCTTTACCTTTTCTTCACCCAAACAGTTCCTCATTATTTTTTCCAGCCTAGGCCTTCCAGCTGGAGGGCAAGGGGTTAGTACCTGATATTGGTTGAAACGCAAACCCTACTCTTAATTTTTTAAGCTCATTTTTTAGTATAAACAGCTTTTAAACAGGCTACCAAACAACTGGATTGGGGGGGGGTCATAGGGCAAGACTTTTGGGAACTTTTTACACTGGTGTAGGAAAGTAAATTCTTGTCCAAAGAGAGAGGCCTACACTGCTACAAATCTGGAAGTGTTCTAATGCTTTCCTTTTTCTTCCTCTTATAGCTAAAACTGGTGAAGGCCTCTGCTCCATCTTTTCAGTTTCTTTTGTGCAATGGGATGCTATGACCTTTTTCTTGGAGAGTGTCGTTAGCCCGATGTTCCGGTTCATGGAAAAGGACGTATGTAGTCTTGATGTTTCATTTTTTCCTGCCTCGGTTGGCTTGCTGTGACAACAGTGTCTCTTGAAGAGCACAGAGTGGGGATGCTAACTTGATCACATTATATTACATTTACAGTAGCACATTATTATTTGGAAAATACTAGCTTAAGGAAGTCTTTCAAGCTCTGCTATTTTTATGAAGAGCAAAAGAGCCAATGTGATGTAGTGGTTAGAACAGTGGTTCTCAAACTTTTTCCTCTGGGCCACACTTTCAGAATAAAAAATTGCTGGCACCACATCAACTCTTTTATTAATAAGAAATATGCTGGAAAAGAAAAAGAAGCAACTCCTAGCAGCACTTGATTCATAACATAGAGCACAACTACTTTATAACATAATCATGAGACATCCAGAAAGTATACAACAATGCAGCTACATAAGAACTTTAAATGTTTCTTTGATTGCCCTTGAATCTTTCCGCCACACTTGCCATCATCTCCTGCCACACCAGTGGGACTTGCCACACCCTTGGGTTAGAATGTCAGACTGTCTCAGATTGATCTACTTCACAGGATTGTTGCAAGGATAAAATACAGTGGTACCTTGGTTCTGGAATGGCTTAGCTGTCGAACAAATTGGCTCCCGAACACTGCAAATCCGGAAGTAAATGTTCCGGTTTGCGAACGTTTTTCAGAAGCTGAATGTCCAACGCTGCTTCCGCTTGAGTGCAGGAAGCTCCTGCAGCCAATTGGAAGCCACACCTTGGTTTTCAAACATTTTGGAAGTCGAATGGACTCCAGGAACGAATTAAGTTCAAGAACCAAGGTACCACTGTATGTGGAGAGTGGGGAGTTCCATATATGCCACCTTGAGGTCTTTGGAGGAAAGGTAGAATGTAAATGTAATAAATGTATAATTATGTGGTTACATTTTTCCTGACATTATTTTGCCATACTTAAAGGCTTCCAGCAGTAGAACTTGAACAATAAAACTAAGACTTAATTCACACAATGCTTTTGCGGCGTGGTTGCCGCTACAAAACTTCTCCCCCGTGCCTATGTTTTGGTTCCTCTGCCTCTGAAATTGGATGGAAGTTCTGCCTCAGATGAATATTTCCATTCCCGCATCCCCTTCTGTTGGAGCTGCTTTTGTGGGATCAAATGTTGCAGAATATTCATACATTATCAATATAGTGTGTGAATTGAACTTGGTGATGGGCAGTTCTGCAGCCAGTTTAAACACGTGTCACTAATTTCAAATGCAGTCATCACAAAGTTGATGTTTTGTGATTGTGACTTCTGTCTGACCAGGTAAAATAATTCTTCTCAAAATGTGTCTTTGCTATTCTGGAAAGTGCTCAGATGGGGGTAGATCCTGTATTAGAACTTGCACAGATCACAAATAGTGAATCCATGAGAGTCGCTCTCTACTGTGATGGTAAAAGTTGAACAAGAGACTATAAACGATTCAGTATGCCAGTAGCTGTGCTGATATTGCTAAATGCTTTTGACTTTGTGCAAGTATGTCACCAAAAGCTCTACAGAAAAGGAAATGATAAGTTCCCTGTATATAATGAGCCTAGACAACCACTGGTTTGAACTTCTATCACATCATTGGCTAGTCATTTTTAACTCCCACTCATGGCTTAAAATACCTTTGTGTTAATTTGTTATGCTTTCTGTTGAATAATACTTTTCATATAAACTTGTTAATAGGCTAATGTGGCATTTTTGCAAGTATTACGTTTGTCACATTTCAGCTAAAGGTACAGGCAGCCTGCCTTGGATTTGCCTGAGAAAGAGTGACATTCTACAAAGCCAGAGTGCATTGAACATTGTTGAATTCTTCTCTTCTCCTAGGAGATCCCAGTATCCGATGGCATAGAACTGCTACAACTTGTCCTCAGCTATGAAACAAAGGATCCCCTCATCCTGTCCTGTGTCCTTTCTAACGTTTCGGCACTCTTTCCATTTGTCACTTACAGGCCAGAATACCTGCCAGATGTTCTTTCAAAGGCAAGCCCTGTTTTTTATCCTGTTAGTATGATGAGGCTTTTAAAAATGATACCGTGTAGATCCTTACCTGTAAACATTTCATAGGATAGATCTAGGGAGGCTAAACATTTTTCTCTGATCATTCTAGAGAACAGATGCCCTAGGAGGGACAATTTTTGTTGTTGGGGTGACCCATATCCAGCATCCCAAGTTTTTCTGGTGACTAAAGAACCCCCCTCCCAATAATGTGGCTGAATTTTAAAGTTTGTGCATGTGTGTATCAGATATAAGTATGTATGTATGTATGTATATATATGTATATGTACATATGTGTGTGTATTTACATCTATTTATATGTGCATATGTATATGTACATTGCAGAGACATACTTAGAAAATATATGGTTGTTTCTTTTAAATATTTGAAGCTCAAGGGGAGATTGTGTTGCTTCTGGTAGCTGGTGAGGTTTGGTACTTGATTCTGTACTACTGCTAGTCTGCCTTCATGCTTACAGGTGACCCCCTCAGTTCTCAAAATGGAGAACACTGAAGAACTGTGATACACTTAATTCCCTGGGTAAAATATGTTTAAGATCTGAACACAGTGCTGGTCTTGTCACTATTAAGGGATACCTCCTCCTACCTGATGGAATCCTTGTCTTGTGTTGAAATAGAAAAGAGGAAACTTTTCTCTGATAAAGACATTTTTGTGGACTTGGAACAGCTATTCATAGACTAGTGACTGGTGTGCAGCACATTCAAAAGCATGAACCATTGATAAGTGGCTTTTGTTCTTGTTCCCATAGCTCTTTGCCTCTGTTACCTTTGAAGTTGTAGAAGAAAGTAAGGTAAGATAATTTTGGCCATACTGTACAATGTATAGGTGCATGGATTAAACTTCCACATAGCAAAATAGCATGCTTATATGCAATAATGGCACTATAGACTAAAATTCTATATATAAATTCTTGGATACCAGTTCTTTCATAGGACCCTTGGGGGAAGTATATTTCAGTACTGACCACACACATCTTTCACTAGTTCTCTATGGATGCAATTGACATGGATGTGATTGATAAGGAACTGTATCCATGCCACATAAGCAATGCTTAAACAGTGTTGGGGGGGATGGAGAATCATAACAAAAGGTTGTGTATTCCACAATTATGAGCAAGTGTTACAGAATCTTACATTAGGTATAGAATTCAGTTTCCTTAGAATAAAAATAAAGCAAGTCTTCAGCCCATATGACTGTAAAGGTAGGTTTGAAAATGGGTCAGCAAAGCCAAATAAGATATCAGCAGCAGATTGGTGACTGAGCAACATTTCCAGTTACCTGGGGGTGGGGAAGGGTGCGATTTCAATGCAGTGCAACTCTTTATCCCTCCTTGTAACTAGCCAAAGCGGAAAATATTGTGCAGATGTTCCTGCATACCTCTCCCACACCTTGGGATTTATGGTCATCAGAGGCTTGCTGTTAAGGGTTCAATCAGCATTAGAAAGTCAGGTGGTCTTGCAATGGGGAGCCTGTGCCTTTAGCCTGCCCAGGGTGGCTTGTTGTGTTGAGTTTTGACTGTCCTTTCGACAGGTGCTGAAGACGGTCCTGTTTTAAGAGGGCTTTTGACCTGGGGTGGTAATATTTTGTTTAATACCTACAAAAAAGCTACTGATCATGCTGTATTGCATGGGGTTGGGCTAGGTGACCCCTGCAGTCCCTTCCAACTCTGTGATTCTAAGTATGATCAACAGCTGATTCTGTTAAAATGTGCAGAGCCTAATGCAACCCTCAAGCTTTATTGACTGATTCTCGTAGGCCCCAAGGACCCGTGCAGTGAAGAATGTGAGAAGGCATGCCTGTTCCTCAATAATCAAGATGTGCCGGGATTACCCTCAGCTTGTCCTGGTACTTTATTGAATTTTCTATATGTCATGGAGCGGGGTGTGTGTGTGTGTGTATGCTTTCATTATTCCCCTTGTGGTTTAAAGCTCCTGTGTGTGTTCTATGTGTGGCTGTTAGTGTTTGGTGGCAGTGGCACTGATCATTGTCATCCCCCTTTCATGGACGCTTGAGGTCTTGTCTGTCAGTCAGTCAGTCAGTCAATCTTGATTGTTTCAACCACGAGGGCCTTCTCAGCAGTGGCGTCCTCCCTGTGGAATGCCCTCCCATCCGATCTCAAGGAGATAAAGAACTACAGACCTTTAGAAGACATCTGAAGGCATCCCTGTATTGGGAAGTTTTTTATATTTGACGTTTTACTATGTTTTTATAAATGCTGGAAGGTGCCTAGAGTGGCTGGGGGAACCCAGCCAGATTGGCAGGGTATAAATTAATATTATTATTAGTCACGGAAGAGAGAAGTATTTGTGGTAGAGGTTAGAAAACATAGGGATGGAGTATATATAAGATTCAGCATATGGATACAAGAGCTAAGAATCTAAAGCAACTGAATACAGATTCACACATAGTGAGGTGAGAAATACTGGGTGGTTTCTATAGCAAATGTGTAAACATCCCATTCACAATTGTACACGTATTTTTAGGCACTAGTGCATATGCATCTGGGAAACCTAATTGCTTTTTCCATATGTTCACTGGTGCTGGAAATGCTGTGGTTTCTGCAGATGCCATTACCAACAGGGCACAGCTCAAAGGAGCCAACTCCTAGGGGCCAAGATCCCTTCCCCCCATAAAATATTAGAGGGGGCTGCTCCCCCAAAATTGATGGGCATTGCCATTCAAATAGTGTGTGCTCCCTCCCCAATATTTTATTCAAGTTGGCATCCCTGGCACAGCTAATCCATTTTTTGTTCTGGAATAAGGTTCCATGTGATTAGGAAGTATCCTGGCAATACAATGAGTTACTATTACGTTATTGAATTGTATTAATTGTTTTGATCAATACATTGCCGTTGTTTGCTTTATTTATAGTCATTGCGTTTGATTTTATAGTGATTGCAATGTTGGTTGTCTTTTTAATGCTAGTGTGATTATTGTGAGCAACTTTGAGCTGAACATTTGTTGCTGGGAAAGCAGGATACAAATGTTAACTCAAATAATGTATGGCATTGCCTCGAACAAAAGCAGTCGCCCACCAAATATTCTGTGTAGGAATTCCGCATGTATTCAAGAAGTCGAGTCTCGTGTGATCCTGTCAGTTGACTGACCTTTGCTTGAATCTGTTTCTTCTAGCCAAACTTTGACATGCTGTATAACCATGTAAAGCAGCTGCTCTCCAATGAGCTACTCCTGACCCAGATGGAGAAGTGTGCTCTCATGGAAGCCCTAGTCCTCGTCAGCAACCAGTTCAAGGACTACCCGCGGCAGAAGGTTTTCTTGGAAGAACTCATGTCTCCTGTCGCAACCTTGTGGCTGTCTGAAGAAATGAGGAGGTGCGAGGACTTCCTCCGTTCTTTCTCTAATGTAGTACAGTGGGGGGGGAGGAATTACAGTCCTAGGCTGTAAGGTTTAATAATATCCTGTACAAGAATCACACCAGCAATCCAGATTATGAGATTCAGCATGCTAACCATTGGCAACATAATCTTACATAGCTCTCAAACTGAATCTGACTTCTTCATCTCTCTCTTTTTCTGTTAAGAGTCCTGACAAATCCTGAAGAGTTTGTCCGCTATGTTGGTGCTGATAATAAACTTACAGACCCAGTCATGGAAGATCCCTGTGGCCTAAACCGTTCTAGAGTAAGTAGTTATTAAGTATGAACCTTAGAGAAGGGGGATTTAGCTGTTTCTGGAATATTTCTCCTTGCTCAGTAGATGCATAGTCTTTGCTATTTCATAAAGGACTTTTTGAGCATATGTCATCTCTGAAAAAAAAGAAAAGCTGTAACATCTGGGATATGGAACATTTTCGAGAATAAGAGCTAGGGTGGGTTTTCTTCTGCCTCTTTTATCTATATTGTTTTGGCTGGACCTCCTACAAAGGAATTTATAAGTGACATGGCCTAACCAGCAGCTGGTTTTGTTTCTTGTTTTAATCCCGAACTACTAAAAGCAGTCAAATAGCAATTGGTTTCTGCTGTACAGCTACATAAAAGCCATAGAATCCTAGAACTGTAGAGTTGGAAGGGATCCCAAGGGTCATCTAGTCCAACCCCCTGCAATGCAGGAATCTCAGCAAGAACATACATGACAGATGGCCATCCACCCTCTACTTAAAAACCTCCAATGAAAGAGAGTCCACAGCGTCCCGAGGGAGTCAGCTCCACTGTTTTAACAGCTGTTACTGTCAGAAAGTTCTTCCTTATGTTTAGTCAGAATCTCCTTTCTTGAGACCTTCGGTTATAGGGCGGTATAGAAATAAAACAAACATGCCCAAGGTTTTCATAGAGGCAGAAAGCAGTTTTACCAAGTTGCTATATTGAGAAGCTCCAAGGAAAGTGACTCCTACGGCCTCTTGTTGGTCTTTCTCTTTAACCCTTAGAATCTTTCCTTCTTTGTTTTTCTATAGATAAGCTTTTGTGTGTATACCATTCTGGGCGTTATAAAACGGGCTCGTTGGCCCGCTTCCTTGGAAGAGGCGAAGGCTGGAGGATTTGTGGTTGGGTACATGTCTAATGGCAGTCCAATCTACCGTAATCCCTGCTCTGTGCAGGTCCTGAAACTGTTTGACAACTTGCTTGCGCTCATAAGGTGGGTCAGCTCAGCTTGATAACAGTCTCGTAGTGAAAATGCTATGTATTCTGAGCAGTGTGTTTCCTCATTGGAGCCAATTCAGCTCTTGCACATTGAAATTTTGTAAGGAAGTAGATAAGGGGAAAGAAACCCAGTTCCACCCTGCACATTTCATAGAATTGTAGAGTTGGAAGCGACCCATGAGGGTCGTCTGGTCCAATCCCTTGCAGTGCAGAAATCATGCCCACAGCTGTCCCTGGGTGGGCTTGAACCACCAGCCTTCTGGTTAACAGCCCGACACACTTGTGGGAATTCTTACAGGAGGAGGTGTCCCCAAATTTCGTTGAACATAAAATTAAACACAGCTTGCTGCCTCCACTCCTTGTTGTTGTGCATGGTCTCTTTACTCTTCCTGAAGATAGAAATTGGAGAGGAGAGTGCAAATCAACCTTACTCAGTGAAGTTGTTTGTGGTGGTCTGGGGAACACTGTGATGACTTGTTCCCTGATCGCTAAAATGGCAGCACTTGTGATAAAAGGCCAAGAGCTTCCACCTTTTTATGTTAACAGCTCTCAGGTGAACTTAGCTTACACAATTATTCAAATTAAAAAAAGAGGAAATGGGAGGGGAGTCAAATATGAGCTTGAGTAGGCCCTTGCCTATGCTGTCTTAGACTACAACGCAGCACTACTGTGACTTACGGCAGGTTGCAGGATGATGAGAATGTCAAGTAAATGGTTGCACTTGTTCTTTGGGGTTTTTGCATGGTGCCTTGTGTTCAGTGTGTGGCAGGTAAAGCTGTGGATACAGCTCACAGTCAGCACAAAGGTAACTTAAGTGTGTAAAACATTCTCTGCTATGCCCTTGAGAAGCTGAACAATTCATTATATACCCTTAGCATGTAAGTAGCTTAAATATATGGAAATCTTTTGTTTAGGGAATCCATGCTTAACAGTTATATTAGCTTCATATCTGCATCTTATTGGATATATATAGTTTTGCTCTGTTACCTATTAAATGCAGAATACCTCCTTTTACTCCCTAACCACTTCAGCTTTTATTGTTTTGTTGCTGTTTTTATTTTGTTAGAAATTATTGAACCAGACTAATGGTTCCTTTTGTAGAGATCTCATGAGTCCCTTTGTGCTCACCTACCGTCTCCTGGTCCTATGAGATCTTTATGCACAATAGTGAATGAAACAGGTTAGCCTGTATGCAGGTATGGGACTGTTCTGTGATTTGGCATGTAAGGACTTCACTAATCAGCCTGCAGAGGCCATCCTAATACTGTGAATATGCAGAATCCTAGAGGGAAAGAGCAGTCTGGCAGAATGGGAAAGGGATGGGGAGAGTATGTTGGAAAACATTGTAAATAGGCAGCAGTTTGTGGGGTGAGGTGGGGACTGCAGAAGGCAATGGGGGCAAGCTTCTGCTGAGGGGAAAGGTTTTTCACTGTTTTTCTTGGATTTAAAAAAATGTAATGCTCATGTGGCCTTGGTAAACATTCTCCACATCCAGATTGGCCTTCAAGTGTCCTAGTAATTAATATATTGGATCATTCTGGAGACATTAAAACACACCAGTTAAAATCATGCATTAATGAATGTGTCCCATGTTAAATGGTCTTGCTTCAAACCTAATGTGTGGTAGTACATACATTGGTAAAATCATAAGATAGTAAGATGAATATTGAGCTCTACAGGGCACTAAATGAATAACACAATGAATAAAACTGTGAATAACTTGAAATAATTTTTCTGTCTGTTCACTGCTATTTCCAGATCTTAAATTCTATTCCACATTAGTTTTTTATAGTAGGTACAGTGGTACCTCAGGTTAAGTACTTAATTTGTTCCAGAGGTCTGTTCTTAACCTGAAACTGTTCTTAACCTGAAGCACCACTTTAGCTAATGGGGCCTCCTGCTGCTGCCGCGCCGCCGGAGCCCGATTTCTGTTCTTATCCTGAAGCAAAGTTCTTAACCTGAAGCACTATTTCTGGGTTAGCGGAGTGTGTAACCTGAAGCGTATGTAACCTGAAGCGTATGTAACCGAAGGTACCACTATATTTAAAAAATTATATTTTGGCATATGCAATAGCATTGGCCTAGTTTCAAGATATGCTTCAAAAGACTGACCTCTGTGAGCTAGGGTCAATCATGTTATGAGAGTATTCCTCAATAGAGCACTAAGCTGCAAGGTGAAACTGACTACCAGTGTCCTTGGCACACCTGGCCTCACCAGCAAGGATCTTCATGATCCCCCTGCTTTATTGCTGAGAGCTTCATCCTTGCGCTTTAAGGAAGGCATACAGTATTGTACAGAGGCCAGGCTGTGGCGCTCATACTCGGTTTATGCATGCTCCACAACCATGCATCCTGTACTGCCTATTCTGATGTTGATCAAATACGTTAGTTGGGTCTGACCCAAAAGCCATCTTAGCTACAGCAATAGGATTTCAAACCAGGCTTGGAAAACAACATCTTTGTAAATGTTAACATTTGGCGCCGTGAAAAGGGTTCTGGTTGCCATATTGGGATGTATAAGACCTCTAAGGCAGCATTTTCCCATTCTCTTCACAGTTAGTATTCTCTTCAGGGTAGCACAAATGATTAAACAATAAAGTCCTCTATATAGTGTTTGCAGGCTTTTGCCAAAACACGTCGTCACTTAGTCTTCATAATACGATGCTTCTCCTCTCTTGCAGCCTCTGTTAGCACCCCTTGAAATGAATGGGCAGTTCACACCTCAGAACTATTGTTCCAGGCTGTCTGCAAGCTCAGGCAAACATCGCTGCATTGGTTGCACTTTGATCACATTCTTGGAAGGTTTTGTCTTCACAAGCATAGAGACTTCCTTTAGAGACTTCTAGAAATGAAAGATGAGACTCTGGAGGGCAATTGAGAGGCCTGCCCCTGCCACCCAACGTCCTAGTCCTTTGTTACCCCTGTACCCTCACACTTTGGGGGGAAACGCTGCTCTAGAGGGAGATACTGAGTTACCGTTGATCACCTCTAGCAGCAGGTACAGTGGCATTGCAATGTTGGCGGAGGCTGTTGGGCCGTTTGGCTGCAGAATTTGTGCTGTGTGCAGTTGCTGAAGCCCTGAGTGGAGGTCTGTGGTCTCAAAGGAGAGAGGTAGGTGAGACAGAGACCCTTCTCCCCACCCCACCCCCACTCAGATGACACATCTAGCAGGTGAGGGACCCTGCGATAGCCTTGATGGCAAGAGAGAAGCCATCTGGGGCTGGACGGAGGCTCCTCCCTGGCAGCGTGGTGTGGACAAAACAGAGCTGTTCTCCTTTTCAGGGGGGTCATCTCTCTGCCACACAGCTGCTTATAGCAGACGAGCACATCACTTAAGAGCTGTATATTCCTCCAGCGTCAACTGCCATTGCAGGGACTGTGATCCCTCCTCGGAGAGGCACTCTGTGTCTTTCAGAGGTGGGATGGCCTCTCCTTTGCTGCTCAGGAGGTGCAGAGCAGTTTGCTAGAAGCAGAATTTGCCTGTGGGGTCCAAGGCCTCTCTCCGATTGTGGCCTTTGATGGTGTCATTGCAGCCAGTATTTCAAAGGGCTGAGGTGAGGTGAACAGAGGGTAACTGTTGTGTGGGGCAGCTGGTACCCTCTGTGTGATAAAGCGGAGACTTCTCCATGTCCCCAAGAGAGTATAGCAATTTTATTGGTAAGGAAGGGGGATCCCATGCACAAGTGCATGGTCTCGCCTTCCTCATCACCAGACGCAGGAGCTGTTCGTAAGATGATGTTGGCTTCCTGCTGCCAAGCAGCTGTTAGGTACAACTTGTGACTGTGGAACATCCTTCTCTCTTCCAGGACTCATAACAATCTGTATATGCCAGAGATGGTGGCCAGGTTTGGGGAAACCTTTGCAAAGGCCTTAGACCTGCTGGAAGTGGAGAAGAATGCCATCCTAGGTAAGTATCTGCTCCTCTTCATTGCACTTCTACAGCTTGTGTGTTAATCTTTACAGCCTCTGTGTTCTCTTCAAGATGCAGAAATTGTTACGTTAGCTGCAGTCAGGGCATTCTGCTTAAAACAACCATATGCTGCATTTCTCTAGCTCAACAAGAGTTTGAAGTAGGCCTAGGCAAATGTAGTTACCCAAGGGTTGAGCTCCTGCCTGCTTGCCTGCCATGTGTGTGAGAGAGCAACGTTTTTTGTGCAAGATTTTTGCTGCCTTGATTTTTGCTGGGAACAGGAGTAGGCACCATGTCATATAATGACTGCGCAAGTAATGTTAAACTGTGATTTAGTGGTGCATGCATGAGCAGGAAGGAGCTGCCCTGATCCTTGGGCTGCCCACACACAAGAGAAAGACCTCAGCAGAATTTTGTTTTACTTCCCATGAAACGTGGTTTGTTGTTCTGTACAAACCAGAGTCTGGAGTTTAAAACAAATTCATTTCCTTTGTGTCACTCAAGATATGTCCTAAGCCTTTGATTTGCCTAGTTTTTCTAGCAAGATCAAAGAAGTTCCTGGCCCAGGAGAAGGGCTTTTTAATTTCTAGCTGACTTATTTGCCATCTCCTGGCTTAGTTGAGGAGGTTGAATTGGCCTAATAACACACAGGTTCACCATTTTCTGGTGGCCCATCACCAAGAGGCTTTCCAGATCTTAACTCTCAACCCCAAGGGTCAGGAACCTCAGGCCCAGGGGCCTAATGTGGCCTTTCGGGCGTTTCTGACCTCCCCACAGCCCACACGCCTCACAAGACTTTTTCTGCCACCCTCCTGCAATGTGACTGGAATGTGTCCCTGAACTGTGGTACTGCCTCTTGCTTGGTCTGGATGGAAAGGAGGGTGGGTATGTGTGTCGAAACCTCTGACTTGCAGGGCTGAAATGTGACCTACTGTACAAAAGGAAGAGTCACATCCGTTGCTGCTCCCACTTACGCCTCTAGCCCTGCCCCCACCATTGATATGCATCTGCCAGAAGGTTGCCCATGAGTGAATGCAGCCTTGGGGCTGAAGAAGGTTCCCTACTTCTGCTCTAAATTCACCACATTTTCAGAGGAGGGTTGACTTTTAGAGACGATCTGTACAATTGTGACATGGAGCTGGATTCTAATTCTGCCTCAGGGCCACTTCTTACATAAATCTTACAATGTGGCTAGCTCTATGTGCCTATGTAGCCTGTGCTCACGTCATGCCAGGTAGAGACGACTGCTTTAGATTTGTTTTGCAAAGGATCTTCTAAACCATTTCAGGCACTGATGCATCTTAAGTTATACAATCTCTGACACAGGTAGAAATGTATATGATTAGAATGTCCAAGTTGCTTTTGAGAAATTGTTAAAACATGCCAGCTTTCTTCTAGTTCAGCCTGAGATAATGTGACTAGAGTATCACATATTTTTTTCTGGCCTTCCTATCAGTTTTTAAAGCTATGGCAGCAGCGTTGCTCTAGATAGATCCTGCAACCCTGATTATATATCCACATCTGTGTTTGCTCCTTTTGGTGGCTCCCCAAACAGTCTCATTACATGATTTCCTGTAATAATGCTTTTTTCTTCCATTAGCATTTCATTTGCTTGTGGAGATGAACCTATTCACTGACAATATTTCACTCTTCTTAGGCCTTCCTCAGCCCCTGCTGGAAATTTATGACTCTCCTGTTTACAAAACAGTGCTGGAAAGGATGCAGGGCTTTTTTTGTACCCTGTATGACAACTGGTAAGAACTTCAATGATTTAGGAAAAAAAACTTGTGGAATGCACAAAAACAGCAGCAGATCAAAAGGCATACAGTGCAGTTTGGTGCCCTTTAACTACTATAATTTCTTGTCTCATGAACTTTTATTGCCTCATTCAATAAAACCATCACCGTCCCGGGAGCTGTTGGTGCAGCCTCACTCCCACCACCTTCCCTGGGCCTACTTAAGAAAGACCTGTGTGCCCTGAGGGAAGCCAGAAACAAGGAACCTCAGACAAGGAAACGGGCCATCGACTCCTGAGGTTGGCCTGAGAATATTTTGTACCAATTGTTTGTTCTAATATTTTAAATGTGTAAAGCACCTTGGGTGCCTTGGCCTTTGGGACAAAAGGGTTGGTATCAGTTTATGTCCTGCCTGTAAGCTTTGTAGGAATTTCCAACTGATCACTGTCGGAGACAGAATGCTGGACTAATTGGACTTTGGTCTGACCCCAAAAGGCAATCCTCCTGTTCACAAATGAATAAGCAAACACAAATCTGTATCTTCAGAGCAGAATGTCTTCCAACCTTCATGTTTGTTGTCTAAATTGAATTGTCTTTTGAATTGCAGTTTCCATGTCCTGGGGAATGCTGGCTCTTCAATGCAGCAAGATTTCTACACAGTAGAGGGCCTAGCAACTGAGCTGCTCAACTCTGCTTTTCTCAACCTAAGCAACATCCCTGACTATAGACTCCGCCCCATGCTTCGTATCCTTTATCTGATGTTTGTTGCTAGGCTCTCCTTCCAAAATCATTTTTGACTTCCTCTCTTTGTCCATGGCATGAGAGGTCTTCTTTTCAAAATAGTACTAACGATTTCCTGCTCCCTTTGCCTTCCTTCTGCACCTGACCACACCTGGTGCAGATAGTTCACTTCTCAGAAAAAATATCTGGAAAAGAGCAGAATATCTGGAGGAGGCATGTCTGCTAGGGTTTCAAAACAATATGGGAAGAAATGGCTCAGAATGGTTCTGGCTCTGTGTCTAAGTTGGAGATTTCCAATAGAGTTCCCAGTAAATGATTTTCCTGTCCAAACAACCACAGCAATTATCCTAGTTCTTCATCTTCACTTTCAGCCAAAATGGTAGGAAGCCCAGTTTGCAGAACTTGTGACCCTCTTTTCAGAATTCAGCCCTCCAACCATGTATTGTGGCCTGCCATGTGTTTAACTCCCTTTTTTTTCAAGGAATAAAAAGCCTGTATAAATCAGCCTTTCTTCTCAATTCAGATTTATGGAGCATTTTAAGTAGGAGCGGTTTGTGCAGTTGCCTGTACCGATCAGGCTTTGGGATTTCTGGTGATGGAGTTGGTCTCCTAGTCTGTTTATCATTAAAGGAGAGCTTCAGCCGCAGGGCTGGGTGGTTTAGTAGTTTGTCGTGTGGAAATGCTAATGCTTATGCTAGACTTCTTTAACTCACTCCGCACAGGTGTGTTTGTGAAGCCCTTGGTCCTTTCCTGTCCATCTGAACACTATGAATCTCTTATCTGTCCTATACTTGGACCACTCTTCACCTACTTGTATGTGGTAAGAAACAGCATGTGTATGACTTGCATCATTTGCTGCTGTTACTGGCCAGGGCTTCCAGACTTCGTTGTCGTTCAGGGTTCTGAAATGTATTTGTTACATTTACATCCTGCCCCTTCTCCAGAGAGCCCCGAGTTTCACTTCAGCAATATTGTATGAAGCAGGTTAAACTGGGATAGAATTTATTAAATTTGGTCACAGACCAGTTCCAGCTCACATACAATATCAGGGAAGTCATAAAACATGATAGGGATACATTTGAATTTGCAATTGGGTATAACAGGGGCAATACAGATATAGCAGCAGTTAAAAATATGTAAGTTAAATCTTAATCACTAAAATATAACCTAAAATTGTTAAACTGGGATATGGTGGCTTGCCCAAATACTTAGGTAATACTATCGTTGGGGACACATTTTAACCAGGTTTCCTGGATGCAAGACAACTCTCTAGAGACTAATGGTCACTGGCTCAGGCTTCAGATTTTAGCCCAACAACGAGGTCTAGGAGGCTTCATACTCTGTAGCAAGGTGAAGCTTAGTGAAATCTCAAAAGCTGAAGGGGCTGTTAGGTGCAGCTGAGCAAAATGTCTTGTAGGGAAAGGGAAGGCTTCCATGCCCTGCATAGTTCTCTGCTCATTTCCATAAATAGCAGAATCAGAATTGATAAGGTGTTACTTTGCATAATTTAAATGGATTACCAAATTTAGTTTTTATCGTCACATAATTTGGGTTCCCTTGACATGGAACACACACAGCCCTGAGTGTATCTCATTGATTGCCTTCATGTTATGCTACTGTTCTTTGTTCCTTTCTGTCAGAGGCTGTCCCAGAAATGGCAGGTGATCAACCAGCGAAGTGTGCTTTGGTAAGTGTGATGGCTTAAAGGAAACCAGGGGGACTGCTACTCAAAAATGCCACTTGATGTCTGCACTACTGCAGTCTCTCTGGAAGGGGGCAACCAAAGCAGTAACATTTTCTAAAACACCTAACACCGACAAAAAGATGTGGGGAAATTAAAAGGTTTTCACCTTGTGCCCAAGGTCAAAGAGTTCAGAATATCTTTTCTAAAGAGAGTGCGCCAAGGTCTGGGTGCCGCAACCAAAAAGATCCTTTCCCATGCTTCCTCTGATTGTGGAAGTGCATAGAGAAGGGCTCTGCCGACAGCGTCTAGTATCAGGCAGCTTCATGGGAGTGCAAACAGTCTTTTAGATTACCTGGGTCCCATGCAGTTATGGTTAAGACCAGCAGCTTGAATTATGTTCATAAATAGGCCAGAAACAGTGAGAGATGTTCCTTGCGGCTGTATTTTGCACAATTTTAAGTAGCCAAGTACTCATCAAAGGTAGCCCCACATATAATACATTAAAATAGCATAACCTGAGTGTTCTGAGGGCAACAATAACAAATACCAGATTGCTTCTGTCCAGGGTAAACGGACATCTACCTGAGCTGTGTTTTCTGTCACAGATAACCATTTGGGCATCAAAAGTAAAGGCTAGATCTAATTGCACCCCAAGTTATGAACCTGATCCTTTAGGAGAGTGCAACCCTGCCTAGGACAGACTGAACCTCACTGCCCAGGACAGATGAGCTACCCATCAACATTACCTTCATCTTGGTGATGCTATCATGCTCAGCTTCAGTTGTAGTCCTCAGGTCTATCTTGCTTTTCCTTCAGCAGTGACGAAGATGCAGCAGATGACAACCCAGAATCCCAAGAGATGTTAGAGGAGCAGCTAGTTAGGGTGCTTACCCGAGAAGTTGTGGATCTAATTGGTGAGTGAAACTGGTAGGTTGCATGAAAAGCCTGGGCCATCTGTAGTATGTCTCTCTGAGCAAAATAAATTCCAGTAGTAAGTTTATTTTGGGATTTGTGGGACCACAGTGGCTTGTTGTGACAATTCATAATCTTGTTTTTCATGCTCCAAAAGTGCTTCCATTGTCAAAGCTGTCATTTTTCAGTCTTATGCCGCACACCCAATTTAGGCCTAAATAGGGCCTAGAATACTGGTTTTCAGTCTGTGTTCCTTGGAAGTTTATTAATTCCTTAATTGGAGAAAATGGTAGTGAGAGACAAGGTGCCCAAAATGTATGGCAACGGAGTTGGGCATGTTGTACAGCACACTATATTGTCACACAGGGTGGCAGCAAGGCCAAAACAATTCTGCCAGCACCTTGTGGGATCTGATAGCATGACCTAAAATGTGGCCCAGAATCCTTTGCAATTTGTGGTGATTTTGCAGTAGAGGGACAGGACTTCCTTAGCAGATAAATGGCCGTAGAAATTGTTCCCTGAGAATAAGGAGTTTGGAAGCCACTGGCCTAAATAATTGCCATCCTTTTTGGAATTGGGTCTTATAGCTTCCTTTGCCATTTAGTTTAGGTGTCCAAGACACATAACCAAGCAATAGCCTTTCTCTAGTGACCTCCAGAGTGCTTCATATGTAGGTTTCCAGCCATACCAAACCTCTCACCCTGATGGTAGGCTTGGAGGAAATACTGTTCCATTTGAAATACATTTTGCTCTGCAAAGGTGGGTTTCACTCCTTTCCTCCTTATTATACATAATATATAGTAATATCTTCCTATAGACATAAAAATGCAAGGCTGTCATCATGCATAGCTCCCATTGGAAATCCCATCTTGGATTTGTGTGAAGTCAGGGTGGGGTATGGTGTTGAAGATGTGAGAGGAGAAAGATGCCGGAGGTTCCCACAGGAGTGGCCTATGTGAAAGGGAAATTGCACAAAGGATGGGGGAGGACACACGAACATGGGGGGCGAAGGTGAAAATGAGTACAAAGTGAGACTGGAGAATGGAAGAGAGGTGGTTTTAGAAATGGGGAGGGTGAAAAGTGAACTTAGTTGTTGCTTCAGGTGAGAAGGGGAAGCCCTAGGAGGTTAATGTGGAGGAATGCGAGGGGGATTGGCTAACAGAGTAAGGAGGGCACGGCCTCCAGTGCATTGATATACATTATATACATATAAAGGCATTGCAAAGGAAGAATTAAGTTGGGTAGTCCTGAGGGGGATGTGTAATGTCTTGTAAAGTGTTTTCCCCTGTGAATATCTCACATCCCCCCCCCCCGGTGTATTTGCAGCTGTTTGCTGTGTCGCAAAGAAGGGTGCTGAGCAGAACAGTGCTGTTGCTGCAGATGGAGATGGTGAGTAAACGGATTGTCCTTTCTGTTCCACATTTGAGGTCTTCTATTCTGGAGCAGATTAATCATTAAGGTAACCAATCTATGGGCTCTCAGTTTCCCACCTCAGCCATGAAGCTGGTGCCATGAAGAATGCATTCATGTTGCTTTTTCCCCCCGTAGATGAGGAGATGATGTCTACAGAGGTGACTCCACCATCTAATTCTGAGCTCACTGAATTGGGCAAGTGTTTGATGAAGCAAGAGGTAAGGAAGCCGAGCTTCCATTCCTTCCCTATGTTGTGTGCACATTTTGAAACAGACTTTCCTTTAGTAGACCCTTCTAAGCCTAAAACAGAGCTCTGAACTTTTATTGGAGAAACCCTTGGCCTTAGAAATTCAGTAACAGTTGTGAGCTTCAGTCAGCCAAATGTGCCCTCCGCCTATCAAGGTTCCTGGGCAAATCTGAGTCCGAGATGGCTGATTGTCCTGGACGAACTGGAAGGGCATCAGGGAGCTTTCATGGCTGATATGATCATAAATCCTTTTTCAGCCTTTTTTACTTTGGCCTTCTTCAATATCACAGCACATTGTACAATACTTACACTCAAGAGCCTTTGTTCTCAGGAACCAAGAACAAATCTCACAGGCTGCCACGTGTCTATCTTTTCTCTCTCCAGAATGTCTGCAGTGCGCTCCTGGTTACAGCCTTCACATCCCTTTCATGGAAAGATACACTGTCCTGCCAAAGAACTACCACAAATCTGTGCTGGCCGCTGCTCAAAGAGGTGCTTCCATTACAGGGGCTAGTAGGGTGGAGGGTGGTGAAGATGAATATGGCCAAGAGTTAGTGATTCCTTTTGGGCACAGTGTGCGTAGTATGAGTGAATCGTAGAAATCACCTTTTCTGGGAAGATGGGTAGAATCTGGGTTATCTTGCTACATGTTCATCTGTCTTCTGTAGGTGCTTACAAAGAACATGATGATTCCTGAAGCAGTGACCTGGTTTTTCAGAAGTGTATTGACAGGTTTACAAGTACATGGGCAACACGACGGGTGTATGGCAGCTCTCGTTCACTTGGCCTTCCAGATCTATGAAGCTTTGGTAAGGGGAAAGAATTTCTCTTTCTCTCTCTGTCTGCTGCCATCTTTGAGGATTAGTGGTGATGCAAGCCCACTGAACCACCCCCTATGACCTGATTTGGATCTGGGAGGGAGGCTCTTAATTTCCCAGGGCTTATGTGTTGGTTTTGTTCTGGTAACGATCCTTGTTCACTATCTTCTTTGCTACTTGAAGCGTCCACGGTATGCTGAGCTGAAAGCAGTGATGGAACAGATTCCAGAAATTCAGAAAGACTCCCTGGAACAGTTTGATTCCAAGCTACTCAACGTAACGCTACAGAAAGTAACAGACAAGCGCCGGAAGGACCATTTTAAACGCCTGATTGCAGGCTGCATAGGGGTAGGTTGTGGCATCAAGCAGCACAGAAACAGCTCTCTTTCCTACCTCCAGGGGAAAAAATGGAACCATGTTGTTGTTTTCATTTATTAATTGCTTCCCATGAGGCATCCCGAAGCAATTTACAACTCTCTCTACCTAGGCTACTGTTAGATCAGTGACAGCTTTTTTTAGCCTATTAGTCCTGACTCTAGGTCCCACCAGCCTCGGGTTAGTCACAACAGTAGCAAAACTCAAATGCCTTTCTCTTGAGATCTAGTTCTCTTTTTTTTTAAAAAAGGACCTAGGCATGTATTGGCTGCATGGATAAGTATACAGCTTCAGTGCAAGATCCACTGTGGTGTAATTGTTAAAGAGTTTTGGACTAGGACTTGGGAGACCCATGTGTAAAATCCCCACTCAGCCATGAAACTCACAGGGTGACCTTGGGCCTGTTGCTCTTCCCCAACCTAATGTACATTTGGGAGGATAAAATGAGGAGGCGGAGAACCATGTTTGCCACTTAAAGCTCCTTGGAGGAAAGATAGGATATATAATAATAAAAATATTAAATAATCACAGTTTGAAAGCACAATATGCTGATCTTTAGAGCAAAGGTTAAAAGTACCTCTCTCAGAGCTTGTAATTGGTGGCAGGCCAACTGTTAAGAATGCATTAGCAAGGAGAAAGGTAAAGGGACCCCTGACCATTAGGTCCAGTCGTGACCGACTCTGGGGTTGCGGTGCTCATCTCGCTTTATTGGCCGAGGGAGCCGGCGTACAGCTTCCGGGTCATGTGGCCAGCATGACTAAGCTGCTTCTGGCGAACCAGAGCAGCGCATGGAAATGCCGTTTACCTTGCTGCCGGAGCGGTACCTATTTATCTACTTGCACTTTGACGTGCTTTCGAACTGCTAGGATGGCAGGAGCAGGGACTGAGCAACGGGAGCTCACCCCGTCGCGGGGATTTAAACCGCCGACCTTCTGATTGGCAAGTCCTAGGCTCTCTGGTTTAACCTACAGCGCCACCCGCATCCAGCAGGGAGAAAAGTCATTAGCAAAGATAGCATTTTGTTGCTGGCATGCAGCAAGTCAACTCTTTGTTTCAACAGAACTGATAGAAGGATGTTGGCAAGGCTTAAAGTACCTTACAGACACTTGAATTGGCTTTGACCCTATCATGGCTCTACCACCAGTAGCCCAGGAAGGTTGAGTTGTTACAATCTCACAATTAAAGGGTTGTGGCAAAATGAAAGTGTTGTATTGGCATGGGAGATATTTTACTTTTTCAGCAGAGGAAATTTTACTGGAGTTATTGTGCATGTGCAATGCCTAATGGAGACTTCTCTTGTTCCTTACAGAAGCCCCTTGGAGAGCAATTTAGGAAGGAAGTTCATATCAGAAACCTTCCCTCTCTTTTCAAGAAGGTGAAGGCACCCCTAGATACAAATCCATTGGAAAATGAAGATGGAACCCTCATTGCGCTCTTTGAGCAATAGAAGCTCAGGACACTTTCACTACCCCCTTTTCTATTCTGTGTTCTTTCACAGTAGCCATTTGCCTACTTTGTCTACTCTTCCCCCTGTGTTTGGATTCAGCTCTCTCACTGGCCCCCCAGCTCTTTCTGCTTCGGAGGCTGGAGGACTCAGCTCTTTCTGCTTCGGAGGCTGGAGGACTGAGTTTGTCCCATCCCATCTACTACACAAAACCTGTTGGATTTCCCTATTTCCATTTGCAGCTTTATTGCACAACCTCATTTTCCTTGGATGGAGCCTAGCCATTCAGCCCTATCAATCAGTGGACCAGTTCTGTCGGAACTAACTTTCACATGGGCACACAATGCTTTTCCAGCGAAGGCAGCATGCTGCCAGATCTCTACTATGTCTTCAATCAGGATCCCTGCACTGTGGCTGCCTCAATATGGCACTACCAGAGGACTCGTCTGCTTCCCTTTGGAAAGGCCCAGCTCTTCCAAGTTAACCCAAGTCTGCACACTGAGCACTGCTGAACCTGCCAAGTCTCGGCTGACTTCATGTTTCTCTAGAGAAGCAGCACTCTGCCATATATCCCATCAAACCGGAGACAGTTCAGGAACTGAAGTCTCTTTTACTGTCAGTTTGGCTCAGCCGTACCTCAGGAAGCCTGAAGTGAACTATCGGTCCTCGTTTGGCCTAAGAACATTATCAAAATCGTATCCTAGCTTGAACTCTGGTCTTTGCTGTCAGACGCCCGAGTACTGTAGACGACAATAGCCCAGGGATACTTTGTGCTGGTCTGAAAGAACAACTAGGATGAAATGCTACATTTGGGGGTGCAGCAGCAGAGTTCTGGATTATTCTCTGCAGTGCCTGATGGTTCAAAATGCCTCCAAATAGGACCTTAAAGTAGGTTTGGGTTTGCTTGTTTAACATAGGATTCCTAGCCAGCTTTAAGTTTAAATCTTCAGCACTAATTTGGTCTTTGCTTAACAACTGCCGCAGTAGTTTAGCTGGAGATGCAAAAGAACGTTCATTGGAGAGAAGTACCGGTATGTTTTTAAGTGGCTTTGCAGTGCATAGATCTGGTCACATTAACAGAAAAGTGTGAAGGAAGCAGGCCTTAAGCTGGTGTTCAGATCCTCACTAGTACCCCCAAATCTACTCCAACTTCCGTTTACCCTCTTAAAGTCTTGATCTCAGTGTAACTTTTATTAAAACAAAACTGCCACGACAAATAGCGTTGAAGTCTAGCCTAACTGTATTTATTGTGTCATGAGTATATTTTTAATTTTCTGTGGCCATAATAGAAAAAATAATAATAATGTTAAGGGGTTTTGGTAGGGATGTTGTATCTAAAGATGTCTCCAATCAATTGTGATACACCTCTGAATGTCAATAAAGCTCTTTCAGTTTTATACATAAATTCTTGGTCCTGGGTTTATTCTCACTAATTTGCAGTTAGCAACTCTTCTCATGTTTGAGTTTTACAGCAGCTTTTTTACTATGGCAAAACTTTTATAGGTCAAAAGCTGCAAGATTACATTTGCAGCTGGAAAGCTCACAAAAGTTATTTAGTCTAAATGTTCAAAGGTAAAGTTCATTGCTAAAATTATCTTGGCTATTCATTCTGAATACGGGGTAAAGATCAGTCCCTTAAGCAGATAGTTTATCACACTCCTCAACAGTTGAAATTGCCAAGCTACATATAAGCTATTAGATCAATAATCAGCCCAACTGCACCTCCGTTCATGTATTAAAATAAAGCAGAAGATAAAAAAATCAGCTTACTCCATAGGCAGTTGAGGCCTCAAAAATTATTTAATAAATAATAGAGAAGCTCAATGACACCATATTTTTTAGAATTCTGCTATTTGAGTGGCAGAAGAATCATCATAGGCATTAGACCTTACTGTGTAGCACCTTTGAGATTATCCATCAATATACATCAGTGGAAAGTTAATAATGGCAATTCTCAGAAAAGGCGGTCCTGTTACAGGTCTGATGTAGTCTTTAAAAAAGCAACTTAGAAGATACTACAATTGCTGGAGTCTACCCATCTTCTGCTTGCAGGCTATTTTTTATCCACTCATGATATATCTGGCAAATTTGGTCTTTACAATAAGCTGCATAGTGGCATCACATATCCCTGCCTTTTCAGCCACAAAAGTAAAAGGTACACAGCCACTTGCTTCAGTCTTTCACATCTGTGGTAGAGGGTCCGTTTCTCCTTGTCTATTGACCCAGACTTGGTTGACACCCTCCTTCATGACACAGCTGCAGCGATCCCAACCAAGTGAATCCTTATGCTGAACTTTTCAAAAAGAAAAACTTATTTCTTTTGGATGAATTTAAGCTCCTCTAGGAACTGCTGACACTTTCCTATCAATACCTTGATTGCTTCACTCATCAGCACATCTGGAGGCAAGACACCTGTTGACTCAACAGAAACTGAAGAAACGGGATAGAATTAGATCCAAGGTAGCCAGTTTAATAACTGAAAATACCAAAAAAGAAAAAAAAACCCACCCCAAAACATGCTCCAGGCAAGGCAACTCAATTGGCAACATAATGCTTCAATGCACTTTGTGGTCTTATGCTCTTGTTAATAACCCTAAAAATTCAGAACAGTCTTAACATCCAATGGGGGTGGTGGGATGAGAGGATATTTCTGCTCTTTGAAAATCTTTGTTTTTGTAACCATCAACCATGTAACCATCAACAACACTGAACTGTTTTTAGATTTTTAAGCACGGTTGAGGGGTAAGCTTAAACGTTTGAAGCCTGAAATCTGGTGCTAAATCTGCAATCCTGACTATTTAGAAATAACTCATATTTATGACTTACTCTCAGGTAAGTAGAAATTAGGTTGAAGCCTTACTCAGCTAAAATGATTGCTAACTTTGTTTCACATCAGTACATACATAAACAGATTTTATATAGAACTATGGTAAAAGCATAGAAAACTACTTGAGGTCCCTTAGACGCATGACTACCACCCAGTTACTACATATAGTAAAATGTCAGAGAAAGGGGCAGCGACAGAAGCATTTGAAGGCTTACTCACAGATGTAGTGATCTCGCACCCGAGCCAAGCGCACAAGGTTTTTCAGGTCATTGTGACGAAAAATTTCTCTACTGAATGTGTCCAAGCGAGCGTTAGCCACTCTTGCCACTTTTTGCCCTAGAGAAACAGACCAACACTTAATATGCTAAACAGGCATGCTAATGTGTTTGCTGAACCTTCCCTCTCTACTGCTGAATTACGACCCTTTCCGCATCCCAAAGACAAGGGGCATATATTGTAATGGAAACAGTTTCAAAGAATTTCCTCAAGGCCAGAGCAGTGGGGCCAAAGGTGGCATTTTCCAGGCTAGCCAGAGGGCAATTACAGTTTAATCTTATTATGCATAACAACAGGCCTCAAGGGAATTTTACTCCCCAAGTATGTGTGCATAAATCATATTATTATTTTAAGGAACTCACCAAGACCTCAAAGAGAGTTTTCACAAGCTAAAGTTATCCTGGCATGTTGATGGTCAGATAGGATAGGATCCCTGAAACATTGTGCAGACAACAAGCAGAAGGAAAGAATCGTAGCCCCAAGTTTTCAATTTCTACAAACCACACTCGACAAAATACCTGGGGGGCAAGGTGCTGTAGGCCAGAAATGAGACCTCAGAAGAATACACATTTACCCAGACTTGGTATAGAGATGGGGTATCAGCCTTTCTGGTTTTCTCATCTCAGTAAACATAGCCTCTGGTTTTTGCAGTCTAGGATAGAAATTGGCCCTCCAGAAACTGTTGGATGCCAAGTCTCTCTCATCAGTCCCAGTCAGCATGGCAAAGTCAGAGATGATGGGAGCTACAGTCTTAACAGCTTCTGGAGGGTCACAGAGTCCTCAAAGGGGAGGAGGTACAAAATACCTTTGATTTCCTGGACCTCAATAACCCCAGCAGAAAAGCAGTTCTTCAGCCTCTCAGCTGCTTCTCCTTCGATAGGCTGTAGTAGAGTGATTTCAGGCAATAGCCGGTAACTTGCTGTAGCCACTGGAGAAAACTTTGCATGGTCTTTACCTGAGTAAAGAGAGTGTTCATTAAATAAAAAATTGGAGAGGGACAGTTGGTGAGAAACCTAGAACTGCTGTTTTTATTTAATCAGCCACCTAAACTTATATGCACAACCAGTTCCTTGGTGGTTAATAATTCAAATTACCTGCACTACCCGAAACTGGTTAGAAATCAGGTCATTTGTAATTCGAAACAGAAAGAATCTATTTCTGTTGCCTCATGATGGACCACACACATACAGACTTTCATTAGCTGCAGAGACATGCTTTAATATCCATTCACTTGTGCAACAGGGCTTTCAGTTTCTCCTCTCCCACTGCAGTAGCTCAGGCAGGTGCCCCCTAAAATCTGCTCCAGAGAGTCACCCAATCTCTGGATTGGTAGAGGGTAGACGGGTGGACTCTTTTTGAAAGACCGCCACCCTTCAGCATCAGGCACAGAATGTTCACAGCACCCAGTTACATAAACCCATCAGTATCTTTTAAGCTAGGAAAACCCTTGCTAACTAATTTGAGTTTCCAGTACAGTGGTACCTTGGTTCTCGAACTTGATCCATTCCAGGAGTCTGTTCGATTCTCAAAACTGTTTGAAAACCAAGGCGTGGCTTCCGATTGGCTGCAGGAGCTTCCTGTACTCAAGCGGAAGCCGCATCAGACGTTTGGCATCCAAAAAACATTCGAAAACCAGAACACTTACTTCCAGGTTTTTGGTGTTCGGGAGCAGATCTGTTTGTCAACCAAGCCGTTCAAGAACCAAGGGTCCACTGTACCTATGCTAATCCAGATTGATTCAAATTTATACCTGGCATGTCAAACTAGTAACAAGGCTGATTAACATGTCACATTCCTAGACACAAAAAGCACCACCACTTTCCCTCCAAAGCTATGTACAATCTTAGATTGGTCAACCTAAGTTCTAGGATGCTTTTCCTTGGCTGTTCCACACAATTTAGTCTTTTACCTTCTGAAAATGGAAGTCTATAGTGCCAGTCCTGCCAATGTAGATACTATTCCCATGGATGTGTGCCATCTTCAACCATCCTCAAAATACTGTTATTTGGTTATTCAGGCAGCAACCTTTTTAGGTGCATCCAATTGACGTGCGATGGCAGACGCGAGCCAGGAAACTAACTCCTGCACAAAAAGGTTGCCGCCCGTACTTTACACAGCCCAAAGGTCACAGGCAGATCTTTAGCAATGCAAAGAGGTGAGAACTGCAAGGTTTCACCATGGACCAGAGACAAGTTTCCTCCTTAAAGCAAAGGCAAACTACTGAACAATCCAAAATGCCCATTCCAACAAACCAAAGACATCCTATCCTCTTGTAAAAAGGATCCTAGCAAAACACATCTTGTAAATCACCAAGGAGCAAATACTAGCCAAACCCAGAAATCTCAGTGGTCCCATGCCCCACATTTCCAAAATGTTTGCCAACTCCATCCCAGCTCTCCAGCTGCCTCACCAATTCCTTTGACACAGTGCATAAGTACATCGATCTCTTGGCCGGGCCGCAGCTGGGCAATGAGGATGTCGTCATGTACAGGACGGAACTTGGCATTCATGTTGTCGGCCTGAGAGCCCAGTGGCACCCATTCCATGTGCTTGCTGTAAACTGAAAAAAGAAACGGCCAAAAAAGACTTGCGTCTGTAACAAGGCAGACAACTGAATCAACTCTTAACTCCTTTCTCCACAAAAGGAAACAAACAATAGGCTGGAAGCTGGGGAAGGAATAAAGCAATTAATAATGCATAGCAAGCTCTGGTGTTGTCATCTCAGAGCTTCAGGAGTGAGCGAGCAAAGGGACTGGGGACTGTCTCTCTCATGACACTAATAGCAGAAGAAGGAGCAGCTTTACCTTTATGGTTGATATACAATTCGTTAGGGTCAGACGATTCCTTGGCTGCCTGAGGATTCCTGTGGCACTTTATTTTCAACTGGAATTGCAGAGTGTTAATTTCATCACATTCGTCTTCTGCAAAAGGAACGGAAGAATAAACTGAAGTTACCCTGAGCAACTGCCGCTTCCACTGGATGCCCAGGTTCTTCTGGTGCAGGGGATGGCTAATCTTTTGGGAGGCCAAGCATTGCATTGACCCACAGTCAGCCACTGGAGGCCAGGAGTCAAAGTGGGTGTGGCCAAAGTATAAGAGTGGGTGTGGCCGACTTCTAAGGGATGCCTTTTTTTAAAGACACATTTTGTTGGGGCACAAATAGCTTTTGGTATTACGCAATCACAGCAGTGGAGTCATGGGTTAGTAAAATAAAATAATAATACATTTTTTTACTGGACAAATTGCAGAGAAGGTTACAAAAATCCTTTTGGCACTGTAATATCACGGTGGGAAGGGAACAGTAAAAAATAAATAAATTGTGGGGGGTTTTTAGTGGGCTGTATGCAGCCTGTAGACTAGCCACCACTGTTTTAATTTCTAGTCTGTCGTAGCCAATGGGATCTTCCACAAATTCTTCTCACCTTCACTCTTGTATTCAAAGAGACGAGGATCTGCACAGATAGGGATCAGTCCCAAACGATGAGCTAGAATTTCATCCTGCACAATGGAGGTGTTATTGTACACAAAGACCTTCTCCACGGCCATGGTTGGCACCTAAGCAAGAGTAAAAAAAGGTCATTTCAAATCAATATCCAGACACATTTCCTCTCAAAGCAGCAGTCCTCAATAAAGAGCTACAGCGATCATTTCAGCCCTACCTGCATTGAAAGAGGTCGTGGTGCGGCTGCTCCTAAAGACGCTAGCTCTGGACCCTTTGGATTGGAACAGGATCAGCCAGAATACCCCTTTTGGGGGAAGCTGGTGGAAAGGGCCATGGTGGGGCAGCTGCAGGCATTCTAGGAGGACAACTTGGGACCAGTTTGCCTATGGGATCACCTTACCCCACATGTGCCCACTTGACCCCTTCAAATGGCAGAATTGGAACTACTACAGATGCCATGTAATACCTTTTTGAAATAACTTGGTTATTTAGTGTGTGTAAGTTCCCTGCACTTTGGAACTCCCAGTGCCTGCTAAAAATATTCTGGTTTAGACAAGCCCAGCCAGATGCTTAGGAAGCTATGATGATTTTAATCTGTTTCCATGTTTTAACCTTTGTGTGTTTTAAAGTATGGCTGTGGTTTTTTCTCGGTTTTGTTGTTTTATCTTTTTGTAAACTGTTTTGCAGGGGGTTTTTTTACAATGAAGTGGTGTATAAATAAAGTGAAAGTTTGTTTAAAACTTCACTATTGGATTTTAAATTGCTTTAACCTGCCCTGGAACCATATGGTAAAATGTGGGTAAGAAATCAAGTAAAATTAATAGATGAGGACCAGTTTAGTGCATTGATGAGGACGCTGGGCCAGGAAGTTTGTCTACACCTCACCATTAGCAAACTCCTCAAGGATGGTTTAAAATATTACCAAGGTGTATTATTTTGAGAATAAGCTTGTGTGATTCAGCAAGTGGCCTATCTACTCCATTAGTCTGTTTGCAACAAAGACTAGCCAGGTGCCGCCAAGAATCTCATAAGCAGGGATGCTACCATTCATTCGTTAGTATGCAATGCAGGGGACTAAGATTTATAACTCTACAATTCTGTCATAAGAATTTGAAAGTTTTGTGTAGTCACATTGGCCAAGAGCTGTTCCTTGATCCATGCTCTATGAAAGTGCCTAACACCAATGGCCACTGACATATCCAATAAAACACTAAAAATCTGATTTATACAAATTATCCCCAAAGGATTAGATAATCTATACACAGCACCAAGCTTGCTGTTCCAGACAACAGTTTTTCTAGATTCTAATGGCATCTGAAATTCATGAATGTCTGCTTGCTTTCCACAACAGAGAAGTATATTTTAAACATTGCAACGTTCAGAAGTGTTTCTATATATTTCAAATGGTTCTCAAGGCCTCCCATCTCATTTTGCCCACATTACTCTTTAACTAACCTACTCAACAGATTCCCCCCCCCAACATATTTTTGTATATTTTCCAGGGAAATCTGAAATACATTTATTGTATATTCTAAAACAACTCAATTCTGGCCTTTTTGTACTTGCAGAAAGGAGTAGCAGCCAAACCTGGGCCATAATGTTCAACTAAAGGATTATCTTGCAAGTGTCTTATTAGTTGCTTGGGAAGAGAAATTGATACCTCAGCAAGCAAGATGCGTCGGAAGGCATTAGCAATGGCAGCATCAATCCCCACCATGTCAAATTCCAGAGTGCTTTCATCCATGTGCGTCACATCTACTCTGAAATTCTGTTGGGGACAAGAAGGACAAGTGTTGAAAATGTACATTGTTTGTAGGCTTAATGTGATAAAAATGCCTTAACTGGCATGAAATAAAATGTGGCAAATAACCCACACAACCCAAGGACCTATGGCTGGTGCTCACTGGAAACCGTAGGGTGGAAGGCAAGGAGTCCAACATTAGGTGACACCACAGCCAATGTCAGATAGAACCAACTAATTTTAGCTTTGCTACTATCCACCTCCCTCCTGAGTCGTACAAGAACACAGAGATCAAGCAGGAGGAGGTTCATGGCCAGTGCCACCCCCTGGACTGGATGTAAGGAAGAAGGCAGGCAGGTGAGGACTGGTTCAGGTTTAGGTGAGATGGGTAGGGCAGTGCCATACTTCTTCTAAGAGACCACCCTCCACTGACAACAGTGCAATACGACACATAAGCGTAAAAACTTAATGACAGAATGGGCAAAGGGCAATTGAACCAGAGCGAAATGTTTGCGTGAATAAACATGTTTTAACTGCCATTGGAGACATTATAATGAAGGTGCCTCCTGTATCTCTGACTGAGAGTCATTTGCCTACCAGCAGCATCATTCTCAACAAACCTCAAACTAAGATGCACTTTTTCATTTGTGTACCTTTGAAAAGCCTCCTGCAGCACACTTTAAACCCACAGCCCAGATGCATAGTGTCCAACTAGGCTGACAGCATTTCTGAATTCTTGTATGAACAGTAGTACTACAGCCTGAACAAAGCTACAAATCATTCCTAACCACTGGCCATGCTGGCTGGAGTGATGAGATTTTTGATCTCAAACATCTAGATGTGATCAGGTTGGAGAAGGTTGACCTAGAAAGACAGGATATTCCACAACCCTACATGTTGCTATTTTTGCATGCCCCCACAATCACTGAGTGATGCAAGATTCCAGGGGTTTAGCTACTTGCCCAGGATTCATGTTTCCTTTTGAAAATGAGGAACAGTGGAGATTGTGGCGTCTTTCCAATATATGGTTTATTTACACATATATACAACCTGAGCCTCCAATGGAGGGTCTTGTTTTTCCCATAGCCGCAGACTTTGATTCAATCAGAAATCAAACATTGCTCTCAAACGTTGTTATGACTCTCCCTCCAGCTCACTGCTGTAGTTCTATGTCACCTCACTGCCAACTCTCAATTCTTGCTTTTGTCTTTTTCTAGTTACCAGTCAGTTGAGGGAGGAGGGCATCCATTTGCTGTCTCACACAGATCCACTTTCCTTTGTTTCCTTTAACGGCCCATCACACTGGCTATCACCTCAACACAGGAAGCTATCCCAGCTTATACTTTAACCTTGCTGGATCCAGGGGTTAGAAGGGAGCCGTATACAGCCTTCTTCCTCCCACCCCAAATTTATAACACTATGAAGGACATCAGTAGGCACAAGAAAAACCATTAAGAAGTGGGAAACCTGGGGTTCTCCAGATGTGCATGGACTACAACTTCCATCATCCTTAACTATTGGCCATGCTGGCTGGGGCTGATGGAGTTGGAGTCAAACAACATCTGGACGGCCACAGGAGGGCCATTGGAGGGGGGATCCCTGGCCTAAAGGAAACCAGCATTTTAGAGTGTCCAATAGGAAGATGTACAACCCATTTACTTAAGCACCAAAAGTACTCACCTTTTCAAACTTCTCCTTGTCCCAGGCATCATCATATCCAGAGTAATTCCCAGGAAAGTCTGTTGTGTGGACCTGGAAGAAGAAAAGACCACAGCTCAGTGGTATAGCATGTAGTTTGCACCCACAAGGTTCCAGGCTTAATCCCCAGCTAGAGCTAGGAAAGGCTCTTGTCTGAAACACTGGAGAGTCACTGCCAGTCAAAGTATATGATACCAAGCTAGACAGACCAAGGGTCTGACTCAATGTAAGGTAGATTCAGATGTTCAAAGGGCAGAACGAGTGGCAGATATTCACTTTACGTAGGTATCTGCAGCACAAAGGGAGAGAGCAGAATTCACACGTGTGTGTTACTGGTCATCTAACGATTGCCCAATAAGTCGACTTGCATGTGGAAAACAGGCAAAACTTCCCAAGCATCTCAGACACATCACTTCAACTCTAACACATCACTTTGTTTTTAATGAAGCCACTTCATATATGCCAACCAAAAGATGTTTTCTGTACGAGTACAGTATTTTAGTTGGATTTTTGCATTGGGTTTTTATTTTGTAATGGACACCAGTCATTAAAAAGACGGTATAAATAATAAAATAAATATATATGACTCGTTGAGCAGGAACTACGCCTGTCCACACCAAAGACTGGCGCCACGCGTACGCAACACGCAGCTCTCGACGCGTGTATCCCTCTCAGTCCCCATGAAGCCCTACACTGAGCCCTTTAGCTGCCTCCACTTCGGGACCAGAGGCTGTCGCTCCTCCGGCACCTTTCCCGCTCTTTGACTTACGTTGCGGACGCCAAACTCGCCCAGGACCACCCGGCTCCGCATCTCTTCCACGCTCCTGGACGCCGCCATCTTCCCCTCCACCGGCTGCGGAAGAAGCACGCAGCGGCGGCGCGCGGCGTCGAGTTTTGTTTTCAGGAGGAAGACGGGGGGGGGGCGGGGAGAGAGCAAAGCTTTCTGCGTCACGTGATACAGGCCAGCCTATGGCTAAGGCACGTTCATAGACCGAAAGGAAAACACGTTGCTCGCATTCAACCTGCCATGTTGTGCGTGGCGTCAATAAACGCTCTTTGTATCGGTTTGGCCTAGAGCTGAATACATATTGGCCTCGAGTGCTACCTGCTAGGCTTTCCTTTTCCTCTCTGTCCGTCTCTCACATACCACGGCTTCATAGGTCCCTCCTTGTGCAACCTAGTCCGGAGCAACCAAGATGGCGCAAAGGATAGGTCTCCTGTCACGAAATGTCGCGAGAGCTCCTAAGTCTCCACGTCCTCAGCTTGGCTGGGACGGTCCATAACCTTATTGGGGAGGGTTGCCTTGGCTTCGTTACATCCGGGTCCCTCTCCCTGTATCTCCAGTCGGGGCCCTGGTTTCCTGTATCCTCCGCTAGTGGGGTGAGGCAGGAGGGCGGGCGCCTGCTCGCTCCCCGCAACTGGTGGCAGGAAGATGTCCGGACCCGGGGTGCCCACGGCCGCAGGCGCCGGAGGGGCGAGGAGTCCTGGGGCGGCTCCGGAGTGGGGAGCCTTCGAGGACAACATGCAGGTATGGGAAGGAGAGAGGGAGGAGAGAAAAGGGGTGCAGGATAGAGCACCATCCGCGATGGTGTATGTACCCTGCGGGTTACGTTTACGCTGCCCTGTTCCGGAGTAACTTAATCCGGAGTAACTGCCACCCTTCACATAATCATGGAAATTTACCCCGTTTCGGGGTAAAGCCATCAACCAACCCGCCAAGATGCTATGGGATTTACAATATTAGATGAGGAATGGGGTAAACTATGGTCAGATCCAACCCCACAGATCAGCTTCAGTCCAAGTAAAGGAAAACACATAGGTGGCATTTATGTCTGCAACGTTTGGCTAGAATTACAAAAGAGGGAGATCTGTCTATCTATCTAATGTATTAAGACCAACCACAACAACCCACCAACCTGCTTCAAATGCTCGTCTTCTACTTGAAAGTTTGGGGAAGTAGTAATTATTTTCATAGCTGGCGGCTGTCAGTCAGGGCCGTACACCTCAGTCCTAACCATGTTTCCTCAGAAGTATGTTTTGTTGAATTCAGTGGGGCTTACTCCCAGGTAAGTAGGATTAAAATTGCAGTCATAAGTGGTACTTGCTTTCCTCCAGTCCTGCTGGAGTTGATTTGAGACTGCCACATCTGGTATTGGAGGACTGCAAAATGTTTTTGGTTTTTAGCAATCTGTACACACACACACACATATATATCCAACCAAAATGTACTTCAGGGAGGAAGATGTTCCGGTTTAAGGAGCTGACTGTCAGTTAGTTTCAGGCATGGATGCCAGGCCTACCGATGTATTATTTATGGCTTCAGTCATAGAATCATAAACTTGTAGAGTTGGAAGGAGTGCTGAGGGTCTTCTGGTCCAAACCCCCTACAATGCAGGAATCTCCACTAAAGCATCCATGACAAACGGTCATTCAACCTCTGCTTAAAAACCTCCCGAGGGAGCCCATTCCACTGTCAAAGAGCTGTTAGTGTCAGAATGTTTTTCCTGAAGTTTAAGTTGGACCCATATATAATGTAGGGGAGAGGTGGGGAAGCAGCATCTTGTAAAATGTAAAATTTTGACTAGCAGCTATCAGGAAATTGTGCCACTATTTAGGTAAAATGTCATTCATTTTATGCTTTGTTAAGTTGTCCTATGAATATTTATGCTTACAACATATTCAAAACTTCATTAAAATGTGCCACAAGGATATTAAGGTGAGAGCAAGGCGAGGCTCCTTGAGAACGTTCCTGAGGTGTGGGATTGTATCTGAGAAGGCCTGCTTCCTGATTATCAGGGCCTTGCTTTAAGCAGTGAAAGGACCCATAATTACTGTAGTGTACAGACTGGTTTAGGTGAGAGCCAGTGTTAGAAACTGGGATAGAAATGCTAGGAACCAAATGGCTTCTGGGACCTGGGTTGTGGGCATCAAAACAGAATGTCTAGTCGCCATTTGCTGGCGGGGGGGTCGGCACCACTTTTTATGTATTATTTTGATAAGCATGAATTAATACGCAATTCACGTAAGTGGCACATTTTTAGCAGAAATTGTTAATACATCTTTAATTTGGTGTTTACAATAAAAAATACTCTTTATTGTTAAACTCCTTAACATATTGTCTATCCTTAACATTTATTTTGAGTCTTCAAAGCACATGCGTTTCAGTAATCCTTGTGTGTCAGCCAGGCACAAAAAATGGCACCCAGCTACCTTTAATGCTTTGCATATCTTTGCTTAATTCAGGGCGGGGGCTCTGCTGTAATTGATATGGAAAATATGGATGATACATCTGGCTCCAGTTTTGAAGACATGGGTGAGATACACCAACGCATGAAGGAAGAAGAAGAAGTGGACGCAGAGGCGGCAGCTGCAGATGAGGAAGATGGCGAGTTCTTGGGAATGAAGGGCTTTAAGGGTCAGTTGGGTCGGCAAGTAGCTGATCAGGTAAGCTGCATTCTACTTGGTTTGTTCTTGCTTCTCTGCTGTGAAGAAGTTCTAAGCCCAGGAGACTGCTGGTTCCTGCAAGCTCATTGACTGTAATCCTCTAAGGACAATGATTGGCGTTTCTTCCAAAGCATAGACTTGGGTTCTATGTTCACATTTGTCTTTCTCAGATGGACAACATATATTCTGTGACCTGCACATGGGCCACAGGCCTTGCTATATGCATGCAAGACAGTGCAGCCAGAACTAGATTTATAAAAACCTATTACTCAAAATTAGATTTAGCTCCTGTTCTTTTAACCCACACAGTAGAAAACAGACCGTTTATTTCTCTTCTGGTTGGAGAAACATAAGCTAGACTTGTAAACTTCTTTGACACTTTTTTTTTTTTTACAATCAAGCAGTATATAAATAAATTTTATGAAAATAAATAACTGCATATCCCCCTGTCATGCTCCAGGGGGTTCCCTCTGGGGCTGGAGTCTCAATCCCAAGAGGAAGAGGCCTCTTCATGAAACACTCACTAAGGGCGGCAGGGTTGAAGGTGCAGCACAGGCCAAGTAAGCCTAAGTCAAGCACTGAAAATCAGTCTAGTTCCAAAATGTGATCCAGAGGAAAGGTCAGGCAACAGCCAAAGCTGAATATCATAGAAGTTCAGGCACGGGAAAGGAGCTGAAGACCTGCATTGTTTCCAATGGGGCTCAAGAGGGAGACCTTATATCTTGGGCTTCCTAGACCACACCCTAACCACAACTGCTGGTAGTAAAGGAGTTCTATGGGACTGCTTACTCACCAGTAGATGCTTCACAAGCCATGCTATGGCTTTGGGTCCAAAGACCTATGCTATGTCCTCCCTCTTCAACCTGCCCCTTTTGGCGGCAGCATTTTCAAGAACTGATGGGTGGTTTCACCTGCTCCTTTGACAGCTCCAAGCCTTCCTTCAGCAGGGCCCCTTGAAAGGATCCTCAGCACTGGTTCCATGAGTCCCTGCCTGCTCCTCAAGGTCCTCAACCTGTGGACTGTCTGGTTAACTCTCCAACAGCTTCATGTCTGGCATTGGGTCTGGCCAGGCATGACACCCCCTCTATTGCACAATCTTGCATTCCTCGTGAGAAACTGAGCAAGAATCAGCAACATGCCTGAGCCTTCTCCGCATTCATTTGCAGAGGTAGTAGTCTCTACCCACAGCTCCAAACTAGTTGTTGCACAACTACAAAGATCACTGATGTGCAGTGCATTCTAAAATATGGCATGAATGTTGATCCCTGTGCAAAAGCTGTAGAATTCAATGCAATAATCTAGTCATCAGCACTAAGAAAGGAGAGCTCAGTTTCTTACAATCTCTCTTTTCTAGATGTGGCAAGCAGGAAAGAGACAAGCCTCCAAGGCTTTCAATCTCTATGCCAACATTGATATCCTCAGGCCCTACTTTGATGTTGAGCCAAACCAGGTTCGGAACAGGTAAGCAAATGGCAGGTTCTTCCTTCCACTTTTCCAGATTTGCTTTGTCTGCCAATGGCTTTCCTAAAGCTGCTGTCTATTATGTTAATAACAGAAGCACAATTCATTTAAGAAAGCAGTTACCTGGCACCCCACATCTTTGTTATTAATAAGGTGGCTGTTCAGATTATAGAGACAAGTACCATACCACACATCTGTTTTGCTTACCAGCCTTTTATAATGCAGCATTGGAGGAGATGTTCAAGAATTCTTGTAGCTGTGCTGTAATTTCTCAAACCATTTATTCCAAACTTTTTCATTTTCAATCTTTTGATGGTAGTGCACAAGCAAAACAGGGCTGTGTAGTATCAGTTCAACAAATTGCTTAGCCTTGTGTGCCCTGTCAAATGAATGTAAATCAGAGTTCCTTTAATCTGTCCTTACAATACTGATTATTGAAAGCACAAACTGCTGTTGGGCTCCCTCTCTTGTACATGACTATTGAACTAACCACAGGAAGACAATTAAAAAACTCCTGCTCATACTGCCAGCCTCACTAGCAACACTATTTCATCCTTAGCAGCAGAGAGTGAGGAGGGAGGTGGTGGCAGATCAGGATGGTTGCTGGGAAGCTGCCCTGTCCTGCCTGACGGTTCCTCCACAGCTCACCTAAACAACCCAGCAACCTACCTCTGTCTCACTCCTCCACTTCCCTTCTCACACTCCTGTGCTGCTACGAAGTCCCAGCAGCTTTTAGAAGTCTGTCATCACACTCAGACACCAAGTGAACTGCAAAATGACAACATTAAGTTTTTATTGTATGTTAAGATATGAAGCCTTCCATCATTAACATTTTGATCTACAGCATCAGATCTGTCATAAGTTAATTTTTATTTATTTTTTAAATTTATAGCCTGATTTTTAGTCTAGCAGAGTTGTATGTGAATTTTAAATGAGATGTTTGTTCTAAGAGACCTTGCTGCTTGTTCATTTGTTCATAGCTATTAACTCTCTCGTGCACATCTTGTTCTCGTTTAGGTTGTTGGAGTCTATGATACCTGTTAAGATGATTAATTTTCCCCAGGTGAGTTTGTGTGGTAGATAACAGGTTTACGTTTTTTGTGTCAGAAGAGCAGGGAGCTTTTAGTTGGGGCTCTGCTTCACTTTCCCCCTCTCTAAGTTGGTGAGGTACTCTACCTGTGTCCCAGTGTGGATGTGCATTGGTGTTTCCTCGGATGTTGAATCCGTAGGTCAGAAGCTCTTTGGGGAAGGTTGACTGCTTTCCTATTCCAGACATAGTGGGGCCATACTTTTGTTGTTCCTTTCTGCATTTGTATTCCTCTTCACAAATTCACGTGTCATTAAAATCCCACCCAAGTGATCAATTACACCTTTCCTCTTTTATAGAAGATTGCTGGTGAACTTTATGGTCCCCTCATGCTGGTCTTCACATTGGTGGCCATCTTGCTCCATGGAATGAAGACATCTGATACTATCATTGTAAGCAAAGGAGCTGGTTTTCCTGACATGTTCCTATCCAGAGCCTTATTTAGCTTTTGAACTTTCTTCACAGGAGTGTTGAAGTATCTTAAACATTCTATGGTGAGAGAGAGTTCTGTGTATGAGGTGCAAGTAATTACTACTACAGACTTCTCTCCAGTTGAGTTTCATGGCAATTACTGCTTGATAGTCCCATTTCCAGTTTGCAAAGAGTGCTCCTCTAGCTTCTCTTGCTTTTTCAACAGAGGGAAGGCACATTGATGGGTACAGCAATTGGCACCTGTTTTGGTTATTGGATAGGCGTCTCCTCCTTCATCTACTTCCTGGCATACTTGTGCAACGCTCAGATCACCATGGTCCAAATGTTGTCGTTATTGGTAAGTAAGAATAAGCTCTCCAACTAACTGACAGTCTCCGAGAGTGTCTAAAGCAGGGGTGGGGAACTGGATCCAGCCAGTGGACCCAATTTTACTCTCCTTTAGCCCTATGGGCTAGATTAGGCAGGAAATGGGCAGGTACCTGGCATCAATGTGAAATCGGGTGACACAGCGCTTTGAAGACCCAATAGTCAGTTGACCATTGAGACATCAAATCCTCAAGCAGGGGCTTGCAAAGAGCTTTGCACTGTGCATTGAACTCCTGACAAACATCTGAGCACCAGTGCTTCAGAAGCCAGGTGCACCACAGTTGCTGGTGTTTCAAAAGGCCCTATTGGCTCAGCCACCTTTTTACATGTACACATTTGACATCATGCATGATACCAGATGATTGGCAGATGGGCGTGGCTTGACAAAACGGTCTGGTGGGTCAAATAGGAAAGGCTGGGGAAGCTAATGACGCATGCGGGCTGGAAGTTCCCCAGCCGTGGTCTAAAGAGGACTGTGAATTTCCCTCTTGGTAGATAGTTTTGTATCTTCACCAAATATAGAGCAACAGCTCTTTCTCTTTGGGGTTGATTTGAGTGCAGTGGTGAGGTCGTCAAGTCATTGATCTTCTTTGGTTAAAGAGATGTTTTAAATAATGCTTTAAATAAACTGGAAAGGGACAATGACTGTGAAATTAGGCCATTCTCGTTAGCTTCCAAACACTCTCCAGGCCTGTGTAGTGATTAACCCCATAATATATTCAGACATGCCTTGGGCATAATCTGACATTTGTCTAATAGCTCTAGTAGCCAGGCATAATTCTGACATTCAGCTGCAGTACATTGACTTGTACAGCTCCTGGCACTTTAGGCTGTGTGAGAAAATGCAGTCAGAATATACTGCTGCTTCTGTTTGGGGGTTTTCACATGCCCTCATGCTTGTCTCTAATGGGTTCCCTTCCTACACACAGGGCTATGGACTTTTCGGGCACTGCATCACCCTCTTTGTCACCTACAACATCCACTTCCACTCCCTTTTTTATATCTTCTGGCTGGTGATTGGCGGCCTCTCCACATTAAGAATGGTGAGTAACAGCATGTCATGCATATCAGTTTTTAGGAGTTGTTCAGAGATATGTAAGAATTAGTAGCTGCATTTTCTCCCCCCACCCCCACTTCCTTCTATATCCCTTTTTCTATTAGCATCCGGTAGATTGTGTATACCTGCCCTAGGTTATGAAATGTTTAATGTATTACGCACTCATCAGCCATTGAATGCCTCCCTCAAAATTAGCACCTCTATCATTCCAAGTATGTTGACTGACTAGCATTAAAACCATATTATACAGTGGTTATTTCTGGTTGGATGGCACCTTGTATGCCTCCTTCTGGCAACTCCTGAGGTCAAGCTGGTTCCAAACATACTGCTATGCTTTCCTTTGGACCACATCAGCGAGGCTGAGAGAGAGGGTCTTGTCATCTGGGCAGCCCAAGACCTCCATGCACGCTGCCCATACTTGCACCCCAGGGAGGTCACTTCGGTGATGCTAACACAGTGGTTTGCCTTCAGCCCTGGAGACGCACTCCATTGTCTCTCGGGGCAGATGGATGCTGACAACAATGGTGGCTACTTTAGCCATCCATCAAATACACATAAAGAATACTAACAAAAGGAATCACAGGTCTGGTGGTGTAAGTGCTTTTCGGACGCGGTTGAATCTCTCTCTCCCCCTGGATCTGCTTTGGCTATAGGTAACGGGAGACTTGAAAGATGTTGTGTTTTGAAACTAAGGATCTCGTTCCATTTCAGCACATAAGAACTGGCTCTTGTTTAGTGGTGTGTGGATTCCCAAAGACCTCTGCTAACCTCATGCACCATTTCTTAGTTTGCCATCGACACGTTGCCCATGAGATCTGGTTTAAATACCCAAACTCTGGTGGCACTTGGAGGCACGGCTATAGGAAATATTTAAAGAAGGAATTGAGAGGTTTAAAAGTGTATTCATCCATGTGAAACCAAATCACACATCCCTGTACCTCTTAGGCCTGTGAATTCTGTGGGAAATGTTGCCGTAGGAAATGATAGCTCTGTTGCCTTATGCATTTGTACTTTGGGTTTTATAGCCAGAGTTTGAGAAACCTATGAGATCTGTCTTTCCTAGGTTGCTGTGTTGGTGTCACGCACAGTGGGGCATACCCAGCGACTCATCTTGTGTGGAGCGCTTGCTGCCCTGCACATGCTCTTCCTCCTTTATCTGCATTTCGCTTATCACAAGGTTGTAGAAGGTAAGAGAGATCAATGTTGGGTAGTAGGTTTTTGGAAGCACACACTTCCAGCTGTTTGTTGTTTTCATCCCATTGAAATGAAGGCTTCAGAACTCTGTGAGAACATCACCCAAAGGATTGTCTGTTTCATGCCGCATCTTCCACTCCCTGTGAGCAGATAACTACTTGGATTTATAAATTATATAGTCTGAGCCCCATTCCTTCTTTGAGGCCTTTCACACATAATGGTTTTCCTGCAGAGCTGAAACTTCTATACATGGTAAATGTCCACACTTTTGTCACAAGTGATGAATGCACAGATGTATATGACATTATTTAAACTCAATAAGTAGCCACCTCTCTCCCTCCTCCTCCTCCTCCTCCTCCTCTCTCTCTCTCTCTCACACACACACACACACACACACACACACTCATGTTATATAAATAAAAGCAATGAATTCTGAGTCCCTAAAATGTCTGAGAAGGAGTAGATTTTGTTTGTGTTACTCAGTACGGAACTTGATCAGGTAGGTAGAGGCCTGTTTTTCGAGCAGCTTTGAGAGTGCACTGAAACAGTCGACGTTTTGTACAGTCTGCTATGTTAACACTTGCATTCAACGTCTCGTGATCTGCAACAGTTGTACTGCTTATCATATCAAGTCCTGAACTTTATTCAGCCTGAACCAACAGCAGTCTTGCACTGCCCCATCTCTGCCTTGGTGGGCAGAGTGAATCTGTGGCATGTTGCCCATGTAGCAAAATACTTTCCTAATGTCATCTGCTATGAAGAGCACAATGCTCAGCTACACCATGGTTCTGGAAACTGGCTATATACACAGTTCCATCTCAAGACCCACTGCTTCACTGAACTGCAGATTTGACATGTATTGAGAAAAATAACATCCAGGAAGACACACACATATAGGAGGAGGCTGAAGAGATTAATGCTGTGAAACAGCAAAGGGCCAAAGTAATATGAAACAAAACTGATGTAAGTACAGCCTATGTTTAATATTGACTAGACCTGTTCCTTTTCTCACAGGCATCCTGGACACATTGGAAGGACCCAACATCCCTCCTTTTCAGAGAGTTCCCAGAGACATTCCAGCTGTTTCCTCTGTGGTACTGAACATGACAACCAAAGCAGTGGGACTTAACTTATAGCCTTACAGACTGTGTGCCCCCTGCCTCTACATAGGTCATGTACTCTGTTGCTGTTACCTGGGAAAAGGGACAAAGTAACGGGAGCAGGACCTGGCTTTATCTGCAGATCTCCCCTTGGAAACGGAGAGCAGCAGAAGAGAGAGAAGATGTATTTGTCCGGTTTTGGCCAGATTGTACTGGGCAGAGCTCTTTTTCTGGCCCACTTAGCTTGGATTGCATAGCTCATTCACTTTCCTCCATACACCTTTTGTTCTTGCTCTTGTCTCTTTAGCCTGTGTACTTGTAATCCTCTTCTTTGCTGAGGGAAGAATTAAATTTAATGGATGTCTGTTCTGAGCAATCTCTTCCATTGGATCCTCGTCATAAATTAAGAAGAGCAGAGCAGATAGTTCTGTCCTGTTAGTTTTCCTGCTATGTTCTAAAATCCAACCAAACCTATAATTTCATTTGCCCAAGTTGCTTCCCTCAAGTGAGCAGCATTTGACTTTGGTTGATGCAAACAATGGCAGGCTATGAGCCCGTCTAGACCTCAGATTAATTTGAGTGGTCAACCCTTTGTGCCTCTTTTAATTCCCCCTCGTCCATGTGGTGTTCTCTCCCAACTGCTGCTATCCTCCACACTTTCTCTTTCCTAAATCTGGAGATTTAGTCTAAGAATACAGATAAATTTGCATAAGAGCCTGAAAGGAATTAAGGGCAGAATTTAGCTACTTTTCAATAATAAGGAAAAAGTCATCATTTAAAAAGAAATACCAGTGGCACTGGCTTTTCTGATTAGAGTTATTAATACAGAAACAATCTCTCTCTGGATTCCTTATATAAATTGCAGAACAAAAGGACATAACCCACATATTCCATTTACTGAGTTGTATTATTGTAAATAATGGACATGACTAATTTAGGCCCATTAATTTCAAAAGGTCTTTGAATATAACATGTTTAGACACAGGCCTCTGATTGCACTGGAACAAAGATGTTCATTAAGCAGAATCTTATTAAATTGGCCAGTTAGTGAAGCAGAGAGCAGATCATTAAAGCAAGTCAACTTAAATGCTGTCCTATCTTTGTAATTAGTTAATGTTGACAAGTGTGAAGCCTTCACAGTTACATAATTAGGAATATTGCTTTGGAATAGTGGAGAGCAAGACTTAACAGCTGAAATTCTCAGATAAAAATCCAGATCTATTAATCTCTGGATAACAGAAAGCTGAGCCTTTTTTAGACCATAATTACCATAACTAGTTAGGTTACATTTGCTGATACATGTGGCATGGTACATTCTATTCACAATTTCCACTAGAACACAAAGCACTTTCATTTATTTTTCTGCCCTGATCTAATTCTCTCTATTTTTAAGCAGCCAATGCGTAATCAGGGATATAGAAAAGAGGGATTGAGATTCATTTAACAAGAAAAAGATTAAAGGTTTCTGTTTTTTGAAAAAATGGTATAAATAAAATGCAACTCTTAACACTAATGGATGTATCGTGAATATTGAACCTTACAAATCCTTCTAAATTTCCAGTGCCTTTTCAGATTACTGGGTTTCAATGTGATAAGGCCAATGTTTCCTACAAAGTACCTTAGCCAGTAAGGGAATAAAACTTGTAATGGTGGTAAACCATTCTCACTTGTGAAAACGGTAACATAATAGTTGGTACTGTCAGAAAAACTGGAACAATTTTACCAGATTTGCTATCATATATTTGAAACTATGTCTGCATGGGTTACCACATTCTTTATTTTAAATAACCCAGCCATGTGGGAAACTATAGGGGGGGATGGTAAATGCTGCTGTATCTTCCACATGGCCTATACTGCGCACCAAAAGCCCAGCGGCTGACACATTGGCCAGATGGAAAGCTATACAGGTTGGGCTCAAGTATCCGAATGAGTGTATGTACTCAAAATATTTAATTTAATTCTGTCTTGCTCACATTCATACACTGACAGTTCTTAGCCCTACATTCTCATCTGTGCACTGGCTAGGATCTGAAGAATCATGGCTTGAGTCCTGATTGCCTAGTAGAGCCTTCCTGCTCAACGTCCCAATACATCTCTTATGCCCCAAGCCATTCCTGGGGTTGCAGGTACCCTCCCAGGTGGTATGCAACATAATAATAATACCTTTATTGTCAATGTACAACCTGTGCACAATGAAATTATCCGAGCCTCCCTCCCCCCCCCCCAAATACTCAAATCTCATTGCACTCTGTGTGCTTGTCGCACAACACATCAACCCCGAAAGTCAGTTGCACTATATTCTTTTCTGTTCAGCAGCCTAACAGCCCACGGATAGAAACTGTTTGTTAGCCTGTTGGTAAGACTGATTAGACTTCTATATCTCCTGCCCGAGGGTAGAAGTTTAAAGAGGTGCTGGCCAGGGTGTGAATCGTCCCTGAGAATTTTTCTCGCTCTCCTAAGGCAATGATCCCTTGCGATGTCATCTAGTGGGCTCAGAGGACAGCCCATGATATCATGTGCTGTGTTCACCACCCTCCGTAAAGACTTTCTGTCTGTGGCTGTCAAGCCAACGTACCACACTCTGATACAATATAAGGACAATTTCTATTGTGGACCGGTAGAAGGAGGTCATCAATTGTTGTTTAACATTGTTCTTTCACAAGACCCTGAGAAAATGGAGTCTCTGTTGGGCCTTCCTAACCACCTGAGTTATATTGTTTTTCCAAGTGAGGTCTTCACTAAGGTAAACTCCCAGGAACTTAAAGGAAGAGACTCTCTCCACACACACACACACACACACACCCCCGATATATAATGGGGCTAGTTCCCCTCTCTTCCTCCGAAAGTCCAACACCATCTCTTTTGTCTTGCTAATATTAGGTACAAGTTATTCGCTAAGCACCATGTAGATACTTTTTGAACCTCCCCCCTGTACGCTGATTCATCACCTGGAATTAGACCCATTATATCTGCAAACTTATTAATTACAGTGGATGGATCAGATGAAATACAGTCATGTATACAATGAGTACAGGTAGGGACTCAGTACATGTCCCTATGGGGTTCCAGTGCTGAGCTTCAGGGAGGTAGATACAGCATGTTGGACTGTACTACAAAGGAGGGGGGAGGGGGAGGGAGAAACCAGCAGGCAAATCCCAAAAGGTTCAGATCCAAGCTGTTTTATCTCCCATCAGCAGCAAGAATGTCTCCATGGATATGATGGAAGCTTCCCACCCAATCAGAGCCCCACGTTGGGTGAAATATTACTGTATTGCAGGGGGTTGGATGAGATGATCCTCATGGCCCCTTCCAACTCTTCAATTGTATGAATCTATGAGTCCTGCCATATATCCCAACAGACAAGAAATGGGCCTGGTAATGAAGATATCACAAACTGTCACCTTCAAAGCAAGGATGGGGAATGAAGGGGAAGATGTCAGCAGTTAGTTAGCAAGCAATAATGATGACCCCTTAACAGAAGTTGGATACATCCCTGGAGTCCTCTTTCCTACGCTATTATGTCTAATAACAGTCTTTCTAATGAGACATAATTTAATTGAAAATTGCAACTGATTTTGCTGCAGAGTTGTAACATCCATGTCTCAAATACTGTGCTGGTCCAAAGGGCTGAAATGATGCTTCATTCTCACTGCTTTACCCTGGTAACCATCTTGCAATCTGTTTTCAGATGGAAGCTGATTAGTGATCATTAAAAAAATCTGAAGTGGGGATTTAATTGCTTAAGATTAATCAAGGTTTTTTTTCAAAGCTGAAATCTCTATGCTACCTTTTCCTAATTTTATTATGTTGGCTTCAAATATTTTAGGCTAGGCAAGTGTTCCAACAGCAACTGAAGAGCTACAAAAAAGAAGGAAAGGTTTGAAATGCAAGCCTATCATGAACAGCTTGGCCTAATTAATATATTAGTGAGGAGCCATAAATCTAATGAAGCTGCTTTATTTCTAGACTGGAACTGTTTGCATGCCTTTATCCCTGGATCTTTAAAACTGTATATAACCAGACCATTAACATGGCCTAGTCCAGTACCTTCCTGGCAGAAGCACTTTGGATAATTTGGAGTGTGCTCAATCACCAGATAAATGGCAGGCACCTGATATTCTTTACCTTTCATGCCATAGGATGTTATTACATCAATTATGCAGACCATATTGTCAAAGCTTCGGGGTTGTCATCTGAGTCTTCTCTGGCTTGTCCTACTATTTATTTTGGTTACAGTGTGCAGCCTTTGGAGAATCAAATGAAATGCAAGTCCTAAGCCAGGTCATCTATTGCAAACTGCAAAGTGGCTATTATATTCCCCAATATTGTGTTTCTTACTTCTGTGCCTTCTAATTCTTCTCATTTATCCTGCAACTAATGCTCAAGTGCTTATTTTATTCTCCCCCTTAATTACAAGACAAAATGGATTTTGCTTGGAGTTTGGACTCTGCATTAGCAGATTAGTTATATGTAGAAAGCTCTCTACTTACATGGCTTATGATCCTAATAGTCCCAACCCCATTCAGTCCCACTAACATTTCCATCATTTATTGTTCTAGCCATTATCTCTGGGCTTTGCTCCCCCCCCCCCGCCACCCCCTTGGTACAAAGCTCCTAGGGCCCTTGATGTTACAACCCATTGCCCAAGAAGAAGGGGAGAGTAGCAGGAGTTTATGCTCCTTTCCTCTGCGTTCCTAGCATTTAATTAATTGCAGAGAGCTGCAGCCAAAAAAGCCCTGCACAGTATGCTTGCTGAAGTAAGCAAAGCTTCTTTGTAAAAATTGTGCCTGCCAGGCTATTTTTTAATACCAGCTGCCACCCTCCAGCTGAGGAAAAGCAAAATCATGGCTAGATTAGTTTAGACCACAAACTCCTCAGGGCAGAGAATTGCATCACTGAGCATATTGCGGATGAATGCCTCCTACCCTTTGCTGTCCTTTGAACTTTCTGCCAGAGCAGAGGAACTTCAGTTTCCTGGCTCTTTTTTCCAGCCTATCCCTTAACACCACTATTGCTAAAAAAAGAACTTGTCATCAGAGATATTCACACCTACTGCTTTCCTCCACACTTGCAGCTCCTCTTGATTGTGGGCACTTCAACGCTTCTGGTCACCATGTCTTCATATGGTACCATGAATGTACATCCACAATGCCATAAGAAAACAAAGAGCAGCAACACAGAAAGGATACAGGATTATAACAGTGAGAATAGGCTACTCAACAAGACTTGGTGTGGCTGATGAGATCTATTGCTCACAGAGCCTTAATGCACCCACCTATTTAGCTGAGGCCCACACTATTAATTCCACTAAAGGAAATTCCTTCCCTGCCCCTCTCCAGCTGTCAACATCCACTGTCAGTTTAGCACACTGGAAGAGCACGTGATTTTCATGCAACCATCCCAGGTTTAATCAGATGGAGCTATTCAGAAGGAGGCTGAGTAGAATGTACTCATTGCCCTAATAACCCCTTCAGGAATATCTAATTCAGCTGTAAACAGATCCCGAACTGAATCAGATGTGTTCATATCTGTGTTCCTGTAAAAAGCTGCTTCTGTTCACTTTCCTTCAGTCTACATGGCAAGCGGCACTTAAGTGAAGTATAAATTGTTTGCTAATTAGCACTGTGTGTGCATAAGGAATGTTACAGAAAAGGCTCAGGTCACTGCCCTGAAGCGCTGGCTGTTAAAAATCTGACACAAGGCAGGAAAAGGAAGTAGAGGTAGGAGTAAACAGGCAGAGAATGTGCAACTCAGTCACATACATTTAGGCTTGATTATGGGCCTAGTTACCTGTAGGTCCACCTTCCCCAACTTGGTGCCCTCCAAATGTTTCGGGAATGCTGGCTGGAGCTGACTGGGACTGACCAGCACCTGGTTGGGGGAGGCTGCTGCTGAAATAAGTGAAGAGAGCTGGGATCACACAGGTGTTCTGGGAGACTAAGCAGCAATGGAGGAAAGGCAAAGTGGTTCCTCCCCAATTCCCTCACTCCATAATGGCAGTAATAAGTCCTTCTGGCCTGCTCTGGGTGGATATACTCATATACAAAAGGTTAACACTCCTGCTCCTTCAGTTGCAGACCTTGCTTTATCTTGCATCTCCATTTCTGCTTACACCTAAAGCTGAGGTAAAATGAAACACAGATTAAGAGATGTGTAATCCTTTAATACAGTACAAACCTCTACTGTACAGTACTGCCCTTTGGCTGCTGCTCCTGCTCCTGTAGAGTTCATGAATACAGGAGCAGAGCAGAGCTACTCAGAGAACCAAAGGCTAATTTTACTATCATTTTGGGTGTTCCACTCACCCATTCGCATGAATCCTACAGGGACTCAAAGCGTTTTACAGATAAAATAGGAACAGCTAAAAACTTTTTGAAAAGAACAATAATTAAAAACAATTAAGCATTTATATACTGTAATCAAAACTATATATAAACAGAGCAGATCTATTAAAAACTTACAGATGAAAAAAAAAATTCCCATGAGTGCTTCCATTAAAAGAAAGATGATGTGGGAATTGTCTTTATGACTGCAGGAGTGGTCTTGCTGGGAATAAGGACCTGGACGTGAGGGGTGCGGAGGATGTCCAAGCTTGACTTCTCAGCCATTTTGGAAACGTGGTGCTGGAAACAGGGAAGGATCTACCAGCCACCGTTGCCGCTGCTGTTTAAACTACTAAACAGATAAAACAGACATACTGTATATCATGCCTCCTTTTACTCTTGGAGAGGCCCCCATCCGAACCTATTCTAAGCGGCAGATTCCCTGCTCTGGAACTTGCGCCGTCAAAACGGGGCGCCTCTGAGCAACTGCAGAGTTCATTTCTCTCATCGCAGCCGAGGAAGCGCGAAAATGCTGGTCCCAATCCCACCACCCCCCTCCACGACCCCACTCCCTTGAAGGTCAGTCTGCGGCTCTGGGTCACAGGGTGCGGCTCGGCCCACGATCCGCCGCACAGCCGCATCCAAGAGATGGCGCAAAGCATCTCGCCGAGAGGGAAGACGGAGGTCTCCAGGACCCCGCCCGGCCCCGGCTTCCTCCACCAACCGAGCGCCTGGATCTAAATGAAATCCCGTCAGCCCCGGCCTCACGCACAGCCCCTGTCGGCGGGGAGGGCCTGGAGGTGGAGCCCGGGGCAGGACAGCGCGCCTGGGGAGGCGGCGGGGCGGCAGTAGCCGCGTGGCCCGGCTTGGCAAGAGCGCAGGCTGCGGTGCCTGGCTGTGGCCATAGGAACCGGCGCAGCGCCAAACAAAGCTGGGTCCTCCTCCCTCGCTCCCTCCTCCCGCCCCGCCACACGCGCACCCTGGGGGCATAAGGAGGGAGGAGACAGCGCAGCTCCGGTCTCTGCGGCGGCTCTGGCGACTCCGTCCCGCCGCCGGCACTATGCGCTGGGCGCTGCCGCGGGAGCCGCCGGTGCGCTAAGAGGAGGAGGAGCAGGCGCGGCGGCCGGAGGAGGGACTCGCGCCCGGGAGTCGTCGGATCTGCCCCGGGCCCGAGAGTGAAGGCGGAGCAGGTGCGGCGGCAGGAGCGGCAGTACAAGCCTCAGCGACCGAGGCTGCATTGCTGTGGGTGGCAAGGAGGGCGCCGGGGAAGGGGGAAGATCTTTCATAGACGCCTGAAGCTGGAGGGCACGGCAGCCCGCCCCCACCCCTTCCCCGGCGGACACGGCGGCTTGTTCTCCGATTGCGCAGAAGCCTGAATACACACACACACGCTCGGTTTTTTTCTATTCGTGTGAAATTCCAGAAAGGATCTGGCACCGATTTGGATTTGCATTTCTTGCTCCTGTTATTTCACATTGCCTGGCATCTGCCTGTACCACCTTATCCCAGTCTGCTCACCTTACGCTCTTCACAACCCTGCTCGGGACTGGAAAGCGCTCTGTTTTTGACATATCTTAGAGAGTACCCATTATTGTTCTCCACATGCTTTAATTTGGAGTTGCACAGAATTTACCTTGATGCATCCGGGTCGCATAGAAGTTTCTACGCGGATCCGGCTTGCGCAACGCTTAAAGCCGCTTTAAGGAGCACCTATTTGAACTGCGTACAAGAAGTACTGTATTCTGGCCTGAGCCGAATAGCACATTGAATTCGGGTATTGTAACATTGCACCGTGGCCTCCAGCTTCGTTTGCACAGGATTGCACAACCGTCGGTCCACTGATTTCCTTAACGCGCTCCTTACCTCTTCTGATCCGGATTGCAAAGCAATCCCTGCACTGCTCTGGATTGCACGTTGCTTGCACAAATCCGGATTAGTTTGCTGCTGAGAGTGTTTTATTCACAAAGATATAAATATGTTGCCGGGATCTATCCAGATCTCTGGGGAGACTTTATCAAGTGCCGAGATTCGGGATATCTGTGAGAGCCTGAGAGAGAACTCCATCAAACTGCTTTCGCTCCGGGGCTGTCAGCTTTCCGACAGAGATTTTGGCCGCATCTGCAGGGGGGTCGCAGAATCTCACTCCTTAGCTCAACTTAATCTTAACTTGGGGATTGTCTCCAATATCAATCGGGTCAAGCAACTGGCTGAAGCCCTGAAGACCAACCGCTCTGTCCAGTCTTTGTTGTGAGTAGCCCTCTACTTAGTAGGACTTGAGGAAAGGTGCCCAGTTCTGCTGGCAGAAGTCTTGCAGTCCGATTCATATGCATGTTTACTCAAAAGTAAGCCCCATTATGTTAAATAGATCTTACTCACAGGTAAGTGTGTATAGGATTGCAGCTGTTGCTGGTGGGCTTCCAAAATTGTTTGGTGTATCTGTGTAGTCCAAACCCCACTTACTGGGAGCAAATCCCATTGACTTCTGAGTAGACATGGATATATAATTGAGCTGTTAGTCCTTAACACCTTTTAACTAACCTTTTGCTCCAGGTGCAAAGTTTCCCACACACACACACATACCAAAAGGGCTTTGAGGGCAAGGTTGTGATTCTAATCCAAAATGGTGATAGCATTCTAGATTATTTCAAACCCAATACAGATTAATCTTCTTAAACAGAAACAGTGAAACTTGGATTTGGGCAACATTTTATTACCCTAAGCCAAATTCCAGTATATCTCAGGGCAGCAAACCTATGTATGTTGTGTCAGAAGGAAGAGTAGGACACTGAAACGCAGGTGGGGGGGAGGGAGGAAACCATAGTGATAAAGGAATCTGCTACCATGACAGAAAAGGGAGTGGGGAGTAAGGAAGCAGATTCAAAGACTCCATTAATGACTCTTCGTCTTTTAGAGTTGTTGGTATAAATCACCCCTGTTAACTTATTTACTGCATTTCTTTGTCATAGTTTGAGCTGGGTGAAGTCAGCTGCAACTCTTGAGGAACGATAGTTTTAATTCCTAACCATTGATTCTTGCACAGCCTCCACGGAAGTCCCCTGACAGACGCTGGTCTGGCTCTTCTGAACCCAGCACTCTCCATCCATCCCTCACTAGTGGCCTTGGACTTGGGGGACTGCATGCTGGGTGATGAAGGTATTAACTTGATCTGTGGACTGCTCCCTCCTGATGGGGCCAAGTCAGGTAAGCCAAATTGGATGTGTGGAGTTCTTGTATATCTCTGGAGCTCATAATGGACTTCAGATCTTTGTTCATACAGTTCTATAGTTGGAACAGTTGTGGAGGTGATGTCCACTCCCTGTTCAGCACAGGATCTGCAGTACAGGATGCAACCACAGCACCCCTGACAGATGGCTGTCCAGCCTCCGCTTAAATACTTCCCATGGCAGCCTGTTCTTTGTTTAACAGCTCTAACCATTGGGGAAGTTTCTGTTCCTAACTTCTAGCCAAAATTTGCTCTCCTGCAATTTCCACATGCTGGTTCTGGAACAGCAGAGCACAAGTCTCCTCTGCTTTCATGACATCCCTTTAAACTATTGTTTTTCTTCTTCAGAGAGGAAAGAGACCCCCTGACAAATTGTAGCACTGAGTTTTCAGCACAGTGAAATTATAGTGAAATTTACTCTGCCGGCTAAGGATCTGTGGCTTGCTAAGAATAAGCGGATTCTCATTCTGGGAGAGAAGGTATTCAGAATAGAAGTAATTATACTTTGCCCTGTTATAGAACTAAACAGTGTCATTTCCCACTAAGTCAGTGTGAGGATCTGTAGGCTTTGCAGTCGTTTTGCATTTTATTTTTTGCAACCAAAACTTGATGCTGTCACATTAAAAGCCGTTTTCCTTTTTCTGAAATGCCCTATTTTGGTGCTACTCAGAAATATCACCAAAGGTTATTTTTTGCTCAAGGAATTATCTTGAGCTAAATCAAAAGTCTTTTGAGAAAAGAGTATTGGAGACTGGCGGACTGGAAAATAATACTTTGACCGAGTTTTCAGCCGTCCTCTTCCACTCTACTGCATTAAGCATGCCACTAGGCTTGCAAGAGCAAAATCTGGAGGGAAAAAAATAAGGGCACTGTAGATCTGTGTTGTGTGTATTCTGGTAAATTTGGAACCTTGGTGTTTAACATGGTCCATAAGGAAAAAACATTGCCCCTCTGCCTTTTTGCATGAGATCATCCTTTCACCTTAAAGAGCTCTTCTTTCTTGCTTCTTCTTGTCCTTCTTGTGATAGCACTTTGTCCTCTTTTGGGGCCTGCTGTTCTGTGGTTGGGGTGGTGTGCAGCTAGTTGTGAAAGGAAAAGGGAACAGGCCAGGGATCAAGAACTTGTTGTCCTCCATATGTTCTTGGATTAAAGTTCCCCTCATCTGTGACCATTGGCCATGCTGGCTAGGATTGATGGGGGTTGAAAAAGTCCACAACATCTGGAGGGATTTATTTTTTTTAACCTGCCCTGGAATCTGCTGGTGAAGGGCGGGTAATATATTTTATAATAAAAATAATAAGGTTTCCCATCTCTAGTGTAGACAAATGAGGGCATCGTTCAGGCAGTATCATGCCAGAAAAGTAACTCTGTAAGTATGATGCAAATTATTCTGCTTGTAGCCTGTTAGCATGTGAAAATTAGCACAACATGTGCTCCCAATGCTTATCTTGGGAACAGTTTCCACAACATTTATGTCTACAGTTATCAGACTCAGCTGAAGTGTGTGTTCACATGGGCAAATGTGGCATGTCATCAAATGCTGCCAAAGTTGCAGGGCATTCAGGAACATTTAATTGTTATTTATTATTATTTGTGTCCCACCCTTTCTCCCAAAGGAGCCAAGAGTGGCAAACATCAAAATGTCAAATTCTAATCAAGCATTCACAAGATGACTTGGTACAGATTAGTTTTCCTTTCCCTTATTTTATTTTTATCAACCTTGGGGTTGTGGGTGCTGTTAGAGTTTCCTTTGCCAGCCACCAAAATGACTTGAGCCACTTCTGCTCGAAGAAGCCTTTAAAAGGGTGGAGGACAACAATTTAACTACACGTTTAATGTCTCTGAATACAACTTGTGTTAACATACAACTGTCCCACAGTTTGTTCTTAAGAAATCTGTCCTTTTAACCATCGTGATAGTTTGCCCAAAAGAGTGGTTAAAATGTTTTCAGGGGTTGTTTAGTAGTAGTAGTAGTAGTAGTAGTAGTAGTAGTAGTAGTACAGTGGTACCTCTGGTTGCGAATGGGATCTGTTCTGAAGGCCCGTTCACAACCTGAAGTGCTGTATCTGCGCATGCACGAGCGGCAAAACCTGGAAGTAACCCTTTCCAGTACTTCCGGGTCGCTGCGGGACACAACCTGAAAAGACGTAACCTGAAGCGTCCATAACATGAGGTATGACTGTAGTAGTAGTATTTTAAAGCAAATGTAAAATGCGGAGTGGAGATTTTAATCCACACCCATGATTCTGAAGGGAGAAGAAAAGGGCAGTATATATGCAGTTGATTATAATCCTGAATACAAGAGTGAGATCTTGTGACTGTGTAAACTCACTTGGCTTCCCTTAGGTTTGAAGGAGTTGACTCTCAGTGCTAACCCTGGCATCACAGCCAAAGGATGGGGGCGCCTGGCTATTGCAGTGGCTCATAGTTCCCAGGTGCGAGTGTTGAACTTGGACTACAACCCACTGGGTGAGAGGAGCATGGATATCGTGCGGGGCTTATGTGTGTCTCTTTCTTTCTTTCTTTCTTTCTTTCTTTCTTTCTTTCTTTCTCTCTCTCTCTCTCTCTCTCTCTTAAACAAGTGGGGATGTTGCTTGGTTAATGATAGTTAAAGAGCCCACATCTAGGATAAGTCCAATCACAATCCAACTCAGCCCTTCCTCTTCATTATTTTATGTATTTTTTTAATTTCTCAATGCGGCAAACAGAGCAGATAACAAAACACTGTGAAACAAGTATCCATTCCAATATTACACACACTCTCTGAAAATAAACACAAGCTAATTTAACATTTCCAAAACCACCATCATACTAAGCTACCAGAAAATGAATCAGTCAAAAGCTATGCCTGCAAGTGCAGTATTATGACGGGGCCCAGCACATCTTACTTGGCAAAGCATTCCACGTAGTTGGGTGCCATAACAGAGAAGGTCCTGACCCTGGTTGAAAGCAGCCTTGCCTTTTGAGGTTGAGGCAGCTCCTAGGTCCAAAGCTGTTTAAGGGTTTTTAAAACCAACCCTAGCACCTTGAATCGAGCTTGAAACTAATCAGCAGTGATTAGTTTCTGATAACAGAAAACCAATATGATGGAATCAAATCACCAAACACCTGTCAAGCGGACTTAGGGCTGTGTGAGAAGTGCACAGACTGGGTGCTAAGCTCGGGGGGGGGCGCCCTCTCAAAGGCATTGGGCTTTGGGAAGGAGGCATGAGGGCTCTGATAGAGTCCTAGAGTCTTGTCCCCCCCTCTTCCTAAAGCCTAGTTAGCACTTTCCCAGCTTTGGGAAGGAGGTGGGAGGGTTCTAGACCTTGCCAGAGCCCCCGCACCTCCTTCTCAAAGCTGGGCTCCTCCTCACTTGCCTTTGGGAAGGCAGCATGAGGGTGGCAGAGGTGCCTTACACAGGCTTTCATAATAGTAGTACCCAAGTTCACCACTCCACCTGTCAGCACTCTGGCTGCAGTATTTTGCCCTGTTTGCAGGTTCTGGACAGTTTTGAAGGCCTGCCTCACACAGAGCGCCTTACAATGGTCCAATTTGGAAGTTGCTGAATGACTGGCAGCTGGCATCCACAGAGGGCCATTGTGTCTTCATGGTTAGGTAACATAGCAAGTTGCTTTTTACTGAGTCAGACCACAGTCCTTCTCGATCTACACCAAGAATGAGAATGCTACCCTCCAGAAGTTGGACTTCCACTCCCATCAGCCCACCCAACATGGCTGATGGTAAGGGATTATGGGAGTTGTAGTTCAGAGGCACCTGAAGGGTCAGAGAGGTGCTCCGTCCACCTGGTCTGTACTTAGGTAGCCTCTCTCCATTATTTCAGACAGGAATGTTTCCCAGCCTGTGTGATCTGTCCTTGAGCTACAGCCCCTTTCTTTTCCTGATAGAGTTTGCATATGTGTGTAAACTAGTATCCCCTTTGTCTGGAATAGAGTTACCACCTTTGCGCTTTTTTTTTTTTTTAAAGACCTAAGCAATAGGCTATTAAAGAACCTGGCCATTCAAAATACGAAATGGAACAGACAATTGCCAGCCTGGGCCAGGGAGAATATAAGATGGCGGCCTACCATGTTCTGCAAGGGATGAGACTTGCTTCCAAGCTGAGGAGGCCTGAAGAGCAGCCCGCCATACAGGCCTTAGGTTATGTGCACTTCCTCTTCCTGTGTACAGTGTGGCAGTACCCATCCTCCAAATGTTATCTTTGCAGCCCCATGTAGGCTGCTGCCACTGGGCTTGGGAGTCAGACCATGCTTCTTCCCCCGCCCTTGCCTCCTCATCTTCTTCCAAATACAGCAAAGAGGAGAGGAGCCCCAGCAGTGGTTACCATGGAAACCGCCTCTCTCCCTCTCTCTGCAGCTGCGCTGCCTGAGCAGAATTGGCAGCTGGTGAGAGAAGAGACTAGACCAGGCAGCTCTCCCCTCTCCCCATCCCTCCTGCCTCAGGGAAGCAAATGTGAGACGCTCCTCAGCACACCCCACCTAATCCTGCCCTTTCAAAACTGGGCGAGGCCTTTCTTCTTTCTGCCTTGCCACTGTCAGGGTTTACCCTGCAAAATGAGAGGTGCTCAGGCCTTAAAGCCTGGCAGAAGGCTTCTTCTCTGACCCAGAAGCAATTCCTTCTAATTAAGACTAAGCTCGCCTAGAGGTTATGTGCTGCTGCCCCAGGTGCAGAGATACCGTTTCCCCCCCCTAGCCAATTTAAGAAGAGAAAGAAAAGCAGCAGCAGCAAAACAGATGCATAATGTGATCACTCTTCCCCAGTGTCTTGTGCCTTTAACAGGCAGACATTAAACAGGTGCAGCACCTTTGAGTGAGATTAGAAAACTGCACCTGTTGAATGCATCTGTGGCGTTATTAAACAAGTGCCATTTTGGGGGTGGGGAGGTGCTGGTAGAGTTGAGGTTGTTGTACTGCCCAGCAAATTCTGCCACTCCTGGAATGGCTGCATGCAGCATGGCCTCTGTGAGGTCTTCTAACATCTCCTGACTTTCTACCGTCTAGGTGACCAAATAGCAGGAATGCTGGCAGTTTCTGTGGCATCCAGCCGCACCCTCGAGGTTTTGGACTTGGAAGGAACAGGACTCACCAACCAATCAGCCTTGGTAAGGAGAACATGGTCCTTTGCCGCCTTCTGTTCGCCTTCTAAGTCATGGAAGTGGGCAGACTAGTTTGTCTACTTTTATTTTCTCCAAATGCACTCTTTCCCCAAATGCACTGTCTCAGGGGCAGTTTGTCAGGAAGACTGGAGCCCCTTTGCATTCTCCTTCCTTGGTTCTCTTGCCTCTAAGCTGAGTTGCTTACCAACCAGCCTCTCGACTCTTGCTCTGTTCAGATCCTGCTGGATATGGTGGAAAACTACCCGACAGCTTTGCGGACGCTGATCCTGGCAGAGAACAACATCAGCCCTGAACTTCAGCAGCAGATCTCCGACCTTCTTTCTGAGGGTGAGGAAGACGACGAGACGGAGACTCGTGAAGTCATGGCAAGAGAGAAGAACAACTGGATCTGCCAGAGCAGTAAGTCTGCTGGGGCCTCCAAGGAGGAGGAAGATTGGGGCGGGGGGGGTGAACATGGAAGGGGGAGGCTGACCATGGGAAACCATGACACTCAGGCCCTTAAAAAATTGAAGGTCACAGAATTTCAGTACTGGTATTTCAGAGCATCATAGAATCATAGGGTTGGAAGGGACCATGAGAGTCATCTAGTCCAACCCCCCTCAGTGCAGGAATCTTTTGCCCAGTGTGAGTCTCGAATCCATAACCCTGAGATTAAGAGTCTCATGCTCTACCAGCTGAGCTAAAATGCACACATAGAAGCGTATACTTTTGTCCCAGTATTGATATTAGAATAGAGCTTAGTTAGGGATGAAAACACTTTCCTACACTATGAAATCTAGTCCTTGGCGCAAATGCACTGGCAGCACTAAACTGAAATGCAATCCAGCCGCTAATGATTTTCTGAAACCAACCCTACAAATTGGCTTATGAAGGGGTGGTAATCTCCTGTTTGAACAAAAACCAAAGTCTGGTATCCCATTTGGGTTCTTTTGTGTAATTATAGGGCAAAGCCTTAAATGGAAACCTCGGTCCAGTATACCTGAAGGAGCGTCTCCACCTCCATTGTTCTGCCCGGACACTGAGGTCCAGCACCGAGGGCCTTCTGGTGGTTCCCTCGCTGCAAGAAGCCAAATTACAGGGAACCAGGCAGAGGGTCTTCTCAGTAGTGGCACCCGCCCTGTGGAACACCCTCCCACCAGATGTCAAAGAGAAAAATAACTACCCAACTTTTAGAAGACATCTGAAGGCAGCCCTTTTTAGGGAAGCTTTTAATGTTTAATAGGTTATTGTATTTTGGTGTTTTGTTGGAAGCTGCCCAGAGTGGCTGGGGAAACCCAGCCAGATGGGCGGGGTATAAATAAATTATTATTATTATTAAGCACATCTCATGTGCCTATCAAGCGGAGAGCTACCGTTGTCTCCGTATTACAGAAGTTAAAGGAAAATACTAGAGCAAGTTAACTGTGGATGCCTAAGCACAGAGTTTAATCCAGCTTCACATTAGCAGGCCTCCTTTTTAACTGTGTATTTTGGAAAAGGAAACTTTGTTGTGTGCAGACTTCAAATCAAGAGGCAGCACATCCTAATGGGTGTTCCGATACTGCACTTGGCGCCCAATAATTACAACAGAATTGGGCTACTTGTGTAGCCCTTACCTTCCCCAACCTGGTGCTTATTTGAACTTTCATCATCCTTGACCGTTGACCAAACTGGTGGATGCTGGAAACAAGGAGGGCACCAGATTAAGGAAGGCTAGTGGAACCACACAGCTTGTCTGCTGTGAATCCAGGGAGTGGGTAGGAAGAGAGGGGACAGGACTCTATGTGGTCATGGTCTGCAGCTACAATTGCAATCCCACTTATCTGGGAGTAAGCCCCATTGAATTCAATAAGAGACACTTCTGCGTAGACATGGTTAGTATTGTGCTATACACTTTAGGCATAAAATGAATCTATTTAGTCGCCAAGTGCTTCACTTCAGGAGTACTCAAGCTAGTGCTTTCTTGAATTGTACTTAACGCTTCATGTTCTCCTTTATAAAAGAGTCTTCCTAGCCCTGTGCTTAGGATCCAGCTACAAATCACGGTTTTCCCCCTCCAAATCCTGTTCATTGGCTAAAACCACCTTTTCTCCATTTCACAGATTCTAGTTCCCAGATGGTCTTGGTAACTTCGGGCCTTGGAGAAAGTCTTCTAGCAGAAACAGAGATGTGAAAAGGAAACTCCCATTGCCTCTGATGAGAACATCATTTCCATGTATGTGGAAAGACTGTGTTTTTTTTTTTTTAAAAAAGTGCATTCACACATATATCATGTGTGAATGTGTACTGTGCTTGTGTGTTTGCAAGTGAGTGTATGCACTAGGCAAACAGATGGGTGTGAAAGCCTAATGTCTATGTGTAATTGCTGCGCCTGCCCCGAGTGCAGATCCACACACTGTGTCTTACTGAAGTCACTTTTAGCTCCACACTGGGACGTGACCCAAGTTAATCTCGATGTCTGTGTCACACAACTTGTCAGTTGCTTGTGATTGTCCAGTTGCTGTATTTTTAGGTCGCACCATCCATTCTTGACTAATCTTTGCGGGAGGCTGTATTTATTCAGATGTGTATATTTATGTATAACAGATACTTTTTATTGCTTGTACCTATGTCTTAAGTAGAATTTTATATAAAGTTCACAGAAATGGCCCAGTTGTGGCCATGAGGCTCTTTCCTTTCTAACTACACATCAGCAAGGCAGCTTCACTAAGGGAAATAATGCAACCTTACGTTGTTCTTTAGTCGTTTAGTCGTGTCCGACTCTTCGTGACCCCATGGACCAGAGCACGCCAGGCACTCCAGTCTTCAATGCATTACTATGAGGTTGCATTGTGACAAAGACAATGCAACCTTATAGTAATGCATTTTTTGTTGCGCTGCCTCTAATGGGCTGAGAAAGCAACTTAGCACTTGATAATTAAGTCTACAACCCCCACAAAGAGAAAGCTGATTTCTGTTAGCAGAAGGCTCCTGTGAACCAGGCTTTATATAGCCTAAACCAGGGGTAGGCAACTTAAGGTCCGTGGGCCGGATGCGGCCCAATTGCCTTCTCAATCTGGCCCGCTGACAGTCCGGAAATCAGCGTGTTTTTACATGAGTAAAATGTGTCCTTTTATTTAAAATGCATCTCTGGATTATTTGTGGGGCCTGCCTGGTGTTTTTACATAAGTAGAATGTGTGCTTTTATTTAAAATGCATCTCTGGGTTATTTGTGGGGCAAAGGAATTCATTCATCCCCCCCCCCCCAAAAAAATATATAGTCCGGCCCACCACAAGTTCTGAGGGACAGTGGACCAGCCCACGGATGAAAAAGGTTGCTGACCCCTGGCCTAAATAATTATTTTCCCCAAATAAGTTGGAGTGAATGCCCTTGAGTTCCATAATGACTGTACTAAGACACTCAAGGCAGTCACAGGTGCTACCAGAAATACACAGGAGAAAAAATTGCATAGGGACAGAGTGCACACTTTGGGTGCTCTTGAAGTATCCCTGATTTCAGAAGGCTGCATTACCTTGAAGGTAATAACTTGGGCCATTTGCCAGCAGTGGAGGTGGCCACATCCCTATCAATCTATACATACAAGCACCTCTCATTCAACCCTCTCTTTCACATTGACCCTACAGCAATTTTCATTGCGGGAGGAACTCATTGTCAGCCCCAATGGGAGGGGTTTTTATTGCTAAATTGCAGGAGTGCGGCCCCTGCTCTAGATCAGGACTATGGTAGGAGGCAAAGGGTTAAAGCCCCCCTCCCAACAACCGCCCACTGGTCCCAATTCAGATTCGTTCCCCCACTGCCTGCAATTTGATGCTTTCCTTCCTGCATCAGCAGAGAACACAGAGGTCTAGAGGGAAGAAGCAGGCAGAAGCAGAGGCTCTGGTAGTCTGATGGGACTGCATCCTGGATCCCAGGTTCCCCCCAGCTTAAATACTGAAGTTAACATCAGAGGACTAAACTGGTCTGGTTGTGATCCAGTGACAAGTAAGATCTAAGGCAGTGAGCATTGGCTCTGCTCTGTCGTTCAGAATCTGCTCCATTTTTACATTTGAAGATATGTGCACTTCTAAGCACACAAACCCAACTTCAAGCAAATCCCAAAGTGCTATACGCGGACAACTACTGACCTTGCTTCTTTTGCGTAAACAGCCACTTCACTGCGGGGAAACTGTTGTGGAATAGTATGCACAAGGGCTGCAAAATGGGGCAACAAGAAATACCTCCTGTTCTCCTGTTGGGAACTGTGGTCCTCCAGCAACTGTTGACTACTACAGCTCCCACCATCTCCAACCACTGGCCATCCTGGCTGGGGCTAATGGTAGCTGCAGTCTAATAACATCTGGAGGGCCACAAGTTCTCCATCCGTGACGTAAGGCCTCAGCTATGTAAGGCAGTTTGTGGAAATGTTTTTTGTTACAATGGTACCCATGCTTCCTCCTAAGAGTTCACAGCGGCTCTGTTGTTTCCATGCAGGATTCTAGGGACAGCAGGACTCTGTTTTGCTTTGGACTATTTTCCTAGCCCCACACAAACAAAACCAATAAATTATTTTCTCTGTGTCAATCACAAAAGCCAAGAGAACCACCAGGAGGCAGCAGTGCCATGCAGCTTCTAATTAGGATATTGTGGCTGCCACAGACCGCATGATTTATGGGACAGCTACATAAACAGGGGGAGAGGGAATAGAGACATTATGTCGTGAAAGTGGACAATCTACTTCCATTTTACAGAGGCAGGTGCCTCGTCATATAGCAAGAGGTTGCTTTCTATCCTACAGAGGTCCAAATACAAACCCTACATTAGTAGCCCAGTTGCTAAAAGATCCAGAAGTAAATTGGCAATGTAAACAGAGTCATGACAATGGCTTATATTCAGCATAGCTCCATCAGTGCCATGTTTTTCCTTGGGAAGGCAAGCTCACCCTCTTCTGCCTTTGTGGATCCCCTAAACCTGCACAAAAAGACTTGAGGGTGGGGCAGAGTATTGCAAGCATGGGAAGATACTCAGAGCTAGCAGGAGTCCATGTGCTGGTTTCAGCTAGCACAACCAGTTTCACGTGACCCACTGAGAAGAAGAAGAAGAAGAAGAGTTTGGATTTGATATCCCGCCTTTCACTCCCTTTAAGGAGTCTCAAAGCGGCTAACAATCTCCTTTCCCTTCCTCCCCCACAACAAACACTCTGTGAGGTGAGTGGGGCTGAGAGACTTCAGAGAAGTGTGACTGGCCCAAGGTCACCCAGCAGCTGCATGTGGAGGAGCGTAGACGCGAACCCGGTTCCCCAGATTATGAGTCTACCGCTCTTAACCACTACACCACACTGGCTCAAGAAGACCAATCAAGTCTGGGTGTACCTTCACAAGGAGGGCCACAGATCACATTGTGCTTGCCGAAGGGTCTGAGATTCAATCCCATGCATCTCAAATTAAAGCAGGGCCTTCTCCGCATGTTGCTGAAATTCCAATTCTCATTAGCCCCAGGAAACATGGCCAATAGTAAGGGATGATGGGAATTTTCATCCTACAGTGTCTGGACCACAGGTTCACCAACCCTGAGTTAGAAGAATGAAAGGGAAGACCCTTTGCTTGCAGCCATGCAGAGCCGCAGGTCAAAAAACTGAACACCCTAAAAATCTGTGGTTTCGTATGCTCCCCTTTCAGCTCCTAGCAGCACAACAGTCAGCTTCAGACGTACTTTTAAAATAGTTTATTTCTGGCTTTAAAATATACATTATCAGTTTGAAAATCTCAGAAAAAACACATTAGTCGCAGATTAACAGTCTTGAGTTGGGACATTGTAAAATACGGGGCAGCCAAAGAAGGCAACTCAAGCTCCCCGAGAGAGAATTCATAATACTGCCAGAGAGGAGAAGGATGCAAAGGGCTGAGATGCAGGACTGCACAAAAGGAGCTCTGGGAGGAACGTTGCAGCAGCAGGACTAACACAGACCTGATACTCAATTCTCCTGCAGGTTTTCGCTGCCCAGACCCATGTGAAATAAATGGCACGGTTCGGTTGCACTCGAGAATGATCTCCTTTCTCTCCCCTCCTCCCAACCTTTAGTACAATAGAATTAAAGGAAATGGAGATTGGTCTCAATCAACATCGTAGTAACTGCTTGGAATTGTCCGTTTGGTGGCTGCAATTGTGACAGTTTCAGATTGCCTTATGTGCAGTTGTGCAGCCCAGCCACAGAAAAGAGGCCTGGGCTCCGGACTAAAAAATTGTCTCGGTGGGATGTGCTAAAATCAGTTCCATTTTCGAGAAGGGCCCAGATTCTATGGGATAGGCTTCACCCAGCACCATGTCTGTCCAATACTGACCACAAACAAGAGGTCACCAGGAAGCCCCAACGGCTTCCCATCTCCAGCAGCCTTTGCAGCAAGAAAGAGAGCACTGCAGTGCTGGAGCAGGAACATGTGGCAACTTGGATTCTACCTTTTGAAGAGCAAAGGAAATTCCAAGGAATCAAGGGTTGAAGGAGGAAGAGTGGCTGAGCAAAGCAAGCAGCTGCCAGCTGTAGAAGTCAGATCTTTACTGGTTAAGTGCCGCATAGGCAAAATGTAGGGTGTCCATATTTAGCACCAATTTATTAGCATAGCTAAACTGAAAATACTGACTCACACCCCAATGCTGGGATGCAACTGCCAGCAGCTTATCAGCAAGAGAAGTGGCCAGTGAAGAAGGCCACATCAAAAAGTTAGCTATGGCCAGACTGCTCCACAATTAACACACAGCAGACCCTGGTTAGGTCTAAAGGGAGGCAGCAGGGGACAGCACAAAAGGCAAGTAGATCAACACAAGATAGGCCATGGAAGCCATCCAATGGATACTGGGAGGTTTCGGGGAAAGTTCTTGGTCCTGCAGGGCTATGAGTGGGTTTTCTGAGCAGCTTGCAGCTGCTTTGCTGGTGTTGGCAAGGGAGAAGACTCCCTGTGCTGAGAAGAAAGGCTTTAGGGTACTCTCCAGCAGAAGATCACACAGACTCCATCCGGACATAAGCAGCTGGCAGTGCAACCAAGCTCAGCAGCCTAGTCTGCTCACTGTTTTCTTGAAGATTGCACTGGTTGCACCAAGGGCAGGCTAGGAAACTGCGTCTATGGAACGTGATCATTCAGTGAAAAATTCCTAACACTGGCAACCTTTTCCTCCCCAGGTGCGTGCACAGATATACGCAAAACACAGAAACATACTGCAAAGGGAGAAAAAAAAATACAACACTGAATACATACAAAAAACCAAAGCAAGTAGAGGAGGGGGAATATCAGACCTTGCCTAAGGCCTTGGGAAGGCACTAGTATCGATTTGGATCACAGCCCCGATAGGATGCTCATCCTCACTCACCAAGGGGCAAACAGGATGGTCCTATAGAGGCAAGATGGCCGCATTGCTTAGGCTTTAGCAACTCCTCAGCGGGTGGTGGCCATAGGGCAACAGCGACAATGAGATGAGCCGCTTCTTGCAGGGCAGATGCTCTCTGACCAATCCCCCCCACCCCATCCCTGCACATTCTTTGCTCGTTCACAAAAGGAAGAGGTAAGCACAATTCAAAAGACAAAGACCTATAAGAAAGCAAGTAAAAGAACACATAGCTTCACGTCATTCAAATGAGACACAGACCACCCAAGAAAGAGCCAACGTGACAGTCACACACAGCCGAACCCATTATGGCAAATGGACCAGCCTCCATTTTGCTAGCTGGCTGGAGCAGGGAAGCTCCAAGGCTCATTCTGGCAGGCTCCCGAGTGGCGCTCCTCCCAACGAGTAACCATGCTGGGTTCAGGAAGCAAGGGAACTCTGGAGGTGGCCTCTGAGCATCGTTCCACCTATTCATGCCAGCGCACATCCACGTAGCAGAATGCAGGAAAAGAAAGCAGCGAAGCTCACACATCTGGGGATGCCCACCTAACGGAAGCCGTCACACCTCACCCGCAGCCTTCACCTGGGGGAAGATTCACACAAGGAAAATAGGGACAGCGTGTTCCTACTTCTTGGCACGTAGGAATAGAGGCTTGAGATGCCGAAGGGGCGTAACTCAGAACCAACAATGGGATGGGATGTTAGCAGGAAGGAACTGGAGTGTGAAGGCAGAACTGAGCTGTGGAAGGAAGGGCATGAGTGCAAACAGCTGTGGACACAAAGCACCTGTGCTGATGGGAACCCGAGTGTTTTGCCCTGGTGCTGTAGCAGGAGAGCTGCCTCCGTTCTTAGTGTGCATTAAAAAAGACAATAAATATATAAAAATGGCCTGGAATTCCTGGGAAGGAGTCCCATGACGGTCCTCCTTTCAACCTCAGGAGTAGAGTAACAGCCCTTGGGAGCTGGGTGCAACGCTGCACCTGGGCAGCTTCCTTCCTACCCTCAGTTGAGCAAGTTGCCTTGCTCCTGGGCCTGTGTCAGGCTGTCTTTCCGATGGAGGTGGTGAACCCCCATCCTCTTGGGGCTGCGGTGGGGGCGGCCCGGAGGAGGCTTGCTCTTGCTCTCCCTGCTCTGCTCGGAGCTGCCCTCTTGGCTGTTTTCCTGGCTTCCCTGCAGCAGCGTTTCCTGCTCTTCGGCCGGGCTCCCGGACGAGTCGAGGTCTACGTAGTCTTTGTGCTTCTCTGGGGAAGAGCTGGTGGGCTCTGCCGCCCCCTCTCCGCCACCCCCTTGCAGCAGCTTGTGGGCTTCGTCCTGGGAGAAGTCCGTGCCGTAGTCGGAGGAGAGGTGGCCCCGGCGAGCGCGGGACTCGGTGCTGTCGGTGTCCGTGCTGGAGTCCCTGCTCACCGTCCAGCTGCAGCTCTGCACCGACTCCTCGCCATCCGAGTAGGTGGAGGCGGCCCGGCCGAGCTCCTGCATGGAGCGGCTGAACCGTTTCTGGAGCTCCTGGGCCGTGTCGCGGCTGAAGGAGGTGCGGTTCACCAGCACCCGCTCCGTGGTGGGGGGAGCCTTCTCCACAAACATCCGCTGCCAGTTGGCCAGCAGGTCCTCCTCGGAGCTGGCCGAGCTGGCGAAGGTGCTGGGCACCTGCGGGGGGCTGCTGAAGGGGCTGCTCTGCGAGGAGCCGTGAGCTCGGCTCACCTTGGGGGAGGGCTGGTAAGAGCAGCTGGAAGCCGAGCGCTGGCCCTCCGAGGCGGGGCTGCTGGGAAGGGTGCGCTGCCTGTCGCCGTTCTCCTCCTCCCCCTGGACCAGGCTCAAGGAGATGGCTTGGCGCGTGGCATAGGTGCAGTTGGGCAGGGGGCTGTTCTTCGGGATCCGCACCTTGTCTTCCGAGAACTCGATCACCTTGCGCCCCGGGTACATGGGGTGGGGTGGAGGCGGAGTGGGGTACGGGCTCAGCTTCTCAAATGCGGGCACCTCTCCAGGGAGGCCCTCCAAGCCGCTTGGAGGTTTGCAGCCCCCGTTCTGCTGCCTTGCTCCCTCTGCCCCCTCACTCCCAGGCTGGCCTGGGCTTGGGCAAGCGTCGGACGGAGCTCCGCTCATGTCGACGTGCACAAAGACGTCCTCGGCGATGGAGCAACTGCCGCTGCTGGATTTGGCCGAGTTGAGCACCAGGGACTCCGGCTTCTCCAGGACTCTGGCGATCACCGAGGTGGGCACCACATCCGATGGAGCCAAGCTGTGAGGGGCCTCCTGCCCGGGGCCAGAGGTCTCCTGAGTGCTATGCAGGTGCTTGTTGACCATGTCTTGCAGCTCGTAGGGAAGCTATGGAGACGAGAAAAAGGACGTTATCTCCTAACTAAGAGAACCACTGAGTTAATAGGGTAGGACAGATGGATGAAGCAGTTATGTGGAAGGCGCTATTTGCCCAGCTCTAACTTCCTGTCCTGGCACAACATGTCATTAAAAGCATCTTTCAAACCACCAGCCGCCTATAAATTCAAAAGATCCATTTGTGTCCCAATAACCAAGGAAAAAATGTGGTTCTGCCCCCCTGCCTTGGCTCTGGGCCTGACAAACAAGACCCCTTCAGAAGAAACAGGGAGAAACATACGCTCAAACTTGAACATTAAACAAGAGAGCCTTGCTGGTGCATGTTAGGCCAGCATAATGCTATTGATTAGTGGAAAAAATTAGCTGGTGGCTGCGCTGAATTGAGTGACCAGCCCCCACTACTAGAATCTGAGGCTCCCAGGAAGCATGTAGTAATTATAGGGCACTGCCTTGGCAGCCTGCCCCAGACTAAGAATCAATTGCCATCCTGGCACTTGCCGGCTCCGGAGACAAAAGCAGCCTGACACTCCCACTGCTCCTGAAACCACCTCAAGCCCATTGCATCAAGGAACATGGAGGTGGTCCAACTGCATCAGAACCGTGTTGTTAATGTAGAGGAGCAGCATCCCACTCCTCCCAGGGTTGAGCAGCTGCAGAACTGTGCCCTGGGCTTAGGCGTATACTCCACAGGACCTTAGATATACCTCTGCCCCATGGATTGACAGCAAGGAACTGGATTAGAAGGAGGGGCTTAGCTACACGGCCTTCTACATTTCCATGCTAAGTTCAGGCAAAGACCTCAGCCTTGCTTCATGAATGCATGGATTGTCAGGTGAGGGACACACCAAATACTCATTTGTATGGCAGGAGATGCATAAGAAATTCAATGGGAGATTTTGCCCTAAATTGCCTAACTGGCTTTGGCAATGAATGAACAAATGAATTCCAGTCCTCAAGAGACTTGAGCAACCCCATAGTCCTTAGCAAGCACCTCTTTTTCTGTGTCCCATCACAACCAGTAATATGGACCATGCAGGTGCAATCCTTTATAGGACCATCAGAGCGCTTTGCTTGAAAGGCAAGAACATTCCTTTTTCTCTTTTTTGCTGAAGTCCAAGCCTCAGTGTTTTCCACAGTCAATACAGCAGGGAGACGACTGTATGAATTTTGTTTCTTGCTTTACAGTTTCTGGCATTTAACATGCTGCCTACCTATACTGACGCTTTGCAATGAGAAGAGGCACAGACTTGGTAGGACATAAATCCAGTTAAGGTAGAGGAGGTTGTATTCAATAGCACTAAAATGAATGCTCTGTCAGTACAAGGTTACTCCTTGCGCAATGTAAACCTCCTCCGCCTTCTTTGCCTGACTGCTACTGGTGTCCAGGAGCCTGTTTTGAGCATATAATGCATGCAAAGCACACATGGGTACAAAAAAGCTGCAATCTATACAAGTATATGCCCATTATAAGATGTGCTGAACTCTGGGATAGCTGTGAGATGATAAACTGACATGCCAAGTGGCCCTAAAGATGGGACTGGGCACCACATCACAACAGTCTTAAGAGACCTTCTATCTTCCTGAAGGCTAGAAACCACCCAAGGGTTGCCAGCCATCCCAGCCCACCTAGTCTCTTTTATTTTCTCTCCTGACACTACACAAAACTTCCTCCATCATGATGAGTCAAGAGCACCTGGAGTTAACAGCCTTCTCCATTCATTCACTAACTCCTTTGTCGCAACGGGGAAGAAAGAGATGATTCAGCAGGAGACCTGCAATTCTCTAGGCTCCGTTCAGAGCCCTAACAGGCTATCAAGCTCAAGGCTGGTGTAGCAATGACAACAACCTCCCTCCTTCCCACCTACAGAAACGCAGCTGAGGAACAATGAGAAGACAAGATGACAAGGCATTAATTGTCTTTTGTTGGGAGTCCCTGCAGAATGAGGAAAAGCAGTTCCTCCTATGCTTTCTATGTATTGGATGAGAGAGAAGCCTGGAACAAGGTTCCCCCAACCAACCACCCTGCTCAAGATTTCCACTCACATCAGCAAACTTGTGATTCCGAAAGTGAGACTTGTTGCACTTCAGGAGCTGCACTGCCAGGTTACAGTCCTGCCGATATCGCTCCTGTCAAGACAACATGCAGGGATTGGCAAATCGCATTCAGAGATGCCCCAAGACATTTTGGGGCCTGAGGCAAAAAATGAAAAAGACCCCAAAAAAAGTTGCTCCATGGTGATACCTGAGGGCTTTAATGGTACCTCAGAATCTGCCACTTTACAGAAAGCCAGCTGACTTAGGCTAGCAGTAGGAATGGTTCTGATTACATCACATAAAATAATAATAGTAATAACAACAATATCAATAATAATAATAATAGCATTAGCAATAATAATAATAGCAATAATAATCCTCTCTGCCAGCCCTGTAAAATGATCTAGGTTCTAACTCACATTCATCCGGACAGAAGAAAACGCTATAAGATTTGAAGCAGAGCACCCTCCCAAATCTATCCTGTATGTCTGTTAAGTTTTACAGACTTACTGAATTTAAACAACACCCCCCTGCTTTTATGCTATATTTCACCTCCATCCACAACCAGAGTATTTGAGTTTAAACAAGATTTAAGCTCATCTGAGTCAATGAAATCTAGTATTATTCCAATCCAAATGTTCTGGATTAAAATGGCTCATGAACTGGTCAGTAAGAGTAGGGACATACAGATCTTGCTTTCTTAAGTCAAGCAGCCTGAGCATTTTATTCTACTGAAGATGCCTCTTTGCTGTTCATCCCTTTAAAGTCTTAAGATAAAACAGAGGATTTTCAGTACTGAGATGCCCAGAAAATGTGGGATAATCTCACTACCATTGCACCAAAATGCATGAAGGAGAAAGAGATGCCCATTTATTGTTAAAGATAATATTCCTAGACAGCAGGTGTGCTAAGGAAACAGTTCTTCCCATCCAGCATAAGATAACCTACATCAGAGCTTTCCAAACTGTGTGTCGCGACATGTTAGTGGCGGCTGCAGTGTGTAGGTGTGTCACACAAACACTCCCCGCGCTCCTCCCGGGGCTGGAAAGGGGTTGGTTTAACCCCTGGTTTGCTAATAAAACTGAATTACTGTGTCACAAAATGATGCAAAACTGAATTAGCGTGTCGCAAAATGATGCATGTCTAAAAAGTGCGTCAGCAACATGAAAAGTTTGGAAAGCTCTGACCTACATAGTCAGCAAAAGTTCCAACACCAACTGTGATTATACAGGTCCATTGTTCAGGGGAAATGAAATCTCTTAGTTCATTCCCTTTCCTTGCAGTGAATTCATAATCTGGGGGAAAGGAGTACTTACATTAAGCTCTTCCAGTTTATTGATGGTTGTTTTGGCATCCAATAGTTTATTAGTGAGCTCCACAATCTCCCAATCAAGAGTCTTGCGATCCATTTCTGCTTTTTTAATCTGGAGTACAGGGATATATAGGGGGTGAGTCCCATTTGTCAGCAGCAGCTGAACTTCCTCCCTGCCCAATTCCCTTGAAGGAAAAAAACCCAACCCCACTCAACGCCAATAAATTCAGAGCTCCCTTTTTGCCCTTAAGCAAGGGAGGAAGATGGGGCTCAACCAGCACATGGAATCAGTCATTCTGCATCCGTTTGCTTGGAGGACTTAAGACACATTTACTAGTTATGAAAGCAATCTGCACTTGGAGACTTCACTGGTGCAGTTGCTCTTCATAGCTATTTGGCAAGCAGATCATGCAGAGGGTGAACACTGTCCCTTAAGTAGTCAGGGTTTGGACATGCCAACAGAGACTATTGTGAAATTGGGCTTTGAAGATGCTCCCTAGTTGTGTGAAGCCTGTTGAGAGACATCCTTAGCATACTGTAGGGCATCCGTCACTTGGGTAGTCAGTTAAAAAACAACAACAACCGCTAGTGTAGGACCTCTTTATCCAAGGGGCGGATGGCAACCGTAACAACTGGAAGAGTACACAGCCCAGCTCCCATTGAGTAATGTGGTCTCCTAAGCAAACCTTCTCTCCCTCAGCACAGCAATTACTAACACTTTATCCTACAAAGGGTAATGGCAATACGTAATCACACTTCTGACACTATAGGCAAGGATCCAGCAATCTGCCTGCACCTCATTGATGGTAAAATATGACTGTAAAACAAACTATGCACCCCCTGCAAATTCCAATAAAATCTCAGTTTTCATTTTACCAAAGAACATGCTTCTAGCCCACACAGCTGAAGTAGGTGGGGGGGGGGCACCTTGGAGGAATGTGGCCAGAGTTACATACTTAAAAAAAACCAAAGAATCGTGGCAGGTTTTCTAGCATATACAAGAGCAGCACACATTCACTCAGTGCTTGCATCATAAGCTTCAATTCCTGTTCCCCTAATTTCACCAAGCTTTCCCCCCCCTCCTTGCAATTCCTAGCCTCCCCACCAAAAAAAGAGTGGGAGAGATTCTGCAGAATTGCCAAATTTGGAAACTTGATCAAGACATGAGAATTTTAAGCAGAGCATACAGATACAGAGCTCTGTACATGCAAGATGTCTTTTTTTCTAAAAAAATAAATAAAACTTCAGAAACAAGAAAGTTAGAATACTGGAAATTGTGTACGTTATGGAAGAGAAGCAAATGGGGGGGTTCTTATTTTGCAAAAATTATTCTGTTACTTCCAGTCACAGGGAAAGGAAGAGCTCTGTGAAGGGGAAATCCAGTTCTGGAAATTCAACAGGCATTTTCTTGCTCATTTTGAAATCTATCTTCTTCGCAGACATGCAGTCAAATACCATGCATGTTTGCTCAGAAGTAAGTTATCACTGTCTCCAATGGGGCTTACATCAAATGAAGTGTGCATAAAACTGCAGCCTTAAGTATTAACAAGAAAGCTGATATTCTCCGGGTGCTTATTTTCCATTCAGTGTGGTGCAGTCAGAGAGTTGTAAAATACACTGCAAAAAAGGTAGGATTCAGACAAAGTTAGTTGAACTTGCGTCTCCCCTGAGATCAATGGAATTTAAGTTGTGACTAACCTGTCCCATTGATTTCAATGGGCACGAAGTCCAATTAACTTTGTCTGGATCCAAGTCCCCCCCTCCAGTTACAGAAACTGGATTTAAAATGAATGGAACTGGAGACCCCTTGCTCCAAGAATCAAGGTCCCAGCCCTCTGCCTTCCCCCAGATCCTTCGTGTGATGGCTCGGGCACCAACACAGAAGAGTCCTAAGGCCATCCCACCAAACACCTGCCTCAGCAGCAAATTTCACTAGGCTCAGATAACAGCTGAACTTCCTCCACACTTGCCTTTCTACAAGAAAAATGGAGGGCACGAATAAGCTCAGCAGGATGCAGGTAGCCTATAAAAATGATCTGGGATGTAGATTGAGTTTGTACTGAAATGAACGGTCCTGAGTATGAACACCTCCGTGGGACTTGTTAACTTGGTCCCTAAGAACTATAATTAAAGAGACATATTCAAGATGCCAGGGAAGAGTTTTTCTGCTTCTCTGAAATTCAACAGAGATGAATAGGGGAATGCCACAGGGCAGAGATGGCTGAACTACCACGTCCAATTTCAGTGGCTTAAATGTTAATAGGGCACGTCTTTTTAAAAAATGTATGTTCTGCAGGAATCCATTCACAATCCACAGAGATCCCAAGTGACAAGAAGTGCCTTATAATACAAGCTGGTGGCCAACATACTAATCACTGGAGCTGCATCCAGATGACTAGAGAGGAGAACTACTCTACAGAGGGTCCCATGAGTTCCAGGTTTCTCTAAGCAGAGGACATTTCTTTCCCAAGCTAGACAATAACTGAAAGTAAGAAGGAGCAGCCCATGCTAGAACATGCGGGCCAGAACTGGTCGGATTCCCAAGGATAACCTTTCCCCTACAAAACCCAAGCTGCTGGGACCCCATCTAGGACAGAAGTAGAACTGAATAATGTGCGACCAACAATGAAACTGGACAGGCTGAGGCATGTGCAGAGGAGATAGAAAAACAACAACACACAAACGAAAAGACGCAACTGCAAAAATCCAGCTTTGACTGAGCGAGGCCTGAGAGGTGAGTGCACCCAGCATTTGCCAGCAGCAGCAGCATTGGAAAGAAAAGGAGAGAGACAGAGAGAGAAAAAGGAAAGAAAAGAAACAGCCATGAGTGTTATGAATGCACACAGTACACAAATGTTGGCTCCACTCCCACCACCCCATGATGAGTTTTCCCCACCCAGATCCTACAAAAAGCAGCACATCAAATTTCCAGCACTCTGGGTTTTTAAAAAGCTGATGTGAGACAAAAACTACAAGTAGCTACATTGCAGAAGAACCCAAACTCTGGTGCAGGCAACATAGACGATCTAGAATGCAAAGCTCCCTCTGGGCAACTTCATGCTGAGATTCTGCCTCAAATCCTGACTTACATCCTGGTGTTACTACACTGCAATCGGAGTCAAGCCATTAGACAAGAGTGTGGCCCACCCGCTCTTCCCTCTTATAGACTCAGCAGGTCAATTACCAGGGTGTGCAGCTTCTCCTCCAAATCCTGATTGGTTCTCTGTGAGGCTGTGTAACTGTTCTGCAACCTATAGACAGACACAAGATCGTTCAGGTTACTGAAGTGACACCAGACACCCTGCAATTCAGAAGTTAGGTGAGGTGGAGATATTTCAAGAAGCCGTGTGCCATGGCTCCAAGTCATAGTTTCACACCTTCCAGTCCATAGATGAGCAGTTGACCTTTCCTTGTAGCAAGCCCAAGAAGTTTAAGTTGATGGAGGGACGTTATGTTCATGGATAGACGAGATGGAAGAAAAAACAAGCCTGACCAACTTGCAGAGGACCAAAACTGGTCTTGGTCTCAGCCTTGGAGAAAGGATGCTAAAGGAATCAGAAGATGCAAAGAAGACTCCTAAACCTAGTTTTATCTAATGGGAGAGAAAGCTTTGCCAACAAGTGTCAATCCCATCGCCCTTTCTGCATTTCCCATCTTCTTTTCTATCTATGAAGACCTTTGCAATAATTACTGCATCCATCTTCATAATGAACTTGCCCCCATTATCCTTATTTCTAAGCTGAGGACAGTCAACTTGTCTATGCTCTCTGCACTCGAGAAATCAGGAGCTGAACATGGTATGAACCTAAGTCTCAGGTCCAGTTCCATCTAGTAAACCTCCAAGGTTGCTGGGGACAGGGGAAGAATCCTCCAAACTTCCATCTATAGGTCATCACTTCAATGCCTCAACAAATGCTAGTAATTTTGCTCACTGGAACAAAATGATGCAGCTAAAACAGATACCATGGGGGAGGATTAATGAACGCATCTTCTGACAATTGTGCCTGCCTCCCTTCTACCCTACCAGGATTAAATGCAGCACCCTTCCCTTGAGGCAGGGTGAAGCAAAATCCCTTTGCCATACTCAGCTGCTTTTAGTTTTTAGCAAAGATGAGGCAAGGCCTACCTAATCTTCTTCATCATACCTGTTTCACCTCTCAGATTGTGCCATGTGGTAGTCATAAAGATATTAACATATCAGTCCCAGGGAACACTAGGCCAGCAAGTCATAGCATGAAAAATGCTGACGGACGAATTTTGGCTTTTAAAATAATGCTTCCACCCCACTCATGGCCCCCATCCCAAGGACCCACTTAACACTAAACCATTTCCCGTGCACAGAATGATTCATACGACTTGTCAGCGGGGAGGGAGGGGACAAAATATATTGTGCAATGACACATTTATTGCTTCCCCCCAAAATCTGCAAATAGCAATCCCAAGTATAGGATATACATCTCAGATGGTTAGGAAGCAATGTGTCCTTCTATCCAGCTGGTTCCCTTCTCTTACAGCACCCCAGAGCTTCTTAAAGCTGACATACCTACGGAACTTGTCCTTGAATTTTTCTAGCTCCTCACGATTCTGGCCCAGCTCCATCTCCAGATAGTCTTGCCCAGACTCCAACTCCCTTTCCATTGCCTCCATTTTGTTGGTGACATAAGCCAGACGCCGACGCAGCTCCTCATTCTCATGCTGCAACAACCTAATGCAAACAAAGCAACAACATCCTGAATAAAAACTACAAGTGCTGCAGTCTTCCATACAGTCATACCTAGGAAGTTGAACACCTTGGTTCATGAACAAATCGGCTCCCAAACAATCAAAACCCAGAAGTGAGTGTTCCGGTTTTCAAACGTTCTTTTGGAACCTGAATGTCCGACAGGGCTTCCGCGACTTCTGATTGGCTACAGGAGCTCCCTGCAGTGAATCAGAAGCTGTGCTTTGGTTTCTGAACGTTTTGGAAGTTGAATGGACTTCCGGAACGGATTCCATTCCATGGTACGACTGTACAACACTTACAGCCTCACTTTTGAAAGAGGGCTGCAGGAAGACGCACTCCGACAGTTCTGCCAACCCCTCCCCTTCTCTGTTCAGGTGCAAAGCGGCACACAGGACATGAAAAGACATCTGAAGAAAATGACTGTGTTGTGAAAAAATCTCGGGATGAGTTTACAGATCAGGGATGATTGGAATTGTAGTCCAAAACATCTGGAGGGCTGAAGGCTGCCTATGCCTGCCCTAAGCTCTACTGGATTCCTGCCAGTGCCTTTGAGTTCCAGGAGGACGACTCTGGAGACATATCTGCACACCAGGAAGAAGACGATCAGCAGAGACTGGGAAAGATGGGTAATAAGGTGCATTCTGGTGGTCAGGAATAGCAAGGGTGTTCTAGTGAAGCCTTTTCTGGATCTTGTGCCACTAAATTCTGTTTATGAGTAGCAAGCCGCTTTGAGCAGAGGCCTGAGCACATACGGGAATCTGCTGTAGATAACAAAAGGTCATGTCAGTTGATCATATTGCCACCAGAGCAGAGACAGAGAGCCTTATTCTCAGTAGCCGGCCACTCATCCATGCCAGCAGCGTCTCAGTTTACAGTATCTGTACTAAACACAGTAGCCAGATGGGGCTGTGCAGTTTAGGTGTCCTCCACTGGAAGATGAGACTCACTCAATAATTTACGTGCTGCCATGAAACATCTAGCAAGGATGCAGGGAGGCGGGTCAGTCGACATCGGCCCATCTCCACCCTCACAGAGGAAAAGTGACCCAGTTTCCAAGCAAGTGAATGGAATCAGTCTATGGAGGAAGATACAGCCTATGCTTGCATAACGGCTTACTGGCACAGAAGTCTTCTGCTGTCCCAGCCATACATCTGCTTGCATGAACAAAGTCTCCCAACAGTTCTGCTACTGTATTGGGTTTGTTTGGATTGATCTAAGAGCAATCCAAAAAACTGCTGCCTCCTTGCAGATATTTTTACACATCTGACTTTCATAGTGAGAGAGACGGCACAAAGGACATATCCCAAGCACAGCAGATCATATTCAAATAATAGCGCTTAAAACATGTTTTCAAGAAATTAAAATAGATGCCTGCTGTTGGAATGAATGATTGCCTATCCACTCTTCCTGCTGGAACAGCAAGTTGAAAACCTAATGTAAAGTTTGGACCCTTTGTTTGTGCTTGTACAGCAGGGTCTCCACCTACACTAGCTCTGGCATCTATGCCTGAGGCAGCTATATCAGTTCCGGGACCGTCGTTCCAGCCACTGCACCATCAAGTTTGTGAGATAACGCTTCCTGATGGGCACAGACCAGGAGTAGAGAACCTCTGGCCCACAAATTATCATCATCATCAAATTTATTACCATGGCAGGTTACAAAAATTTGAAATTCAGTATTAAAAACCATTAAAACAAATTTCAGTCACAATAATAGGTGCCAATAATGGGAGTATCTTAGGTGCCAAAGGCCAGGGTAAACCTGACCTGCCAGGTGACACCTTCTGGTCCTGAAACCAAACCCACCTCCTCCACGCTTGACATAATGTGATGGCAGGTAGAAACATGGCTGCAGGATGAAGGTTTAAATTTTAGCTGATCAGCTTTGACAGGTGGGCAGGACCACCCCCTATCAATCACCTGGTGTCACTATGACACCAGATGATTGGCAGGTAGGTGGTCCCACCCACCTACCAAGCTTGGCCCATCAGGGTGAGGGAAGATGAAGATCTGGCCCATCAAACCCAAAAGGCCCCAGCCCTGGTGTAGAGCCTTAAAGGAAGGGAAAGCCATCACACAAGTTCAGAGAATGAGCATGAAAGTAGTAGCCTGGAAAATAAAGATTTGCATAACGAAAGCGACGAGGATACTTACCTCATCCTTTCTGCATCCGTCAAGGGCTCCTGTGCAAAAAAGGAAACAGAAGCAAGAATCTCACTGAAAAATATGGGCAAGTTTTCAGAGTGGCAAACTGAAGCATACAAGTGCCAGATGGATATAACCCACAGCACCCTCTAATTCTCATACAAAGAGCTCTGGTCCAACCACACCCAGATGGGATTAATTTTATTTATTTTTTTATTTATTGAATTTATATACCACCCTATACCTAGAGGTCTCAGGGCGGTTAAGATTCAATTCTGCACTATACCAGCCTAAATTATGTCAGTCACTAGACAGCTTTAAATTGACAGCATTAGTGTTCACTGTGCAAACCGAAGACCTGCTCTGTGGTGAATATGATCCTTCGTTAATGAACAGACCGAGGGAGATACTCCCAGCCACTTTTTTTGTTCTCTTTTACTGCCCATGAGCATCCACACTGCATTCAGGATACCCACTGGCCAGCAAATGCTGTATACTGTCCTGCACTCTATATTGCTCAGGCCACCATACATGTAGGTAAAGCACCACACAAATGAGACCGCTACCAACAATCTTAAAACAATCCCCATTGTATAGGAAGACACTTCAAGTTACATGCCATTGTTTTATTTTTAATTATTTCTTACATTTCCTGGCCCCTCCCTACCAGCTATTCCTCCAAGGAGCTCAGGGGAGCATGCAGGGCCTCTCCCCACCCCCCAATTTATCCTCAGAAAAAGGCCTTTGAGGTAGGTTAGGCCTAGAGAGTGTTAGCAGTCGAAGGTCGTTCTGTGAGCTTCGTGCCTCTGTAGGAATTTGAACTCTGGTCTTCCCAGACCTAATCAAACACTACACCATACAGACTTAATATCCCTAAACAATACTGACACATACTGCTGAGTTCAGATTTTGGGGAGGACCCTTGGACAAGACACCCTCAGCAAACTGCAACTGCTTGCTTCCATTCTTTTTATTTTTGTTGCTACCACCTGCTTATCTACCTGTTTGTCCGGGTCTCTGCTACTTTTTGCTTGCTCACTGCGTCTTTGGGTCCAGGGGGCTTTCAATGATGGGCCCCTTGCCAGGGCAAAGGGCCTTGGCTGGTGCCCAATCATGCCAGCTTATGACAGTGGTCCTGAACGTACTGACTCTAGCAAGATTTGCCCTATCAGATTACAAAGTATGGGGCAACTGGCAATCTCCCAGCATGCAATGCCTGATATAAGAGGGCAGGAGAGAGATCTGGGCAAAGACAAAACACCTTTTCATTAGGGTACACTCAGCTTTCCATGATGGATGGAAGTGAGTGGCAGATTTTCTCAAGAACTGTGACTCATACAAAGGTGCCTGAGGAATTTACTGGGCAGTTTAGCAAAACAGGTAAGCTGCCACAAACACATATACTGGCACTCGGCAGGTAAGCATCTCCAAAGAAGCGTACCCAGGGCAACCTGGATGCCAAAAGGAAGGAAGAAAAATCAATGGCCTACTCAGAAAGCATGACGTATTCAGTATTCAAGCATCTGGGCTCAGTTTCCGATTTTAAGGATCGACACAAGCGGGGAATGAGCTAATAAGAAACATGTTGGGTGGATAATATTTGGGGATAAAACCCCTTTGGTCAAACCTCACAGAGACTTAAGGAGATCTGGCATCCCGGTGCTCTAAGTTACAACAGACAAAACTTGGCAGACAAACATCTGTCCCTCACTCCCTCTTCACTAAGCACCTACCTTGTTTAGCGCTAAGCTGAAGGAAGGGGAGGCTCTGGGTGAGGCACTGCCCTCCTCCTGGCTCCAACGTGAGGGAGGGGAGAAGGACCCTTTTCCCAAGTAGCTCGGCTCCAGCACTGGCCTCGGGCTAGTTCTGCAACCCAGGGGCTGTAGCCACACGAGCCGCGGTGGGTATTCACTCTGGTCTTGCCCTTCGTCCCTCCCTCCCTCCTGACCCAGCGTCTTCCATGGAGGCAGATGCTGCTGCTCAGAAGACACCCTTGCCAAGCCCAGCTCTGCCAGGTGCTGCAGCTGATACTGACACAGATCCACCACCCGCTTCTCCATGGAGAGGAACTTGCTGTCCGTCCTCACCAAGACGGGCTTCCTCCTTAGCCTGGAAGCCCTCTCCATCTCCTCTGGCAGCTTCTTACGGCAAGGTACCACATCGAGACCCTCGCGCCTCCGCTCTGCTTTCCTCCTAGTGAGCCGAGGGCTTTTCTCAGCGGTCCTCCTGGTGCCTTCAGGCTGGCTCTCCTTCTGCCCTTCTGGTGTGGAGCACCTGGGAGAAGTGGGGGAGTCCTGGCTCCCTTCTCCTGCTCTGCCCTCCCCCAAGGAGTGCAAGTGGACAGGGCTCAGCACCCGGTGGGTGATCTCATCCAGAAACTTGGAGAACTGGAGCTTCTCCTCTGTGATTTTCTCCTTCCGCCTGACAGAGTCGGAGCAGCTCCCGCTGTTGTGCTCGGAGCCGCGCTTGTCCGGCCTGCTCAGGCACAGCTGAGGGTCGCTGTACTTCCGTGAGCGGCGGCCACGGGCCAGGGTCTCCACCGAGCGAGATTTGCGCAGGCTCTCAGGCCGCACTTCCAGCATGTCTGTCTGCTTCAAGATGCTCTTGAGGGGCAGGTGGGTCAATGGGACATGGAACTTCCTAGGTGCTAAGATCTCAGCAGGCTCTTTGAACATGAGGGAACGCTCCAGGCTTCTACTCTTGAAGGAGCAATTCGGCCTCCGGCCTTCGTCCCCAGAAACCACTACTGTCTCTACGCTTCGACTCATGAACTTACTGAGCCGCCCGCGGCTAGGGTGCCGACAGTGCCTCACACTCCGCCTTCCCGTTTTCCCACTGTGAAGCAGCACAGGCGACAGAGTCCGGCTCTTCAGGTTCAGCTCTGCTCGGCACCCTGCTAGCTCCTTGTCGCTGCTCGACTCCAGAGACCAGGAAGAAAAGTTAACGTTGCAAACCTCATACCCATCCACCTGCTGTTTGGGCTGGCCTGCCTTGGGGTAACTAAACCCCTTCGGCTGACGAAGTGGGACCAGGCCCTTAGCTGCCCGGCTTTCAGTTACCTGACTCTGCTCCGCCAAAATCACACCATCTTGGTCGCCGCGCAGGATGGGCAGCTCGTGACGGATCTCGCGGTGCTGCGGAGGAGCCTTGCGGTAAGGCTTCTTGGAAGGTGCAGTGCTCGTCATTGTCCCCTCGCTTGACTTGCACAATATGTCACCTGCCGAGAGCAGAAATTGCAGAGGAGAGAGAGAGTCACATATGCCCCTTTCAGCCCAGATACGTTCCCACAAGGCAGTCAGATATCCTGTGTCCCACAGCAGCCAAACATCCAGAGAACCGAGGAAAGAGGCAGGCCAGAGCCTTGGAAAGCAGCTGTAGTAAAAAAGGAGGGAAGAAGAAAAAGCACAGCTGCGTCCTCCCAGCCAGCAAGAGCAGAGGATTGGCTCATCCTCTCTCTCTGTGTGTTATGCACATACACACACTAACATACAGTGTGTGTCCAGATTATATATAGCAAACGAGAACAGGCCTCAGAGCAGCATATTGATTGGGCTCTTTAGGAAAGGCCGTTTCCGATATGGAAACTGAAAACCTTGCAGGCGGGAATGACAGGCCAGGCAGGAGCTATTGATCTTGTGCTGTCGCTGCCAAGAGGGACTACATGGGAGAGAACGGCAGGCATTAAGCATCCCGACAGGCTGGAGGAATTATGTGCTTGTATTAGTTAAAGCCAAATTACTCCCAAGTGTGTCAGGGATAAAACGGCAGAGAGAGGCACTTTCGCTGCCACTCTCTCTAAGGGCAAAGCTTGGAGGCACTTCTAGGACAGAAGGAACCCTGCTGAAAGCTGCTGAGCTATGCTGCTGTATCAGGGCTTAACAACGCAGGTCTACATTCTGTAAAAGCTATGAGCCATGAACAGCACCTACCTGCGTCAGGTTCCAGGACAGCATTCGCCAGAGGCAGCAGGCAATTTATAATGGGGATTTGGGGGGGGGGAGATCAGGACTGATGCAAATGTTCCTGAAAGCACAGACAAGAGGCCTCTGCCTTCTGCTGTGTAGGTAAAAAATTAGCCAAAGGCAGTGATCATGCTGCTGCCAGCCAAGACTATAAACTTGTCAACAAATGCAAGTCAAGTGTCCAAAAGCCTTCCAGAAATCAGGCAGCCAGGCTTGATGGAAGCTCAGCCATGAAATCCTTCTATGATATACAAGGGAGCTGGAATCAAACTGCCTTCCTCGGGCCTTTCAGTCCTCACAACCCCTGCAAAGTTCACAAACATTTCCCGAGGTAGCTAAAAGGATACAGGGAATGTTGCTCTGTTTAGCATTTCCCGAGGTAGCTAAAAAGATACAGGGGTAGCTAAAAGGATACAGGGAATGTTGCTCTGTGAAATCTCATCAACTAGAAGGCCCTTAACAGATGATACTCCTCTACAGACAAGGACTGCATGCAGAACTTGCCTGTGCTGGATTTGGCACAGCTCTTGGCTTGCTTCCGTTTCTAAGTACTACGCTAGAATGATGTAACAGCATCAAGTACTTCTACTACTGACATACATCAAGGGCAAACAGCAGGCTTGGCACTGCAGGAAAGTGACAAGAAGCACATGCTCACAACAAAGGTCAGTCAGGGCAGAAAAGGTGAGGCCTCCTAAAGGAGCAGGAAGCACAGACATGGCCAGAGCATGACATTTCAGGGAATGCTTTGCTGAAGGCACCTTCATTTCAAGCAAGCGGTTTCTTGTCCATTTCCTCCTCCACAAGGAATGCATTTCCTTCAGCCAATGTGCAATAAAAAACCCAACATCATAGGTTTTGCAGCCCTCAAGAGTCAGCCTATTGTAATGCCTGCTTAGAGCAGAGCAAGAGGTAAACGAAGACAAAGAAACAAACACAGGTTCTCTGTTGCATTTTGCTCTGTAGAGCCACTGGGTTCTTATCAAGTCAATAACAATTTAGGTAAAGAAGGCACAGTACCTTTGTGCTTAAACTGCCTGGAACTGTCCCATTACTCCCATGGTTCCCTCCAACATTCCATTACACACAAGTCAAAACATATCTGTACAGCTGGAGGTAAACGCAGGGCAGCTACAATACCAATGACAATGTTTTGCAGGCACCACGTCTTCCAGACAGCAGCAGTCAAAGCTTCTGTGAGGCCTCTAGTAACCTGATGACTCATGGGTGAAAGTGCATGCCTTTTGCTACCTCCTCCCCAGTATTGAACCCGCTGGATTAAAACATGCTACCCTGCTAATCAAAGAAGGTTGTAAAAACTATCCATTAATTAAATCATAACAGCAATCACAAAAATGAGCAAAGATAACTGGTTGCAAATTAAACATGTCCTAGTATATGCTTGAAAACCAGTTTAAACAGAAATGACTTACGGTTTTCTTTAAAAAATAACAAAAAAACAAGGCTGGCCATTTAAGAAACCTCCTGGAAGTAATATTCTATTTATCTGGGGTCAGTCTTAAGAAGGGCTTCCTCAGCGCTCTACATTTCTCATTGTAGGAAGAACCATAGCTCAGTAGTAGCTATGGTTTTCCATGCAGCAGGTCCCAGGCTGAATCATCTCCAGGTAAAAGGACCAGAGAGCAGATGACACGAGTGAAACTCCCTGGGGAGCCTCAACAAATAGGCTAAACTGGACTAGATGGGTAAGTAGTGACCAGATATATGACGACTTCTTATGTACATCTCGTTCATAAAGGGGAATTTGGGTAAGGCCTCTTTGGCCGACTCTCACTGAAGGAAGGTCAAATGTGGAGCAGTGCAATGCCTAAGTATGAGGCAATCCCCACAGCTAAGCCTATAACAGATGTGTTGAAGAACTTACCAGCCTGGATTCAGATTTGAAGCCTCATGAAGAAGGCACTCAACCCAACAACCTAAAAAGTGAGGAAAACAAAGACGGTTTACTATGGAGCTCAGCTCCTCCTCTCTTTTCCAGCTCAAGGAATAAACACTTATGTCAGTCCCCACCCGAAATATGCCCAATCTGTAGGATCACAGGTCAGATGGGGGTGGGGGGAATAGCTGCAAATACCTAAATAAAGCTCAAAACTGTCAACAAAACATTCTGGTAGAGCACATTTTCCCATGTACACCAAAAGGTAATACTGAGTACAGTCGTACCTTAGTTTTCAAACAGCTTAGTTCTCGAACGTTTTGGCTCCCGAATGCCACAAACCCAGAAGTGAGTGTTCTGGTTTGTGAACTCTTTTTGGAGCTTCCTGCAGCCAATCGGAAACCGTGCCTTGGTTTCCAAACATTTTGGAAGTAGAATGGACTTCCGGAACAGATTCCGTTTGAGAACCGAGGTACAACTGTATTTGGATTTTACAACTATTTTCTGCTGCACCGATCCATCAGAAACAAGAGTTCAAGTACTGATCCATAAAAGGCTCAAGAGTCAAAATGAAGGTGGGCAGCAGATTCTCATGAAACAGACTACACCATCCTCTATTTCTGAAAGGAATTGTAAGATGTATTGGGGGGGGATGCTTTTGAAATCTGTACCAACTATTTGCTGGCCCTCTTAAGAGAATGTCCCTCACCTTCTTTACCACAGATCATCTCTCCCATGCCTAGCTCTCAGAGCAAAATGAGCCTAAAATGTACAGGTATGGGATATATGCAACCAGATGCCCCACAAGGTCAGGGCACTATGAACAGAGGGGTAGAACAACAGGTCGGAGAATAGGATTCTGGCCTGCTATTTCCACTCAAGCTCTCACACAATCTGGTGGGGTTGCATTGCTGAAGTTTTCCCTGGCCCTCCCAGCTACTTTCCTCTATCATTGACACCCAACCTTGGAGTTGGGGTTACATTATGTGTACAAAAACTCCACACCCTAAGTCAGAGCCATAAACAAAGTTAGTGTAACAGGAAGCCAGGAGGGCCTGTGCTGGGCAAGAGAGCTGCTGAAACAAGTCTTTGAGATGCCCTAGGATTGGCCCTGCCCCAACAAGCTTGTTGGCCCCTTTCCTTACTACATTGTTTTCTTCGGGCCTCAACTAGCACAGAACAAACAATCTCACAATAGCATAGCTATTCTGTTCCAAGGCCACAGAGCAATAACTAGATCTACACTTCTCCAAGTCCAACAATACAGGAACGCAGCACGGTGCCTGTGAATAGACTTGTGGGGGTGGGGAGAGGCTTTCCAAGAAGGTTCAGCATACTCTCCAATTCCATGCAAACACAGAAACAGGACAATTATTTTCAGGTGCAAAATTCAGCAGCCTGAGAATCTCACTTTTTTATTTATTTTAAAAGCTGCAAGATCCTAGTTTTATATATTATACATGTATCTGTACACACATGCACAACTATATAGAGGTCATATAACTAAATAAACATGGTGGTTTGTTGCTTATTAAAAAGTACAAAATGCAACCCAAAAGTTTACACAGTAAAACAAGTTACAAACAATGTAAAGCAGCAGAAGAAAAATGTTCTATTGTCTGGGAAGGCAAGCACAAGAACAATTGTCATGGTCAGGTAACTTTCTGTTGGGTTCAGGCTTTTCCCTCCACAAGGATGGTGGGCCTATTGGGATGGTCTGCCCATGAAGACTAAGAGAATCCTTTGGGAGCTTCCTAGTGGCACGACTGGGGCACCTGTTGAAACCTTCGTTGCTCTGTGGAATGCAGATATGGCTCAGATAATTGACACAATTACTCCTAAGCATGTGGCAAGCTAAATAGGTCCCACTCAGTACCTGGATTTACCAAGCAGTTGGGACAGTGAAAGGGACGCGGGTGGCGCTGTGGGTAAAACCTCAGCGCCTAGGGCTTGCCGATCGTATGGTCGGCGGTTCAAATCCCCGCGGCAGGGTGCGCTCCCATCGTTCGGTCCCAGCGCCTGCCAACCTAGCAGTTCGAAAGCACCCCCGGGTGCAAGTAGATAAATAGGGACCGCTTACCAGCGGGAAGGTAAACGACGTTCTGTGTGCTGCGCTGGCTCGCCAGATGCAGCTTGTCACGCTGGCCACGTGACCCGGAAGTGTCTGCGGACAGTGCTGGCTCCCAGCCTATAGAGTGAGATGAGCGCACAACCCTAGAGTCTGGCAAGACTGGCCCGTACGGGCAGGGGTACCTTTACCTTTTACCTTGGGACAGTGAAGTGGCTAGGGATGGCTTAAACACAGCGCTGAAAAACTTGCAATGATCATAAAATACATCAAGAGCTCACAAGTCTACTCTGTGGTGGAGTGAGGGCAGTGGAGCTTCTCCAAATGGTATTCCAAACATGGGCTAAGTTGCTATGCACCTTGGCAAGAAGGTTGCCTGCATGCCTCCCACTTAAACATCACCATTGTTGCAGTTCAATCAATGAACATGCCCAGCATGCAATCTGGTCCTTTTTCGTTAAGATTTTTCAATAGCTGTGGCCTGTGAATGAGAGTAAGGCACCTGCTGGGGTGTTGACTATCATCTGTGTACTCAATCTTGTCCATTATGGCTTATAAAAGCTAGAAGAGGAGTTCACCTACAAGTTCAGAGGTTGTCTTGAATATTGAATCAGATGGTTGTAAGGCTTAAAAAGGCCTTTCCTCGACCCCAAGGACTGCAACAACTATCAGGAAGTCACATGCATCCCTTTCCCGGGCAAAGTGCTCAACCAGCTGATGGATGCCCAACTCTAGACACTTCTGGATGGGACTTACTAGCTAGGTCAATTTCAGCCCCACTTACAGCAAAGAAACTGCCCTGAACATCCTGATGGATGACCTGTGATGAGAAAAAGACAGGGAATGCAACTCTGAAATTTTCCTGAATATCTCAGTGGTTTTCAAAACCATCTGTTGTGGTATCCTTATGGACAGAGATGTCAACTGAAGGATGGGGACACTGCCTTGTTGGTGGTCCTGTTCCTATTTGGAGGGTCAGATTACAGAAAGGTGGTCCTGGAGGACTATTGCTTAGTCCCATGGTTGGAGTGGTATCTTACCCCCATGCGCTTTAACATTTAGATGAAAACACGGGTCATTTGGAGATGGAGTGTGGTGTCGCCAATACAGTGGCATATCGCTTGATTTCTCCTTTTCATCTGGTTCAGGAAAGGCAGTAGAGATTCTGAATTGGGGTCTGAGATCAGTGACGGACTGGATGAGGGCTAACAAAACAAAGTTCAACCCTAACAGAATGGGGGAGGGCATTCTACTAAGTTCTACTCAGAGCAAACTCATTGAAATTAATGAACATGGCTAAGCTAGGCCTATTCATTTCAATGGGTGAACTGTGAATAAAACTTAGTTGAATAGCACCCAAAGCGCCTTTTGAGCCTTCATAGAAACACAAGTTAATTCAAAATAAACTACTAGGTTGATAACTAGGACCAGCTTTAGAGGCTGATTCACACTCTTTGGGGGGGAAATTTTTTACTCACTATAGGCCCATTTCTGAACACAATTTTACATTGTGGGGACTTAGCTTTCAAGCCTTTGATGCCTTAGGATCCAGCCACCTCAAGGATAGTCCCCCCCCCCCATATGTCCATGTGTTAAAATTTTTGTCAGAGGTCCTTCATTGGATGCTCCTGTCTTCTGAAATTAGGTGGGTGAATACCACAGAGAGAGCCATTTTGGTTATAGCAGCCTGGTTTTGAAACCTTTTCCCCTAGAGAGACTCGTGTGGTTCTTGTGTTGTTTTGATACCAGGCAAAAGCCTTTTTATTTCCTGTGCATTTTTAAAACCGAGGATAATATCCAACCAAGAGCCTGGTCCATGTGAACGGCATTTTGTCATCCTTGCCTCATCTACAAGAGACATTGTCTGCTACAGTAGAACATGCCCTGATTCCCACACGCTTCTCCTGTGTCCTGCTGGGTTCTAGAGTACAACATACACGTCCCCTGCCCAGCTCCCTTCCTCCCGCCCATCACACATGACAAAATACCCAGGGTACCACTGCACAACCCCTTGCAGACATTCCCCACATAGGCCTCTCATAAAATAAGGGACTTACAGACCCAAAGTGATGTCCTGTCCAAACATGTTCGTCCTCCCGGCTCTGAGTCTGCAGTATCCACACCACATCCAACAGCATCTGGGCAACGGCTTCTGAAACCGGAGAAAGGGAACTTTGTGAGAGTTACCAATCAGCAGGAGCAAAACAACAGTACAGGCAAGAACACGGTCAGCGCTGGATGCAGAGTATTCTAACTAGGTTTTCAATGAGTATCACAGAACCTGAGCATCAGGCCACAATTCCACAGCATACTGGAAAGGCCTTTAAAACTATCCCCCTTTTAAAAAAAAGAAAAAAGGACAGGAATATTCAACTTCTTGATGTACTTATTGAACAGGCATTTATTCTGGAGTAGAAGATTGCCATGAATTATGCAGATACGTTCATTATTCCACCTCAGTCACAACAGCCCAACCTAATTTGCTGTGAAACAGAGGAGAGATCCTCTGTGTGGGGTGTCCCTCACTTGGCCACAGAGAGGCTTGGGTGCTATTAAGAGCTCAGTGAGCAGCAAGTCAATACAATCTGCAATTCGGTATTCCATCCGGTTTTGAGAAGTAATCTTATCTAAGGACAACTAGAGTAACTGGAGAATAGCAGCTCCCTGAGAGAAACAGGTTTTTAAAAGTTTAAAGCCACAGTCAAGTGACAGCAATGGACAGTTTACAGTTAGCTTTATAATGGTAAAAAGAAAAAGTAGCTTGGTTTTAAAAAGCTTGGTCTCTATTACTTATAAGGAAGCCACATTCATGGGAATCTAAGAAACCTCAACACTTTTAAGTTATGTTATTTTCTGGATTAGTCGTATCGTAAGATGCTTTTAAGTCATGCTATCAGGGATCACGTGAAGTAGTCAATCTCCCACAGCTTTCCCCCTTCTAGTTCACTAGCACAGTCACAGCTTACCCATGTTAAGGCTTAAAAAGCAACATCAATTCCACAAAATTAGTTCTCATATTTATGCCAAAACACCAATGGAATTTAACTACAAATTGGATTTAGTTCAGAGTCAACTCGCAGGCCTTGTTCGCGCATCATTGTTTGATAACATTGTTTTGAGAAAATTAATGCAGCCTTCAGAAGATTTGGCTAAGAAAACTTGGCATTAAAAAGAATGGAGGAAGAAACTATAAAAAACAAACCACATTCCCCAAACTGCCCACTTTTCTCTTCTGTTCAAAACACACATACATGCACTTCCATTCTTAACCAAACTCATCAATTATTCCATGAACTGCGGATTATTGTCTTCCATTGTTAACCACCTTCTATCCTAAGCCTTTCATAAAATTTATCAACAACACACAATCACTGTTCCCAATACCACTCAGCTGCCACCAAAACACAAGCAGATTCATTATGTTGCTGCACAGCTGCGGAGAAAAAAACAGGTTACAACAGGAAGCTGAAGATTTAGATAACCAGGTTTCCAAAGAAGCAGGGAGCAGTTTTTGCTGTTGTTTTTCTGAGAGCTTTAATTATGGCCAGTTCAGAGAGCAGAAGCTCAATTTCCTAACCTTTCCAATACTAATTTCATAATACAAATGTTACGGCTGAGCATGCCTAACAATTTTCACACCACTGGAAAATGAGATGAATCAGCTTAACTGATTCCTGAGTCCTTAAAGGACCGAGGTTGAAGATTCAACCCCTAAGCATTATTCTGGTACAGGGTTGTCATTCCTGCCTTCAGCAGTCAGTATTCTGTACTGCAGCAAAGTTATTTCTGCAAATCTAAAGAAACTGAACCTTCATTATTTTGTACATTATTTTCTTTCCTAGAACCAGTGAAGAGGGACTCTGTCAAAAACTTTGACAAGCTAAGTAAACGTTGGGACAGTCAACAAATGGCATGCAATTGTATGCTACTTTCCCCTGGCTTTTCTATTTATTCAATGAAACACAGACTTTGAGGCTGTTGTTGGGAGTGGAATACAAGCTTTTAACTCTTCCCAGGGTAGACAAATGGCAGGGGAAATGTTGCTTTCCTACGGTGGGGCAGAGGAAGTTGCATGGTCCTGATGATGGTTTCCACAGTTACTTTTCCGTGGAGAAGAGATAAAAAGTCAGGGGAATGAAACACACAACTGAATTTAATTTAGTCCGGCACTACATCAGTAGTTTGTGCCTTGTTAAATGACTGCAGTGAAGCAAATCTGTCCAGGAGAGGGAGCTTTAGCTCTAGCCAGAGAACGGTAGTGTTGTCACGGGGATTCTCACAAACTTATATATATTTTTATTAGATGAATCCTTCGCCTCTCTTTTATTTATAAGCCTGCTTAAAATAGTGTGCTGCCCCATCGGCTCCTTCCACTGTCAATCACCACAAACAAGTAGAGTGGGGAGGAGGCTAGAGAACACACAAGTACCAGATTCTACTTATGAGTGGCTACTAGCCGCAATGGATGCGTTCTGCCTCCACTGAACAAGATCATATGACTCTGAACGCTGTTTTCTGGGACTCACAAATGGCGAGAGTGCTGCCGCATGCCAGTCCTGCTTGCAGGCTTCCCACAGGCAACTGGCTGGCCACGGCGAGAACAGGATGCCGGACTAGATGGGCTTTGATCCAGAAAGACTTATTATGTTCTTACATGGGACAAGCCAGAACGAGTAGAGGTTGCACTGCAGAAGACAAACCTGGCTTTTCAACCCTAAAAGTCTTGTCTACAACCCTTACAATTCCAGACCACTCCACTCCTAGGAGCATCCCGCACACAGCTCTGAACGAAGAACATGACAGAGCTTCAGAATAAAAATCTGTAAGTGCACCTTGCACTATATTGAGTAATGGCTATGCAGCAAGTCTCCGTATCCTCACATAACCCTACTATTAAAGCTCAAAAGCTCACAAATTGCAATGTGAACATTAAAGGTAAAGGGACCCCTGACTGTTAGGTCCAGTCGCAGATGACTCTGGGGTTGCGGCGCTCATCTCGCTTTACTGGCCGAGGGAGGCAGCATACACATTGCGGGTCATGTGGCCAGCATGACTAAGCCGCTTCTGGTGAACCAGAGCAGCGCACGGAAACGCCGTTTACCTTCCCGTCGGAGTGATACCTATTTATCTACTTGCACTTTGACGTGCTTTCGAACTGCTAGGTTGGCGGGAACAGGGACTGAGCAACAGGAGCTCACCCCGTCATGGGGATTTGAACCGCCGACCTTATGATCGGCAAGCCCTAGGCTCTGTGGTTTAGACCACAGAGCCACCCGCTCTAAAAGAAAGTATTACTTGCGGTCTCTGTTGAGATCCACCACCATAAGCTCCTGCCAATGGGAACAGGTGAGCTCTTCTGACCTTATGCTATTAACAAACCATTATGTGCACTTTTAAAATATGTATACCCTTTGGGTATATGGGATGTGTCCAGGGAGGTCAAAGAGATTGGGAGAATAAAGGAAGAAAATAATTGGTAGTGCTTTTGCGGATCAAGGAAACCTCTGACCACAAGGACTTTTCTAAGCAGCAGTTTTTCACACATCAGGCAAAGTATTGTAGCTCGCAGCTGGGAATATGGGAAGCACTCACTGAAAAGCAGTTTCCATGAAACTCTTTCCCCCACAGTTCAAAGAACAACACCCCAAAATATGGGCTTTCAATCACAGGCAAGATCTTCAATTATAAAGGTATTAAATCATCTGTACTTGGAGAGAGCACACTCAACCAGGAAGAAAGCATCCTAGTCAACCTTTCCTTCCAGAACAGCCCCACAACCACACTGATGTGAGCTACCTCTGTTGTGTAGACTGGCAAGAACAGGCAGATGTCAAGCACGCCACACATTTGGACCAAAGGTATCCATGGCTGTTCTCCTGAGAGCAGAAGTAGGATGAGTCCCAATCTCCCCTTCAGTTCAAAGGGTACAGTCTGATAGCTCAAGCAACTAATCCAGTCATCAGGGATCCAACCAGTAACATGCAGGAGTGGACCCACCTCAACTGACCTTAACTAGAGTTGAATTGAGCACAAGCTAGTCCATTTGAAGGGAACAGGCAACAGTTATTGTAGGCTTTTAGGTGCTGCTGCTGGTTAAGAAAAAGGTAAAGGACCCCAACAGTTAAGTCCAGTCGCGAATGACTCTGGGGTTGCGGCGCTCATCTCGCTTTACTGGCCAAGGGAGCCGATGTTTGTCTGCAGACAGTTTTTCCAGGTCATGTGGCCAGCATGACTGAGCCGCTTCTGGCGAAACCAGAGAAGCACGGAAACGCTGTTTACCTTCCCGCCAGAGCGGTACCTATTTATCTACTTGCTTTCGAGCTGCTAGGTTGGCAGGAGCTGAGACCGAGCAACAGGAGCTCGCCCCATCGCGGGCTCAGTGGTTTAGACCACAGCGCCACCCGCCCCTAAAGCAGCAGTCTCTCCCTGCTGAGTTCCTCAGTTACCATGGATGTGGATTTTTTTTTTCCACTGTTTAACATAAACTCAACTCTTCTGCTTTCATAAGTACGGCGAAGAAGTCTAAACCTTAAAACACCGTCTGCAAACACAACCCAGGCCCCTCCTACCTGCGTGCCTGCAGGCCACCAGGTGTGGCCAAGAACGGCACAAGCTACGCACTGAACACACCTTTGATGTGGAGCTGAAAGCATGTAGCCGCAGGGCATGAACAGCACGCCGCCTGCCGCCAGGCTGACTCTATGCGCAGGAATGCAGGCTGAAACCACAGGCCAAGAAAGACAAACACACTGCATTCCACGCAAAGCAGAGAACAAAAACAAGCAGCCAAGCCCACGTGGCCTCCGCAGTCCCTCCAACTATGCCAGCTACAGACCTCCACCACTGCCTCAGCCGTGAACCCAGACAGAGGAGTACTGGAGCCACTACCAAGTGCACTGAAGCAAACAAAATAGGATGAGAAGGGGAATTCATAAGGATAACTTGTGTGTGTGTGTGTGTGTGCGCACGCACGCGCATTTGGTTCTATAGACTGGGCTAACTGGGGAACAGCTGGATCCTTCTAGCCAAGAACGGTTTTAAGAAATATGTAAGAAGCTTCTCCCTTCCTCCCTGCCAACCCAGCTTTTGCTCAAAACAGCCAGTATTCAACCATCTAAAAATCTCGGTTTAACAGAAGGAAGCTGAAAGAAACTGCTAAACTACCTTTAATGTTTGGTTTAACACAACTCCCTTTTTCAAAGCCGGTTACCATCCTCCTCCTTCCCCCCGCCCCAAGCAGGGTATTTCTCTCTCTCTCTTCTACACCTCAACACCCTTTCACACAAATACATTACCAAAAGTCAGCAAAGGCAGATATGATTTCTGCTCTACTGAACTCTTCCTCTCAGAGCCACCTGCCACAACAGGAAGCCTCAGAAATCAAGGCAAAGGTCTCAGGTGCCTGGTAAACATGGAGGGGACCCTGCTCTTAAAGCCGCCCACACAGGGCGGAGCTACATACACGCTATGCACCCACAAAGTCTTCAGAGGCAGAAGTGTTCTCTAATCCTGCTTCTCCTTTGCAAAGGCAACAATGAATTCTGAGAATCCAACCTATTAAACTTCTCCAGACTGAGAAGCTCTGATTCTGTTTCAGCTATAAGACCACCTTGGCTATGTTATGGCTTAGGGTCAATTGCCCACGTGCAAAGCATAATACAGTACTACAACTTTTACCTCCCTACAGTGCTGTTGTGAAGACAAGCAAAGCCAATTCCACTCCACTTATGCGCTGACATGAGTGACGTCGTACAGTAACAGTGGACAATATGAACAGGTAACCTTATGTCTCCATCAAAATCAAACGGTTGCCAGTTTTTGTCAAGTACAAGCAGCTGTCCGTGGTGTGCACTATGTAGGACTAATATGAATGGATTGTGCTAATAATATACAATTAAAGGACATTACTGAAATAGGAGACGGTTTACCTCAAAAAGAGCTGTTGCCAGCTTCCCAGACAAGCCTAGATCAAGCTGAAGGGCACTGCCTTCCCTCTTAATTGTCTCACACAAATGTTCTGCTTTCAAGTTTGCTTTTGGAAACTAAAAGTGTGAATCACATTCTCTCTCCAAAAACACTGAACTTAAATCCAGGACTGCCTTGAGATGGTCCAAGACAATTTCTGCCCCACTCCCCTTACAGGTAGAAGCTTGTTAGAACCCCAGACCAAGTGTTATTGCAAGGCAAAGACAAACAGCTCACGCCTTGTTTGTTCCATTTTATAGCACAATCGGTTTTGTTTTGCTTTTTTAGCAACTGCTCTTCAACAATCCAGGGGTGGTTTGGCTTCATGTGAACGATCAAGGAACACAGGGAGCACCTGGAAAGTTGTGGAAGGTTTGCTACCATGGTTTTAATTAAAAGGGGGAGGGGACGCGGCCTACAAAAATGAAAATGGGCAGGGAAATCGCCAAAAACATAGAGAGGCAATACGAAGTAAAGACCAATGAGGCAGCAGGGTGTGCCACACTCACACTGCAAACTAGAGAAATGCAACAAAAATCCCATTCTCTTCCAAGATACCGAAATACGTTTCCTCGTTTCCAAGCACATGCCCATGAAGAAAAGCCCCTTTAAGCTTCACCAAAAGAAAGGGGGGGGGAGCCCTTTTACCAGCCACCCCCCCTCTCCAACTGCTCCCAGCTTCCAGGAGTCTCAGCAGTACTGTCTCTCCCAGCATTCAGATAAGCAGGAAAACAGCAGGCAGGCAAAGGAGGTGTCTCTGCGCTTACCCAGCTCCCGCCCACGTTTATCCTTTGTATGTTTTACAGCATCTCGGGGCAAAGCCCTCATCCTGCCACTGGTGGGCGGGCAGAGCAGGGGAAAGGGGCCCTTTATAATTGTAGTGTTGCAATCTGCCAGCCTGGCCAGGCAGCCTGTTCCTGCCTGCATATATTAAATACCTTATAACTGATTACACCCCCATGGGGCATGATTAGCAGTCTTCAGAGAACAAAGTCTACTTTCATAGGAATAGGAAGAGACACGTACTGTGAAGTTACTATATACAGCTGGGCAAAGAGAATACGACAAGGAGAATTAAAGTCTTATTTGCATGTCCACCAGCTCTCCCTTGTCCAATCCCTCCCCTCAACACCCCCCCCAACTTATTCACAGTACCTCCAAAACATTTCCATGTGATAAGTAGCCAGCAACAAACCAAGAACTATCATGACCAACAATGAATTACCCTCAGTTTAAAAGTCAGTGAGTGTAGATGCACACAGGTGCTGTGGACAACATGCAATCCCTTGAAATAAGCATATCCAAGGTTCATCGGTCAACATGAGATTAACTCCTTTCAGGCAGAAAGCTAACACTCTACAACTGGATTTTTTAATGGGGTGGGGGTGGGGGGGGTGAGGGGTGGAAAGAAAATCACTCCCAGCAGCAGCAACAAACACCCAGCAGGAGGAGAGAGAGGGTTAGAAATATCTCTCTCTCACACACACAGTGGAGGGAAAACACTCCATGCTTTATATGTAGGTTGAATTCTACACAAACAAAGTAAGAAGCTTGATTTACTTATTTGGGGAAAGGCACTGCAAGACACAGCTCATGAGATCCTGTTATATTTCAGTACATATTGCTTTACTAAAGTTACTAGCCCCCATGGTTGCTTAGGAACACTAATGGGCTGGGGAGGTGGGACTTTGAATTTATGCCTATCAATCATTTTGTTATATTTGCATACCACTCTTCAGTTGTTTCTTAAGAACAAAACAATGTCTAGCAGCAAATTGCAGCAAGGCTTCACTCTGAGCAAAAGTAGAGGACATGCGCTACAGAAATATGCATTGCTCAGGTGAGGTCACTGTGTGGAAGCTGTTGAGATGGTATCTACTCACAGTTAGTTTATGAGTACTTCCGCATCCAGCCTGATGGAAAGCTCAAGGGGGGCCTCCCAGATATACCAATTATCAGTGGTGGAAACAATATGGGAGGTGATCTGGACATAAGCACTGAAGAGAACTGTTTAGGGCCCTTAAAGCCCTAGACGGCCTCGGCCCAGTATACCTGAAGGAGCGTCTCCACCTCCATCGTTCTGCCCGGACGCTGAGGTCCAGCGCCGAGGGCCTTCTGGCGGTTCCCTCATTGCGAGAAGCCAAGTTACACGGAACCAGGCAGAGGGCCTTCTCGGTAGTGGCACCCGCCCTGTGGAACGCCCTCCCACCAGATGTCAAAGAGAAAAATAACTACCAAAATTTTAGAAGACATCTGAAGGCAGCCCTGTTTAGGGAAGCTTTTAATGTTTAATAGGTTATTGTATTTTAGGGTTTTGTTGGAAGCCGCCCAGAGTGGCTGGGGAAACCCAGCCAGATAAGCGGAGTATAAATAATAAATTATTATTATTATTATTATTATTATTATTATTATTATTATTACTACTACTCAATTTGGACTAAACCTCCTCTCTACCTCTGCCAGAATTCAGGAGGTGTTGCTCAAAGTACTCTTATGGCGACTGTAGACCCCACTTCAATACCTCCACAGTGCTGGAGAGGGTGCCATCAGTGGGCTCCTTTGAACTTGTGTGGTGGGACTGTGCCTAGGTGAAAAGGTTCTGGATACAGGTATTCACTAAGTTTTCAGATACATACAGTTAGCCAACCCATTGTTGATGACCCTGTCATAGCAATGTCATCAGTTTGAGAAATTTAGGTTTTTGCAAAAAGCATATATTTGCCATCACTGAACACAATCAAGCCCTGTAAACCTAGAGCTGTGCTCCTCAGCCTTCCATGGCCTTTTGTTCGTACTATTTTGGCTCTCGGATCAGGGGGAAAAAAGAGACTCTAGCCTGGTTCAGACAACACACTAAGTCAAACCCTGGCTTAGCTGAAGCAGAGTGCTATGCTAAAAGGACCAGGGAGCAGCAAAGTGGATATAAGCTCTTGCGCAGGAAGAAGTATGTTTGTGCAGTTCTGGTAAGCCATAGTTTGGTTTCCAGTGAGATGGGAACAAGGCCTATGTCTAAGTACCTCCACCTCAATATTTTTATGGCTGTGTTTGCATGCAATGCTAACTACAGTTTATAAACCACATTTTATGAACCTGGCCCAGTAGCTTAACCATGGTTTACTAATCATGAACAAACGATCTCACAAACCATGGTTTATTACCGATTTATAAACTTTGGCTTAAGTTAACCATGGCTTAGCATAACATGGGAACCAGGCCATAATTGGGCTTTTTCTTTCCTCCCTATCAATGTCCTTTTGCTTCAGAAAATAAATATAATACGAACATCAATATATTCATCACTCAACTGAGCTAACCGAAGAGACATGGCAACAGATAAAACAACAAGATTTTAAAATGGTCGTTCTCAAGCATAGCTCACTACATACAGGTACCGTATTTTTCGCCCTATAGGACGCACTTTCCCCCCTCCAAAAATAAAGGGGAAATGTGTGTGCGTCCTATGGGGCGAATGCAGGCTTTCACTGAAGCCTGGAGAGCAAGAGGGGTCGATGCGCACCGACCCCTCTCGCTCTCCAGGCTTCAGAAAGCTATCCGCAAGCCTTGGGAGCCCACGGGAGTTCCCGCCGGGCTCCCAAGGCTTGCGGACAGCAGCCTGCAGCCCGAAACCTGGGGAGCTCAGCGGAGCACACCCCGGGCTTCGGGCAGCTCTCCGCAAGCCTTGGGAGCCCGGCGCGACTTCCCACCGGGCTCCCAAGGCTTGCAGACAGCAGCCTGTTCTGGGGGCTGGGGTCGGGAGAAGCTCAGGCTTCCCCCGCCCCAGCCCCGCACCTGGGGGGGGGAAATAATTTTTTTCTTTATTTCCCCCCCAAAAAAACTAGGTGCGCCCTATGGGCCGGTGCGCCCTATGGGGCGAAAAATACGGTAAATAAAATACTGTTTTACTTACCAAAAAGCATGGGAAGTCCATCTGTGATAGGCTGAATTATTAATGTGTCCTAAGGTTAATACCTGGGCACAAGTGACAAAATTGTGGATTTACAACCAGCGTATGTGAAAAGAGAATGAATAAAAAATCAGATAGCTCTGCAAAACGATGCTTTAGAGGACCATGTACAAGCCACAGACTTGTACATCCTCTCCTTGCCTCTTGCATGCAGTGTCTATCTCTGCTTCCCATTTAGCACTAACAATCATGTATTGTGATGTCTGAATTGGCAATCTTTGGTTAGAACTTGCCCTCCAAACTGGAATCAGAAACCATAGTTTGAAGTAGGTTTTTAATTCTGATTTAGAGAGGAAGCACAAAGCACAATTTGCTGATGCAGGCAACAAAGCAAACTATGGTTCATGTTCAAACAGGGAATGGAAAAGGAAGTCACTAATGCACAACTAATTTCTGATCCTCCAAATAATCATTTGAATTGTGTGTGTACACAGGGTGTTTTTAATAAACAAATAATACATTCTGCAAAGTACCCCAAACTCTGCAACATGGTTTCCAAAAAATGGCTAGTTTTTTGTGGGTGCATGTGTGTATTTATGGATCATTTTTATTCTGTTTCTGTAACCAACAATATAGTAGCCTCTTGCCCACTTACTCAACTGCAGAATGAAAAAAGACAGAATATTAAAGAGGTTCCATGTGATCTCACCCAACATTTCATCCCACAGAAATTATGGAGCTATTCTAATATCAGACCGGCATCCATAGTGCAAGTCAAAGCTGTTCCAGACATGATGCTTTTGCTACTCAGAAATGCCTTCTAAGATGGTCTGAAAACACCAGCTAGTGCAGAACACTGTTGCTAGGTTGTTGCCTGGAGCATCTATGCAGGATTATGCTAGTGGTGTGGCCTGCACTGGCTCCCTGTAAATTTCTGGCTCCAATTTAAGGTGTCAATGCTGAGAAACAAAGCCCAAAATAAGCCCAGAATCAAAATACCTGTTTCCATTTACAAGCTGACCTGAGATCAGCAGAAGAGGCTTTCTTCCTTGTTTCAGTGGGGATAAAACACTGTATAGTGACAGGGGATAGGGTGCCACTACAGAGAAGACCCTAATTAAGGAATTCCCTGACACAGAGGTGCAGTTAGCCTCTACACTGATGGGTTTCTGGTGCCAAGTAAAACACACTTGTTTACCCAGGCTTTTGTTGGCAGTGATTAGACTCTCCAAGGTTTGGGAATTTGAGGAGTATTATGTCTGCTGCTGAATTTTTATCTGTAATTGCTGCTACTCTTTGTCCTGAAGTCTATCATTTATAATTTAGGGGATTCATTTGAGTAAAGGGCAGTTTAGAAGAGCAATTAAAAAATAAAAACTGCACAGGTCATGAGAAAAGAGAACTGGACAGAAGGAAGACCTAAGAGTTACACAGAAATATCTTTAGGATATTAGGCACAAAGTCCCCTTCCCAATAACAGGAAAGGGTGGCCATTCTGTATGAGCACAAAGCAGTCCCAACGAAACATCCCTACTGCCAAGCTACTCTCTTCCTCAGCATGTTAACATTTACCTGCACTTTTGCCATGCTACAGAAAAAAGCTTGATGGCATACTGGTTACATTTAGTGACTAATCTCCCCATGATGCGGGGCAACCATCGATCAGGCATTCCAGCTCTGTTCATAAGCAAGAAGTATGTCAGCACATAGCTACTCTAACAGCCCAGAACACCATTACTCACTGCCCTCTACTACGCAAATCCCCACCCTCATTCCCTGAACTAATAGCCTTTTGGTGCAGAGAAACACTTCTGCTATTTCACTCCCCCCCATTACCAGCATTGACAACCAGGGCAGTAGGCCCTAATTTAGCTCAGCAGAGGCCCTCTACAAACTGCTAATCCCAGTGTGCAGCTGTTTCTCAAATGCACTGGCACGAGCAAACCGTAAACGATTTATGGCGCGTGGCAGGAAGACGGCTGGCTCCTTGCATGGGCGGAGTTTCGGTATAAGATCGTGTTTGGACTAATGTTTATATTACAGGCTGTCAATCCAATACTAAATAGTACATGGCAATACGTTCTCCACAACCAGCCGGGGCGCTGACTACGCTAAATCCTATCAGAGCTATTTCTGAAGCTACAAGTTGGGAGCTGGAAGGTTTGATCCTTGTAAATATACCCTTTAGAAGTTTTAGAATCTTACAAAGAACTTGGCTTACTTTCTGCAACATCACTGTACTTTCAAGGGTTCCCAGTTGGCATGAGACCATTGCTTATTCATAGGTAGCCTCACGATGCACAGACATCATTAAATGCCCATCCCAATCTTAATAGTCAAATTTTTCAGCTGATCTAGAGAGAACACAGAAGTAACTCTTCCCTTGTAGACTTTCTACAAACTCAGAAAAATGCCTTTTGTTTCTTTGGAACGGTGTTTCAGTCTCTGAGGTCACCGTGCTGCTCTCCTTAAAATCACTACTCTTCAATGGAATGAAAATTCCAACGGGCAGTTGCTCAATTAAAATTTATCAGTTAAGTTTGATACTATTTCCTAAAGGCCTCAAACACAATGGTTTCTCTACACTTTAAGTATTAAGTGAGCATAGCAAAGCTTAAAAAAAGGCTGTAGTTCCACCAGTTACTGCTGTTGTGGATGATTTTCAGATTAAAATTTCCTAAGGACCCAGACAGTCTTTGTCTCAGCAACAAAGATGATCAGACTACATTTATTTACTTATTTATGAGTTATAGGCTCTGAAGAACTAAGCAATGATGTGCAATGTTGCTTGTGGTGCTTATTCCCAGCCTTCCACACTGGGTGGGGGGGGGGGGCAAATGCTGGGTTTGGAATGGAGAACAATGCAGAAATTTACATTGGGACACAATCCTCCTCTCCTCAGGCGAGAGAAAAGGGAGTTTCCTTTCAGCTTCCCACAAAAGAGCAGAAAGGAGAGGAGTTTACTAAATTCCCTCTTCATATACTTTATATATAGGTAACTGTGAAATGACCCCCATTTGCCACCAAGAATATACTCTTCTCGAAGAATATAGTCTTCTTCTCCGGTGAAAGGGAAGGGGTATTGGATCCTTTCCTGTTAGGATTCTTAGTGAATTAGGCCCCTCCACAGAGGTGAAGGCTCTCTTAGAACGGGGATCTGACCATAACAAGGAAATGGTGGTAAGATCCCACAACTTCAAATCAACCTCCTCCTGCCCCAGAGACACATCTAAGCATTTCTCAGGGCTGGAATGTATATATCGATAGATACACATTCCAACACAAGACTGAAAATTGTTCAATATCAATAAAAGGAAAATGTGTAGAAATTCTACAGCTGCCACCATACACTAGCCAAAGTAAAAATACTGTATACCTATTTTAAAACAAATGCTAAATGTCTTAACAGTACAAACTGTGTTCTGGTTTTACAGTGGGTATTTTTAAATGATGCGTTTCCGGATCAAGGTACTTGAGTATTTCAACAACTTGTTATTTCTAAAGATTGTAGTTACCAACTCTTTACAAACAAATATATAATTACAAATAAATCCAAATTTTGTTGTTGTTGGCATCCGTCTGTCTTGAGACGATGGACTATGCCTCCAGAGGTAAAGTCAAATCATTGCAGAATCACAGCAGCTGCTGTGGCTACGGAGACTGGTAACTTGTAACTGCTGCCTCCCACGTTGGTTTTATTGCATTAGCAGCACCAAAGTGACTGTTCTTTGAGGCACAAGCCTTGGCAGCGTGTATAGAGGTCCTGGGTTGCCCAGATGAAAAGAACCCCCTTACAGCCTCACTGACGTGGTCCAAAGGAAAGCAGAGCAATATGTTTAGCACCAGTTTGGCTGCAGGAGTTGCCAAAAGGAGAACAATGTGCCATCCAACACTTAGGAACTCCACTCCGAATTTGTACAGGGTTTACTCCTTAGCCTTTTTTCCTCCCAAAGGTGTCCTGCAAAGCAGCAGGTAAATATGTAAATGTGTGTGCAAACTCTTTTGACCTTTTAAGAAACAGACTGCTATTTTGAATAAGCATGAACAGACCGGTTTAAAATTGTGTGCCCTTTAAGTTGCAACAACTTAAAAATCCATGTCCGGGAAATCACTGCGATCACCACGTTTGAAGGCATATTAATGAACAAGTATTACATGCTTTCATTAGAAGGATGAAGGCTGCAAGCCTAACCATGTCTACTTAAAGGTGAAAAGAAGGAAATAAGGAAATAGAGACAAAAACAATAGTGTGATATGAATGCAATTTTAAACCAGTGCTCAAAAGAAGCCCTCTCAAATTACCAAGTGCCACTGAGTACTTCCTGCCTCTTCCTTGAATGAATCTGATTTCAAGCTGATAGCATTTATTTATAGAGAACAGAGAAAATTAAGATTCAGGGCAGGGAACTATATCACAAAATAATAATAATTTTTTTAAAAAAAACATAATTCAGGTTCAGGAACAGCCAAAATTAAGGCACAGCTACTGTGTGAACTAGGGATGTAAAACATATATATTGGTTAAATTAAAGGATATGGGGGAGGGGGGAGTAGTTTCTTCTACAAAGCTGTGCTCACTTGAACATTTAAAACAAGCCCAGTGAAAATATATGTTTGATCTAATCCTTTTGAGAAACAAAAGCACATTAAAGAAAGCTTAGAACTGAAACATTAAAACACGCAAGCCAGAACTCCCAATGGCAATTCCTGCAGCAGGTGTCTGTGAATCCAACTTTATAGCTTGGCTATGATAAAGCAGCCTCAGGCATAAGATGTTGACCTTGCTGGAAGCAAAAGTCTGACTCTGTTGATCCCAGGGCATTGAAACAATCATTAACACTGCATTAAGTTACCATCCCAGTTAGTCAAATCAAAGCTCCAACCTGGTGCTGAAGTGAACCAGTCACAGGTCATGTCCCAAGGAAAATGGCTGCTATTCTCTTCAACCTCTTCAAACTGGCTAAACCGAGATGTGTTTTTTTTTGATCCCCAGACAGATTTATATACTATATAGACTAAAGGCTTAACTCTGCTCTTGCATGCACATAATTCCTAACGAAGTTTCACAAGAACTATGCATGGAAGCTTCAAATAATCTAAAATCCTTTTCCAGCTCCAAAATCCCTCTTCTTTTGGCTATACTGCAGTTCTGATTTAACTTGAACCACTAAGTCCTCGACCCTGGAAAAAAATTACTAATATTTATCCACTATTTCCCAGGCCTAAATTAAAAGCACTGCGGGAAAAGGGGATCTAAGGTAAACTATTTTACAAGAGCTATATACCCTCCAAACTCAAGCCACTGAAAATGAATTGTGGCAACAACATATACAGTATACAATTATATACTCTCCCCAATATTTAAAATCTGCAACAGTATCATAAGCATAACCACTTTGTTTACTCTTTCTGGCCAATTTTATCAAAGATTTCATTTCCCCTGCATTTCGGGATATGTTGATTACTCTACTTCCATGCAAAAACAATTTTAAGCAAACAATTTGAAAAGGCAGTACAGGAAACAAGGCAGGCACACACACTACTGACTTTAGGGAACTTGCCAGAAACAGTGTGCAAAGTGAGATGCACAGTTTAGCATATCATTCCATATAATATTCAAGTGGGTATACTGTGTGAGAATTGGGAGGGTGCCCCAACAGGACTTAGGTAAGAGTAGGTGATTCCTCCATACCTGGGGAAACTTGGGATACAAAGGCAAACTATTGTTAAAACTTCCTGAAGACCAAAGGCTGACTGTTTAACACATGCTTCCCTCGTACGACAATGGAGACCTGGCAATGGAGGGCCCTCAGTTACCAGGTGGCTTCAATTGAAGAGAATCAGCCAACAGACCAGTTCCACCTTTGACCAGAAGTCTACATGTGGGAGGGAAAGGACACCTGTCCCAAGAAGAAGAAGAAAAAGAAGAGTTTGGATTTGATATCCCACTTTATCACTCCCCTTAAGGAGTCTCAAAGCGGTTAACAATCTCCTTTCCCTTCCTCCCCCACACAAACACTCTGTGAGGTGAGTGGGGCTGAGAGACTTCAAAGAAGTGTGACTAGCCCAAGGTCACCCAGCAGCTGCATGTGGAGGAGCGGAGACACAAACCTGGTTCACCAGATTACGAGTCTACCGCTCTTAACCACTACTCCACACTGGCTCTCTCACGTGGACTTCACTTGCCTACCTCATAGTTCAAGGAACTGTAGTGGATGCAGGCCAACCCCTTCCCTGAGAAAGACACCAATGGATTTCCTGCACAGGCAGGAAACAACGTGAAGTTTTTCCAACAAGTCTTGTACAGGGGTAAAGCAGGGAAATGGCTAGAGTGGATAAGAAAGGAACCCACTTTGAATCCCTCCAAGAGATCCTTTGAACTGAGAGGGGGCTGATCTTTCTCACATTAAATGGAAATCAGAAGACTCGACACTTAATATGCTTTCTCCAGCAGGCTTTAGAGAACCCATATTAAGAATGTCAGACAGTCCTGCTTACCGGAGTTCCTCCTTTATTAGCTTCTGAATCAATCAGCAGCTCTTCCAACCAGGGACAGCACAAGAGCCAATCCTGAATTATGAGCAGGTATTCGGTGCATAATGGGTCAAAGACATCAGTATGAATAGGACGAAGGAGGCATGAGATCAAGCTAGAATAGTCTTACAAACTCCTTCCCACAAGGCAGCCGTTTCCCATATCATTCTGACTAAAGTTCACTATGGGCCTGCGACGTGGAGGGACCAAATTCCACATGCTTTTATTCTCCGAGCAGTGATTAAGAAAAAGTGTGTACAGTGTTCCTGAAGATCAGACACAACTATATCCAAGCCTGGCAGAAGTCTTTAGTGCAAACACAACACTTAGGGCTAGGCAACAGGTATACCCTTAGTTGTGCAACTCGCGCCTCTAAAATATCCAGATTTGTGACACGTTGATTGCCATTGTGTTTACATGCAGTTTACTTTGCACACTAAATAGGCAATTAGGCAAAATTCACATAAAACGGATATGGCATACAAAAATTTTAGATAAAAGAATGGACTTGAAAATAAAGATTGCTATGTATTTGGCTTTGTCATTCAGCTTCCTCATAGCTTTCAATAACTATTTTAATAAGGTGTTTTGAGAAGGTCTTCCTTACAGTGATTACTTAAAGCAGGAATGAGCTCTGTGGCCAGATCCTGGCTCAAGCCTACCAGGCCAAATTTGGCAGGGCTCCCCACCTGTCAATCACAGTATCAGGTGACTGGGTGCTTTGAAGTGCCAAAGTCAGGCATCAAAGAATCATATACAGTCAATCCATCAAGTTTCAACTCTACTGCTGAGCCGCTGGTGGGTGGTAGAGTCAATGGCTGCTTTCCCTTGCCAGTACACAATTAGGAGCCTACTTTAAGGCTCTCAATTGTGCACAGGCAGCCACATCACTACCTGTGCCACACCTGATGGCACATATTATGTTAGTTGGACAAGATTTGGGGGAAATAGTCTTGCAGACCAAATTTGAACCCGTCAGACCATGTTTGGTCCAGGGGCTAGAGGTTCCCCACTCCTGATTTGCAAAGTATCAGCTGAAGCCAGTGCTTGCCCCCCCCCTAAAAAATGTTTAGGGGTACTCTCATTTTCCTACTCATATTGAAATACTGCCCCTCAATGAGGCCATACTTAGATTCACAAAATGTTTAGGGGTATGCGTACCCCCAGAAGAAAAGCTGGCTGAAGCTATCTAGAAATTACTCATATAGATTAGACTTCTTTCATAAGAATTTCCTTGCTGAAGCAAACCAACATCAGCCTAATCTAGCATTCTCTAGTAACTAGCCAGGTGCTCTGCAAGCTCATAAGTTAGACATGATGGCCACAAATATACCTTTCAGATGTCTTGCCAGAGGTGGTCTTCATAGTATCCCTGGCTTAGGGAAATCATTTCTTTGACCTAGAAATCCAGTGTCCTCCAAGTGCTGAGTGACTTTCTGTATCATTCGGTAAAAGGGACCTGTGACTTCCACACCATGGTCACTTAGGTCTCTGGGTATACTTTCATGAGGCATTGTAAGACAGGCTTGTTTGTCTCCACTGAGGGTGTATTTGGGTGATGGATTATAGAGGTTCTGCAATTAGCAGGGTTGCTGGCAGGGGAGGGAGAAAGAGGAAGAACACTAACCTTGGAATGTACTGCTTTTTATATCCCACTGCCAGAATGTCTCCTGTCCTCAAGGAAAGGCAATTCAGTGCTTACATTCAACTTCCTATTCTTCTCAAGGCAAGGAAGACTTCTAGGTCAAGCCTTCTCTGGTACAACTCCATCCTAGTTTACCTGTATCTCCTGTATAGTGATGAGGAATGGATACTAATACTAATCCCCTCTAACATACTTTCCCTCACATTATTCTTGAATTTGGTTTGTTTGGGATATTTTCTCATAGCTGAATTGTAAGCGGAAGTGTAACTTTTTTCCTCTTCAAAATGAAGCAGTTGGCAGAGATCTTTCCATTCTAGCATTTAGAACAGTAGATACTAACCTATGGTCCTCTAGATTTTGTTGGCCTCCATCTCCCATTACACACAGCTACAATGACCAAGGATTATGTGAGTCATTGGTGCTCACCAACGTTACCTGGATGCCAGGGTTATAACAGCTTCTTGATACAGATTAGTTGAGTAGTTTCCCATCCTTTTGGTGAAAACAAGCAAATTACATTACTTATACAAGTGATCATTTTAACTCCTCTCGCAGATCTTGGTAGACTGTGTTCATTTTGCTTGACAGCCTTGTGGTTCTGTTATACTGCAATCAATTTATTTTTTGGAAAACAGAGATTTCAGCTAAATTTGTGTGTACGTGGACAACACTAATCCATTTCAGAAACCAAATCCATTTCTACTGTATCCACAAATTGTGCATATTTAATTTAATCCTGTTTATATGCCAAGAAAAACCACAAACTCTTATTTATGAGCCCTGCTGGTCCAACTGGCAGACAAAGATGTGTCAGCGCAGATGACACAGTCTAAAGCCACAAATTTCCTCTTTCATTACTTCACTTAAATCTGTATCCACAACAAATGCAATTCTGCAAGACAGATGTGCAGTGCCGAGAGTCACAAACAACTATGGAGAAGCCTCTCACTTGCTCCAGCTTCTCTCAGGTCATGGCCATTCAATACTTTGTCCATTCATTCTTGCCTATCACTGAAATGTCAAATAATATCATCTTTCCCTTTTATTTCACATACTGTATCTTACTACCTTCCTTAGCTAGACTTCTTGTTCACAATCAATCACTTATGCCAGCATCCATGAGACTACACACTGTCAGCTGTTTCTTGTAACCCGTCTTGAGACTCATTAGATTTAAAGGCTGGATATAAATCTTCAAAACAAATAACCATAAATAACAATCAATAACCTAGAATAACTCTCAGTCTGGAGCTGTATTCACTGAAGATTTCCAATTCCTAGAAGTACGGCAGAAACAAGTTTTATCATCACAAATAATGGGAATAAAGATGAAGTTAAATCACACTACGTGAATTTCACTCTCACCTGCTCCAGCAGCTCCTTTTAGTACTATGTACTAATCTCCACTGTTTCCATCCTTTGTCCCTCAGGCAGGCGATTTCTCCTCCAGCAGTAAGTTTCAGTCTTACTTATTTCCCCCTCTGTTGTGCACACAGTGCGGGTAAGAAATCACTGCCCCAAGAATAGATCTGAATCAATTCTTAAATCCGCACCTATTAATATCCATTCTCAATTCCCCCAACTCCTGCTCCAATTGTCCCCCAAAAGCCAGCTCCCCCGTGGCTCACTTGTATCAAACTTTCAGCCCCAAGAGAGCCCACCGCTCCGCTTCACCCCCAGACCTAGCCGGCTTGCCTACTCCCTGCAACTCAGCCGCGATCCCGACGGAGGACGCAGGTCAGCCCCGCCCGCCGCTACCTGCTGCTGCTGCTGCCTACGGACGACCCCGCATCAGCCCAGGGCCAAGAGGCGGCTGGCGACCCGGCCCCAACCACGGGCGCCCCGTGGTCCCGCCGAGGGGCTCCGGATCTCAGCAACAGGCTCCCCGCTTCGGATCCGCGCCTCCACCTACCGGGGCCCAACCCCGCGCTCCGGCTTCCCTGGGGGAACCCCCGTAACTTTGAGGCCGGTTCCGAGCCGGTTGGAAAGCGCCCTTTGCCCGCCGCAAAACTTTGCCCCCCGCCCCTCGCAGCCGGGACCCGCGCGCTCGGCTCAGGCCGCCATTTTGCCGCGGGGCATGCCGGGTAATCCGGCGGAATCCCCACGTACCGGCGCGCTTGCATCATCACCAAACCGAGAGCGAAGGAGCGGGTGGGATGATAGTGAGAGGGAGAGAGAGAGAGCGCGCCGGGCGTCGGGAGGGTTACCATGACAGCGGGGAAAGTGGAGGATGGGGAAAGGTAGGCGGCGACCTTAGGAAATAAAACACGAAGAAGAAAAAAAACAAGTTTTGCTATGGGTGGAATCGGGCCGGGCGACTCTTGAGGCAAACTACAGGCTTGTCAACACATTTAAATGATTGTTTTGTGTTTTAGTTGTGCTGGTGATACAGTCAATAATAAATGCTTTTTTATTTATGGCGGCTCTACATGTCACGCATTACTTCTGCAGCGCAATATTTAATAAGCTAGTTAAGTCTAAATGAATTCGGTGCTCCTTCGGTGAGAGTGCTTAAGGGCGCAAGCCTGCTTACCTCGTGTTAAGTCCTATTGAAATCAATGGTGCTTGCTTCGTATTAGGAGGCATAGGATTGCATTGTAAGGCTACAGCGTCAGGCTGCAATTCTCTGCACGCTTGGGAATAATACTGAAGTGTGCTTACTTGGAAGTGACAGCTGGATCACTTTGTTGAATTTGCAGCGTGCTTTAATTTATTCCTTCATTTATTTAAACAGTTATATGCTGTCCTTAAACAAAACATGGTCAAGGCAGTATACAACATTATAACTGTAATTTAAGTATAATTTATAATTATATAATTATAATTTAATATAAATATAATATATAAATATAATATAAATATAATTATAATTTTAAACACACTAAACCCAACAATAATATAAATATTAGATAACTACTCAATCTAAGGATCAATAACATCTGGTATTAAAATATCAGGGAATGTCAAAAAACCAGAGTACACCAATGAAGTATCAATACTGGCTAGCTAGCCTATTTCTTTCTTTCCTGCAAACTGGGGACAACATTTCACGCTATTGATCAAGAAGACTGTAGTCCACAATATATCCTGCCACAATACACAGGTTAGTCTTTTGAAATGCAATAATAAACTTCTGCCTGCATTGTTTCCCATCAAGTAATTTTTGTCTACAGCCTGAAAAGTTTTCTGAAGAAGGGTCTCTGAACAACGTAACCAAAAGGATCTACAGAGCACTGCCAACTGCCCTGGGGGAAGATTGCCAAACCAGGCCTGATCTTTCATAATCACATGTCAGGGCATCCTTCAGGAGAACCCACATGAATGTAATTCTGACAGAATAAAGTAGTTCAGGGGGTTGTTTCAAATGACACTAAAATCACCTGCAATAACAAACTGAGCGATACTGTAATCTGACTTGGAAATTATGTCTGCCTATTCAGTCCTATGCATATACTTCAGACATAAGTATAATTGAGTTCAATAGGACAGACTCATAAGTAAGTATGTATAAGATTGCCAACAGAGTCATGCAAGTACAACACCCATTCAGCAAATTAGCCTCTTGAGGTCTATGAACCTCTTGCAACAAAATCTGAAATTCCAAGCAGAGACTCCTCATCAGAATATTAATTTTCTAGGGCTTCTGCCATAAACTCCTGGAACCTCTCTGCTTTCTCCCCCAAATCCTGAAGTGACCTCTAAGCATGCATTTTGCTAATACTCATCTTACTGTTCAACTGTTCTTACTGTGAAGGGTGTCTGCATTGGACAAAGAATTGTACATTTTACCACATGTGGTGGGATTGCAAGATCATTTAAAAATGATATACAATGAATTGAAAAAGATGTTTAAAACAACTTTTGTCTAAAAATCAGAAGCTTTTCTGTTAGGTTTTTTAGGACAAGAATTGCCGAAGGAAAATCAGACATTATTTATGTATGCTACAACAGCAGCAAGAATTTTAATAGCACAAAGCTGGAAGACTGAAGAAGTACCATCAAAAGAACAGTGGCAATAAAAGCTGATGAACTATGCAGAGTTAGCAAAGTTAACGGATAAACTGTGTGAAAAGGACAATAGTGACTTTGAAAAGGAATGGGAACCTTTTACAACTTATTTGCAGAAACAAAAAAAAAACATGGACTCATTGGCAGGATTTAAATAAACATTTACAACTTTATTTACAGAGAACAAGAAATATAGCAGGTGACAACATAATATTATGTACAAACAGCAGAATCTAACATTTGCTGTAATAAACCAGAAGCGGAAGTTGGGGAAAGTCAACAGGGAGGGGGGAAACTGGGAAATGAATGTTAAGTAATGATATTGGATATTTGTTATGAGAAAATATAATCATATATATAAATTTTATATATATATATATATATAATGAAATATATATATATAATAAATATATATAATCATGTATAATAAAAATCATATATAAAATTATATATCTATATAAAGAATTGTCTATTATTAGCTTTGAGAGGTGGGAGGTGGAGATAAATTGAAGTACAGTATATGGAAGGACCTTGCAAGCAATAGTGAAAGGTAATAAATCATTAAGAAAGGGAAAACAAAAGAGGGGAAAGTATATTTTATAATGAGGATGCTTGTGAATCTAGCAGCTGGTTTCGGCTCCTCCACAGTGTCCATGTACTTGTATGTACACATTGTTGGCTGGCTGCTACAAACCCCAGACTTCTTTAACAGAGTTGGGAGAGGAGATGGCCCAGTGAATAAATCTTTGGAAACTTCACTAAGCTCAGTAGTGAATGCAAGGGGTGGGGGAGGAATTACCTCCAACCCCATAGTGGTTTGCTCCCTGTCCATTTCTCTCACTAAAATGATCAGGCAAACATTTAGCTGTACAAATGTACTGAAAGGAGAGAGTTATGTGGATGGGGACTTGTACAGACAGGAGAGTACAAGGTAGTTATTGTAAGAATGGAACTGGACCTCTTCTCCCTTGTTATGTAACTAGTTTCCAATAACCCTCTTCTGACTCTGTACCAGCCTAGTCCTAAGTACATCCAAGCCCATTAATTTCAAAGGCACTCCTGACTTTACATAGGATGGGGCTCTGTGGGCAATATCTGAGGACAAAGCATAACTAGTTACTATGGTAACAGGTACAGCACCACAAACAAAGGATTCTTCTAAACTGGCTGTGGGACTAGGCAGAAAGGAAAAGGTGTGGGTGGAGAATGGAATAAACCATATTAGAAAAAGACAAGAGGGTGGGTGTTTCTGAAATATAAGATAGGATGGTGGCTAATATACCTTTGGTATCAAGGTCTATTGAAGGTATCTCTGAGCAACTCTGTGGATTGTTCTCAATACTGTACAGTACTCATGATTATTTGAGTCCTATACCACAATGCGGACCGTATCCTGTTTGCTGTTTATTATTACTCATTATATTTGTGTTCCACCTTTCTTCCAAAATCCTCTGGACAAAATACAAAGGGTTATTTTCCTCCATTTCCACACCCTTAAAACTCTTGTGTGAAGCAGGTCAGGCTGAGATTTCACTGGCTTAAAGTCAACTGGCTTGATGCTCATCAGGGATTTGAACCCAGCTCTCTACAGTCCAATCCCAGCCCTAGCTACTGTATCCAACTGACTCTCTGTGAATTAGAGTCTCCAGCATCAGAAGCACTATGCTTCTGAATGCCAGTTGCTAGGGTTCAAGAAGCAGGAGAGTAATGCTAAACTCAGGTTTTGCTTGTGGACTTCAAACAGATAGATCTCTGCTTGGCCAATTGTGAGAAAAAAGACCAGGATGAGATCATATTCAGACCCTGCTGGGCTCTTCTGCATTCCTATAATCAGTGTACACACTTCTTTATTAAATTAATTGTACAAAATGGAGGTATGGTAGGTGTCCATGAAGATAACTGGCTGCTTATTTAATGATGCTTAAAACTCCTTTATTTATAGAAATGGAAGAAAGATGCATGCTATCTGGATAGTATCTAAAATACATTTGCCTTAAAATCATGGTCCCCTCCCCCCACAAGATTCACAGCCCAGTAGCAAATACTGATACAGTGGTACCTCTAGTTAATAACTTGATTCGTTCTGGATGTTCGTTCTTAATCTGAAACCGTTCTTAACCTGAGGTACCACTTTAGCTAATGGGGCCTCCCGCCGCCGCACCACCGGAGCATGATTTCTGTTCTCATCCTGAAGCAAATTTCTTAACCTGAGGTACTATTTCTGGGTTAGCGGAGTCTGTAACCTGAAGCGTACCACTGTACAGTTAATCGTACATGGGAAGCGTGTACAGTGGGAAGAAGAGGCACTTGGCAGGGTCCCCCTTGCATGACCTTGGGAACATATTGTGCAAAGGAAGAGATTACTTCATTTGTATGACTTCTGGGGAGTTAGCAGTACATCAGTTCATACATCAGTCAGGGATATTTCAAGAAAGGCGCTCAGTACTTGGCCCTCCATAAATTCTCCAAATCCTCTCTCGGCACTGGAGTCAGATAACAGGCAGAAAGACAATGACTCCAAGAATCCAGGCTGCCCATCTGCTCTACACTTCCAGATTCTTGCCTCCCTAGCGCCAGCTGATGAAATTTTCATAGCCACAATGAGGTTTCCCATTTCCAATGGGCCCTTCTGTCTTGAAGCCTTCACAGTTGTGCCCTGTTCAGGTTTCTGAGGGTGTCTGCTGTAGGTGACTATTATAAGAGCCATTTGCTCTTTTACAGTGCTCTTAAAAGCAGAGGATTTAAAAGAAAGTAACACATTAAAATCTTGTAAGAGGTTGTTTTACAGGCTTTTTGAGTTCTGCTCCAGGTAGGGGCAATTAATGCTTGAGCATGTAGTGGCATCTCAGATCCAGAAATTCTCGGCATAAATTTTCGGCCCATTTCAAAATGGCTTCAGGCCTGGTTTAAGGATGGAAACAACTTTGGTCAGCTGAATAGATGACCTTTTCCAGGACCTAAAAAGGACCTCACCATGGAATTCAATACCATTGAGCATAATATCTTTCTATACTGCCTAGCAGGGGAGGGTTTGGAAAGTGCTCTTCAGTGGTGGCTCCAGTCCTCCCTTAAAGTTCAGGAACGTGATGTTGTAGTGTTCCATTTTTGACAATTTGGTGCCCTTCATAGGGATCCATTTTATCCTCCATATTATTCAGTGTCTACATGGAACTACTAGAAGAGGTTGTCTGAGGCTTTGGAATACATTGTCATCAGTATGTGAAAGACACCCAACTCTTCTTTCCCTTTCTGTACCTAATGCCATGAAATTTGTTGGAGTTCTAAACTGGAGGTAAAGCTCAATCCAGACAAGATGCAAGTGATCCATTTTGGATGGTATTCCCCTTCAAAAAACAGGTATACAATTTTGGTATGCTCTTGGATTCAGCCCTGCATCTGGATGACCAGGTGGTGGCCAGGAGTGCTTTTGTGTAGATTAGCCTGATGTGCCACTTGTGCCTGAACCTGAGGAGGTTAGTCCTGACTATGCTAATGCACAAGACTAAGATCGATCAGGACTGGATCGCAGCAATGCACTTCACATGTGACTATGGTTGAAGAGCCTTTGGAAGCTGCAGTTGGTCCAAAATGCAGCAGGAAGAATGTTAGCAGGCACATGTCCTTGGGAACACATGATGCCTACCCTGCAATGTCTGCATTGGCTGCCTCTTTGCTTCTGGGAACAATTCAAAGTGTTGGTGATTAAAGCCTTAAATGGCTTGAGTTCAGGATACTGAAGGATTGCCTCCTCCCTTACCAACCTGTCCACTTCCTAAGATCAGTAGAGGTCCTTCTCTGTGTCCCTGTTAAGAGTAGACTGGTAGTGACAAAAGACAGGGCCTTCTCAGTGACTTTCCCAATATTGCAGAACACTTTGCCCCGTGGTAGATCCTTTTTGCATTGTCCATTCCTTGGCTGGTCAAGACATTCTTATTATAGCCAGCTTTTGTCTACCAAATGCTGAACTGTTATTGAACGCTAGGTTTTATCTGTATTCTCTTCCTTCACGTCTGACTCTGTCTTTATTTTTTTGTTACGCCCTTAATTTATTGAATGTATTGTATGTGCTTTTTATTACTGTTTTAAATGTTTATAAACCGCTCCAAGTAGTGCATGGATGGACACTAGAAGGGCGGGAGGACAGAAATCTCTAAATAAATACATAAAATAAATACATCCTAACTAATGTGCTCAAAATCAAGCAGAAACTCCTGTTCCTTCAAGGCAATTTGTATTTTGGTAAACTGCCCTGTGACTGTCTTTGGTGAAGAGCGGTAAAGAATCTTGCACACTTTGGTTCTTTTCTGCAACATTCTACAATATGGATGGTTATTATAAACTATTGGAACATAGGCGGCTTCTAGGCTATAGAATGGACTAGTACTTTCAAGGTGGTTTGACTGTACAGGGCCATGTTTGCAGGTTTAGATTACATCAACCATCTGCAATCTGGTGCCTTCCACATGTTTTGGACTACATCAACCCCAGCCAGTGACCAATGGTCAGGGTTCGTAGGAGTCGCAGCATAAAACATCAGGAGGACGCCAGGTTAGGTATAGATCAACTAGTTGGATTTTTATGTTCCTTCAAATAATTTCATGATAAATATGCAGGAAAGTGCTGGCAGCAGAATTAATAAATTCCAGTTCCCAGCCTCTAACTCTAATCACAACAGAAAACCCTATTCCCCTCCTCCCAATTTAAATGCCAAACCCAAGACTCACTGTTGAGTGTCCATCTTTTCCCTTTCCTCGGGTTTCATTAAGCAGACCAGAAAGCTCTTTGCGCAGTGGATGCTACGAGAGGAACTTGACTATGCAATATTATATTTACTATTATAAACACCATTAATACCACAGTGCTGTTCCTTGCTGGAACCAGTTGCTCAGTAAATCCTCTGAAGTTCAATTAACAAGCATCAGGTAATTTAACACTTGGCTCCCAATAATCCCTTTATTTCAAGGGGGCTCCGGCTGATGCTGAAGTTACCACCAAAGAGCCTTGGAAATACATTTTAGATTCTATTAAATACCAGCTGAATTTATGGCCCTTGGTGAAAAGCAGAAAGTAATCTCTTCAACATACTTTCCAAGAGTCAGCACTTTATATAGACTGGCGTAAGTCCATAGAAGAGACCATTGGAGGGTCATGTGTCCCTCTGCAGAAAGATGAATCTCTCTGTTTAGTAAAGCACAAGTCTGAGAATTGACAGAGCGGATGCCAGGAACTTGGAGCATAATGCATCATCTACAAAGAGATTTAACAGAACCTCTGTCTTCTTAGCTTCATAGTCATTCCATGTCATAATGGGGGACTGTGCAGATTCTTCATGGGGAACTGACCAGGTTCTGCATGTTCCCACCAAGAAACTGGGATATCCATCTCATTCAGCAGTGCAAGACAGAACAAGGCAACCTGTTCCAGAGGCAGAAGCAACAGAGGTACAATTAAAATGCAGGAAACTAACAATTATTAGTATTATTATTATTATGTTGTTGTTGTTGTTACATTCAAATGTACATGATTGATTGGACCGTGAGGATCACATGAGGATTGGACCATGCCTTGCATTTCAGGGAGAGATGCAATGCTTTAATTACGCCACATGAAAATCTCAATACGTGTAGAACCTGGATATGCTGGATTGGTTAGAGCATGGTGCTAACAGCAGCAAGGTTACAGGTTTGATCCCCGTATGGGACAGCTGCATATTCCTGCATTGCAGGGGGTTGGACTAGATGATCCTCAGGGTCCCTGTGGCAACACCTGCCATGCAAACTGTCCAGCCTGTTAAGGACTTATGATCTCCATGGCCAAGAATGTGGGAACTAAGGAAAATTAGAAAAGTATGAAATGGATTCAAGGGGAAATATGTGGATTATGGATATTGGTTCTTGTGAGCACACAAAGTATACTCATTTCCCCTCTCCTTAAGAAGCTGACTAAAATGCTTTGTGGATAGGGGTGTCAGATTTTAAGATGGAATGGGTGAAGAGGGATAAGGATTGCAATATGGGTATGCAGTTGCATAGATTGCCACCTGTGGGCAGTACTGTAGCTATGTGGGGGCTAACCTGGTTTTCTACACCAGGTGAAGCCTCCTGAGGGGCACCATTGAGGCTCCCAGCCTGTGTGTGTGTCGGTGTGTGTGTGTACACAAATGCATGTGGTTGTTGTTGTTTGCCAAACTGGGTTTTTGACCCAGGTGAAATAAATCCTAGTTTCACCCCTGCCTGTAGGCTTTGGGGTGAGCGTGAGGCGAGTTGTGTGTTCAGTTTCACAGTGCTCTCTCTCTCTGGGTGTGTGTGGCATCGCAAGAAGAGCTTCTTCCACACATGAAGGGGGGAGGGGAATTCTCATCCTGTGTGTTTCAGCAACACTTTTATGTTGGTAATTCACCGCAGACTGTGACTGTATTTGACCCCACACTCCTGATCACGCCGAGTCCCTGCCTGGTCTGATGCACAGCTATGCAGCATGGGGTGACAGGACCGTTGGAATGTTGCTGTTTCTGCTGAACATATCCCTGCAGCATCAAGGAGAAGTCTTGTGAAATCCATAACACTGCTTTCCCCTGTGGAGCCTGTTGTTTATAGGGACAGGTCCAGGCAGGTGAAGGAAGAATTACCTTACCCTAGGACATGGCTGGCGCTTAGCTGACTTCATTACTGCCTGCTCACAAGAAAACTCTGTGGCCAAGGAGTCATGTAGTCTGAAATGAACCTCTGGCTGGGGGAGATTATATTCAGACATTATTGTTCTGAGTTCTGCTGCTAAAAGGAAGATGCAATCTGGGCCAGGAATCCTGACATTTTGGTGTAACCCATTATGATTCAGGTTGCAGCAAAAGAGTCAGTAGTTCATCAATCTTTTTAGTACCTAGCCTGCTAGACATCAATAAATACAAACCAGTCGCTGTTGAATGTTTGTTGCTGGGATCAAAAATAAAATACAGGTAAGATTACACTAATTTGAAGATAAGGTCAGTGGTTAGTGTGAACTTTAAAGTCAAAGGAAATCCAGATTTTTAAAGGGGGTTAACTTTACCCAATTTGCTTAATTTTGATCCCCCCCCCCCAACTGAGAATCTTGAATTGAGGATCTTGGGAAGCAAGACGATGTCTGCAGCCCACACGAAAGATTGATTGAATCTTTGCTTAACAGATATTCAGGAGCATTCAATGCCATCCCATCAAACACTCTTACCTTTCTATTGATTAAAGCAAGTTCTGATGGAAGGAGATGGAATTGAGAGGGCCAATAAATGCTTCTGAAGCGCAAATGTTAAAGTAGCCCACACTGTTTCCTTATGGTCCACTGGCAGGGCTGGGCGGGGTGTTAGGGGGAATTAAAAGACAATAAGTAGAATGTACTGTTTAGGGTCATCTTGTTACAAAATTTGGAGATTCTGATATACATACAAGACCCCCAAAAAACAGAAAATATTTTGCCTTCTCATTACATTAGTCTCTCTATAGCACACTGAATCCATTTTAAAGTGACAGGACAAAACACTAAAGGTCACATTATAAAAGTCACCTTTTAGACAACCAAGACTGCTCACAAGTCAGAACCTATCTGGTGATGGGTGATGGGCATAGGTGATGGGTCCTTCTCAGGGGTTAGACCCACACCATATATTATACTTTTGCAGAAGCTGCCCCCCACCACAAACTCATGAACACCCACTGGATTTGCAAAATGCCCATCTTCTGTCTGGGTATCACTAAATAGCATCCTTTTTTATTTTCCAGTTTAACAATTTCAAGAAGGTAACACCGTACAGTCTACTTTATTCATTCAGGAAGGATCAAGTTAGGATGAGGATGAATGAATGAATGAATGAATGAATGAATTCATATGCAACTTAATTGCACATTCTTTTATTTCCCCTGTCTCCTAAGGGGTCATCCAGCCATACACACAGACAAGTCCTGGTCTATTACCTGAGAATGCCCTACCAAATGTAAGGAAAAACAACTTATCAGGGTGTATAAGTTGTTTATCCTTGCCTCTTGTAAGGCATTCTCAGATAGTAGTTCAGGACCTGTCTGTGGGTCACAGGAACCTTCTAATGGATCATGAGGCTTATCCTACATGTGTGGGAGAGATGGTATACTACCCTGTCAGGAAACTTCATGGCATGCAACACTACGCTGACGAAACAATCTTTACTCTCAATTTTGGCATGGTATAGACTGTAGAACTGGAGTCTCCTGTATGCATGGGTTCCTATGTCAAGGGGTCCTCAGATGTGTGTAGGGTGGGAATGAGGTCGATATGTGACATACACATATTCTGTTACATTTTCTGCTGCACAAAAGGCTTCAATCTTATGCCACTTTTATGCTTATTAGATCCCGGAAGGGATCGTGGCAATTTAACCTTGTTCTGCAGTCTTGTTTCTACAACTGAGAAGAATGCAAAGGCTTGGCTATTGGCTGCAATCAAGGTTTATTATTATCAACGGAGTTGATTTAATGGGCAGATTGCAGGTGCATGATTTCACTTGGTCTGATTGAGTCAATGTGAGTCCACATCAGACGAATTTGTGAGCTGGCTCTCAACACTTAAGCTAACTTGGTTTCATGTTCATCCAGAATAGCTGCCACCAGCTTTATTACTACATATTTATATCCAAGCTGGTAGTCTGAATAACATCAGCCTCTCCATTCCCCTAAGGAATATTTATTCAGTAACCCAGAATCAAGTAGTAGTATGACTCATACTACTGCTGCATGACTCACTATCTGGCCAGAGTTTCAGAATAACACAAAGCAAAAGGATAAATTAAACAATAAGATTGATTTTCAACAAAAACAAAACACTGAGAGCCAGTATTGCGTAGTGGATAGCATCAAACTATGTGGAGATCTGCTTTCAAATTAATTTTCATCTATGGTTCCTAGGGGGCCATGGGTCAGCTATTATCTATCACCTTAGCCTACCTCATGGGATTATTCTGTAGATAAAATGGGAGAAATCACATACACCACTCTGGGCCCTGGGAGAACGTGCAGTATACAAATGTGAGAATTATTATTTTTAAATCAGCCTGCTAACGTCAATAAAAGTCTGACTGCTCTGTCACGGGGAATATTACTAGTTGCAATGGTTTGTAATAAAGTTGCCACACTGCTAGAGAACAAAATACCGTAACTCAGAGGCTCAAAAAATCTGGCAAGCCAGGACCACTGCTGGGGGAAAAACACACACTTCCTTTTCTAGAATAATAGATCCTAGTTTCTAGCATAGCTGGTGAGCTTCTGAGTCATGCAGATAGGTTGACCAAATGAAATAAGCTCTAGTTACATTTCAAATTGGACATGAGGAAAAAGAAAAGCTGTTGCCTGGGAAGGCTTGGTTAACATGAAGGTGAATGGCAAGCTGGAAGCATAACTATCGTAGACCTGATACTGCTGTGAAAATGGCTGCACTTTGACAAGAGACACAGCAACACAAATACACAGCACTACATATCCTCACTACATCTTGGCGTACTTAGCACTGAAAGTCAGTTCCAACATAATATCTACCATCCATGGCATGGCACCTGGAATGATTCCCATGTAGTCCAAATGAGCCAACTACACAACTTGCATATAAATGATCCTTTGAATTTCCATGATTTGGTGGCTTTGCCATCCATCTTTTCACATTTCCGACACTGGGAATTGAGGACCAATACATTGCAGGGGGTTAGAGTTAGGATGGCGACTTCTATGCTACTCTGTACTGTTATCATAGTTTCCCAAATATTGGCTTTAGGCTATTTGATGAATGCTGTCTGAATATTTCAGGAAATTACACCTCTGCCTTGGAACATAAATATGTCTGCTTACAATAAATGTACTTCCATTTTTGAAGTTGCTAAGGGCTAAATCACACATTTATTGTTTATTTTAAAAATATTTAAACTGCCCTTCATCCTATGGATTCTAGGGCAGTGTATTATAATACATGTTAAAGCATATTATACTCCTTTCAAGGAACCATTTCTGTGACTGATTCCACTGCTTGGATACCTGTGTAAATGTGTAACTACAAACTAGTGGATTCTAGTCTAAGTGTATTAAGAAGCAAATCCCACTTAATTCACTGGGACTTGCACCCTAGCAACTGTGCTAAGGATTTCAGTGTAAAGTGTTTCTGTAGAAAAGTCCCTATAGAAGCATTTAACGCACCTAATAATTCTAATATGAATGGATGACATCAAATGATAGAGTAGGCCAATTGAAATCAATTGACGTAAATAACTCAAGTCCATTAAATTACAAGAGTCTACTCTCCAAGTATGACTGTTGGGTATCATCTAATATTTCCAATGATAGTTAGTGACTCAGTGACTGCAGTAGTGCAACTTGACTCTGACTCGGAATGACTGTCAGTGTTCCTTATTTGCCCCTACCATTTCATTTGCAACTAAGGGTTGAGAATATTCAATCAGTATTGAGTCAGCATGCTAATTACAATATTTCTCTTTATTTGTAATAAAAGCATTATGAAATCCAAGCAGCACCCATCTAAGCATCCAATTTATTGTAGCCTGAGGCATAGTTCTTTTGCTAGGCTGGTGTAAAAAGTCTACAGAGCCCTAACACTCCTTTTAGCTTCCAGGAAACACTTCTAGAATGAGGAGCTGCTACCACTATCCCGCAGCACGCAAAAGCTATTTATTTCTCTTGCTTTACAGCTCTCTTGTTCAGTGGGTGGGCCCCTAGAACTAGTATGGTGACTGACAATAAACAGAAGGCTGATCTCTGGCACACTTTCATTGCATTGAATAGAATGTTTTGGGTCTTGGTCTTGATTCAAGGAGCTTTAATATTAAGTTAATATGCAGCCCTGGAATTGAGCAGCACCTCCAGCAATCATAGAGATTTGCAAAACACAAAGCTGGAAATGGATGGAAAGGTGGTCGAGTGAAGCACTTATTTCTGAGGCAGAAGCCCGTGCCGATAATGGCAGTAAGGTTGCAATCCTGTGCACACACATTCAAATTTAAGTCCCACTGAACTCAGTAGCACCTAGATTCAGGTTCACATGCACTGGATGGAGCTGCACACCTCGTTCACACAGCTGTGCCTATTTCAGCAGTGAGGCCTCAGGATGAACATGAAAATGGAGCCTGCACATATCTGGGAAATTTTTGAAGGCTTGGGGAGGGATGATTAATATTTAAGTGCTGCAATTTCAGGAGTGTAGTTTAAATTTTAACAACTGAAATTTATGTTTAAAATAAGAAAACAACACATTGTCTCTGTGTCTCCTCTGCCAATTCTTTGTTCTTTTTCTTTCCCTGTTTTGTTCTGTTCTCAAAATAGTTGCAGCTGAAGGCCAAGAAGCCAAACTAATCTCTGTTTTATGGATGATAAGGTTCAATGGCTACTAACCATGATGGCTATGTGCTACCTTCCGTGTTGCAGGCAGCAGCATGCCTCTGAATTCCATTTGCAGGGGAACACAAGGGAGAGAGCGCTATGGGCCTCAAGTCCTGTGCGTGGGTGTTGCACACTGGCATTTGGTCAGCCGCTGTGGGAAGCAGGACCCTGGATAAAATATGTCTCCGGTCCGATTCAGTGGGTCTCTTCTGATGAATTCCACAGTATAGCTGCAGATTAAGAAAGGAAGCCATGAACTCAGCAAATGTGATGGCAACAGAAGCAGCAGCATGTGCCTACAAAGGTATTTAGCAGTCGGCGACTTGACGTTTTCTACACGGTCTATGCATAGGATCCATGCCATAAAACAAACCTTCCATTCTCACCCTGCCAAAGAATAAGCTATTCACAAGCAGGCTCGAGTTGGATGACCAGGGTGAAGGGCTTTTGCTGAGGAGGTACATGGATGCAGTGTAGCTGCTCACACAGTAGTCTGGATTGCACAGGTTGATCAGTATGGAGCTAGCGGGTGGGTGGCCTTGCCTTTGGTCCCTTCTAGTCTTATGAACTGAAGGACAAAATCATCCACACCAGTTCCATAAAGGATCATAGTACATCACATACATACACACACCCAATCCAAAGGAAGATTATAAACACCTCAATCCTTTCCCCTCCAGCATGGATTAACCTACATAATCCTGACCACAGTGTGCCACGAGAACGAGAGCTGAAGCGTCTTTGTACTACTGCGCACAGTCTGCCTCCCACTTTCAAAGAGGGATCTAATTGCTGATTTTAGCAGGCAACATTTGCGCTGGGGAGTGGGCGGGCAGGGGGCGAGTGGTGGCAAATGGCAACTTGAGAGGGCGGATACCTCTTTTTTTGCTGCGGCATGTGTAGAACTACTTCTCGACAAAGCCAGCCTCCACCTGGGGGGCAGATAGGTGAAATGGTGAAAATGACAAATGAAGCTGATTCACTTTTGCCCATCCTCTCTCCTCCTCCTCCACACACACACACACACACACACACACAACCACCACACACACCTACTGCCCGTGGAAGCTATTTGCAAGCAATCCTGGGCATCTGGGGAATGAAGCGCTGAATACCAAAGTGTATGCATGCACACGCACACACATACATATATATATAAACAGTGTGGCTGCAGAGTCAAATATAGCCCTCGGGGAAGGGGAAACAATGGTCGGGCATTGGGTTACATCGCCGCAGGGCCAGCAGGCTGCTTGTTTGTTGTGGGCCTGGGTGGAATGGGAAGAGCGAGAGGGAGGGTGCAGGATGGGGGTGGCAGCGAGAACATTTGTTTCAATTCATAAAGCCTAACTTGGCATTGGCTTCTGCGTATGTGTTTGCTTGAGACTGACCTACAGTGAATGCCAATTTATGAGACACTAATTTGAGTTGGCAGCTCTGTGGGGTTTGTGGTCTCTCTCCAGCTGGTTTCCGCTGTGCCCCCTCCTCCCCACTCACTCCCAGCCTCCCTATGGGGATTAAGAGTGTGGGCAGGGAGCGTTTCATCAAGTTCCTGAACAGCAAAGTGTTTCATTTTTCTCTTTGTATTGTGGAATGACACTCAATGTGGGGATGCCATAGTATCATCTTATTCCCTCCACTCGGCATCTGTGTTGTGCCACTGGTGTCCAGCTGTCTCCAAGGAGCAAGTTGCAGCCAGCCAAAGAAAGGGAAGCAGCACCAGCTGACTTTAGCAGGTAATCTTTGTGTCCGTGTGCACATGATGGCGATGACAATTGAGGAGGGGGGCCTGCCAAGGAAGCATCAAATGGAACTGATGCAAAAACACAGCACATGCACCAAGGCACCTTCCTCACCCCAGTTTGTTTCTCACATTATAGGATTTTGTTAATTGCAGAATATATCATTGAACACGTTCTTATGCAAAACTCCCCCCTGCATTGTGATCCAGCAGCTGATTAGTTCAAGAAGCCTCTGGGGGATTCATGGCAGTAGGCAAAACAAGATATGAAATATCAGAATATCTGTGTAAGCTCTTCTATGGGTCTCTTCTTAGGAAATGCTCTCCTTAAGAAAACCCCAACTACTTGGCTTAGTAATATTTCACAGAGAACACAAGAGTAATGTCAATGTAGCATATTTACATTATGAAAGATTCCCCTCCCCATCTTCTTTTTGTGTGTGGTTTTGTTAGTATAGCTTTATCCTAAGCTTTCAGGGCTAGACAATGAGGTGCAAACATTTCCCTACTGCTGTTCTTTTTTCTGTCCTTGAGGCTTAATCTGAGCTAGGGTCTGTTCTGGAGGTGGTTTTCAATAGCTGGGCTTAGTTCTGCTAAAATAGTGTTCTTCTGCATTTCAGTATCCGATGAATGACTTCTAGCACAAATCAAGCCCTGAAGAGATGCATAATGGAGAAACCACACCTTACCATTCTTTCCCATGCCTGAGAAAAGCCTCTAGCACACTGGAATATCTTAATCAAATTCTCTGAAATGATAGGAAATTGCAAGGTGAATGCTTTCTTCTGGACAAACTCTGATTCCATAGCTAATAAAGTTTACTGATGCTTTCTGGGTTATTGCGCCATTTGGAACGGCATCTCCCCTGGCTGAAAGATTTAGGATGTCTCTGCTATGTGAGGTAAGGGGGTAACACTGGGCTCTTTTGATGAGTAGGAAATCATTCTACTTTCTATGCTGGTGCTTAGAGCATGAGATTTACAGACCAATGTTCATGTTAGCTCTACCAACAGTCTTCTTCTTTGGTGATCACTCGTAGCAGAGTAAGATTGTCTTCCATAAACACAGTTTTACAATGAGTCCGTAAGTGACTGTGGAGGCCAATTCTGGATCCACATGTCCTTCCACAATGGGGACATTGGTTTCTGGGCGGGAGTTGATCATGGTGTGGATCTGCCAAGCGTGCCTTCCTCCAGTGTCTCTGAAAAATTTTACACATCACTTGGGAGGACAGGCAAACTACCGGTAATACCAGTGTACTGGAAGAAGCAAAGATCTACCAACAGTGGCTGGCAGGCAGACACCTCAGTGCGGTTTACAAGTAGGGCATGATGCTGACATCCACCATCTACTACTAAACGCCAGCTGCACTTTTGGCTGTCTGTGCTACTCATGACCAACGGATTTGTCCTCCTTTCCTTCCTCTAATCCTTGTCTAAAAGCCATATATGCTAGTTGGCATCACAAACATCCTACGGCAATGAATTCTACAAACTGATCATAGGTGGACTTGTGTTCCCTTTTATTTGCCACAAAACAAATGCCTGTCAATTTCAACAACAAAAAAGGAGAAAAAACAGTTTGGCTCTCTCCATGCTACCCAGCTGTGAAGCTAGGCAACTTTTAAACTGCGGATTTAATAGCCTTATGGATGACAACATGTATGTACACGTGTATTTATTTATAACATTTATACACCACCTTTTCCTCCAAGGTGCTCAAAAGTAGCTTACAAAGTTCTCCACTCCTCCCAACAACCCAGTAAGGTAGGTTAGACTGAGAGGCCCCTAGTGAGCTTCAGGTCTGAGCAGTGATTCTGAACTGTCATATTCCAACACAACTTCCCAATGGCATTTACTTTGAAACCGAGATCCTGCCATTTTGGGAGGGGGGGAGGGAGAGGGATGCCCTCTTGGTCATTCTTCAGGGTTCCTGGGCTGCTGCCCCTGATGGCACCTAGTTTGCCCCCCAGGATCTCCCACCCCTCCCCGCCACGCAAGGCACCGACCCAGCCAAAGCAGTCAGTCATTGGAGGTGGTGGGGCGGCCTACCGCCGGGCCACCTAGGCCCAAGCCCGCGGCCAATTCACGTTGATGAGAAAGAGGGAAAGGAGCTCCTGGCCCGGGTGGAGGGGAGGCGCCAATCCCGCTCGTAGTTCATGGAGAGGCGTCTCTCCTCCTCTCTCCCCCCCTCCCTCCCCCGAGTCTGGGCTGAAGGAGTCGCAGGTGAGAGGTGAGCGGGGCTGGGCAGGCGACGGGGCTGGGCGTCCGCCTGCGGTTCGGGGGGCCCTGGGCTTCCTGGCTCCTCGCTCCTTTCGCGGCAGTCGGGCTGCGGGAGGCGGAATGTCCCAGGGAGGGAGCAGGGATGTGTAGCCACACGCAGCCCCTGGCAGCCGGCCTGAGCGTGCACGGCGGCGGCAGCAGTAGCGGCGGCGGCGGCGGCTGCTGCAGCAGGCGGAGCAGCAGCAGCAGCAGCGCTTGCAGCGCCAGCAGGAGGAGCGGGGAGGCCAGCAGGCAGCTTGGCCGCCGCGCCTCCCGAACCCCCGGTGCCCGGGCAGCGTAGGGCATGGCAGACCCGCTTGGCCGATCCCCACGCTAGTCTGCGGGCGGGGGGCAGGCAGGCAGGCAGGCACGCCCCTAAGGGGAGAAAGGAAAGAGCCGCCGACGCGAGCGCCGAGGTGAGGACGAGGGGAAGTTGCGCGCGTGTGGATAGATGTATGATACGTGTGTGTGTGTGTGTGTGTGTGTGTGTGTGTTTGGAGTGGGGTGGCGGCGCCCAAAATGGGAGCGATGTGTGCTGGGGGAAAGCTAGAGGAATGGGGAGGGGAGGGGATCCCAGGGGATTGGGGGGGGAGCTGCAGAGGGTTGGGGGTGTTTGGTTGTGTGTGCGTTTTTTTGCCGAAATGGCAGGGAAGCTGGATTTGGGAGGGAGGATCCGACAGCACGCGGGCGAGGAGAGCGCCTGCAACAGCGGCCCGACGGGTGTGGGTGGGAGGTGGAGAGGAGAAAATGGAAGAGATGGCAGATGGGAATGCCTCCCTGGTGCTGCCCCCTTCCGCGGTACCCAGATTCCCCCTTCTTTCTTTTTCTTCTCTTTTCTTTTTTGCTCCCGCGGCTGTGATCGGATGGAGGCTGCTTCGGGATCCTCCCTCCGCATGTGCGCCGCTGCGGGCTGGGCTGGGAGGAAAAGCCTCTCCGCGCTGGGACGGGGCAGAGATCCATGTGGGCGCAGGGAGGGTTTGCCCTACCTCGGGGTGGGGGCGCCCTCGCCGAGAGGATGCCAGGAGGGATGTCTGCCTTCCTGCCTGGCGGTGGTTGTGGTAGCAGCTACGGCGGGAGCACGTGGGGCTGCGGGGGGCTGCGGGGAGGAGTGATCGGGAGTGGTTCCTTCACCTCTCCGAGGCGGGGAGGCGACCCCACTCCGGGCTAGGAATCCATGGTAGGGCAGCGACATGGTACGGATCCCAACCTGCCCTGTCCGCCAGCAGGGGCCAAAATGCACAGCACTCAGGCCAGCACGTGGGGCGGGAGGCCTTTTTGGAGACACCCCCATAAGCGAGGTTCTTATCCCTCCGCAGCCCCAAGGGGCTGATGCAAAAGACAAAAAAGTCATGTTTTTGCAGTCGCCCCTCGAAGTATCCACACGTTCTGGAAAGCAGCAACATCTCTATAGTGTTGATTGTGAGCCAGTGGACGCTGCTCCATCAAGGTGAGCGGGGCGCTGCTCTCACCTGCCTGCCTTCTCACTTAAATTCATTCATTCCGAGGGCTGGCCCTGGTTGTCAGCTTCCTCCGCCTTAATTTTAGTGCTGCCATTGTAGGACACAGATGGGAAGAGGGGGAGGGGGGATCGGGACAAAACTAGAATGAGTGAGTTGTCTCTCTTTGCCTGTCATTGGCTCTCTCTGTTGCCATTGGCTCTGTTGATCTCAGTGGGCGCCAGCCACTACTGCTCCCTAGCATTCTTCAGTCCCTGATTCATTGAGAGCCATTTCACAGGTTACACAGAGAGAGGGCAAAACCTGGGCTTTGCCATCAGATGCACAAGCCACAAGGAGCTGGAGGCAGTCATGGCTGCTTAGCACAACTGCCGTTTTTGACAGCGAGGTTCACCTGTTGACCTTCTTAGGTGTGTTTTTAAAACATCTAAGGTGTACTCTTAGATGTGCACCTAAAAATACATCGTATGGTACTCGGGATGCTCTATGAGCCCCTCACAGCTTTGCTGCTTGACAAAGATTTTCTGTCTGCAGTTGAGCAATGCATTTCCCCCTTTTCTTGTTAAGGGAGAGATGGCTAGCCCCACGTGAAATTAGGGGTACAGGTTTGGGGGCTAACAGTGGGAAGCTCTGGAGGAGGGAGGCAACATCTACATTTGGGGATAATTTATAGCTTCCTCCCCAGTACATTGCCTCCAATAATCCTTTGGCCGAGCCTCTGTTGGTTGTTACTGTAGCAATTCTTCAGCATTTTCTGTTGGCTGCCTAAAGCAGAAAAGCAAACATCCTATCTCCAAATATGCCCAATCCGATAAAATCCACAGACCCTTTTGAGCTTGCAGCACAGTTTGCCTGCCTATTGACCTGAAGACCAGTAATCGGAGGATTCTGTCTGTGAACTCTTGATTTAGTAACTCTGTTACTCAGTCCACTGATTATCCCCTTCCTATGACTTCCATGCAGTTACATAGTCTAGGATGTCATCTTCCCTAAACCTTATAGACCCATCTGGTGACCTCCGCTCCAGTTAACCCAAGGAAGCCTCATCCACTTGCAAACCGATATAGACATTCTGAATCCCATTTGTTGTCCGAGGAACGGTTAACTCATTGCTCCCTGCTATGATCAAATAGCCCTCCACTACTTGAGAGAGAGGGAGTGAATCAATTTGTAATGTTGAGAATCCATGGCAGTTGCTTATGCGACACCAGTCATTTTGTGAAGGATACTTCAGCATGCTTCAAGGTATTGAAATTGTTGCTTGAGGAGTAAATACACAAATCTGGGGGGGGGGGGGAACAATTAGAAAAAAAATGCTTTAGGGTAGCCTTGAACTCCAGGAGGTCATATCTCTGCTTTGGAGATTTTATTGGGAATGGAAAAGAGAAATGACCTTTTCAATGACATGCGGTATTCAGCTGGGGTCCTAACAGCTCAGGAGGAATTGGCTGCCAACTGTTCATCCTTAATCCATAAATTATTTTATAAGATTCACAGGAATCACTTTGCCCTCCTCTGATATGCAGCAGCTGTTCGGCAGCACAAAGTACCACCCCATAACACAATACTTCAGGGTAGGAAATGAAAGAGAATCTTCTGGCCAATTGTAACAACAATTGGCATATGGGGGAAGTAGTAGAGTACAGTTACCCAAAGCAGAATATGACCAGAATTCTATACAGGCTAATAAAAATAACACAGGCTTTTAATAATCAAACATGACTAGAATCTTTATCTGAAAGCTCACCCGAAATATCCTTCTAACATATTCTGTGTCATTGGCAGATGTGGCACAGATGTCATTCTCCCACAATAGAGCTATTAGGTGTCACCTCAGGGTAGAAGATCTACGCTACAATCTTACATCAGTTTTATGCCAGTTTGACAAGCTCAGGTTGTCCCAAGAAATCTTAGGAATTGTAGCTTAATGAGAGTAGTGCATATTCTGTTGGAGACTCCTGGCCATTTACTCTCAAAACAGCAGGCCTCAGGGTGCTCAAAGGAGAGGTAATAACTGTTAAACCAATATTTCTCTAGTGTAGATAAGCATATGCTGGAGATAAACCCTCAGTGGGTGTGCCCTGGCATTTGAAGAAGAGTAAATATGTGACAGCTGGATAGACTTTGTCTTCTATCCCAAGGACCTCATTCATTTACTACTGTGTTTCAAATATGTTGTATTTCATTGAGGTCTCTCTTTGAAGTAGGAAGGGCTTTTCTGTTTCTCCCTTTTGTGCCTGGCTGGGAGAAGAAGAAAAACATTATTTTTGCTGTCTGTATTTCTTACCAGATCATTTCTACATTTCTTTTGGTTGGATTTATAGCCTCAAATGTACCGCTAGCCACATATATCTGAACATTGTGAACAAATTCTATGCCCATAAGGTAGATAGGCATGAAACGATCCTGTTAAGAATCTGTTTGCTCTGGCCTCCTGATTACTAACTGACTTCTAGCATATGTCTCAGTCAGTTGTTCACACTTCCTTCAATATTGTAATGGCCGCAAGCTTTTACACGATAGTAAGTTTGATATTCATTCATTAACAGACGCCAGAGCTTTTATTTAAAATGCAAAGCATAAGATTCACACATGCTGGCCAAATGGTGCCTGCCTATAACAGTCCTCCTGAGTGCAGCAATACCTTCAAGAGGGTGGGACTGGGCAGTAGCTTTCTCTCAGCATAATCCACCTCCCAGGATTACTGTGAGGGTACAGTAGAATTGCCCCTATATGCTGCTTGGAGTTCTTTGGTGGAAGGTGGGAGCCAAAGCTAAGTGACAGAGCAAATGCCTCGCATGCAGGAAAAATTAAGGTCCAAAGTTCAACCCCTGGCATCTCCAGTTAAAAGGATTGCATATTTATCTTCACCAGCAAGTCCCAGGATAGGTAGCAGATGATGGAAAATACCTTATCAGTCCAAATAAATGCTGAGTTATATAGACCAATCATCTTACACAGCATAATGCGCTCCAAATGTTCATAGGGTTGGATGCAAATGTGATAATCCAGTACATAAACCTTATCATCTTAAGAAATGGCAGCAATACTGCTTCAGAGAGATTGATAGCAAGCGGATGGAAACAAGAGTTGTTCTAGAGTGACATGGGAAGAGCTGTAACTAAAAATCAATATTTAGCAGTGTTTTAAGCATCAGATTGGTGAGCTTCTGATCCTCACCTCTAGAACTCAACCCACACAAAAGTGCTCCTGATTGTATTAACCACCTGCCGAAGACAGAGAAGTTAATTCTCTCCCCCCCCCCCCCGATTCTTAACAGAGTAAGAAGGAGCATCATTACTTAGGCTGTAATCCTATTTTCTTTCATTTGGAAGCAGGCCCCATTGAATTCAATGGGACTTACTTCTGGGCTGACATGCAATTTCATTTTATTTTTGTTCAGCAATTGTCACCCTATTAGCATATGTCATCTTATCAGTGCACAACTCAGCACAGCTAGAGGTTTGCATTGAGAAGAAACGCAACACCAATATCGTTTCAAAATTATAGCCTGTGCTTTGGAATATCCTTGGGATGCTTTGATGGGAGATCTCAATGTTGTACGGGTTCAGGGGTGTTCTCTCTTTCTGTGGGGGAGGCGATAGGAGTGTGAAGGTTAAAAAGGGGGGGGTCCTACAAACAGGTGTTTTGTTTTTTCACTGCATGGGGGCAGACTCAGAAAGTCCACTGCTCTTCTGCTTTCAGCCTCCAAGCCAAGGGAATTGTTGACGCAGCTGGCATTTGTTTTAAAGAAGAATGGAAACTCATAGAAATAATTGTGTTTGGAATAAGCAATAATAGTGTTTTGGAGCTCTATGATAGCACTGCGGAAGTGCCAACATCCTGGTCTGACTTTGCCTTCATCCCCTTGTAGGTGACTATCTCGGTGGGGCCACGCTGACCATGCTCAGGAGCTTCTGTCTTCAGCTCATGTCCTTGCTTTGGATCCTGGTGGCCCATCACCATTTTACACAAGGTGAGGATGAGTTCAATGTTCCTTTGGTTCCACCTGGGCATGAAGTCTCTTACAGCAGAAAGGTAAAGCGTTCATTCTGCAGCGGTGTGCAGAAACCACCATTTAACTCCCTGTGAATGATTCCTCTTGTTCAAAGAGGTCTCCCTTTCTTCAGGTGCCAGGGAAAAACATATGAGCACAAACGTTACTCAAGTGTGTGGGTTTCATCACTTAGTTGTCCTGTAGAGGCTATACTGTAGAGGAGGGAGTCAAACTAAGGTCCACAAGGTAGGGTGGTTATGAGAACATTCCTGTCTACAGGGAAATTGCCTCCTGCTTCCTGCAGGGAGTAACATGCGGCTACTTACTTATTTCAGGAAGGGCCGTAGCTCAGTGGCAGAGCACATCCTTTGTATGCAAAAGGTCCCAGGTTTAATCTTTCGTGTCTCCACTCATGGCTGGGAAAGACTCTTGTCTGAAACCCTGGAACAAAGGGAAACTGCCTTCTACTGAGTCAGACTATTGTTCCACTTAGCGTAGCATTGTCCACACTGTTTGGCAGTGGCTCTCTAGGGTAGCAGATCAGGACTTTCCCCCTGGAGATGATGGGGATTAAACCCGGGGCCTTCCTGCATGCAGAGCAGATGCTCTGTCACTGACGTGTTGACCCTGCTGAACTCCATGGATCAATGGTCTGACTCAGTAGAAGGCAGCTTAGTTATTACATGTAAGGAGAGGAATGGTCTAGCCTTCTTTCCTGGTTGTGAGCAAATTAAAATATCGCTGGTTGACCCATCTTGTGTAGCAGACTGAGCTTTGCATGAGATTAACAGAGCTAGAGGTAAGTTTGTGTCTGTGTGTGCCCTCTCTGCTTCTGTGTGAGTTTGGGTAGACAAATGGTACTGTACTAGTTGGGTTTCATAAGACAGTGCAGCATAGGAAAGTCCCGTCCCCAACACATAGGTTTTAGCCAGAGTGGTATCTGGGTTGCCAGCAAGATGGACCTTCTTTGATTAAGCGTAGACTAGATAGATTACAGTGATGCAGTGGTACCTTGGGTTACAGGTGCTTCAGGTTATGTGTTTTCGGGTTGCGCACTGCGCCAAACCCGGAAGTACCGGAACGGGTTACTTCCGGGTTTCAGTGCTCACGCATGCACAAAAGCACTAAATCGCGCTTTGCACATGCACAGAAGCGCCGAATCGCAACCCACGTGTGTGCAGACACTGCCCTGCGGGTTGTGAACGCTGCGGGTTGTGAATGTGCCCCCCCCAGATCACATTCACAACTTGAGGTTCCACTGTACTGGCAATGGGGCATACATTTTTTTTTCTATGATCATAGACTCATAGAATTGTAAAGGACCCCAAGTACAGGAATCTCAATTAAAGCATCCATGAAAGATGGTCACCCAGTCTCTGCTTAAAACCCTCTAAGGAAGGAGATACTGAATGAAATTGCTAATAATTGTATTAAGTATCCAAAAGGACAATAGGAAAATGCTGTTCCTAGCTCCATGAATTCCCCTGCTCATGTCCAGGTGGGCTGTTGGATAAATCCAAAGCAGCCTCAGCAAGCAACAGATCTGAGTGGAGGAAGGGGCTTGGGGAAGGGGCTGCTTGACCCTTCCCGCTACGACCATCATTCTGCTCAAAGCCCCCCCCTTTTGCTTCTCCACCCAGAGGGGGAGGTGACCTGTGACTTCTCCCATGCAGTTAGAAAAGCATCAGGAGCGTCATCTGCAGTGGGGAAACGGTCAGATGGGAAAGAGTCCAGCAGCTCTTCCTCCGTGATGTTCTTTGCTCAGATTTGGGATTTACTGTGGCAGCTTTGCATTGAAAAGACAGGAGGAAAAGCTCAAGGGAGAGTGACATGCAACTAGTACAACATTGAACTAGCCCAAGTGCCAAAGCTTAATACGTTTGTCCCCTGACATTTGCCCCTGCTGTCCCGGGCCCAAGGTGCGATTACTCCCCCCCCCTTGGTGTTTTTAGGCATGCAGTGACACCTGCTGGACATTCCGTGAAAGGCCTTCAAACATCCCTGGTACAAGCCATGCCCAGGGGCCAAACTAGACAATACAGTGGTACCTCGGGTTAAGAACTTAATTCGTTCTGGAAGTCTGTTCTTAACCTGAAGTACCACTTTAGCTAATGGGGCCTCTTGCTGCCGCTGCACGATTTCTGTTCTCAACCTGAAGCAAAGTCCTTAACCCGAGGTAATATTTCTGGGTTAGCGGAGTCTGTAACCTGAAGCATCTGTAACCTGAAGCGTATGTAACCCAAGGTACCACTGTACAATAATCAGTGTATGATCACAATTGTGTATCTTCTTCACATGTTGTAAAACAGAAGCTGTTGCAAAGGCCTGATCTGGATTATGACCATAGCATGGAGGAAATGTGTGTGTGCTTAAAAAAACAAAACTCCCCTCTCCCCCGTTTTCCTAACAAAAACCACACGTGTACACAAGCTGCTATTTACTGTAGGTGGGAAGATGCTATTTGCACTCATAGTTGCTTTCCTTCCAGGGCAAATAGCAGGACTGGGAGGCAATTTTAGTTACGAGAATTATACTGGGGGAAAGACTTATTTCCCCTATCCTTCATACCACAGTCCAGATAGGCATGGACCAATCTGGTCTTCCGCAACTGTTTTTATTTGTATTTTTTAAGGAGACCATACATAACACATTTCATCAGGTATGTAACATATTGTTAAGTTTAGCCCTGGGAATATGGGTGTATCTACACCAGAGACTCGTAACGGGTTAAACTCATTCCTTTTCCATTGGGAATTCTGGGAATGGTAGTTTTCTGAGAGGGGCCTATGTATAGGGTTGCCATATTTCAAACAGTGAAAATCCGGACAGAAAAGTTGTTGAGCTAATTTTATTAAAATGTGATATAAAACCAATGTAAGTGGATAAGGCTCCCGAGCGCACACGATCCAACAAGATCGTTGGGTCCTGGTCACTTGCGGCACAGCACATGACAGAAGAAACAAAAAGAAAGGTGAAAGTTAGCGGGCAGAAGCAACAGAGCCTTCAGGTGCCAGAAGGGAGGGGATAGGGAGGGAGGGAGAGAGAGAGAGAGAGAGAGAGAGAGAGGTGGCAGGACTGGGGAACAAACAGCTCAGTTACAGCCTTGGAGACATTTAAATAAATAAAGAGAAATCAATCCCTTGGAAAGGGTCTGATGCTCATCTCAAGTGCTGGGCCAGAGAAATGGAAATATTGGGGGCCTACAAGTCAAATTTCCAGAGTGCTCCTCAGCTATAGTTGCTTTGAGTATATCTATTCCTCCCTCTGTGCATTCAAGGTAGCAAGGAGTCTCAGTACAGCAGTGTTCGTCCCCCTTCCGCAGATTATGTTTTCCCCCTTAGGCTGGAAAAACAGGAGGTGTCCTGCGCCTTGCTGTGGCTTTCTTTAAGTTGAGGCTTTAGCCAGTCTTGTGCCATGCACTGCAAGCTTAGACCTGACATCTCCCACCAGCAACAGCTACATCTTCCTTGTAGCAATTACAGACTTTCCGTGGGTCATTCTCTCTTGTGACGCTACAAGCCATGCTTAGCAAGAAATGTAAGCTTGGGGAAAGGAGGGCACCACTAAGGGAGCCTGGTTGCTAAGGGATAAGGCTGCAAACTTAAGCATATTTATCAGAGAGAAGGTTGCATTGAATTCAGGGAGGTCCTATTCCTGCATTGCAAGGGGGTTCCAACTCTGTGATTCTGTGATTCTATGCAGGGGTGAGGAACCGGCAGCCTGCCATGTTGGAATCCACCTCCCATTGGCCCCAGTCAGTGCAGGCAGTGGTCAGGGATGAGGGGAGCTGTAGACCAAAACATCTGCAGGGCACCAGCTGGGTACTCCTGCTTTAGATGATGATTTGTATTGCTTTGGTCACTTCAAAAGGTGTCAAGCTGGCCCAGTTGAGTTTGGGGGCTCTCCAGCAAATTCTGCTGAGTGTGGCCCTCAACCTATGCTTCACACTTTGATCTGATGGTACCAGTTGGTGCCAGCCTTCATTCTGCAGCTGTACTGTGGTGGTTATAGAAATGGCATGGCATTTGTGCTTCAGTGGGGGGAAATGGGCTTTATCTTTAAAGGGCAAAGAAGGAGTAGATAGGTATTGTTTCACAAAAATGTAAGGGGTGGGGAATGAATTAAACATTTCTAAAACAGCATTGCCATGGTGGAGATGTGCAAGATTGTCTTGCTGACAGCAGTACAATGGGTACTATCCAAAGGGAATTTCCCATATGTTCCTCTTGATCCGTGCTGTTTTGTTTGCTAGAAGTTAATAGAAGTATTTGTTATGCTTAGCTTCATTCATACTGTCGGTGCTTAATCAGAGCAGCGTCTTAAACTGGATTAAATCTTGGAGTGCTTCCATATTAGCTTTCTTTCAACAGAATGAACAGAAATTAATTAGTTAATTAATTTTAATTTAACGATATTTATTTACTGCTTAATGTATTTTTAAATAGCCATCCAAGCTGGTTGCATTAAATAATAGAAAATATACGTAAGAAAATACAATAACACCAACAGACTTTAAAAAGAAGTAGGCATAATATGAAGATAAAAATGCAGGCAAAACACAATTAAATCACTCAGTTACTCCTGAGAGTTCAGTTGCCACTCTTCTCAAACAGTTGTATTTTGCGGCAGCTGTGGGGAGAAAGGCAAATTGCATGCTAGGTATCAGTAACGGAATTAAGACGAAAACTGCTGATATCACAATGCTGTTATGCTGTGTAGTTGGAATACTGTGTACAGCTTTGGTTGTTGTACGATATCAAACATCAAAAATGATATTGTAGAGTTGGAAAAGGTTCAGAAAAGGGCAAGCAAAATTGTCAAGGGGATGGAGCAACTCCTTGTAAGGAAAGCTTGAACTCACAGATGTCCATGGAGGTGCAAGTCAATTCTGTGTCCAGGGCAACTGTGTACCAGCTCCATCTGGTACGCAGGCTGAGACCCTACCTGCCCACAGACTGTCTCGCCAGAGTGGTGCATGCTGTAGTTATCTCCCGCTTGGACTACTGCAATGTGATCTACATGGGGCTACCTTTGAAGGTGACTCGGAAACTACAGCTAATCCAGAATGTGGCAGCTAGACTGGTGACTGGGAGTGGCCTCCAGGACCATACAACACCGGTCCTAAACGACCTTCATTGGCTCCCATTGTGTTTCCAAGCACAATTCAACGTGTTGGTGCTGACCTTTAAAGCCCTAAATGGCCTCGGCCCAGGATACCTGAAGGAGCATCTCCACCCCCATCGTTCAGCCCAGACATTGAGGTCCAGCTCTGAGAGCCTTCTGGCGGTTCCCTCACTGCGAGAAGTGAGGTTACAGGAAACCAGGCAGAGGGCCTTCTCAGTAGTGGTACCCGCCCTGTGGAACACCCTCCCATCAGATGTCAAGATGACTTTTAGAAGACATCTGAAGGCAGCCCTGTTTAGGGAAGTTTTTAATGTTCGAAGTTTTATTCTGTTTTTAGTGTTCTGCTGGGAGCTGCCCAGAGTGGTTGGGGAAACCCAGCCAGATGTGTGGGGTATAAATAATAAAATTATTATTATTATTATTATTATTATTACTATTATTATTATTATTACTACTACTACTACTATGTTGTTGTTGTTGTAGCAGCAGTTGGGCATTTTCAGTTTAGAGAAAAGGTGAATGAGAGGAGACATGGTAGAAGTTTATAAAAATTAAGCATGGCATAGAGAAAGTGGCCAGAGAAACATTTTTCTCCCTCCCTCATAAGACCAGAACTCGTGAACATCCATTGAAGCTGGTTGTTGGAAGATTCAAGACAGGTAAATGGAAGTTAAACTATGGAACTCGTTCCCACAAGAGGCAATGATGGCCACCATCTTGGGTGGCTTTAAAAGAGAATCAGACAGATTTGGGGAGGATAAGGCTATTGGTGACTACTTGCCGTAGTAAGTAGATTGGAGGCAGTGACCTTTCTGAATACCTGTTGCTGGAAACTGCAGGAGAGAGCACTCTTGAGGTCAGGTTCTGCTTGTGGGGTCCCCATAGGCCTTTGCTTGGCCACTGTGAAAATAGGAGACTGGGTTAGATGGGCCACTGGCCTTCTCTGCATTCAGGGTAGGTGTCTTTCTGTGTGTATAGGGTGGAGACACGTCAATTTCACCACTGCTTTGTTAAGTTTTAAAATTTAAGATATTGCAGTGCTGGGGGACACAGATCCTCTCTTTAAGTGTGTTTGTGAGGGAAGGACCTTCACCAGGAAGCGGCAATAGCAGTACAGTCATACCTCGGGTTGAAGTTGCTTCAGGTTGAGCGTTTTCGGGTTGCACTCTGCAGCGACCCAGAAGTAACAGAACACGTTACTTCCGGGTTGCGCCGCTCGCGCATGCGCAGACGCTCAAAATGATGTCATGCACAGAAGCGGCGAATCGCAACCCGTGCAGACACGGTTTGCATTCGCTTCAGGATGCGAATGGGGCTCCGGAACGGATCCCATTCACATCCAGAGGTACCACTGTACTGGTGGTGGCCAATCCAGTCCAGCATCCTGTTCCCGCAGCGGCCAACCAGATGCCTGCGGGAAGCCTGCAAACTGGTATTCAGGAGCATGAAGAGAGAGCCGGTGTGGTGTAGTGGTTAGAGTGCTGTGCTAGGACCTGGGAGACCAGAGTTCGAATCCCCACTCAGCTGTGAAGTTCGCTGGGTGACCTTGGGCCTGTTGCCATATCTCAGCCTAACCTGCCTCACTGGGTTGTAAAACTGTAAAGTTGGAATGTACCCGCCCCCCCAAGGCTCATCTAAGTCCAACCCCCAGCAATGCAGGAATCTTAGCTGAAGGTTGGGAGGATGAAATAGGGAGGAGGAGAACCGTGTACATCATCTTAGAGGAAAAGGCGGTAAATAAATGCAATAAGTAAATAAATAAAGTAATCATGCAAATAACATGTTTATTTTTTAGCAGTGGCATTTGCAAGGTGGATGCCATTAAGTACAGCTGCCACAGGACAACTACTGTAGCATGAGGCCCTCCTCCCCAAAAAGAGATGTCATTTGAAACTAAGAAGCTAGCTTCCCCTGAGTCAGGCCACTGGTCCATCTCCCCAGTATTGATTTCTTTTCTGGACCAGGAATGACTCTACAGGATTCTGGGCACATATCTCCTCCTACATGGTCCTTTTAGCTTGTGATGCATCGAAAGCAGGTGCTCTTAACACATGAGCTATGGTCCACTATCCATCCTGAGGGGGAAAAACAGCGTGTTGCTCATTTGGAAAGTTGATTGTTGCTTCTGCTTCATTTCTTTTTTGCGCTTAATTATTATCGTTTGCATCCTCTTGCCTGATGGTTCACTGACCTATATCTGTGTTGCGATTTTCTCCAGAAGGGCAGTTCTGTTCTGTATTATTGCAACGTTGAGCTTGATCTCAGTCTGTCGATTGCATATTTAAAAATTTCCCTAAAATATATATTTAAGGGGGAGGGGGACAACAAGCAGCATATGTTCCCAGCTACAAAATATGGAGCCTCCCACAGCTAAGAAAAATCAGCACTTCAACACTCTGAAGATTAAGGGAAGACAGCATGAATGGCATGCAATAAATGGGTAGAAACGTTTCCATTTATTGCACTAGAAACTGGTCTTGTGATATTACAGATGGCAGGGAGAGGTCATACACAACTGGGATAAGTATATGCTGGAAAGGAAAATGGATTCTACACACTTCTGTCCCAACCTGGCAAATTTGTGATGGGTTCACCAGCCTTTTCCTGCTGACACAAGTTAGCCATAGCTTGGAGTTCTGACTTCCTGGTGCAATAAATCCTGCTCTCTGCTTTGCCTTGCAGGTGATGACTGCAGTGACCACTGTAACTTGGCTCATGGAAGCTGTGACGAGGACGGCAAATGCAGGTAAAGCCATACTTGGGTGCTGTTAAAAGAGAGGGCTGCTCAAACACGGCGTCACTCCAAACCCTGCACATTTTGTGCCAACCACCCCAAGAAGTAGTGTCCTATAAGCTTCTACTCTCAGAGTTGGCCCAATACATTTTGCTGCCTGGTGCGACAAAGGGCAAGATGGCGTCCCCTCCTGTTCAGTGTATAGAAGCTGACTGAACCAGCCATTAGTTTTTATTGCAACACCGGTGTTGCGACAGCCGTGCCTGAGGACAGCAGGCTGGCCTAGAGGGTGCAAAGTTGGCTGTGTGGCACACACAGATGTTTTCTGCAACCAGGGCCAGCCCACCCATGAAGCAAGGGGAGGGGACTGCCTCAGGTCGCAGGATCTGTAGGAACAGCAGATCCAGCCTCTAAGGAATGTGTTGCCCGCTTATGCTGCCACTGCAGCAACAGCTGTGGCATGTTTCTTGGAGGTCAAATCTGCTGCCTCCTCAGCAGCACCCCCATGCCACCCCTACAGTGGCCTCTTGTGAATATGAGGTACTGCTGGTCTCCCCTCACCTTTGGGGAAGAAATGGTGGGAGCTGCCCTCTGGGGTCATCTGGGTTCTGCACCCGCCTGGTGCTTCAAAGCAGGCTGCCCCCTCCCCCCACCATTCCCACTTAAACCACCAGGTAAGGTTTATTTTATTTTAAAATAAATTTTATTTTTCAGGTTTACAGAGATACACATCCAATTTTCCCCCAATAAGCATTTATAGTTTGACTTCCTCCCCCATCCCTTTTGCAGTTTCTTATATTTTATAAAAATTAATACCTTCATTTCCCTCATTATTCCAATTAATGTAAGGTTGATTTTATTCCCTCCCTTGTTCCCAGTGTAGATCTTCACTCCCCCCTTTGTTCCCGATGTAAATTTTTACTCCCCTCTTGTTCCTGATATAGATCTTCACTCACCCCTGGATGGGTGGGCGCCATTTTGTTGCTTGCCTCAGGTGTCAAAATGTCTTGGGCCAGGCCTGCTCCAACCCCATGCTGCCACCCCTCCCCACCTTCCTGCCTCTGCTGCCTGAGGCAGCTGCTTCATTACTTATAGGTCTGGCCCTGCCGGTTTTTCATCCAAAAGTCCACTTCATAGGTAACATTTTTTTCTGCATTAAAAAAATCTCCATGCATGCCAAAACATATGTACATTTTCCTGTGTTAAGTGGGATATTTAAGTTTATCTCACCACCAGTCCATAGATAAGATGGCCACTGTGTGCAGCTGTTGTCTGCTTCATGAACAAAAGAGATTGTTTCTCCATATATATCACACTTTCCTAATAGGGATGTTATTTCCATTTATGAAAAATGTCACATTTGAAGCAACTTGAATGGATGCAATGAACACACTTTATGTTAGCCTTATGAACAAATCAACCAATGTTGCTTGCTCTCATTTAAAGAAAGCCCCTCCCCTCCAAAAAACTAGAGTGGTTGCCCAAATATACCCATGCTGTTCATTTGTGAAAGAAAATTTTGTTGTTGTTGCTAGCCTTTCTAGTTTAGTTAATCATAGCTAATTCTTACTCACCATAGACAACCAAGCAAGTTGCTATTTACACGTCTGAATCATGGGCTCGGTTTGCATAATCTTGTTTCATTTGCATGCTTTCAGTCTGGGAAAAGTGAGTTTATTTCCCCACCTTCGTCTTTTTCACAGCATTTTACAGTGAATGGAAGAGAGTGCTTTGTGTGAGGGATTTGAACTCACTGTGTATCACTGAAGTGTGTGGGTCATGTCTGAGAGCCAAGGAGGAAGCACAGATCCAAGTTGAAAGAGATTGCAGCAGATAATTTTGCAGATAATTGCATATGGATTTTCTCTATAAACTTGAGGGCTAGAAATTTACTTTGAAATTTAATTAATAGTGATATTTTTCAGGGATCCAAATTCTGGCCCACCCAGAATAATGGAATATTTACAGTCCTTTGTTTTGGTAGCCATTTTTAGGGTAGATGTTGACTTGTTTTGCAAAAAAATCTCCCTTGAATGGTGAGCATCCTTCTTAATCTGATGGGTTGTTCTTTTGGTCTCTGGAGAACAGATTATTTAATCCATCTATTTGCATCTGGGCAGAGAGATCAGTCAACCTGCTATAGGATACTGCAGCCTCAAACAGCTGCTGAAGAGCAGTGTCAAAGGGCATTGCCCGTTCAGCACCTGCTTACACTACTGAGGCTTTGTATTGTTTTTTATGGCATTTTACAGTGCAATAAAACATCCCACATACGACACTCCCCAGAATGGGTGGATAATAGCATTTCAAAAGTTTTATAATTTTATATGACTGTTCTGTGTTACCAGCCAACATTGCACAAGCTTTCGGATAACATATGCTGATCGCTAGAAGTTGCAGCTAGGAAATACCTGAGCTGCTAGGCTGTTTTTGTCTTTTATTAAATTTACTTTGAATTGCCTAAATAAAGGCCTTGTCTGGAAACCAGGGTTTTCAGCTGAAGACGGGAGAGGCTTTTGCATAGATTCTATTTTAGATCCTCCTAAATCCTAGGATTTCAAATGGGCTCATTTCCTACAAAACAGCTTAACAGTATCAAAGAAACATGGGTAAGATAACTTGCTGCAACACCGCAATAAGTTTCAGACATTATTTTGAGAGTTTTACAGTTGTAATATAGTACTGTTGCCATCCCTGGGTTGCATGCTTGGAGTAGGCCTCCTTTTCCAACCCAGCGCTGGATTTGGCAGTAGGAAACACATCCACGCTGCATGCGTCTTGTCCTGGCACACTGTCACTAATACAACAATTTTCAAAGCAAAAAAAAAAAAGTCATTTACAGAGCAACCCTATATGCACATTATGCTGGGGCTGGCAATTTGCCACTGCTGTGTTGGTGCAACAGCCTCTTCATGAAATGCTCAGCCCATGAAGGAAGGGGAAACCACAGCAAATGCATGGTGTTGGTGAGGGAGGGAGAGAAAATAGGGAATGGTGCCATCTGAGGGCTCTGCCAGGGCTCATGCCTCAGTCTCTCTCTCCCCCCCCCCCCCAAGCCATTGACATTTGGGAGTTGTAAAAGAACTCTGTGTTTGCGGTGGCTGTTTGTTCTTCTCCTTGCATATGAGCTATGTTCCTACAAAGCAGCTGCAATGGATGCAGAAACACACCTGACATTCTGACAACTATCCGCTCCCATCAAGCACAGATGTTCTTCAGGGCTAGGCAACCTCCCAGATCTTTCCAGATGCTGTTGGATACCAACTCCCATCAGCCCCAGCCAGTAGCCAGTTGTCAGAGAGGATGTAAGTTGCAGTCCAACAACATCTGGAAGGCTATAGGTTCCTCATTTCTGCATTATAAGACGTGTCCCTCTTTCTCTCGCTTACCTGTTCAGAATGCTCTCTCCCTCAATTGTTGGAGAGGAGGTTGGGTGTTTGAACATAGTCCCCTGAGGCAAGGTACCTGTTAGGGGTCTAGAAGGAGAAGTGTGAGCAGTGTGAGCAAGTTCCCTCACATGCTCAGGATATGACGTTTGTGCAAAGTGCCCCCTTTGTGGTCTACCGGCCAATTTTATCCAGTGTTCGCTGGCTGTTGGGATTGTAACCAAAGAATGGTGCCATAGGTGGCCCCAGCAAAGTCATTTCTTACATTCTTTGACAAGAGCACATACTCAGGATCACAGACCAGTTGTATCGTGGCTGTTAATAGATACTAGGCACGGACTTGTGCTATGCAATTTAACACACATTGGCTGATGAAGGGGTTTCTATGTTATATACATTTTTTTTAAGGTAGACCAAAAAGAGATTGAAGTCAGCCCACCCCTGCCCCACCCTGAAGACACCCAGGACTGATAGAAAAAGCCTGTGATTGTGTAGTTCAAGATGTACCTCATCTAAGAAGGGCATCTTTCTTCACTGCAACTGAAGGATGGGGGCAGACCTCGATCTTTCCATTGGTCAACAGAGTTGTCCTGTGTAGACCAAGTTGGGGTTTTTGTGTGGGGACCTCACCCTGGACTTTATGTTTTCTGATTTTTATCCCTTCGGCACACCCAAGGTGGGGTTTTTTAATACAAAGCAGATGCCATTTTTTAATGCTGTATTTCCCCCACTTGGTTTGTGGTTTGTGAAGGGTATACGTCTCGTTTCAGTGATTCCTTTTTTGCAGCTGTGCAAATGGGCAGCCTGAGTTTGTGCCTCTGCACCACTCCCTCAGAGTGGCAGGAATGTGCAGCCGTGCATTTCTCTGCCATTAAAAGAGAAGAACTCTATAGGGGAGGCGCAGAGGAGCAAAATCCCCACCCACAGGTATGGCGCGAAAAAGAAACTACGCCCACAAAACCTGGGCTCAGTCTTTTTGGCACTGACTCACTGATTGCAGAGTAAACACAGGACTTGCATCTAATTAGTAGCAAGGAACAGAGAGGCATGAGCGTAGTATGAATCCCGTGTATCACTGCTTGATCTTTGGTAAGCTGCAGCACTGGGGAAACCCAGCCAGATGGGTGGGGTGTAAATAATAAATTATTACTATAGTCTAGTTATAAGTGTGGTGAACAAGGCTTGCCATGAGTCATGTTTTGGTACATCCTTCCATTTTAGTTTTATCTTCCAATATTTTCTCAATATACTTTAAAATATGGGGGGAAAGGTGCTTGATATGTGTGCATTTGCACAAAGAAAAAGTAGCCTGTGATGTGCCATTGCCAGCAGCCCAATCTTAGGCAGGTTTACTCAAAAACAGGTCCCCTTAGTTCAGGGCGATGCACTCCTGAGTAAGGGTGTATAGCAGGGGTGGACAATGTGATGCCTTCGGAAGTTGCTGGACTCCAACTCCCATCAGTTCAAGCCAGCATGGCCAGTAGACAGGGATGATGGGAGTTGAGTCCAGCAACATCTTAAGGGCACCACGTTCCCTACTCTCCTGGACCGCAGCCTTAAGGTTTGGCACCGGCGCATTCCTATTCTCTCTGAAAACAAGTTACTGGGATGGAAAAGAAACAGTAGTAAAAGCAGAGTTTCCTGCCAGTCTTGCACATCAGGTGTACAGCCCAGATTGTCCCTCCTGACCTATGGCAAAACCCCAAGGCAAATACCAAGGCTGGAGATTCCTCTTCTGTGCCCACCCACACATTTCTTAAAATAGAGATAATTTTCTCACTGTCCCCAGGCAATCATTAGACAGGCGGCAATCTTGGCTGGCTGACGCTCTTCACCAAAACTTGTGGTACTCATATGCCCCACCCCTCCTCTTGCCTCCTGCCCAAAGTGCCTCCATTTTGCCTCACCCTTGGCTCCATCCTGCTGCTGCTGCTGCTCCCTTCACGAATTCCCCTCACATTCTTGTGCGAGGTACTTCTTCCTATCATGCCATTGAGACCGAAAAGGATCCTGGATCCGGCCTCCACCCATCACCAGGAACAGAGACCATTGGTGGATCTACACACAGGGGTGCTATAAATAAGTCAGAAATTAAATCATTATAACAACCACACACACACACACACAAAAAAATCACATAGAATTTTTTTTTTTTGCTCTCTGGCACCATCTGGTGTTGCATGTTATAACACATTCAAAACATTGTTTTTTGACTAATGCAGCTGAGTCCCATGACTATGAAATGCCAGTCTAATGCCTTGTGATGTTTACTGCACATGGCTTTGTTAGTGCCTTTGCGTGGTGCCTGCGGTGACGTTCTCCTGCTCTGACTTTCTGGTTTTCCTTCTGCAGGTGTGACAAAGGCTGGGAAGGGGAATACTGTGAACAGTGTGTGAGGATGCCAGGCTGCAAGCATGGGACGTGCCACCAACCCTGGCAATGCATCTGCCAAAGTGGCTGGGCTGGCAAGCTGTGCAAGAAAGGTGCGTCACTCCACTTGGAACAGGGTGGGGACTTATTGAGGAGAGTCGGGACGACAGGGAAAGGAAGCTTATTGGGAAGCTGCCTTATACCAAGCCAGAACACATGGGCTGGTACCTGCTCTCCAGAGTTTCAGACAATAGCTTCTGCTGCTGCTGCCTTGAAAGGCTGAAACTCGGGTCCTCTGCATACACAACACATTCACTACCGACGAATGATGCCATTTCCAAACAACAGCAATTCAGCTTTAACAGAAGAACCACACAGCCTTATTAGCAGCAGTAATTCGGCCGTCTTCCCATTTTCTGCTTTGAGGCCTCCCTGGAGAAAACAACTACTTTTGCTATTGACTCCAATACTTCCCAGCTACATGAAGTTGTCCTAAGGCCTTGGAGAACCACTGCTAGTCAGAATACTTTGGAAGTCGAGCGGAATCCGTTCTGGAAGTCCTTTCGACTTCCAAAACGTTCGGAAACCGAAGCGCGGCTTTTGATTTGCTGCAGGAACCTCCTGCAGCCAATCGGAAGCCCCATTGGATGTTTAGGTTCCAAAGAATGTTCACAAACCAGAACACTCACTTCTGGGTTTGCAGCGTTCGGGAGCCAAAGCGTCTGAGTACCAAGGCGTTCGGGATCCAAGGTACAACTGTATGCAGTGCTGGGCTAGGAGGAAGTAAGGCAGCTTCTTCTGCTCCAATACAGGAGCCCACTTCCCCCTTCAGAATCAGTGGCCTCGTGCCTCTGAAGAGCAGGGGACATCCGGTTGGACACTGGGAAGGAGGATGCTGTGCTAGCTGGCCACCTTTTCTTTGTACAGCCTCCAGTATCACAGTAAATTAAAAAAAAGAGAGAACTTTTATGTGTGGGTGTGGGTGTCTGGCATGAAAAAGCAGCCCTGAGTACTTTTGACCTGCATTTTCTCCTTGTCCTCCTCTTTTCCCCCATCTCTTTCAGACGTGCATGTCTGTGAGCACCAGACCCCGTGCCAGAATGGAGCCCAGTGCGTCTACGACCGAGATGGGGAATATTCTTGCCTGTGCCTTGAAGGATTCCATGGAAAGAACTGTGAGCTGAAGACGGGGCCATGTGATAAGGCAGGGTGAGAGATCCTAGCAGAAATAGATGGGAGGAAAGGCAGGCGCAAGGAGCAAAACCTTTTGAAGGCTCCAGTCCTTTGCCTAGGAGTAAGTCCCATTAAGCTCAGTAGGGCTTACCTCTGAGTGAACGCGTATAGGATCAGCCGTAAAAGGCTTTAAAACGCACCATTTCACGAACAAGGATTTCAAGGCAACGTTCAGTTTTATGACAACTTTTTGTTGTTATTTTTTCCTGTGTGGCTTATTTTTGCATGCACCTTTTACGTGCACTTAGAAGCCACTCAGAGTGGCTGGGGCAACCCAGTCAGATGGGTGGGGTACAAATAATAAAATAATAACTGTTATTAGAAATGCTAACGGTTAAGGGGTATTTAAACAGATGAATAAAATGTAGGACGGCCCATATGGGTGTTGTGATCGGTCCCCATTCTCTCCTTTCAGGTCCCCTTGCAAGAATGGCGGAGAGTGCCTGGACCAGAACGGCTTTGCTAAAAACTACACCTGCAAGTGCCTGGCAGGATTCATTGGCACCCACTGCGAGATTGACGTCGACGATTGCCTGATGCGTCCCTGTGCCAACGGTGCCACCTGCCTCGACGGCATCAACCGCTTCTCCTGCCAATGCCCCACTGGCTTTGAAGGGCGTTTCTGCAGCATCAACGTTGACGACTGCGCCAGCCAGCCGTGCAGAAACGGGGCAAAGTGCTACGACCGCGTCAACGATTTCGATTGCCTGTGTCCCGAGGGCTTTGTCGGCAAGACCTGTGAGCTCCTTGCTCCCGAGCCGACGTGGGTCACCGCGTTTCACCCTGATCCCAAGGGGCACGGCAACGACGTCGTGAGAAGCACGGCCAGCAGCAACCCTTGGACAACCCAGTCTGAGTCTGTCCGGGTTGTGGTGACTGGGAAGCGGGTCACTACCTACAGTGAGAAATCAAACGGGGGAGGGCTGTTGATCTCCGTGAAAGAGGTGGTGACTCAGCAGGACTCGGGGCTGAGTCAGTCGCAGCTGATTTTAGTGCTGGTATTTGGGCTGCTCACGGCCCTCCTAGTCTTGGTAACTGTGTTGGTGCTGCTGAAGAACTGGCAGAGGGGGCGCCGGAGGTGCCAAAGCCCCTCGCAGTCTGCAAGGAAACTCCAGGACCAAGAGTGCCAAGTGGGCATGTTGAGTACGGTCTTGATAGAACCCAGGAAAACGACTGAGCTGTAAGGACCCCCCTGAGTCGGAGCCTGGCTGACCTCTGTACACCCACCAGATGAGTCAAGGAATTCTCCGAGCAGCGTCCAGGGGGATGCTCTGGCCGTCCGCCTCCAAAGCACCGCGGGCTCTGATCGAACTCAAGGCCGTGCATCGCCAGGGAAGAGGATGTCCACGAGGCAGCAGAGCCTTTGCTTGAAAGCGGAGTCCTTGAATGCATGCAGCTTAAAGCCACGGGCTTGGTGGCAGCAACGTCTTAAGGGCAGCCAAGGAAGTGATGGGTCACGATAAAGCCAGGGCTGGAAACAGCAAGCAAGATAGGTGGATGTCATCCCACAAGCGCTCCAAGGGAGTTGCTAGAATGAGGCTAAGCATGCCAGGACAGGTTGTAGTATTTGGCTAAGCCCTTAAGCATCTGGTAACTCTTGGTCAGAGTCATTGGAGGTATCCTATGGCCTGTCTGTTTACTCAAGGGGCCCCAGGAACTGCTCTGTGTATGCCCCACCACCCTCTAGCACAGGTGATATGGGACCCCCATTCTGCCTAGAGGCCTTTCAGTCTGTTTTCCTAAGGACCTTGTGGTGCCATGAGCCACTTTGCTGCCCACATTGACCATTCTAGATCATTGTCTTGCCCATTGTGCCCTGTACTATGTCCGGTCTTGATCTGGCTGCAAATGTATGGAACCTCTGAAACAGAACCCTTCTCTTCCCCTCCTCCCTGAAAGGTTTATTCAGACCCTGATTTCACACATCGTACTCCCTCATTTTCTCAGCTCTGGTGTCAGGAAGGGTCAAAAGCAAGCACCAAGCCAACTTCCCCTTCTCAGTCTCAGATTGTTGGCCTGAGACTCTTCACTTGCCGGAAAAGAAATGGCTATGTATGAAGCTGGAAATATGAGGCCTAGCAATCCTGATTCCAAGGCCTGATGTCTGTGAGAGATCAAACTTGGGAGTAAACCAGAAGCAACCATGATAGCACTTTTCAGTAGCACATGTTGAACCATACTGATGCCTTAAGGCAAAAAAGTATACTTCCAAGGATGTATCCCAAAACATTGGTCCATCAAGCCTGGTAGTGTCTGCACTGACTGGCAACAGCTCTTCAGGGTTTCAAATTGGGGGTCTTTCTCAGCCCTTCCTGAAGTTGGTGAGGATGGAGCCTGAGATCTTTTGCATGCAAAGGTTCTGTTATTCTCCTTCCCTAAGTGGAAGTAAAGGCGGTGGGTGATCTCATAAAACAATTCATATTTGGCTACATAGTGACAGCAATGAAGGCAGTACAGTGGTACCTCAGGTTAAGTACTTAATTCGTTCCGGAGGTCCATTCTTAACCTGAAACTGTTCTTAACCTGAAGCACCACTTTAGCTAATGGGCCTCTTGCTGCTGCTGTGCCGCCGGAGCCTGATTTCTGTTATTATCCTGAAGCAAAGTTCTTAACCTGAAGCACTATTTCTGGTTAGCGGAGTGTGTAACCTGAAGTGTATGTAACCCGAGGTACCACTGTACACACATTTGGAAAAGAGTTGGAAAACTCATTCAAAGACCCATTTGCTGGAGGACACGATAGTCTGTATAGACACTGTCTATACTTGGGTGCATGTGCTTGGTGCACGTCAAAATGCAGGTGGTGTCTATGCACACTGTTGCTCTCATCTCGATGCACCCTTATGTTTGTGTAGGTAGAGATGCTCATCTGGAAAGGGGTGCTTGGGGTGCTCTGTTGGCCTGCCTCTGACTTCCGCCTTCCGAACTTCTGCAAAGAACCTGTGTACATACAGATCCAGCATTTATAGGATCACAACACACAATCTGTGCCCTATAGAAATGGAAGGTACAAACTGCACATTCAGAGTCTATTTGCATCAAACTGTATGCACGCAGTCCCTTGCGCAGAATACCAACAAACAGAGGTCACAGGTGGGATCAGTAAGCAGAATAACATTTCGACCCAGGGTTGGGCTTCAGACTGGGGGTAATGCCGCTTCGTAGTCACGACAGATACCGGTCTGGTTGCCAAGGCAACAGGGACCTGTTCCTCCTGCTGCCTTAAACATTTCTGCTCCCTTTTGAGGGAACACTCCCTAGTTTGTTTGTTTTTAAAATCCCCCCAAAATGGCAGGTGCTCTTTGAGAGGCATAAAAATGATTATAGAACTTTTATTCCCACCCCTGTTTTCAGCTCAGCCTTCAAATCTCCTGTTTTAATAAGTAACGCAACTGAGTCAGACGGAGGTATGGTAAACAGTTCCCTTACCTTCAGTGGCAAAGTGCACCCCATTCAATAGGGCCAGTTCCACTTCAGGTATGTCAGGGACAGTGGTCTCTCTGTCAGGGTCGTCCCTGAGGCTGTGGCTTAGGTACACCATCAGGTTTTCCTCATTGACTTCCATTGTTCTTTCCCCTCTGACCCCAAAATAAGAATACATGAGCACCCTAGTTTCATGGTCAAGGAGCTATAGGTTACATGTCTGGAAATGCAACTTGAGTAAAGCAAAAAAAGGGGGGATTTCACCATAAATATTATTTTTGTAATACACAGTTGATGAATGGTTGTAACTTTATAAAATAAATTCAGGAAATTGAGTATATGAACCCGCACCTTCCTGCTCCCCGCCATAGACTTCCCCTCTCTTGGATGATGTCATTCCATGCCTTGTCCCATCACGTACCACTGGGCCCATCTCCAAACCACAATGGTTACCCTCTAACCACAGGTCCTGACCTGCCAGAATTGCTATCGTCTTTGGCTCACTGTCAGCCCTAAGAGAAAGAGGGTGACCTCTCTTGCAAAAGAATTCCAAAATCCCTACAGAGGGGTAACAAGTGCTTGAAAATCTCTTATGTCCAGATTTCAAGAAAGTACTGCCATTTTGAACTGCTCTAAAAGGTCTGGAGGGAGGAGGTGGTCCAACCAAGAAGATAAGAGTACTAAAAACCATATGCATCTGGGAGAGTAGAGTAATTTCCACTACACTTTTCCATGTACAACTTGCTTTAGAATTATTATTTTTAATCAACTGTATCTCCATCATGTGCTGTAGGTTAAGCAGGGAAATAGAGTGACCTACCCAAAACTATCCAGTATGAAGCATGACTTAAATGCAGAATGCGAAACTGTGTACCCCTCCTCCCCTAACTGCTCAAATGCAACACAGCTTTCATGTCTCAGTGTAGATGGCAAAAAGAGCAGCGAGGAAAGATCCCAGTTACAAATGGTACGGAATGAACAGCTGCCTGGTGCTCCCCGGGCTTGGTTCATTCAGAGGGGAGAGCAGCTATTCAGGCCCTGCAGACCAAGCCGCCTACTCATGAGCAGCAAATTCAGAAAGGTGGGGTCCCTTCATGATAGTCACAGCCACGCCCCTTCTCAGATTATATAACCTAAGATTACACAATTTTATAATTATAGAATTGTAATAATTAGGGACGTATTGCAACAATCTATACACCTAGATCTCTTCATCCTGGAGAAGAGTGACTAGTGGGGTGCCACAGGGTTCTGTCTTGGGCCTGGTCTTATTCAACATCTTTATCAACGACTTGGATGATGGACTCAAGGGCATCCTGATCAAATTTGCAGATGACACCAAACTGGGAGGGTGGCTAACACCCCAGAGGACAGGATCACACTTCAAAACGACCTTGACAGATTAGAGAACTGGGCCAAAACAAACAAGATGAATTTTAACAGGGAGAAATGTAAAGTATTGCACTTGGGCACAAAAAAATGAGAGGCACAAATACAAGATGGGTGACACCTGGCTTGAGAGCAGTACATGTGAAAAGGATCTAGGAGTCTTGGTTGACCACAAACTTGACATGAGCCAACAGTGTGATGCGGCAGCTAAAAAGCCAATGCAATTCTGGGCTGCATCAATAGGAGTATAGCATCTAGATCAAGGGAAGTAATAGTGCCACTGTATTCTGCTCTGGTCAGACCTCACCTGGAGTACTGTGTCCAGTTCTGGGCACCACAGTTCAAGAAGGACACTGACAAACTGGAACGTGTCCAGAGGAGGGCAACCAAAATGGTCAAAGGCCTGTAAACGATGCCTTATGAGGAACGGCTAAGGGAGCTGGGCATGTTTAGCCTGGAGAAGAGGAGGTTAAGGGGTTTTTTGAGACTTCACCAGTTATTGCCTCCGTGCTTTCAAGCTCATCCTTGCAGGTTTTACTAAAAAGCTGCCTAACACTATCCTCGCCCCTAGCTGAGGTCCTGAGCAAAGGTGCTGCAATCTGCACCCAGTACTAATATCCTTACTTTTGCTCTGAAAGCATGTAAGAAGTCTTTCTGAAATTGGGATTTGAGGGGAAATGTACAAAGTTAAGGAGCAGACAAAGGGAGATTGTTCCAAGCATAGGAAGTGGCAGAAAAGAAAGTGAGACTGAAGAAGGGAAGAAAAACAGCTGGCGGTAGATGGGGCAGAGCAGAGGGGAGGGTGCAATGAAGCAAACAAGCAAAGCATCCTTTGAATATGCCAGTTTGCTGTAGGACTTCATAGTTTGCTAGCTTCAGAGAATAAGTAACACACAAAGTGAGAAGAGCTGTTGCATGCTGGTCTTGCTGGTGGGCTTCCTGTATGTATCTGTGAGAACAAGGTGCTGGACTTGATAGACTTTTGGCCTGATGCATCAAAGGTCTTCCTACGTTCCTAGCCACTTTTACCTGTAGAGTTCATATTTTGTGCAAATTAACTGATGAGATGCACAGCCTGCAGACAAAATGGATATCCAATGTTTCCAGAAATCCATTTGGAAGGTGGGGGGGAAGAGGAGTCCTGGGTTCATGGAATAGTAGGCAGTGGTGATAGAAGAGTGATGATTCTTAAGGGGGAAAGGCAAAATTTTAATGTTTTTAAAAGCATCATAATCTTGTTACAGGAAAATATTTATTTCTTTATGCAAACACCACCATTCTCCATACACATACCATTCTCAACCCAGAAAGGAAAACCCCTCTTCACAGGTCCCACCTTTTTCAACATGAGGCGTGGCATGAATCTACTTCTGCCAAGCTCCTTCCAGATTCCAGCTGCACAACAACTTCCCTGATTATTCTGCAACACCCACTGTTGAACATGTCAGGTTACGTACACACAATCTCTTACTTGCTCTTTAAAAACATTGTGGAATTCCAAACATTACTTCAAACATTCCATTAAAGGGTACTTCCTGATGGTGATTTTGCAAGCGGATCTAGTGCACCTCCATTGGTTTCAGTTTGTACACAATTCCATCCCCTACTGATTCCTGCCTCTCTGCCTATTTACACTGCAGATTGCAGTGATGATAGGATCCAGAGTGGACATCACAAGTGTGCATGCATACACACAGGCACACAAAAATGTAAAACAAGTACAGGGAATGTGTGACCCTCCAATGTTGTTGGACTACGGTTCCCATTATTCCTGACCATTAACCAAGCTGGCTAGTGCTAATGGGAGCTGGAGTCCAGCAACATCTGAAAGGCCAAGTATTTCCTGTCTATGATGTTTCCTATCGCAAGTGTGAATTCTCCCAGTGTTTCCCATATGTAAAATGAACTTGTTGTTTCCCACAATATATCCATGCTTTATCCCTTAAAAATATGTTGCATAAATTTGTGTTTATACATGACACTTTGTACATGCAAGCTGCATTGGTGCTCAACTAGTTGAGTGGTGCACTTTTAGTTCTTTCTTTCTGCATGTGAAACAGCAGAAACTGAATCTGAAACCATTTGCATGCAACACATGTGCTCTACCACTGAACTAGGGCCATTTCAAACTTCTCTACTACACTGTTTATAATACTGGTGTCTTTCATACTTGGGTTTCATACTTTCATGCTTGGGTTCCATTTCCTTCCAACGAGTTACAAAGAATCAACAGAGGGAGAATCTGCCAAAAAAGCACTTGAACATATTGCCAAGGTGTGCTTGAATGCAGCAGAAGAGTTGTCAGCCAACTTCCTGCATTACTACTTCCAAACATCATTTCACTGGAGTAGCTATCCTTTTGTCAGAGGCATAAATCTTGTACTTGCGTGTCACTGCAAGCCCTGCTTCTGATGTGTTTTGTTCTGACTTTGTGTAGATCTAAATGTCTTCATAGTTATGTTAATTCATATCAATATTTGCTTCTATAAAGTTAGTTATTCCAGGAACATGTACTCTTTAAGGGTGCATTCCTGTGTACAGCCAGTCAGCTTGAATCCCATTTATCAAACTGCACAGCACTGCAGCTTAAGTTAATAGATCAGGGGTACCACCCTGCATAAGGAGGTACTGTAATTCATGTCCTTAATTGCACTTTGCATTCCTTCTGGACAGATGGTCCAGAGAATAGGTTCAACCGTTCAACGTATTTCAAGTTTAATATGGCAATGGCAGACTCAAACCAAAAGAGTACCATAATGTTTTAAATTCCTTTCTGTTTATCTATCCGTATCAGAACGGCTCAAGGTGGGTAACTCCTGAGCCAACAATTGCAACAATTAAACTGCACTTATCTCATCCTACTTCTCTATACAGTAGGAGCTTCTGCACTACTTGCAGACAAAATTCAGTTAAATAGGGTTTACAACTGTACAGGAACATAGGAAGCTGCTGAACCATCTAGCCCAGCATTTGTCTATGGAACCCAGTAATGTCTACTCCAGACTTCCCCAGCTAATGACTTCAAGAGGTTTCGGACTACAATTGCATCAGCCCCAGCCAGTGCATCCTGACTATGGCTGATGGGAATTAAGGTTCAAAACCTCTGGAGGGCACTAGGTTGGGAAAGACTAATCTACTTTGAGCCGTAGTGGTTGCTAGCATGTGCTTACCACCAAGCTATGGACCCTCCTCCATATTAGTTTCTGCCCCTTAGCAACTTTCTAACGTGTACTATATTTCTTATTCAGTACCTACCTCCCTTGTTCACTCTTGCTCTCAGAGAAGCTCACAAAGTATGCCCACCCCAAAGATCTTTTCACAGTATGCACCTGACCGATGACACCTTGATAAAAGTTTGGGACAATGAATTGAATAATCTCAGTGTGTGTAATTATGTAAGGAGCACCTAGTCAAATGCACAGCAAACAAAACAGATTCCGGAAAATGCAGAATCCAGAAAATGCATATTCCGTTTTGAAAGCGAGCATGATTCACATCATCCTGACAATTTAGAACAAGAACAGGTGTACAAAAATTGCAACTGCAAAATTTCTGCCAGATACAAAATCAAAGACTCCGATTCAGCTTGGAAATCATGTCTGAAATAAACACAAACACATTTAAGGTATTAGGTTTCCAACAATGTTTGGTGAATACTATTTTATGAATCTGATTATATAAATATTATTATTAATTTATATACTACTTCATTTCCAAGATGGCCTCTTACTGGTTTATAAGTATAAAACCAATGATACATAATTAAAATATATAATAAAACAAGTTAATTAAGGCAATAAGATAAACATTCACAATTAAAATATGTAATAAAAATAAGACCATTACAACAGCACAATGAAAAGGTTTAAAACAGCAGTTGGTTAATAATATGAATTTTAATCAGTCAAATCTTAAATCAGTATATGAATAAGAACAAGGGGAACAAAAAGCTATCACACTTGGTTTTAATCAATGTACAATGACAATGAGTCAGAGCTGGTGGGGCAGCATCTTTCCAGGATGTCAAGCAGAAATCTAGCAGGGAATGTGAAATATCTCTGTCCAAAACCTTGAGAGCTGCTGTCAGAGTGGACAACGCTGAACTAAATGGACAAATATTCTGAGCTGCAATAGGGCACCTTCCTATAATCGGATTAGAAGAGTCATCCCCCCCCCTTATTATCATTTTAAAATGATACTTTCTGTTTGCATATTTACGACAATTTAGTTTTCATTACGATTTTTATGATTTTACATCTGAGGACTGATTAATTGGGGGACAGCCTTTTTTGGTCAGCCAACTAAACATTGCAAGCCCCCTGCTTTCTTGCGCCTTTCCTCAGAAATCCGCCTATATACAGATCAGTGATCAAATGACACGAGAGCCAGAGGAAGCCCGTGTTCTGAATCAGCTGAAATTCTCGCAGACCACTGCTGAATACAGAACACATCAAAAGGAGAACGGGAAACTCAGGGTATATTGCTCTACACGTTTTCTCTCTCTATGAATTCTGAGTTACCAGGCCGGACGGAGCCCACTGATACATATTTTTCCCCACCAGCGGCCTCTAGCGTCTGGGAGAATGCCTTACAGACCCGGACAGGCGCAAAGGCCACGTGACTCGAGTTACGCCTCCGCCATTTTGTAAGGACGTCGGAAGGAAGCGTCTTCCCGGCCCGCCCGCCCAGCCCCGCGCGACCTGCGTTTTCGTCCGGTGCTACGTGCGCGCGCGAGGAGCGGGGGCAGTTGATGCGTGCGCAGAGCGGGGGGTGTGGGCTGGGAAGGGAGCTGGCGAGAGCGGCCTTGGCGGCGGCGGAGGCGCTGCTCTTGTCGTGATGCACCGCTCCAGCAGCAGCCGTTCGAGCAAGCCGTCTTCCAGCCGGTCCAAAACCAGCGCATCCAGCTCCAGTTCGGCTCGAGGCCGCAGCTCGCACCGCTCGCGCTCGCGCTCCCGGTCTCCGCGGAGCCGCCGCCGGCACCGCTCGCCCTCCAGCGGACGCTCTTCGCGCCGGTCGCCGCCTTCGCGCCGCAGTAGTCGGGTACGCTCTGCCCGTGGCGGCGGTGGCGGAGGCTGAGGGGGTTGCGGGTTGGGGAATTGGCCCGGCCTCAGCGAATTTAAGACGCCTCCGAGAGCCAGTGTGGTGCAGTGGTTAAGAGCGGTAGACTCTAATCTGGTGAACCGGGTTCGCGTCTCCGCTCCTCCACATGCAGCTGCTGGGTGACCTTGGGCTAGTCACACTTCTCTGAAGTCTCTCAGCCCCACTCACCTCACAGAGTGTTTGTGTGGGGGAGGAAGGGAAAGGAGATTGTTAGCCGCTTTGAGACTCCTTCAGGTAGTGATAAAGCGGGATATCAAACCCAAACTCCTCTTCTTCCGCCTCCCCAGCGTCCAGGGGTAACGGCCGCCCGCTCACCTCAGTACAGTGGTATCTCGGGTTACATACGCTTCAAGTTCCATACGCTTCAGGTTACAGACTCCGCTAACCCAGAAATAGTGCTTCAGGTTAAGAACTTTGCTTCAGGATGAGAACAAAAATTGTGCTATGGCGGCAGCAGGAGGCCCCATTAGCTAAAGTGATGCTTCAGGTTAAGAACGGACCTCCGAAACGAATTAAGTACCACTGTACCTTCCCCAAGGAGCATCCCCCATCTCTCGCACCTAACTGCCACTTACCGGAATAGCCAGCCGTTTTCCTGCCCCCAACTTAGTTATATATAACACCATGGCCCACATTTCTGGGCGTGCGCCCAGCAACCTTGAGCATCCCTAAGCTATCTTACCCGTGATCCCAACCTTTGCTCTGTGGTGATGCGAAGGAGGTCGAAAGGCTTAATGACAGCTGGAGGGGAAGCTTTGCCTCAAAGTAGAGAAACATGAAATGTGCAACAGCCCTGTGTATCCTACATCTGAGAGGAAATCACCTTGGATTTAGTAAGACTTCTGAGTAGACCCGTCTCAGGTTGAGCTGCACGCTCCTTTCTTTCCTTCATTTCTACATGAAGGAAAGTGGCCGGTGATTTTTGCCCGCACACAAAATACCCTTAACAGGTTAAGGCAATACCTGTAGACTTGGCTTGTGGTGGGGAGGAGCTTAGGTTTATTTTTACCAAAGGTTCGTGGATCGTTGAATGAATTTGAAAAGTAGGATGGCTGCTAAGGCATATTGAGCGCATAAACCTGGTTGGATTACTTGAAAATTATTTCAACCAAAATCAACACAGCTAATGGATAGTCATGCTTAGGATCAAACTGTGAATTTCAGAGAAGATTAGCCTTTGGAAGTGATTGTCCTTCACTTTTCATATTTGTCAATAACCAAATACTTAAAGATCTTAAAGGCTGGGGGAGAGATGAAGAAGAAAAGAGGCTGCATTTGCATGATCAGATCTTGGCCTAATGAGCTGAGATGTGCATAAATTTACTGAACTCGCATGCAATCTCTTTGGTCCCCTGTCCCCTTTGTTCAAGTGGGAAACATGCCAGGAAACCATAGTTATTCTGTTAACAAATAATTGGAAAGCTGGTCAATGGCTTCCAAGGAGGCTAGAAAATGAAGCCATTGAAATAAAATTTGCTTCCAGTTCCTGTCTTGTTTGGAAGCCAGTGTTTGGATGTAACAGTACACTGCTGTTAGTTTTGATGCCTGGCTTTAGGAACGGAGCTGAGCAAGCTGCATGTGGATTTGTGACTCTGCACATATCTTGGCTTAATAAACTGAGATTTGATTATCTAGATAGCAGGAGGAAGCAGAGTGAGGAGATAAATGCTTCCAAGAGATAAGTTCACCTATCTAAAAATGTCTATTAGAACTTGGAAGTGCCCTGTTCGACTGATGGACTATCCCCCTGTTCCATTACTAATTAATTTTAAGAAACAACACATTCCTAGAATTGACCGCTTTTCTGTGAAAAATGGGGGTGGACAGTGGTTTTTTGGTGGTCTATGTCACTAGGAATAAATTGGGAGGCTTCCTATTCTTCTAAATGGTACAATTGTCAATTTAGCTGCATTTTCTCATTACATTGTTGGTGTACATATTATCAGATGTCTTCACTGCACATTATAAACATTAGGTGCATGTAGTGTTTTTCAAATCCACATCAATTGTAGTAAAATTTGCATACTGCATTAATATTGGCTTATTTCTTAAATAGCATCATGAACCCCCTGCCTCATAGTAACTTACTTGGCTATGAGAATTCTGATGTTTTGTTATTTTAATTGTAGAGACGCTCTCCAGGCAAGCGCTCTCACTCTCCGGGCAAGCGCTCTCACTCTCCGGGCAAGCGCTCTCACTCTCCGGGCAAGCACTCTCACTCTCCGGGCAAGCGTTCTCACTCTCCGGGCAAGCGTTCTCACTCTCCAGACAAACGCTCTCCAAGTTTGAGTGATGGGAACAGGTAAGGCTTCTCTGAATGCCAGTCTCTCATAATTAACCTTGGTTATCTTTCTTGGTACTTGTCCCATGGGTAATATAAAACCCCACAACCTGATTGTAAGACATTGTGGGAAATGTATAGGACATGTTGGGAATCTCACATATAGGACAGACATATTTAACTCTCTTATTGACATATTTTTAATACCTCCCTTGGTATGGATTTAAAATGTTAGGAATTAAAGAGAGGTATTGAAAACATGTCTCCGTTTAATTTCATACAGCCTTTTTATAAATAAGAGCAGGATGGAGATGGATAAAAAGTACATAGTTCAATTTTGAAAACCTTTTGTTTGATTGAAATCATTAGTTTTTACATCTGCTTCTTTGAATTTTTCTGACAGTTTTGTCTTCAGTGGATTCTGAGGAAGCCGTGAGAGTAGATGTGGAACTGAAACAGCTTCTTTTCTAAAAATGAACCCCAGTTGAAAAACAAAATGATGAAACACCCTTTTAGTAAATTTCTTGTCACCTCATGACAATTTAGCTGCTATTTTAAACTCACATGTTCCTGCAGGTACAGAAACTGTGTGAAGATCTATATTATAATGCTTTCGCTGCCCAAACATCCTGTTTTCCTAATCCATTTATAGGGGTGAAATTTATTCTGCAGATCCCCAACAGCAGGTTTCTATTTGGAATAGGGTTATATACACAGACATGTACATGAAAAAGGGTATATTTAGGAAAGATAATTGCATGAATGACAGAAGTTGTAAAACACTTTCACACTGAACAATGAAACTTCCCTGTTGCTTTTACTTCTAGAGCCACTTCTAGAAGTAGAAGCAACAGGGAAATTTCATTGTTCAGTGTGAAAGTGTTAAAGCTATATCAACACTAGAATAAGGAAGACCCAAATTGGACCCACAAGAAAATGTTGCCACATAGAGTGCTGCTGATCAGGGTTCTCTCAGTTATTCCATTCCATTCCTCTTTGCACCCCCACCAGTGTCCTGTGCTTTTGCCCCCAACACTTGCCCAATATTCCATGTTGACAGCTTACTCAGTTTTCCTTGGGCTGGTTATTTCCTTATGTCTCTCCTTAGAGTTTTTGAAAATATTTTTTGTGCATCTGCAAATCTTGGGTTTTCCCTGAGCCAAAATATAGCCCGCTCTTAATGTTTGGGCGGTCATTTTGGCTACAGAAGGATTCATTATTAGTTTGCTGTTAGTATGTAGAATATGGAAGTATAACAGCAGAGATCATTCAGTGTGTAATTTAAGGGTTAATTATGTTGTAGGTAAGCCATCTAGATAAGAGGGGGTAAGTTGCGACCAGGGAGGGTGGCATGATCTTTACTGGGATAGTAGCTGCTTTGGTAAGCTGTCTAGCTGTGAGTGAATTTTCTTGTGGGTGTTTCATTGAATCTAAGATGCTGTCAACAAGGCCTGTCAAAAGGCAAAACTTCTTTCTTTCTGCTGGGCAGGGCTGTCTTACCCATAGGCGCTAGGGTTGCGAGGCACCCAGGTGCCAGGCCCTCAGGGGCGCCAGGCTGAGAGTCCGGGGCTCGAGAGTTGAGTCCGGGAAGAGCCCGCCCATCGGTCGGAGCGCTGCAATGAGCTCTTCTGGGAGCCAGAGAGCAAGCGAGCAGGCGGGTGGGCAAGCAGACAGACACGCGCCCAGCAAGGAGGAGGAGGACAAGAGGCGGCAGCAACAGCAGCGAGCAGAAAAGGCGGCAAGCGGCATTCTCTCAGAGTGCAGCGGGCCCATGCGCAAGCTGCCTCCTCAGCACGCCTTTCCCACCTCGGCTTTAGTGCCGTCCCTTCACTCCTCCGACGCTGGAAGCAGCAGCAGCAGGCAAGCAGCCCCTCCTCATGCTGCCCTGGGTGGTAGAAGGGACAGGTGGGCCAAAGGGTTGCTGCCGCTCACCTTTCCTGTGCATTTCTCCACTTTGGTCCAACTTTGGGACTCGAAGTGCGCTGGCGGCAGCTCCCTGAGAGAGAGAAAGAGAGTGAGCGGCTTCGCCTCTTTTTGCCAACCAGGTGCCTGACAACTCTGGGGAACCTTTCCTTTAAAAAGGTTAGCAACTTTGGGGTTCCCCCCAAAAAAGGTTAACAACTCTGGGCAACTTTGAGGGGGGCGCCGGGCGGATCTTTGCACCCCTGCACCGCATATGCTTAAGGCAGCCCTGTGCTGGAGTTTGGTTTGTTCAATAAACTTTGGCCAGCATTTTATTGCTGGGCACATTGCTCAGTGTCTCTGCTAACAGCGTACTGTTAAAGTGATTTTAACTCTGTCGTGGTGATAAGAACAATGCAAATTACCGTATTTTTCGCACTATAGAACGCACCAGACTATAGGACGCACCTTGTTTTAGAGGGGGGAGAACAAGGAAAAAAAATTCTCCCCCTCTCTGCCCAGTGCCCCTTCAGCGAAGCGGGAGGAGGTGCTGCGCAGAGAGGGAGAGAATTTCCCCCCTCTTGTTTTCCCCCTCTAAAACAAGGTGCCTTCAGGCGGCTACCTCGGAAGCCTGGAGAGCGAGAGGGGTCGGTGTGCACCACCCCTCTCGCTCTCCAGGCTTCAGGTTCCTTTCGACCTGCTCTTTGGGGCTGGCGGGGGGAAGCCCACCACCAGCCCCAAAGAGCAGGTGGGGAGCAGCGGAAAGGCATGCAGCGAAGAGGTTGCTGCCATAGCCGCGCGTCACCTCTCCAGCTGGGAGAGGGTCGCGGGGGTCTTCTTTAGCCCCGTGCGCGCTGTCCCGGCTGGAGTGGTGGTGCGCAGCTAAAGAGGCTCCTGCCATAGCCGCCCGTCACCTCTCCAGCCGGGAGAGGGTCGCGGGGCTATGGCTTCTTCGCTCCATAGGACGCACACACATTTCCCCTTCATTTTTGAAGGGGAAAAAGTGCGTCCTATAGAGCGAAAAATACGGTATAACTTTTTTTCAACTGATAGCTTGATCCTATGAACCGCCCCCGCCCCCCTTTTTTAAGGGCTTATAATAGCTTGAGCTGGTATAGGTCTGTGTCTTGATGGACAATTTTTTTCAGCTGAATCCAGTTTCCCATTATAGATCTTATTCTCCTGCAGTATTAGAAAATTAGTTATATATGCTAGGTTCCCAAATGGTTCCTTAAACCAAGGTTGCTGTCGTCAAAATGGAATGCCTAGTTTCCATTTTGGGGCAAGACAGCTCCAGTCTCAGTTTTCAAATGATGGACTGTCCATGATTGATTCTGAGTTAAACTTCTGACTACCTTGAGCTAGGTTAAGAGCTTTGAGAACTGGAAGAAGAAAAGTCACTTGATCCAGGGATAGTCCACATACATATATATTGACCTAAATTTACCTCTTTTTCTTAATGGTGACTGTTCCTGCTCAGGCTGCACAGAAAAAGCAATTTGGTTCCAGAAATTCATTCCGATTGTGCAGATAAAATGTAACTGATAAAATTTTACAGGGTATTAGTGGGATATTAGTGTGTGAAAACAGTCCAGATCCAATGATCCCCAGATGGTGATGTCGGGTGCCATCCTGGTGCCCAGGCATCTTCACTTGGTTGCAAGTGGTCAAAAGCCAGGGGCAAAATGCGCCTGGTGCCTGGCTAATTTTGAACACTGCTTTGAACTGATAAGGAAGTTGTCTTCCATATTTTGATATTTTGCTTCATACTGTTTTTGACATGTTAGGTGCATGAAGATCTCTTCACAATTATTGTTGGGAAAGCGTTCAGCAGGCTGAGTGTGATGAACACATGTATTTAGGTTCAGTGCTTTCAGCAATCCTCATTTAAAAACATGCATGGAAGTTATTTTCAGTAGTAATTCTGAGAGGTTTTTTTTGTTTTGTTTTTTTGCTAAAGTAACATGCAGAAAACAGTATGTGAAGGAAATTATTTGAGGAGTGGAGGGTGAGAAACTTTGCTGAATTTGGAACTACAATATTGTTGCTGATGAAAGGGGGAATTCTACTACTGTAAAACATACCAAAATGTTCTGCTGCTTACTTTCCCCCTAGATAGCCAGCAAGACATTTGTGTTCCTTTTTTTTTTATGAGACCATCTAAAAAAGCGAAACACAACCCTAAATGTGTGTTGTTCAAATCCACCATAAAATAATTGAAGTATGCAGGCCTTTTGTGTAAGATAAATAGACAAACTGGAACCTGAGTGCTCTCAAGTTTGGGCTTCTGTTCCTTCTGTTCCTGTTGCATGTCTCCTATGCTCATAAATAACAAGACTTCTGAAATGAATTATTTCGCTCACTGCAGCATAGTTTGGACTGTCAAGGGGTGAAGTTATTGCTGAGTATATAAAATCTTCAGAACCAGCCATCTTGGGTTCAAGGCAAGAAGTATTGAGTTGTCATACAAAGGGCACTTTATGCCAGCTGGAGTTCAGGGGGGGTTATTCCAAGTTGCTGATTTTGTTCTGTACCTCTCTTATTAGGGATGACTTGGCTGATGGTCCAATATTTAGCAGTGGCCTTCCACGCCCTCAAAGCATTGAGCGGTATTCCTTGAGCAAGGAAACTCCTTCTTCACCTTTCAATACAGGACAAGATGAGGATTATCGCTTTAGAGACGATTTCCTCCATCAATCTGACTATAGCACCAGCTATAACCATCTACAATATCTCCCAAGGGAAACGGAAAGGTATAGAATGCTACTTGGGAAGCCATCAGAGGATACAGGGCAAGACCTAGAACTTCCTAAACATGACAGAGATGACAGACTGCTTAAGATAGACATAGAGCCTGAGGATTTCTTGTCTGGGACGTGGAACTTCTGCAAACAAGATCCTAGTAAGAGCCCAAGCCTGCCATTTCACGATGTGGATTTACGTGTACTTGAATATGCTGGGAGAAAAAGCAAAGAGGAGGAGCTGAGCAGAAATTGCAGTCAAGACCCTGAACATAAATATATTTATAGACCTAATGAAATAACAGCAATGCCCAAAAAATCTATTCTGAAGAAACACAGGGATGATCCTTCGGTGCAGGTTTGGCATGTATTTCTCTCTCTGGTTAAACTGTCCTTTACACTTTTTACTGCTCTTTTATTGAATCTTAAATTTTATTATTTAACTTAATCTCTGTTAATTCTGGAACAAATACCCTCAGAATAATATCCAGGCTTCCCTCACAGTTGTGGAGTTTGTTTGGTATAACTTGTAGAATAATCAGCATATTGGATCCCATTTTTCTTGGAATGAGGACATTTTACTAGTTTTGGTATTTAGAGCATCCCACTTCATGAGCAATTCTACTTTTCAAAAGTTTTCATTCAGCTTATTCATATAGCTTTAAAATTCACACATAATCAAAAACTTTACTTACTAAAAAAACTCCTAAGCTTTCCAGAAACAGATTTCCAGGTAGTATACATAGGAATTTAAATACAGGCGATTCCCTGTTAGTGTGGGGGCTGCTTTCCAGGTCATTGTGCATGTCAGCAATTGTGCGTAAGCCCATTTTGCTCCCTTCCAAAGCTGAAAGCAGTGCATGTCTTGGTGGTCACATGTCAGGTAGACAGGTGCAAGGTGATCACCACCTGTACTACAATCTAAAACAACCGAGAATACAATAAAGTTGAGAATGGCAGAACTATTCAGCTAGATAATATAACAATTTGCAGTGGCTGGGTGACAAAAATATTTTTACCTGGTTCGAGCACCAGATTCACTATCCTTGGCAGTACATTCTGTAGCTGTGATGCTATCACATAGAAGAGCCTCCCACTTGTATACGTGTAATGTTTTTCTCCTATAGATAGAACCTGCGGCAAGGTGCCAGAAATGTTTTAACACCTTGACATCTGAAGGCAGCCCTGTATAGGGAAGCTTTTTTAGGTTTAATGTTTTACTATGTTTCTATATATATTCTGGAAGATGCCCAGAGTGGCTGAGATACAAATAATAAATTATTATTGTTATTGTTATTATTATTAATCTGGACATGAAGGGGTTTTTTACCTCAACAGTAGAAAAATCAGAATAGTCAAGACCACCAAATTAAGGTGGTTTTTGGAATGGTACATCTGGGATTTGTTTTGAACCATTTAATGGTACTTACAATGGGTTGAATGTAAACAAAATAAGGGTACTATTATTCACATCTGTGTCTGGCTGAAATTGAAGAGTTGGCAATTTATGCAGTACATTTACCATGTTGTGCATTTTTTTAACCCGCTTGAACCTAATACAAGAATCTTAATACTAGAATTACCTAGTTGGATTGGACTGCAGACATTCTCTCAGATTGGTATGGAATGCTCTGAACAGGTGACATTTCATACTATCATGACTGGATTGTTTTTCTGTTGTGTAGCTGTGGAGAGAGAGCACCTTGGCAGGTGGTTCCAGTACTAAATATTGTAAATAAATAATGCTTTTCAAAACCGTGCCAACTATGATGTGGCAAGTACCTTTTTGGCATCCTGCTCTCTCTGTCTCAGGGTTTCAGCAAATGAAAAAATCAGTTCGTTTCTGATAATAGTAACAATATGCCTTTGGGAATTATCTTTTTGTAGCCGCCATAACCAGAGCTGCACATAATGCTTGCTTGTGAATGTTTTGGTGCAAAAACACTTTGGGTTTGGTGGAAAATGTTGATTTCAAATCTCCAAAGGTATTGTTTTACATATGTTTGTCCCTGTCCACTGCCACTGTGTTGCTCCTCAGTTACTCATTTGACATGGTTTTTCTTCTCTATTATTGCTGTGTGATCTCAGCAAATCAGGCATCGCAGAATGATTCTCAGGGTACTGCATAGCCCCTCAGCTTTGGCTAAATGACAGTGTTATTCAGGGCAAACAAAGCCCTCTCATTGCCCTCACTGTGAACGAGGGTTGGCTTGAGTAGGGGCAAGAATTGCACAGCTGTTATAAGGTATCAAGCTGATAAATCTTACCTCGCTGGACTGGCAGTTTTATAGCTCATTAGAGCAGTGTTGCAAGCCAGGGTTGGCCTTTAGTGGGGGATAAACGGTCACTTTCTCTTCCAGTGCCCTATTAAAGACGATCAGGCAGGAGTGTTGATTGTGGGCAGTGAAAGTGACATGACAAAAGTGCATAAAATTATGCACAGCATGGAGAAAGTAGCTAGAGAAAAGTTTTCTCTTTCTCATAATACTAGAACTTGTGGACATCCAAGGAAGCTGAATGTTGGAAGATTCAAGACAGACAAAAGGAAGTACTTCTTCACACTGCACATAGTTTAACTGTGGAATTTCTGCCCACAAGAGGCAGTAATAGCCGCTAACTTGGGTGGCTTTAAAAGAGGACTGGCAAATTCACAGAGGTTATGGCTATCAGTGGGTGCTAACCCTGATGGATATGCTCTGCCTTCACTGTTGTGTTGGAGGTGGTATGCTTCAGAATACCAGTTGCTGGAAACTGCAGGTGGGCAGAGGGCTGTTGCTCTCAGCTCTTGCTTGTGGCCTTCCCTTGGGCTTCTAGTTGGCCACTATGAGAACAGGATTCTGGGCTAGGTGGGCCACTGGCTGGATCCAGCAGACTGTTCTCACGTTCTTAAAGTATGGCCCATTCCTAATCAAAATGGCCATCTTATGCAGATGTAACAGCGTGGTATTTTGGAACTATTTTGTCTCTTTCAATTCCATTTTTTATCTTTGTCTTACAGTTTTCAGTTAGTGTTATGAACTACTGAATATAAACCCTTTATATTAAAGTTATGTCTGTCTTAATAGATTGGGAAAGTGATTAGCATCCTTGCAAAATGTAGTAACAAATGGCAATTTCTTTCTTTTTAGCCTGAAGTCTTTTCTAGCAGTTCTGCCTCTCTCAAAGAGCCCCCTCTTCTTTCAGATGATCCTCCTTTTCCCCAGAGAACCAACAGCATTGCTCCTTTTTCAACTGAGGAGGTGAAATTCCTCAAACAGTTCAATAAAAATGCAGATGTAGAACCTGCAAATATAACATCTGAAGGCAATGTGCATAATTGGAAGCCGCATTCTGGCCAAAAACAAAACATTTCCTATTATAAACAGAATTTTGGGAGCTTTTTGAATCGGAGAGAGTGTCATGAGTCCACATCAGAGCCAGAAGACCAGTACAGTTACTTCTTGCTTCCCCATGAAAGAGCCAGCCAGGATGGGAATAGCTTTTCACACATTCTGAGTATGAAAACAGATTCTACCAGCACTCAAGAAAAGAGAAGGAACAGCCTCCTTGATGATGTTGAGGCTGAAGAGAAGTTTCTTTATGGTGATAATGGGGATGACTCAATTTTTATTCAAAGGATAACATTGAGTGGTGATAAAGAACATGGAAGGAAGAAAATAAACTCTCCTCCTGCTAGTCTGTCTGTAAAATCAGACACTTTAGAAGAATCCAGACCAGAGCATGAGAAAATTTATGACTTGCTCAAAACTATTGGTCTTGACATTGGGGTGGCTGAAATTGGTAAGCTTGCTGCCCGCACTCAGGAACGCCTCCATGGGAAGAAAGCATCTCGTTCTCCTGATCGTCGTTCAGTGGCTTCTCATAAACCTAGGAAAGAATCTAGGGAGTCTAAGGAAAGGCACTGCAGTAAAAGTGACACTCATTCTTCAGAGTCAAGGTGGAACCACTCTCCCTCTCCTGATTATTTCCCACCATCTAAAGAGATGTCTCCTGATTCACATTCTAAGCACACTGAAAGCAAAATTGTAAGGCAAGATTATCATTTCCCACAAGAGCAAGCTGTTCCCATGGCATCTCCAATTCCATCTGCCCCACCTTGTCTTCCTCATATGTTTCCTGCTCCCATATATCCCCAGTATAGTGTTCCATTCTATTTACCATTCGGTGCAACTCACCTGCCACAAAACTATCCACCTCCCACAATGCCCCCTCCTGGCTATAATCCATATGGACAGTATTTCACTTATGCAGCTTCTGGCTGGGCCACGTATGCTCCTCCCCAGCAGGCTGGTCCTGAATTTCCAAATGCACCTGAGTATGGTACCCCAACAGTGCCACCAAATCATTCAGTTTCCAACGTCAAAGTTATTCAGACAATTTCCACAACACGAAGGACTTGTGGTATCCAAAGAAAGACATCTATGATTGTTCAAACCCCTTTCTCTGCTCCTCATTCCAAATTGCTCCCTCAGCCTACCCACAAAGGCGCTAAGGAAAAAATACCTGATGATAGAAATCGAGCTGTTCAGAAACAAAAGGTGAGAATGTTTATCTTACAAGCAGGTGTATCTTCCTCCTCCCCCCCCTTCTACCACATTTCTTTTTCCACATAGCAGCAATGTAGTTGCTGCTATTGAGAAGTGGATAGTATCCTTATAGACTTACTTCTGAATGCCTTATACTGTAGTTTAAAAATATATACAGTGGTACCTCGGGTTACAGACACTTCAGGTTACAGACTTCAGGTTACAGACTCCGCTAACCCAGAAATAGTACCTCGGGTTAAGAACTTTGCTTCAGGATGAGAACAGAAATTGTGCAGCAGCGGGAGGCCCCATTAGCTAAAGTGGTATCTCAGGTTAAGAGCAGTTTCAGGTTAAGAACGGACCTCCAGAACGAATTAAGTTCTTAACCCAAGGTACCACTGTAATACTTTATCTACTGCACATATTTTCCTAACACATAATGAAATATGAAACCAAGTGCAGAATTGATTCCTTATTTAAGATTACATTCTTGGATTTAAGGTCTGCCGTTTTACAGAAGTTCAAAGCACATACAATTTTATTTTAACTTTTTTCTGCAGTTTTTATTTGACATTGGATTACGTATAGTTTTTTTGAACAGGATGTGCCTCTAATGTCTTGAGCTATCTAATGGCTGTTTTTATGATACTGTGGCAAGACACACCTTGTTAATTGTTGTTGTTGTTTATTACCTGCCCTTCACCCTAAGGTCTTAAACAGTCTCTCTTTAAGGATACAATCTACATGCAGGTCCTGCTATTGGAACACTTGGTAACTGAAATCTCAGCCAAACACGAAGAATTATACCCAAACCTCACTACACAAGCAGCAAATTCAGATACCCAAACAGATGGAGTTTGCCTACTTCATGTTTTGCTGGTCAGCAGCAGCCCTTTTGGGCAGAAACCAGGGAGGGAGGGGGAGAGATCAAACAAATTACGAAATAGAAGTGTTCCCATAGGAAATAATGGAAATCATAAGCTCATTATGTGAACATACGCCTAACAAATTATTTCCTGGGAACGCATTTTGTTCAGAAAGCAGGACCTGCATGCTTTTAAGCTTTAGTAAGTTTTAGTATGTTTCATGTTTAGTGGCATTTAGTATGTTAGGAGCTGGGTGCAATGAATCACAGGCTGAGTTAGCAAGCATAAGATGAAAATATTTACTTTCAATGATTGTTGTAGTTTTAGTTGGGTTGTAATCCATGAAAGGGGGATTTTTAATACCTTCCTTCCCTTCACAAACATTTCTAGGTATTGGAGGAAAGAGAGAAATTGAAGGCTGAACAAGAAGCACGACAGAAGAAACTGCATTATCTGACAGTTGAGTTAAACAGACTTACAAAACAGGAAGGTACTGCACTCATTTTATTCTTCCTTTTCCCCTACTATCCTCTAAAGTGGTGATGCTGGACATTGCATAATTTGTTTTTATCTCAGGGTATTATCCTAAACAGGGAATTAATTAGGGTAAAACCCAAATCATTGCAAGTAACTGTCAGTTCTTCATACAGTAATGCAAACCCTGCTTCTGTCTTTTGGGTATACCAAAATGGTACCTTATAATTGATTACCCAAAATAATTTTGCATGTATTAATGCTTTTCTTATGCTTTCCACTCTACCACTTTGACTGGCTTAGGGGAGATGATGCGCAAGATGCGTAAGGCAAAAGATCCCTTGCTGGTGGAAGTGAACCAACTACGAGAGAAGATAGCAAAGGAAGTTGCTCAGCTGCAGATGCATTTTGATGCGGCAGGGAAAAAGCAATCTGAGCTTGATAAGGTAGCTCTGATCTTGGGGATTAACATTTTTAAGAAAGCCTGGAAGCGGTCTTCTGAAAATAAAGACTCATCAGAAAAAGACAAGTCAGAAAATGGAAAAAAATGAGGAGATAACTTGCAACTCAATCCAGGTAAAATAACAGGTGCACTCACCAAGGGAGTTCAGATAATAATTACTTAATTAGTCTGGATATAAATTATCCTTTTGCCCATGCATGTATCCCCTTCGCTTCTCCCTTTGTACATGCCAATAAACAAACCAGGAAGTCTTCAATTAACTTCCTATTTTATGAGTCCTATGTTGTGAATTACTGTTTTATGTCTAAAGGAAAGTAAAATAGTTGTTAAGAAGTTTTGTCTCTTGGGTCTTTGGTTTAAATTAAATGCTGATACAATATAACAACTCTACCAAATTCACGGAAATAGAAGGTAAGATATCTCTAAATTTTCTAAGCCGCTCAAGGTTAATCCTAAATCATTATCTACAGTTCCCCCCCTCATTCACAGCTGTTGTCAGACTGCAATGATGGGAGAAACTTTTTTCACTCCCAGCACTGGGCTGTCAAAACTCAGAAACCTTTCAGAGGTAGGAGACTTTCACATGTAAAAGGTAGCAGCAAAGAGTTCTCTCCCCCACACCACCCCTTTTTATAAATAGCTTTTACTGTTGTAGCAAATCAATAGTGGCGTTTTGTTTTGTTCATTAAATTTGCATATTGCCCTAAATCTGTAGATCTCAGTGTTGTTCACAACATAAAAAACTTGACTAGGGGATAGGAGAGAAATTTGATCAGTTCTCATTGAATGCTGAATCTATCAAATTCTCACTTTCCAAAACAATATGAAAACTGAAACACAGACATCCTTTAAATTTCACCCATACCCAAATTTTGCAATGCAGTTCTCCAGCCAAACAACCAAATGCATATATTTAAAAAATGCCTCTGTTGGGGGAAAGTGCATAAAAATTAAGATATTAGTAAAAATAGCGTACACGTGATATTAGAGGAAATTGCAAAAATGTGTCCATTAGTCAGAACTGCATACAAAAATCTCTTAATTAGAAGAAATGCACACTAAAGTGCTGATTTTTTTTTATTATTATTATTATTATTATTATTATTTTAATAGCAAATCTTTGTAGAAACTGCATTTCAGATTAGAAAAATGGGAACAGAGAGAACCAAAATTGATAGATCCTTCCATCCCAACTCTTCTCTCTAGGGCTATATCACCTTATATGCATCTCAGAAAGGATGTTATGTTATGATGTAGCATCCTTCAGTAAACATTGTGAGGAGAAAACATGGCTCCGTACTTCACCCTTCCCTCCAGTGCACTTAGAAGGATTATAAGTTGTAACTTAAACGTAGGGTGGTATAGCCCCATAGAGGATTCAGAGTACCAGCACTGCTTTGCTTTGCTCTGGCTTTGTTATAGCAGCAAATACTTTAAATAGAAAAAGCCCTCTGCTGTAAACCTTTATCCAATTATGTCCCCACCACTGAAAGATCTCAGAAAGACTTGTCAACCCAGATGCAATTCTGTCACCTTCTTTCCCATTTCCTCTTTGACTTCTTCAGTGCTTAAGGCTCATATTAATTCTACTAAATTGGACTTTTACTCAAATTAGCAATGTATATGTGTGCACACATTTTCTCTCTGTTTCTGTGTGCATGGGGGGGGGGGGCTGATCCAGGGGACGAGGAGAGAAGTGACCAGCAGGATTATGGGTAGGATGGAAACTATCATAACAGTTTCAAGTACAATAGTTACTATAATATAAATGGTAATGATATAAAATTGTACATAGCAGTACTAGAACATTTAGACCATTCTCATATATCAATAAAGAAGTTGGGAGGGGGATTCTTTAAAAGAAAAACATTGAAACTCCATTGGTTTGTGTTTCAGTTGCCCTTTGGATATTCAAGAACTGACTAATAACAAACTGATCATTTAACATTAACAGAATGCAAAAGACAGATTAAGAGAAGTCTTATTGCAAAGCCCAGTTTTACAAGTGTTATGAGAACCAAGTGACAGTGAGACATCATTCACATTGTTACGAGGAATTTGCATCATAGGAGACAAAAGCAATAAAATGTGACTGTTGCAGCCATTCCAAGTATTCAGACAATTGTTAATTATGAGTGGCGCTGTGGTCTAAACCACTGATCCTTTTGGGCTTGCTGATCAGAAGGTCAGCGGTTTGAATCCGCCTGACAGGATGAGCTCCCATTGCTCTGTCCCAGCTTCTGCCAACATAGCAGTTTGAAAGCACACCAGTACTAGTAGATAAATAGGTACTGCTGCGACGGGAAGGTAAATAGTGGTTCCATGCGCTCTGGCTTCCATCATGGTGTTCTGTTGCGCCAGAAGTAGTTTAATCATGCTGGCCACATGACCTGGAAAGCTGTCTGTGAACAAATGCCGACTCCCTCGGCTTGAAGTGAGATGAGCGCTGCAACCCCATAGTCACCTTTGACTGGACTTAACTATCCAGGGGTCCTTTACCTTACCATTCTCATTAAGGTGTTTGGGGTTGCAGTCCTATTGTGCTGTTAGTAAAAATAAACATTCTAGAAGCTTTTTATGGCTGAATATTGGGGTAAAAATGCTTAAAATATAAACAAGCTTCATAAATATACCAACAAAAAGGATTGGATTTTGCAATCAGCAAATCTGTATTATATCAACATGTTTGGTACAGAAAGCCTTTTATAATCATTTCAGCTATTAATGATTCTGCCATTGTGCATTCTAGGACTCTAAATGTATAATTAGAAGTACACGTATAGATTACTCAGATTGCTACATTATATAATCAGAAAGATACAATTGTAAAATGATCTATTTTAACACTTGCTTAGCCAACAACTGAAATTTTCTAAAACAAATTATTGTGCATAGTGATTTTTGCAATCCTAAAAATTATGTATAGATTTGTGTTTTTTAAAATATTCATTTTATAGAGGATTTTGTGTACAATCTGGTTTTTCTGCTGATCTGTAACAACCTGGCCACAGAAAAATCCATATCTTGACAGTGAGTTACTCTTATAGGCATCTGTTTCCCACTTTATCTAGCATAATTAGACTTTAACTTTAACACATGGTTTCTTTAACACATGGTTTCCTATGCATACAATGTGTAACTATTTGAAACGTGCCAATTGGATACTGTCAGTGTCCACCAAGGAAACTGGCTTCTTCTGGCAACAGGTGTACTGCTGCCAGGCTCAGCATGCCTAGAGGAGCAGCTCAGAAGACAAGAGAGCAGGCAACTGGAACAGCTGAGGAACAAGCTTTTAAAAATCCATTTAGCTTCTGCTTCTTCTTACCTGCCAGGCCAATGGAAGCAGTGGAGAGTAGACCTATAGTAAAAAAATGTTTGGAGATTAGCTATAGCTGAGAAAATAACCTATACTGAAAGGAAAGTAAAAAACAGATGCCTTTTATGCCATCTGATGGCCATGCATTTCATATACATGCAGGTCCTGCTTTCCCAGTGCAATGCCTTCCTCTGAACAAGAAAATAATTTGTTAGGTCAGCATTCACATGACAAAGCTGGTGATTTCCATTACTTCCTATGGGAACATTTTTAATTTGTGATTTGTCCAATCTCAATCCCTCCCTGGTTTATGCCTGAAACTGCCACAGCCAATCAGCAAAACCAAACAAAAGAAAAGCTGATTTGTTCAATCTCTCTTGCTCCCTGATTTGTCTGATCTCTCTCCGTCCCTCCATGGTTTCTGCTCAAAATGGCTGCTGGCAACAAGCAGAGCATGAACAAGTAAGGAAGTGGGCAAGCTCCAGCTGTTCAGATATCTTAATCAGCAGTTTGGGTATAACTGAAATTTTTGATAACAAGTGTTTCAATAGTGGGACCTGTGTGTACTAGTGAAAGGGGTCTACAAAATATGTTATCTGCTTCATCATTACAAATCTAGATGTTGTGACCATGTATACTTCTTGATAGTTGGATACTTCAGTTGGAGAAGATGACCTCATTGCGGACAGATGCTGCCCTGCAACCCTGGAAGAATAACATCAGAGAATCCTGCAGAAAAATGAAAAGAGGGACAATTAGTATAGGGACATGAATACTTACCAGATATCTGGAGAGACTTCGGGGAGGGGTGTTATGATTATGTTTATTTGTCTAGTTATATTTTGTTATATGTATATGAAAACCAATAAAAAGTACTTATAGAAAAAGCAGTGGAGAAAGAGGCATTTGATACAGTAGAATGGAGATTTTTCTTTTATGAACTGAAAGTATTTGGTTTTATACTCCAGTTCTTAACTTGGATTTGCTGAAAGATGAGGAAGTGTGACCCTGTTGATTATATTGATGTGCTTCCAGAGGCAAGGCTTTTTGTGAACAAGGACATTGTTTTTCCTTTTGAGACTATGGAACTAAAAGTTACCATCCATACCATGTCAAACTTTTGTGTTCATTTTATTTGATCACTCTATTTCCAGTCTATACCAGTGAGTGGATCATGCCAAGATGTGTTTGGAACAAAACAATTCAAACTTTGCACCACATCCATCATATCTATCACTTCCCTTTTCCACTCATGTGTTTCCTGACCACGAATGCATGTATTTCATAGACCTGCATGTGCTTTAAAAAAAAATTAAAAATTGGAATGCTGGTATTTCAGAACTTTGACATTCTGATTGGCCACAGTCAGTTCTCCTTTTCCGACTGTACTTCATTTCTAATCACAATAATTTGTATTGTGTGATTGAAAAACAGCCTATGTCTTCTGTACAATGACACATGCACACAATGTAACTGGCAAATACCTCCTTTTACTAAAAGTTGGAACATTTATTATGGTCATTCATTATAAAGTGCTAACAGAATTGCTGGAAACCTTAAATTGCAATTTTTCAAAAAATAAATAATAGAGCTGCAGAAATTTGTCCATATATACTGTGCAAAGGTCTTTAGTAAAGAGATCTCTGCAACATTATAAAAGTAGTAACATGCCTGGCAGTAATGGAAAGAAACAAAATTGCATGGATAGTGTGATCAGGTGAGAGCAGAAGAGAAGAGCTGTGATTAAAGGATAGCTTTCTGGAATTGTCATTTACCCAAATCAAAACCATAGCCAAATAATCGTAAAGGGTAAAAGAGCAAAGAGGCATCCATAAAGTTATGGATGAAAGGAAGAAACATCGTGGGATGTTTGCAAAAGGATGACAAGATGGTGTGGATGCCATGAAAAAACCACAGGAAACAGAGGAAAACATTGCACAATGTCTTGTCTCAAAACACCATTGATGTTTCAGGGGCTTTCAACCATGGCAGCCTTCTGGTTAGGCCCTCTTGAGTTGGAACTGACTCCAGATGGTGGTGTTAGGCAATGATTGCTTGACCCCTTGCCAAATGTGCTTTGGGCTCCTGCAGCCTTCTCTCATTTCTCCCATGCCATTATACGTTTAGATAAAAGTACTGGGAAAGGGTTTTGTAATTACAGAGTGAAACAGTTTAATAATTAGAGTGTGTAAATGGAAACTGCAGAGTTTAAAGTACCATAGTCATAAATGATTCTAGCAAGTATATGTAGAACAGATAGAAGACCGAAACATATGGTGTGCCTGGTAATTGAGATGTAACCCATGGATGTGAAACTTGTAGCCTTCCAGATGACGTTAGCCTTGCCATCAGCCCCAGCCAGCATGGGCAATGATCAGAGATTGTGAAAGTTGTAGTTCAACATCATCTGGAGGGCTAAATGTTCAGTTTGGGGGGTAGCAGTTGTGCATGGGTTCCTAGGTGTTTGAAGGTATAGGAGACAGAATGGATTGGAGAAATGTGATTGAGAGAAGAGAGCTACTAGCAATTCAAAGAAGGAGTTCAGGTTCTAATTTTTTTTGAGAGTCCATACTCAAATAAGTAAGAGAGGTCAGTGCCCATATTCTCAAACAACCAAAAGAAGGGCTTCTATTTTCTGGCGATCTAGGATGAAGGCACTTCTAAAGGTGATTATTTTGAACCCCAAGATTGCTCTTCTCTCCATTTTTGCTGCGGATGCCCAGGACCTTACTCAAATGGATCTTCTTATCTGCCTTATCGTGGCAGCACAGCTTACCATTACTAGACACTGGAGAACTTCAAATGCTGACCTGTTTGAAGTGTGGTTTATGCAAGCTTGGGACTTAATTTTAATAGAAAAGGCAACAACAACTTCAAGACCTGAGGAACAATGCTAAATCAAATATACAACATGGTTTTGGTTTTTTTGTATGCTTTGACAACAGAACATGACTACAGACCACCTACAGCTCATGAAGATTTATGGAAGGACACTTTTATTTGACGGGAAGTATTTACATGATACTGAATTACTTTGAAATGAGACTGTGCTCTGGTGAGGGTGTGGGTCTTTATATCTTTTCTTACGTTGCTCAAACGGAAAAGAAACAAGTCATTTAAATAAACCCAGAACTTCCTACGTCTTTACCCTGCCCCCAGCATCGACCATGATGATCAGTCTCACTGGAGTCGATTTTCAGTCTCTAGCTCTACTGGCCAGTCAGCTGCAAGGTGTATATGCATGCATCCAGTCAGCAATCACTGTGCTGCTAGGTCCCACCTTGATCTGCAGCTCACAGTTTTTTCAAGCAATTCCTTCTCTTGGAGAATGAGCTTTTAGCAATTTCCATTGAAAATAGCCTGAGAGGACATTCATCCCTCACCCAGAGTTTCCTTGTGATTGGCAACATTAGCCAATCAGAAGTCATCAGGACACAGCCATTTGCATGGCAGAGAGGTGCTTCTAACTGATGCCCCCCAACCAACCCTGTACTTGCTGTGAAACCTCAGCTTTCTCCAGTTCTTGTGTGCTGCCCCCTAATTGGGTCCTGACTCAGTCACACCTCCTTGGGCTGTGGTGGAGCAAGAGCAAAGCTGGATTGCTCAGCTACCTCCAGAGAAGCAGGCAGCCAGAGGTATCGCAGCAAGGGGGAAATCCCTCTTGCTTTTACAATCCTCTTTGTAGCAAACCTTTTGAGTTCTCAATCAGGCTGGATGTTACACAAAAAGCGAGGGGACGCCGATGAAAAAACAACAATAGCATGTTGCCACTTTCTGATGTGTCATTGGATATTTAGTTAAAGTGTTACATGCGTTTAAGAGGTCTCAAAGGAGGGGACATTGGTTTCTTGATCCTCTCCTTGATAATGAATATGTTGGCAGGCACATAATTTGCTGAGCTATTCCTCATTTCTGTAATGGATGTATATATTTTGTTTTGGTGTGCTCAATAAACATCATTTCTGTCTTGGAAAAGACCTGTGTGAGTCATTGAGTAAATCTGCCAACATGCATTGATAACATAATTTAATCCTAATACATGAGACTCTTGGAATATGTGTTTAGTAAAAGCATGGTTTTACTCAGGAGGTGCATCAAATATGGTAGGAGATTTCACATTAACATGCTGCTGAATCCAATTCTTGCTAGATGAGTGCGCTTTGGAAGGAGATATGTGTTTGACTTTTAGTTAATCAATAGAGGCAGAGGCAAGATGCAAAAGATAATGGAAGGATGTTGCAAAATTATTGTAGACTTTGAGTCTGATACACACTTTCTGAATCTTTATGAGGCTGGAATGGAGTACCAATCTAGTAGCAATTCAGCTCCAAAATCTTGGGTAGGTTTCTGCACTTGGCCAATGGTTGTTTGTCCACCCATGGTGTTAACTTGTTTTGGAAGGTGCTGAGTTGTTCAGTTCACATTTGGGGGGAATAATTTTTGCTGTGAACATAGGGTCTACAGGAGAGCCATGGAACAGAATGGAAGCAAACTGGTCAAGCCAAGTCTGGCTCAGTTCTGAAGCAGGCTGAACTGTCTTTCTGGAGGGCAGCGATCCGTGCAAGAACTGTGAGATCCAGGAAGACTGACAAAGCTATAGTCCTACGGCAGAAGAATGGACCCCTTTGAGGAGGACATTCAACCATGTAGTTCTAATTCAACTATGTAGCTAGCAGGAGACAGTGCAAGGTTCCTGCTGGTGCAATAAGTTCCCCTGCCTTCCCTTTGCCCCCGCCCCCAATTGACTTGGAGGTGGGGAGAGTTAGGGAAACTCCCAGAACAGCACACAGGAAGGGAGGGGCAGCTCTTTCTGTCAGGCAAACAGAAATGCTTGTGCTGTGTTCTGCCAAAGATGGACAATGATGACCACTAAAGTCGCTCTTTAACAGGCTTTATTTACAGGCTGAGTTAAATAAGGAACAAAGCAAGAGGAAACGGACATCTTACAGCTCCATCTATGGTTGGAGAATCACTTTCCCTTTTGGGGCAAACAATGGGTTGAATCCTTATAGGTCTGCACTGAGATTCCTACTGCCCATAACTGGGCTTGCACGTTGGAAAATATCTGGGAATGCCAGTGACGCTTGGTCACCTGTGCTTGATGTCATCTTCCCATGACCTTGTCTGCAAGGTCAGAACAAATGGTGGACTATAAAGGGATGTGATGGTGAAGATCTTCACCTGCTACTCTATTCAGCACTGAGTTAATGTGTGGGGATCCAGCTTGCCAGGCCTCCAAAGACACATGGTCCCATATCTCCCACGCTGTTGGTCAGATAGGCTTTCTAGAATAAGTGCTAATTCTAGCAAGCAGTGATTAACTCATGGATCTCTACAAAGCTGTGCTAGTGTAACTTCTTGCAAGTGCTAGGTCCAGGCCTGTGCACCTCTGAGGACATTCAAAGGGAAAATTTGCAGAGCATCACATGTAACTCTTTGTAATACAATGGTCTTCGGCATATGTCCAAATACAAGCTGATGGAATGTTTGTGGGGTTGGCAACCTAAGGCCCATGGGCCACAAGTGGCCCACAGGGGTTGTTTAACTGGCCCATGAGCTGCCCCTGAACTGAGCCGCCCACTTGGCGAGTCCCTGCGTGCTGCACTAAAGCAGCGTGGCGCGGGGACACGCTTCCATGGCGCCGGAAATCGTGTCTACGCAGACGCCAAAAATTGCGTCTGCACCGATGCTGGAAATTGCACCTGTGCAGACACTGGAAATCGTGGGCGCGGAGGGATCTCCGCTGGAGTGAACCGGCCCAGGCGAGGTAAACCTTGCCAACCCCTGCCCTAAAGCAGTGGAAAGCTTTCTGCAGGTTTCTACCCCCAATCTGTCATTCATCAATACAAAACTGTATTTTATTTTGACAATTTATATACCACTTAATCTGCCGTCACCTCTAAGTGGTGTACAGAAGACGTAGTACAAAGGGTTGGACCCCAGCCACATGCAGCACAATTTTAGTTGGGAAATAGGATGGAAAGAAGTGAAGAGAGAGAGAGAAATAGGCAGTCATAAAGCAAAGGGTATCATGGAGTGAAGGAATCAGAGAGAGACCACACCTCTGTGCTAAAGCTCATTTCCCATTTTTGCTTCTTGTGCTTGGCTCTTAAACTTCGTAGCAGCGTTTCTGCTTGGTCTGGGGGCCTTTTGGATCTCAGCTTCCTGCCCTTTTATTTGTAGTCGTATAAATATTATATTTTTAAGGGAAATGGGGAATGCAATCAGACAAGATGTAATAAACCATAATAAAACAAAACCCTACTTTGTGTGTGTAGTTTTTTGATGGAGGGTGGCACACCTGGTCATCCAGATCAATCCCAGGTTCATTCATTCAAGCAAATAGATCCTCATATGGAGTCCGTATATCTGAAAACTTTGCATATTTATTGCGCTTACAGAAGGTCACCACCTCAAGTTGCTAGCCAAGTCATGTATTTTGTCCTTTGTATGATGGTGGGTCAGGTGGACCTTTTTAAGTCATGAGTTAATTCTCCATGAGTTGGTAGAAAAGGATCCCCTGCCCCCCAGATTACTCGTAATTGTCTGATCTCTGTCGCTGTGCATACTGGCATGCAGTTCTGGTCTATATCAGAAGTTGTCATTACAGAATTTCGTGGTGGTGGCGGAGAATGGTGAAGGATTGTTGGGGAGAGTTGTAAAGACTTGCAAAGAAGAAACAGAAGACTGAAGTTGCAGGATTTGGGCAACTTAGGACTTTCGACCTGCTGAGAACTTGAAGCAAAGACTGAAAACCCTCTCAAGGCTCAGAGAGAGAACCCTTCTTGAAGCAACTGTATCGAGTGTGTGCATTTGTGCTTACTAATTAAAACAACCTCCGATAGAGTTTGTCTGCTGCAGGAATTTTAATCGTTTTGCTGAACTTCTGACTGGGCAGTAAGCCAACTGATTATTGGGCACAAACTTCCAAAAGCCCTTTCCTTCCATTATTGTGTTAGATAGTGCCCTTAGCCAGTTATACTATCCCTCTGACAAGTTCCAAAGGACAGGGATACAGTTTGATAAGACACTGACATATTTCGATTTCAAATGAGTTACCAAGATCATGTTTGCGTGGCTGATTACGTGTCAAAAATCAGCCAAATAATATTGCGTGTACAGCATTCCAACACCACCACATGCCAGTGCTGGTTGCTGTGTTTGGGGTTTGACATATGCCTACTGTTGCCTTAGGATATTGTTCAGAACCCATCAGTTTACTCAAAGGGCAGGGGTTTCTGAGGTGTGTGTCAGGGTCAAACAAAGCAGTTGGCAGGTGTTTTAGTGGTATATACAGCCATTCTGCAGCTGGTGGAAGAGAGCATGCCTCTTTTCATCTGGGAAAGTGGAGAAAGACATCATTTGCATCAATCACAGTTTAATTTCAATTGTTAATGGGAAATAGGAACCCCATAAAAAGGAGGGGAGAGAGTACCCAGCCTCTTTTGATTGTTTTCCTCTTTGTGGCTTCTATGCTGATCTAACTTTTTTTATATAACCCCCCCCCCCCCCCAGAAAACCTTGTTATCACGTCATTCACTTGTTGGAACAAGGAGTTTCTGTCAAATGACATCATTGCTTCCATACTGAAAAAAGTACCAGAGCTCTGAAATGCTTATGTACCAAGTTTAGGCTGGCTAAGAATAAAACACAAGAAGACACCTTCCTAGGGAAATGGTCTCCCTTTGTTTCATACATGAACACTAACAGAGATTGCAGATTTGGAGGATAAGGGCTGTTTTTTCCTTCTCTTTAGAGATTTCCACACCTGATGACAACAGGAACAGACTGCAGTAGAATTTGGTATGGTTGACTTTATGTACTGCTGCATGAAGGAGAGACGTGGAAATTGTAACCCAAGTTTTGAATATTGTTTATTGAGTTTGTACTTCCTTTGAAGAGGTTCATTCAAAATTATTATTTTTATTTAAAAACAACAGGGCTGTGCTTCCCTGTACCCCCCCAAACCCTGCTGTGCTTCTATCCACAGATCTATTCAATGGAGATGCCTTTCTCACTGTCCCCAGGCAAGAATTAGACAGGCATTCCTGGTTGATTGATGCGCAAAAGCCCCACCCCAAATTCTGCCTCTTCCCCACAGCTCCCTTTTGCCCCATGCTTGGCTCCACCCACTTAAACGCTTCTCACCTGCCTGCTGTTGCTTTCTGCAAGAACTCTAGCATTCTTATGAGAGGCGCTCGTCTACATTATGCAAGAGAAACTCCCTTCGCTCCCAGCATCGTCAAGAATTGAGACTGTGACTGTTAGTGCAAAGCTAATGCCCTATGGCACTGCCCACCCCTTTTCCTATTTTTGCTACTTGTGATATTGTTGTTTTCTTCTTCTGACCCTCCTGTATTCTTTTTGTAGGTATGACACAGGCTGGGAATAGGAATACTGCAAACAATGTGTGAGGATGCCAGACTGTAGCCATGGGACTTGCTGCTAACCCTGGCAATTCAGTTGCCGAAGTGGCTGGCCAAGCAGGTTCTATGACCAAGGTAGGCCACGCCACTTGGGACAGGGTGGGGACATCTTGAATAAAGTCAGGACAGGGAAAGGACACAGTGTTAAATGCTCAGCTGCCTTATACTGCCCACATGGCCTTGTAGCAAGCTCTCCAGCATTCACACAGGGTTCTTCCTTGATGCCGATATGTGTCAGAGCGATCCAACTGCAGCCCTTGGCAGTCCTGGACAGAGAATGTTCTGTCACCTGTTCTCAATTCGTAAGCTGGACTCTCAGCCGTGTGTGGAGTGCATCTTTCGTTAAGCTACAGATATCAGGAAAGGGTCCCACATTGCAGAGGGGAACATTCCCAGTCGTGAGGTACCAATTGTCCAGTGTTTGTGTCTCTGCAGGGAGGTCACTGCTGCCCACTGTGCAGAAGATGCTGAAACAAGGAGTCTGGCTTCTGGCTGAGAACAGCAGGGGAATCAAGCTCTGCCACCTTCCCAGCATGCATCACCAGCACTCGATCTGAGTCCAGGATAGTGTTCAACCTGAAATAAACACAGCAGCAGGGTAAGCTCTTATTTTGGAAAGAGCAGAGAACTGAAAAGTGCTGCCCTCTCTTTTATCACAGTACCTCAAAGTGGGTAAAAGAGTACTCCCTTTCAGCTATTGCTGTAAATCTATAGGCACCTAACAGCTGTTAGGTGGCCATCCAGCCTCTTCCTATGAGGGATGCTGTAGAAGTGATATTCTCTGCTTTGACTTTCTGACTGTTGAGGTCCCTTGCAACTGTGTGGCTCTGTGCATCTCTCAGGTGTCAACGAGTTTATTTTTTTATTTTTTGGATGCAGAAGCCTTCAAGCATGTGAATAACAAAGCAATTTTGAAACAGCTTTGCTAGCTTGTTTGTTGTGTGTAAGAACTAGACCTAAGCCTCACGTTTCTTATTTGTTACTCACTGATAATATAATTGAAGGCCTGCAAGATATAGCCTGCAACCCTGTGCAGCCTCTTACTAAGATGAAAAGCAGAGCTGCTCTTCTGGGTATTTTGCAACATTCGTACAGAAGAGGTCAGGTTGTATACACACCACCATTTGCTGTCTTACAAGTGATTGCTGTAAGTCACTCTGGGAGCCCTGTCAGCTAAATAACAGGAAAACGCTTCAGGTAAATAATACATCGATAGCCATGTTAAGTGATAATTATCTTTGACTACTATGAAGTCAGTTGCTGCATGAAATGGGATTCAAGCTACCTAACAGTGGGACATACCGTATTTTTCGCTCTATAAGACGCACTTTTCCCCCTCCAAAAATTAAGGGGAAATGTGTGTGCATCTTATGGAGCAAATGCAGGCTCCATGGCTTCAGCAATGCAAAGCCTGGAGAGCGAGAGGGGTCAGTGCGCACTGATCCCTCTTGCTCTCCTGGCTTCGCTTCGCTGGAGAGGTGCTGCGCAGCTTTCCCTCTCTGTGCAGCGCCCCTTCAGCAAAGCGGGAGAAGAAATGGAAGGGGCTCCGCTTCTCCTGCCGCTTCGCTGAAGGGGGCGCTGCGCAGAGAGGGAGAGAATGCTTTTTTCTTGTTCTCCCCCTCTAAAACTAGGTGCGTCTTATGGTCGGGTGCATCCTATAGAGCGAAAAATACTGTAATTTGACTAAAATTAAGGAAAGCTAGGAGCAAGACTTGTGGATTTCATTAAAGCTCTCTTTCCTCCCATAATCCAAGCACTGATACTAATTAATACTTCCTGAAGCACTTCAGATTTGTAAATCAAAAGGCATGTGGTTGTGACATCCCTGCATCTGCCACCCACTGTGGATAGTTATCATCTGTTCAGAGAGCTGGGTGTGCAAGCAAAACTGCATTAGGTAAATAAAGTTGAGGCAAGGTGATTCTGTGATCCCTGAGCGTTGCTGCTTGAAAGCTGGAGAACAGGCTAAATGAGAAACAAAAAGGCACCTGTGAGCTATAGTCAGTACAGTTTTGTCTGTGAATCGCTGGCGGATGGTCTGTTGGAGTAATCTGTCTGTCTTCTGATCCACACTTGCTGTGGCTTCATCAATGCACAGAACCTGTCAATGAGACAAAATGAAAACACTTAGAAGAGTGTCGCTGATGAACACAACTCTTGGTCCTGCTTATTAATACAACACATTTAATTTAATCAGGCACTGTGGAATCTAACCGTTGTAAGAACTCGAGAGCCATGCTGGGAAGCCCACAAACAGGGCATGAAAGCAAGAGGCCTTTCCAGTGTTTCTTGGCCCCCAGCAACTGGTATTCAGTGTTATACTGAAAAAGGACATTGTCCACAGTTGCCCCTAGACTCTGTAATGCTGTATCTTTTTGCACAAGATTTTCCTGACCCATAAGGCTGAATGCTATACCATTGGTATGTTTGTATAGCATTTTTAGCTCTGCGTCATTATATTGCTCTGGTTTTGTACCTTTGTACTCCTAGAAGTATGACAGTGCTTCTTTAGTTTCTAAAAATATTAAGCAATTTAGAAATGCTTTTAATTAAAGAAATAAAACACTGCCTCTGAACCAGGAGGTGCGATTTAGTTAATAAATTGTTAGCCACTAACTGTCCTGTCCTACATTGATTTGTCTAAACTGAATAAAATTGCTTTTTTCAGCGCAGTGTGAGCACCCTCTCACTGCTTCAATAAACATTTGGGGAATGAGTTTTGTAGCCAGCTATCCTGGGGGCCACCACCACATACTGTGGTAGCAAATTCCATAAACTAATTCTGTACAGTGTGGAGAAATATGGTCTTTTGTCTGTCTATCTCAATAGGTGACTCTGAGTTCTAGAGTTTTAAGAAAAAGCCTAACCTTTCTCTCTATCCACTTCCCCAAACCATACAGTGGTACCTTGGTTCTCGAACTTAATACTTTCCGGGAGTCTGTTCGACTCCCGAAACAGATCGAAAAGCAAGGCGTGGCTTCTGATTGGCTGCAGGAGCTTCCTGCACTTAAGTGGAAGCTGCGTCGGAAAACGTTTGCAAACCTGAACACTTACTTCCAGGTTTGTGGCGTTTGGGAGCCGATTTGTTTGACAACTAAGCCGTTTGGGAACCAAGGTACCACTGTACATACTTTTATGGTCCTCCATAGTGTTCCCCCTTAGTCACTTTTTTTCTCAGTTCAGAAGACCCGAACATTGTCACCTTTCCTCACAGGGAGAATGCTCCATTTTTTTATCCAGCTTTCCCTCTTTTTGTTATTGAGCTAATACATCCTCCTCACACCTTCCAAGTCTTGCAGTATGATCCTTCCCCACAGTTGTCCCAAACAAACAAAAAATATCAGGCATCTTTGTGGAACCCACTTTGAGAAGACATCACTCACCTTGGCCTGGGTCAAGAGAGCCCTTGCTAAACAAACCAGCTGCCTCTGTCCTACGGAGAGACTCTTTCCTCTCTCCCCCAGCTCACAATCCAACCCACCTGCATGGAGCAAGAGAGTAGAGGAGTTAATGTAAGTTTCAAAACTTTGCCTCTACTTAACACTAGTTCAGATGAATGAGAAAGGCCTGAATGTAGGCAAGAAGGGCTGAGATTGGAACAAGAAACAAAGATCACAAACCCTCTGTGCCAGCCTTTCTCAACCTGTGGGTCCCCAGATGTTGTTGAACTACAACTCCCATCACCCCTCGCTAGCAAGGCCAGAGCTCAGGGATGATGGGAGTTGTAGTCCAACAACACCTGGGGACCGGCTTAGTTGCCTTATAACCCCTTTCGCCCCTGGCCATTGGCCGTGCTGGCTCAAATGATGGGAGTTGTAGTCTAACGACATCTGGTGACCCAAAGATGAGGGAAACTGCTTTTAAGGGTTTTATTGAGGCCATTTTTATTTATTTTTTAAAAAATCACAACAGCTTCCGCTGGTTTCCAGCAACCTCCACCCCATAGTTGTTTAGTGAATTTTCCTTCAGCTTACTACTCTGACCAGTATTGAAGACCAATAGGTTTTGGCAGATTCTTTTCTAGGTTCTTAATATTTCCCCCATCGTTCTACCCGGACCCTGAGGTCCAGCGCCGAGGGCCTTCTGGCGGTTCCCTCACTGCGAGAAGCCAAGTTACAGGGAACCAGGCAGAGAGCCTTCTCGGTAGTGGCACCGGCCCTGTGGAACACCCTCCTACCAGATGTCAAAGAGAACAACAACTACCAGACTTTTAGAATACATCTGAAGGCAGCCCTGTTTAGGGAAGCTTTTAATGTTTTATGCATTACTGTATTTTAATATTTTGTTGGAAGCTGCCCAGAGTGGCTGGGGAAGCCCAGCCAGATGGGCAGGGTATAAATAATAAATTATAATAATTATAATTATAATTATTATTATTATTATTATTATTATTATTATTATTATCTCCCTCCCAACAAACATAACAAGCAGTTCATTTCTGTTCTCCAAACAATGTACTCACCCATCTCTGTAATCACTGCCTGCAGATGGCATTGCTCTAGGACTTGCAGCAAGTCGGCATCTGTGTGTTGCCCCCGAGGGTCCAAGTTCTCACGGATTGTCCCACTGAACAAAAAGGGATCCTGGGGGATTATGGCCAACTTAGACCTAAGAGGAAGGACAGAGGAAGGCTCACTGGACTGCACAGCTTAGAGGCGAACAGGGCCAATGGGAACCTGACATTCTGAGACAGCCCCTCCGCATCGCATTAAATTGACTTTTCAAGCTGCTGCAACAGCGACACTGCTGCCATTGTGGCTTACTCCTTGACCTACCTCAGTGCTTTCAAGCCTACAGAATGGCTGTCAATGTTGTCCAGGAGGATCCGGCCAGCTTTCAGCTCCACCATACGGAAAAGGGCCAGAAAGAGGGTGGACTTGCCAGATCCAGTCCGCCCAACTATCCCCACTTTCTCCCCAGAGTAGATTGTGAAAGTCACCCCATCCAAGGCATTGGGTAGGTCAGGCCGATAGGCCAGCACTACTTGCTGGAACTCTATGTGACCCTGACTTGGCCAATCAGGTGAAACCTTGAAAAAAGAGAAAAAGGTGCAAGCAATAATGCAGCAGCAATACTTCCTTATCCTAAGTCCTTTTTGATTTGCCATCACCATGATCAGCAGTGGGAGCAGAGAAGATCCAAGGGCCCCAATGTGACAATGCTTACTGTTGTCTCAGTTGCAAAGGTGACAGTGGCTGTCATTTTGAATCTATTGGGGTCCAGGTCTAGAAGTGAGATGAAAGATGACTGAGCTTCCCTGTACCCTTGTCTGATGAGCTTTTGTGCTTGCTGTTGACTTCAGTGATGGTGGAAGAGGCTTCATTCCATGAATAGGACTCTACTGTGCATACCATTGGCCACAGAGAAACTAGGGGAGGTTTACCAATCCAAATCAATAAAACAAGCTGCCATTGCATCAGATTAGCTGAAGGTCTGTCTCCTTCTGGTCTTTTTTTGCTGGGCTTTTAAAAATATCTCCTCCTACTCTACCTTAATCCCTGCTGACAAGCTGAATGAGGAGCGAAGAGGGAAATTCCTTGAAGGCCAGATAGCTCCCAAAACCCTTGCTGTTCTGGTGAAGCAGGATAAATATGGGAGGGGAACTCTCTCACCAAAAGGGGCAGGAAGTTTGTTGACAGTAGTTACCCGCTCCAGGATGCCTACCTCCTCCTCTGAAGAATGCTCAACAGATGGAGAACTAATGCAGACCAAAGAGCCTGTGCTTATGGGACTGTGTGGAATCAGATGTTCTGCAAGAGCACCTCCAATCATTCACAAGAGACCCAGCAATGAACCCTTACCTGGAGTAGCTCCTCTTGAGGCTCCACGGGAATCTCAGTTGCATATTCCTCGGTACGCTCCACACTCACCATCATGGTCTCTGTCTGGGTGAAGCTGTTGATGAGTCCAGACAACAAGTTTGTGACCGAAAGGGCATAGGAAAGGGCCAGGCCCACAAGACCTGCGGGGACAAAAAAGGCTTTGTCAAAAAGCACAACAACTCTGAAGCAAGGGAAACAACAGTGGCCCAGTTCCAATATGGGTAAGTAGAGGAGAAAGAGAGAGGTCAGCATGTTAAGAAGGTGTCCCTTGCAAAAGAATTGATGGGGTGGATTTTTCTTGCACATTCAAAATCTAACTGGAACCCTAAATTATTTTTAGGGTATGTAAGACTGGCTTTCAATTCTTTTCTCTGCCCCTTAATGTCTGCACCAGCTCACTTGCTTTAGCTATCTGTATCTATCTAATTATCCCATACGTACACTGGGCAAGATGAGCATTGCTTCTCTTTCCTTCAGTGTGCTTCTGTCTGCTTTTTATGGCCTAACACATTTGGGAACAGAGAACCCTGTCAAACTATAGGGGAGTTCAGCTGGATCATTGGCTTTCAACTGGGCTGGGTTGTAAACTTAGGCAGGCTAGAGTATCCCCACCCCCTTCTTTCTTTTTTAAAAGAGAAAGATGGGAGAGAGAGAGATGAAAATAGAATGCATGCAGTGGGGGGAAAGAAAAATGACCTGAAGCTGTTGCTGAAGAGAGGCTGAATCTTAGAAAAGATTTTGCTGTGTATTGTGTGCCGAGAAAGAACTCCAGAGGTGAATTTAATGGCAGATGTCTGGAGAGTTCACTCTGTGAGATATTGATGGCTGTGGTTCGCATGTCAGCTTGATAACAGCAGAATGGAAGAGAACATGACCTTGTACCACTCAGATAAACACTGCAAAGAACTGAACGAGAGAAAGAACTAAATTCTTTCAACACTCCAGGTCTGGAAGGGCTACACACATGAAATGGATGATATATCTACAAGATGAAATTGAGGTGAAGGTGAAAAAGGTGAAAAAGCAGGCAACTGGAAGAATGGTTAAATGGCAAGTGAAGGGTTTCAGCTGGAGACTAAATAAGAAATGAAGCAGCTATGGGGGAAATCTTGGACATATGATTGAAACGGGAGTGGGAAACCTGATTTTAAGAAATTGTATTAAATTAACTTGGTTTGATTTGTAATAATTTGGAAAATCAATAAAAAATGAAAATACAGTATGAAAAAATGACAAATGAGTCCCGTAGTACATGCTGGTATAAAGGTAGGTCCTGGGTGGATCAAACTACTATTTAGCTGCTTTCTAGTCCTCCCAAAAGCAGATATCCAGGATCCATGTCAGAGAGTGGTGGAAAGAAGAAGCATTCTGAGATGTCAATGGTAAAAGATGACCACAGAAGAAGATGCCTCCTTCAGAGGTCATAATCAGGTGGCTCACCAGGGTTTCCCATTTTTTTCTGGTGCTGGATGATGGCGATTCCTGCAATAGCAGTAACTACAGCAACTCCAATCATCTGCAGCCGAATGTCCAACCACTGCATTGCGGTGTTACTGGCAAAACGGCAGCGCTGATTCAGTTCAAGTCGCAGCTGGTTCTCTGTCTCAAACCTAGACTGGATACAACCCAGAGGTTAATATCAGGAAGAGATCCATTGCAGTTCTCAGTACCTCTTTTTCTCAGCGGTCACAGGACCAGTTCCCCAGGTCAGCCCTTTCTGTGCATATTTAGACCTTCCCTGCCTGAAGAGCAAAACTCACCTGCCTGTGGCCCTGGTTGCTCGGATTGTGCTGAGGCCTGTCAGGGTCTCTGAGAAGTGAGTGTAGATGGGGGACAGGGTGAGACTGTAGAGGCGTTTGAGTTCTCGGGAGGTGCGCCGATAATAGCGCTGAATTGAGTAGTAGATGGCAGCCAGGGGCAGCAGAACGAGGCCGATCCAAGGCAGGCCATAGGTGATCATCACAAGCATGCCCAGCAGCCCAAAGATGTTGGCCAGGAAGATGTTGAGAATGAATGGCAGGCTGTCATCCACACAGTACAGATCTGAGGAGAAGCGATTAAGGATGCGGCCCGTTGGCGTGGTGTCAAAGAAAGTCACTGTGGCCTGGCAATAGAAGAAAAAGATTGTAGTGAACCATTGTGTGCTGTTTCACACTTTTAGAGATTGATCTGTGTCCTAAAAAGAAGCTGTGTCCAGAGGCTGTTTTTTGTGGCAGCTAAGTAATTTAGAGATTATGGCACACATCAGCTGCTTAATTCTTGTACTCAAGACAAAACACTTAACATACAATACATGCTTCTCCCAAATGTGATGATGATGATGATGATGATGATTATTATTATTACATACATCTCAAGCAAATTTACAGACATGGCATAACCCCCCCCAAAGGTAGGTGTTTTTTTAAGTAAAAAAAAAAATAGCGGCAGAGACCTATTTTTTCCAGCTGGAAAAGCTTGTAGAAACAAAAAATGTCATCAGTTGTTTCAGGAAATTACAGATAGTGGGCATATCTCAACAAGGAATGCTGTTCCAGTGAACCAGGAACAGCCAAATTATATCCCATGATATAAAAACTTATTACATGAAACAGTTTTGAATCACTAGACAAAGCAAAGGGTTTGTTTTAAAGGATTAGAACCAGTTTGTTTGATGAAATATAAAGCCTTTAGCCTACTTTTTTTTTTCTATCTCTGGGACAAGCCTTGCCATAAGCATTTTGATGGGCCATTGCAAGGACCTGCACCCATGTAAGTAGAGTGACCTCAAACCAAAGCCCAAGAGGGAAGGAGGCTAATCAGATTTTTTTGCTGCATAAACTGTGGAGGAACAGGGAGGAATGCTAGTTTGAGCTTGCCCAACAGGATAATATGCCATCTCTTTTCTTTTCCCTCCTCTTTGCACAACAAGTTCTTAACAAAGACGCCTCATCCCAATACAAAGTCACCTTCATGATCCAGCTATGAGACTTGCTGTGGGGAAGAGGAGTATCCTAAGCAAGTGACTATCTTATCCTAACCTTGGTTTGCGTGATTATTTTCAAGACAGATATAAGAACTGTATAACCTGTTCTAAACAAAGAGGAAATACTGCGTTTCCAAACCATAGTGATGATTATTTTCTCGAGCCATTTCTCTCAAGAGACCTCTGGGGTTCGTGGTCAGCACTTCAGCAAAGGATTAATACCTTCTACAACAGTCAACTGAAATTAAATGGGGTCTGGACATATGAACCCCAAAGAAGAGCAAAGCAGGGAGGTGGGCTTTAAGAGCAGCTCCCCTTCTTCTCCTGCCTGTCCCCTGTCCCCAAGCAGAGCTTCCAGGACCCAGAGCTGTCCTGTCTGACAGACTTTACCTTCATCACCCTTTTGAGCAGCCTGTCGTGAATGACAATTGCAGCGTGAATGGTGCCATAGGCAAAGAGGAAGGCTCTCAGCATCGTGAAGACAGAATTGGCCCCAGCAATGCAGCCGTACACAGTCAGGTAAAAGTTCACGTCCAAAGTGCCATTTGAAGGAACGGAGGCAAAGACTGGAGAGCTGAGGAGACAGACAAGATCAGTCAGGAATGGCAGCTCACCTGATGTCCAGCTCCTTTGCCAGGTCTTGGGCAAAGTCAATAGGACCGCTCTCAAAGTGAGGGGAAGGGGTATTCCTAAGAAGGCTCCACGCTGGTCCCTCCCATTATGCTCAGGCCTGGTGCGGCATCTGAGGCAAAGAGGCAACCCAGTGTCTCCCTGACAACACCCCAGTGAGTATGGGGGAAATGTCAGACAGTAGCAGATCGGGGGGTGGGGGTGGAGGTGAAGCAGCCAGCCAGCCGACTTGCCTGGTAGTCCTCCCTTCATGGCCAAACCCTTGAAACAAAAAAAAAAAAGTTGTGCCAGCTGGGTGGGATTATCACCTCACCTCCATGCTTGATAAGCTTGCCAGGGGGACCAGGCATGGGCCAGAAGTTCCCCAATCCTTCCCTGCACCTAGGTGCCCATTTCCTCTCAGCAACCCATCTGGTAGGTTTTTTTAGATCTTTCCGCCAAGCTTCTCTTTCGTTTCTATAAGTTTTGGCGGCTCTATCGGTAGTGTTCGGTTTTCCACTCATGCCAAGGCAAACCTTCACAAAGGGGCTGCCAAAACAAAGCCCACGTGTTTCTGCACATTCACTGACAGACTTAGTCCTCAGACTCAGTTCATAGCTTATACCAACATACACGAGTCCCCCATGGGAGAAGAGCAGCAACTGTGAGGAAGGCAAAGCTGGCAGGTTGCTGACAGAGGCGTTTTCTGGGCGGGGTAGGCTGGAAATCCAGTGTGACAACCACCAGTCAGAGACATTCCTAGAAGCTGTAAGAATGAACAAGTATCAATGAGTGAGATTTAACTTTACCAATTCAAAAATTAGCAGCTAGTTAAGAGGCCTTTCATGTGAGTTTTGAGTTGTAAAAGTAGCCACAAGGTGAATTTATCTGTCCATTTTAACTGTCCAAACTGTTAGGGTGTGATTCACCTCACGGGTCCTGTCAAAGCAAGCCCTGTGCAAGGGCTTTGGCTTGCGCAATGGGGCTTCTCCCCTCCTTCCCCGCCCCTTGGTGCTCCCTGAAATTGGTTGGGAGAACTCCACAGAACAGAATGTGGTGGGGGGGCAGGAGAGGGAGGATAGCTGTCTCAAGAGGACACAGAATTTATGGGAGACAGCAAGAAACCAAGACCAGAGGAGGAAGAAAGTGAAATCCTTACCTTGCATTAGCAGCAGTGAGAGAAGGATGGACAATGCCAGGCAGCTGCCCACAGCCAGCCAATATGCTTGGTAGACCTGGAAAGCCACAGCCCCTTCTTTCTTCTCTTCCTCTCGCTTGAGGAGACAATTTGCGTCATTTGGCTCGTCTTCCTCAGGCTCTACCTCTTCTTCTTGGCTATATTCAGTGGGTACTTAGGAGGCAGAAAACAACTACAGGTCATGGCATGCAGGAAGGGTTCCTTGATGGGCAACCAAGTACCCTTGAGTTTAAAGACTTCCCATTTTGTGATATATTTTCAGTTAAATTAAAATACCTGGCAAACCCACACTTCCATCAGCTGCATCCTACTTTGGTCTGTAGACCTGGCTGTTTATAACTGGGAGCTATTGCTCTTTTCCTTTTCAGGGCAGACATATGTCACTCTCAAATTTGCTTAAAGCAGAGGATGAGATCTCCTACTGCATCTGTTCCCCCCTGCCCTTACATACAAACAAAATAAAGCTTCTGAAGAAACCTCATGCTAAGGCTAAAATGCAGTGTATGTGTGTGTGTAGTCTTTATACTAAGAATCTTTGGCCCCTGGTGTCTATTTTACTGACTGTAGTAGGTTTAGGCAATTATTTTAACTTGATTTGATTCATTTATAGACCACCAGATTAGGTGGTCTACATCAGATTAGGATTCCAGGACAATTCACAAGATAATGAAGAATAACCATGCATTAAATAAAACCTGAAGCTTATAACTCTTTGCTCAAAATGAAACAAGGAGGCCTACATGCTCAACTGGGGAAAAGTAATGTTCCTTCTTTGCCTTAGATTTCCAAACTAGTTCACTCCTCAACCTGGCCAACTAGTCCTGATGTGAGGTCTAAAAGGTCACAAACAAAAAGATTCATAAATGTTTTTGCTCAGTTACCATGTATCCGGCAGAAGCATACTAAAATCCTCCTTAAAACACCCAGAACTTACTTTTATCCTTCATTGTCTTGTCCATCTCCCTGAGCTGAGGGGCAGCTTGCACTAGTGGCAGGATCTCATTTGGAGTTCCTAGAAAAAAATACCAATAGGGTTGCATTCGGCAGAAACTTAACTCTGTATCTGTTACAGTGCGATATCATCTGCCCGAGGCTCCTCTCTTTGGTCCTGATTTGCCTTTTTGCATAAGAAAGAGGTCCTGCATGGAATATTCTCTAATCCAGCATGGTCTCCTGTTGGCTAAAGGTGTGTGTGTTTTGGGGAGTTTCACCAGTTGGCCTTTCTTTCTGCAATCCTCAGCACCACCTTCCACTCTATTCTGGAGGGTCTACCAATCCTCCACAGCAGATCCTTAGGAGCACTGAAGGAGGAATTGGCAAAAATGGCCTCCCCTCTTTTTCTGCATGTAGGAACATCCTGTGAGTGAAGCTCTGTCTCTCCACATAGAGCAGCATGCCTAGAAAGATTTCTGATCACTCTAGCTCTGTAATCTATTTGGAAACCTCATTTGCACCCCTTAACAATTCCCTTCTCCCTAATCTCATCTGCTCACCTGCATTGTTGTTGCACTTTCCCCCATTTTGGATATTTTAGTAACACAGCATATTCCTTGCAAATTCCGTTGTTTACCCACATTGTGGAAGTTTCTATTTTATTATCTGATTTAGCCTATTTATGGTCCGATAAACCTTCAGGGTAGCTTACAAGATACCAAATTAACAAAACCACTTTTAAAAAATCATAAAACAACAATAAATGAAATGAAACAATTGAATCAATAATTAAAATGTATTAAAAAGTGCAAAAAAACCCCAAACAAACTGCACAGGGATAACTAAAACACTACCTGCTTGATTTAAAAAACACCGTGTGACTCACCCTCTGAATTCCCACTCTGAGGAGGGCAGCTCAGAACCTAGGCATAGAGAAACAAAAGTGGTAGAAAACACCAGGCTATACCTGTCTTGAGTATTCTGCCATTGTCCATTAGCAATAAGATGTCAGCCTTTTCCAAAAACTCTGTTCTGTGGGTGCAAAGAATCCTGGTCTTACGTTTGAGAATTCCCAGAATGCACTTCTGCATAAGGTGTTTGGCTACATCTGCATCAACAGCTGCCAGTGGGTCATCGAGAAGGTATAAGTCTTTATCCTAAGGAAAACAGTAATATAAATATTATGGCTTTCTGACTTTGAAATACTAAGGATGGTAAAAAAAGAAAGAAAAACATCTGAAAATGACCTTCATTTGTTTGTTAAATAATAATAATAATAATAATAATAATAATAATAATAATAAATTTATACCCCGCCCATCTGGCTGGGTTTCCCCAGCCACTCTGGGTGGCTTCCAACAAAATATTAAAATACCACAATACATCAAACATTAAAAGCTTCCCTAAACATGGCTGCCTTCAGATGTCTTCTAAAAGTCTGGTAGTTGTTCTCTTAGACATCTGGGGGAGGGCGTTCCACAGGGAGGGCGCCACTTCCGAGAAGGCCCTCTGCCTGGTTCCCTGTAACTTGGCTTCTCGCAGTGAGGGAACTGCCAGAAGGCCCTCGGCGCTGGACCTCAGTGTCCGGGTAGAACGATGGGGGTGTTTGTTTCACCCTAGTTCTTCTTAAGGGCAGGTCCTGTCAATGGAAGCATCACCACTTCTATTTCAAGTTAGTGCCATCTGAGGCTGCTTACCCAGCCCTTTATATACCTGGTAAACAGCTCTTGCAAGCGCAACTCGAGCTTTCTGTCCCCCGCTGAGTGTAACTCCATTCTCGCCCACCTCTGTCTGATCGCCTGCTGGCAAAATCTAAAAGTTAAACAGAGAGATGATAAGTAATTTAAGAAGTGTTAAACAGATGCACTGAGCTATAGCAACATCCAGGACCCCTGACTTTGGTTCACAGCTCTAGTGCAAAGTCCTTCTGGACAAGCAACCAGGTGCCAAAATGTCTGCAGAGAAACCAAGGAGATTAAATGGCAGTTGGCAGCCACTGCCAAAATCAGACCACCTGTTGTTCTGTTAATGTTGTTCTGAATCCATTGAAAGGAAGGAAAGCAGAACCTTCCTAACACATTGTGCTTGGGACTCGGTTATATCATTAGTGTGAGCACAAAGTGGCAATTGTTGACAAGAAAATATGACAAACTTGAAGTAGAAAAATGCTATTCCAGTTCTTTTCAGTCCAAAGGCAGAGTGAATATAAGAATACACCGAAAACAGAAGCTTACCCCTCAATATTGATGACTCCCAAAAGAAACATATAATTAATAACAGTACTTTGACCATAATCCTAGGAAAGTCAGTTGCACTTAAGTCATTTGAAACAATGGGCTAGGTTAATCGTTTTAAATGGGGCCTTCACCGATTTTAGTGGAAAGTAAGCATGACTAACTTTTTTACATGGGGACAACTGTATACAAAAAATTGTATTAAGAAAATGCAACACAAAATTCGAAAAGGAGGGCTCTTGGTAATGTTGCCAATTTGACCCGGTTCTGTTTACCATTGAAACAAGAAGCTAGGAAACAGCTCTGGAAGTCCACATTACTAAGACTCGCATTACTAAGCTTTAGGTGGTCTTCTCAATATATTCAATTTGAGACTACACAGTTCCATATACAGCCTATTAAAAGCTCTTACACTGTGCACTGGGAATTCCCAAGGGCAGCCATACATCAGATTGTTGAATGCACATAGAGCACCAATGGTACCTAGGGAGCCAACCTATTTTTTTCTCATAGGACACTCACATTCAAGTCATCAGAGAGAGCACAGGCCTCAATGACTTCCTGGTAAAACCTGGCATCATATTCCTTCCCAAAGAGGATGTTTTCACGGATGCTGGTAAACTGGATCCAGGGCTCTTGCGTGGCCAAGCCAAATCCTTTTTCCAGATCCCAGATGTAAACTTGCTCACCTCGACTGTATGCATCCCAGAGATGGGCAGGAGAAACAGACAAGGGAAAAAAGAGGAGGAATTTAAAATTGCCATGAGAGTGGGTATGGAAAACAGGCCTTTCCAGTCATTAATTTCTATGAAGTTTGATGCTGGACCTCTGTGTGCTTAGGAGTTTTCTAATCCTTGTCATGATTAGGCTTGTGGTTACCTAATAGTGAGAGGAAACACTTTGAATGGGCCCAGTGAATAGTGTTGGAGTACCTGATATTGCAAGTATTGCTGAAGCTTAGAAATTGTGGAACTTGTATGGGAGGCCTCTGATAATCCCATATGTAAAAGGAGGATGTAAGTATAATGAGCACATCAATACTAAAGAAAATCACTGCAAATAATTAGATTATTATTACCTTGTATGCCCTGGCAGTGAAATAGGTTTTGTGGCTATACTCTGGTGAGACCAGATTCAAATTAAGCCTTAAGTCTTGCAGGTGAAATCATGGGTTCTTAAGACACAAGAAGCAAAGCAGTATTGACTATTTACCTACTGAGTTCTCCAGTGATGGCTGCCAACAAAGAGCTTTTTCCACACCCAACTTTCCCAACGACTCCCACCAGTGTGCCCTGCAGAGGGAAAGAGGCACCAGCTGTTTCAGAGTTTGTTATGCAACCTTGCTGTAGCACTTCACAAACATTCATTCATTCAGAACACATTCTTGTTCTCTCTGCAGAATGGAAGTACAAAGACTCCCATATCACACGGCTGACCCAGCGGCATTTCCCTGGACCGTTGCTCCTTGTTGCTCACCTTTGCCACCACCAGATCTTGAATAAAGAGCTGCAAACTTCCTCTGGGCATGTGGGATTCAGCATTTTCTTTGCTTGCTGGTGACCATGAAAAGGTGGTGCGGCGCATTTCCAGGACAGAAGATGGGTCAGAAGGGCCGTCTGCAATGGAAAAGCAGCAGCACATCTATAGGTAAATAGGACAGGATTTAACAACATTGTTACATGCGTGGAATGAGATCTACTCACACAATGGTACTCCCTCCCCCCTTGTGCGGCTCCTAAATCTGCTCTGGAGAGTTGGGGAGAAACCCAGAACAGGTTTAGCAGGTATGCGATTGGAGGGGGGGGGGGAGTCCTGCTGTGTGAATGAACCTAGTTCCTCAGTGCTGTGGTGACTTCCCCCCATATTCAAGAGGTACATTTGGGAACTATGAACGTTTGCAGGCTTTTGCAGGAAACTGTCTTGGACCATCAGCTGCCTCCTTAAGAGGGCTATGCAGATGCTCCAAAATAAAGAAGGTATCCATCTTTCCATAAAACTTGCTTATTCCTTCACCTGCCCATGGGTTTCACAACTTTGGCCATTGAGAGAAACCTAGAGTGTTACCACTGGAGCTCCCTGGTGGAAGCAACAAGATGGGAACTCTGGATTAGCAAATGAGAGGAAACTGGCATCCGGAAAAGGAGCACTGCTATCAGGATACACTTGAACACCAAATTTTGTGGTTGAGTCCGTAGCCAAGCAGAATACCCAAAGGAACAAGCACCCCCCTTGCTCTTTTCACATCTATTCCCAACGACTCAAGAGCACTTCTTTCCCTACTCTGGTGGTCTTACCCAACACCACCTGTTCTCCAGTTTCCCCAGTCACCATACCTCTGCTATAGTAAGCATCCAGATCCTGGTCTGTGAGCTCAAGGAAGTGCTGGACTCGATCCAGAGATACTTTGGCTTCTAAAATCCCATTCAGCACCCAGGGGAAATTATTGAGAGGTAGAATGAGCATCCCAACAAGTGCCAAAGCTGTAAACACCTATGGGGAGAGAGAAGATTTCATGGGATGAAAAAGCTCAGAGGGTTAAGCAAAGAACTGAAGTATCCAAAGAGAGCCAGAGAAAAGCCATTTTAGTAGTTGTGAACAGTGTGATGTGTGCTCAAATGTTCAAGGGTGTGTTTTAAGTGGACTTCCATTAGGGAGCGTTATCTTGGGGTCTATGTCTGAGAAACATCAGCTCAGATTTAACCTTTCTGAGCAAGCTTTAATTCCTGAACTGTGATAGGAGCCAAGGCTACAAAAGCCTAAGAGGAGGGTAGAGAGTCTGAGATGGGAAGGAAGAAACCATCACTCTGTTGGTTTAATATTTAATACTTTAATATTGTCTGCTTTCATATTATGACTTTACTGGAGAGGATTTTTATATTTTTTATAATAGTGGACAATTGCTTCTTTATTCCTCTTGTCTTCTAACCGATTCTGCTTTTATATTTGTAATAAAAGAGTAAAGCTTGAAAGACAATGAACCTTGTTTTGTCTAGACAATGCTCTGTATAGAGTCTGTCTCACTTGTGAAGCCACTTACTTCTCACATTCCAGGGAAAGCTATCACTCAGGTAGGAGGTCCTTACTTCTGACACTAAAAGCAATTTTATTTCCCCCTTTCTATTGCTCTTCAATAGCAGCAATGTTTAAAATTGCTGGAAGTTTGCCTGAGCAGTGATACCTTCTGAAGCCTTTGCATACACCATGACAGTTTATTCATCTGTTCATTTATTTATATAAAAAACAACCTTTCTATCCCATGACAGTGAACATTCATCACTAAAAAACAAAAAGAAACCCAATAAATGTAAAATGAACAATAAAACCAAAATAACTTAAAACAAACAAATAGCAGTGGAAGAGGAAATACAGAAAGCATGCTGGAACAAAGTTGCCTTCAACAAGGAATGATACAAATCTCCTGGGGTATCGCAATGGAAAATGCCCTTTTGTGCATCCCAACCAACTTCTTCTCTGACAGTGGCAGGACGTACAAAAGGACCTCCCCGGTTGATGTCATTGGGTGGACAAGATCATATAGGATGACTGTTGTTCAAGTATCCTGGCCCCAAACAGTGTAACACTTTAAAGGTAAATGACCAGTACTTTGAATTGAACCTGGAAACGAATGGGTAGCCAATGAAGCTGGAATAACAAAAGAAGTCAGCTGCATATCCTAGGCAGAGGGATCATCAAGGAATGGGCACAGCTCTTACCTTGGTAGCAGAGAGCTGGTGTCCAAGTAGAACATAAGTGATGAAGATGACAATGGAGACAACCACAGGCAATGCTGCCCAGAGGTAGACACACACAGCATCCAGGTATTTGATTGCTCGAAGGCTCTTCAACTCCTTGGCTCTGCAAGTATACACTCTGCTGGCAAAATGCTGCTCCCAGGTGTAGAACTTGATCACTCGCATGCCACACAAGAACTCCGTCATCAGCTGCAGGTAAAGGGAGATGCAACACAACAATCACCGGCATCTCTTTGTCACAATGCTTTCTATTTCAGCTAGGGCCTAAGTTAGCTATATGAGACACAGCACAGAATCAAAGTCATGTTCTCTTCTTGCTTGGTGATGTATCGGGGAAACAAAGTGCAACACAAATACTGGGATGATCCATTTAAAGTACTGTAGCCAGAAACCCAATTCCTTCAGTGAAACAGTATACAAAGGGAAACATCCCCGAGGAGGGCTAGAGCACATGCAAGAGGTCACAGCTTCAACTCCTTGTATCTTGTTAAAGGACCTCCGGCACCAGAGCTGAGTAAGATCTCTGCCTGAGACCTGGACGTACCACTGCCCATTGTGCTTGCTCTGGATTTCCTGCATCAAGGAGGACTAGGTGGCCTTCAAGGCTCTCATTTCATGGTAGGTCAGTTTCTGGAACTTGGTGACATGTCGTCTCTTGGATTTGTGTGTGTGTTTGCTGGTTTACCTACACTGCTGGTTATTTATTTCCTGATAAATCATTGCAACATCCAGTTATTATTTCTGCTACTCAACATTTTTAACATGGATACCTAAATAAGTCAACAACTTTAAGCCTAAATCACAAGGCAAGCAGTATGGCAAGCCTTCAAATACCACATATCCCCATCTCACCTTGACACGTTCATCTTTGTGCTTCAGCATTTCCTTGTTGTTTTCCATGATGCGATTGGCAACCACTTTATTGATGGGCACAAGAAGCAGAGCCAGAGCTAGGCCTCCCAGGAAAGCTATGCCTACTTGCTGGTACAGGAGGTAGAGGGTGATGGCAAATTGGAAGGGAAGACTCCACAGCTCGTGGAAACTGAGGCAGAAATTGATCAAGCGGTCAGTGTCGGTGCTCATGAAGTTGACAATCTCGCCAGTGGTGAAGCCAGCCAGGCTGCTGCCACTCACCCGGAGGGCTTTCTGGTAGATGGCAGAGATAACTGCAGTGCGCACCATAAGCATCATCTTGTTGATCTGGTAACTGAACTGGTTACGCAATAGGGCACCCAGTAAGGTACCAGCAAAGAGTCCCAGTGCATACATTATCCCATTGCTGAGAGGTTCTTGGCGTGACTCCATGAAACTGACCAGCAGGTTCAGAAGCAGGGGCCCAGAGAATGCCAAAAGACTGCCAGCCAGTTTGAGCAGGCCCAGAGAGTAATAGCGTAGCCCAAAGGCAGCATGCAACACTGATAGGAGATGTACAGGCTTTTGGGTATCACAAGGATGTGCTGGAGATGAGAATTCATCAATTCTCAAGTTACTTTTGGCAAATGATCTGTCCGTTGAAGATGCAGTCTCTTTATCCTCTTGGCTGAGAGCTGCTTTTTTCCGCCAGCAGGAGTAGAAGTGTTCACAGACTGCATTGGCCTGGAGCTGTCGAGGGAGCTGAAAGACATCCTGTGGCCGATTCAGCATCCACAGGTAGCCACGCTTCATCAGAGGGTTCATCCAAGCATAGGAGAAACATGAGAGCCAGCTCTCTCCATCCTCTGCCACTCCCTGCCAAGAAGGTGCGGGGATCCCTGAGTCTGTGACCAGGGGCTCTTGCTGCCAGGAATCATTGAGAGAGCAATAGTCTAGCCTGCTGGTTGTAGGAATGATATACCCAACTACATAGAGAAGCAGAGAAGCTAACTGCAGGCAGAGGATAGACAGCCGGAAAATGGTGTCAGGTTGAAGCTGCTGACCACCCATCTCAGTCTGGCAGTGCCACACCAAGGTTATAATAAGTGATGGGATTGGAAATAAGGCAAGGATTAGTAGGATGGTAGGGCCACGATTGAAGCTGTATGGAGACTTGTAGAGAGCAAGTAGTGTCAGGCTGTGAGTAAGCCATGCCAATGTGCCTGTGCCACTTGCTAATACTTCCAGGTACAAGGAGTCCAATTTCTGTCGCCAAATGGCTGCTGGAATTATGTCAAGGATGGACAAACCAGCAAAGATAAAGGACGCAGCAATTCTGCATTTCCACCCAGTTCTGTACACAGTCCGAGAACCTAAAGACCTAGTAAAGACAGAGGAGCAAGTGTCATGAAATGATCTTATCCCTTTTTCTAATGCCCTCTCACTATTTGTTCATCATTCTTGGAAGTCTGCACGCCTCGTTGCCTGGCCTCTCAAGCATCATTCAGTACACAAGAATTGCTACACTGATTCAGGCAAAATAACTGTGCTGTCCGACACACTATTTGCAATTATTTTTTCATTAGAAGAAAAAAAGATTCAACCCTCTGAACATTCACATTTACAATTATTCCTGTGACAACAATTAAACTGGCTCTGTGTGGTCTATCTTTTGTTTGTTTCATTGGGACTAATTCTCCGGTTGTCACTTTAATTGCCTAGTTAGTCAGAAAACCAAGTAAGTTTCTAGACTACATAAAGAGGGTGCCAAGGAGGGTGATAATTTCACTATATATATCATGGCTCAGGAATGTCCCATCACTTTAATTTTAACAGTCCCCCCCCCAAAAAAAATCCACAGAGCTTAAGCGCACAATATACATATTTGTGTGAATAAGCCAGATGTCGCTCACACCTGTTACTATACCTTGGTGTTCCTATGTAGCAGGCACTTATTACAGCAAGGACCATGTGAGGTATAGTGTTCAAAATCAGCTGGTTAAAACAGTGCCCAACATTGTTGTGGACCCAGACAGGGAGTGGATTTACGGGACTGGTCCCACACAGGTTGGCTAGGATCTCCTCCATCCTCTGTCAGCAACAAGTACAACGGTCAAGAGTTCCTAAAGGAAAAGACAGGAAAACAATGAATGAAGCATAAAGAAGAAGTAATTTATGCCACAACCTGAACATTCTTGCAATGAAGAATAAAACCCTTTTACCACTATATTTCCTTCTTTTCTTTGTACAAGCACTGCAAAATGAGATACACACATTAATTCCACCTACCATTTTTCCAGCTGTCAGAAAAAGTAATAAAATTCATAATCTCATCAAATACAAAATCTTGTATGTTGGCACTTTTGAGAGGGAGACCTTCTGCTAAAGTTTCCAACATGACTGGTGACGGTAAAGAGGTATCCAGGTCTAACCTGCATAAAAATCCCCCCATCCCAGGATGCCGGAGTGGTGGCTGTAGTCATTCCTGTGAGAGAAATGCATTTTCACAGAATCTTCTCCATTACTGCAGGTTTCATTGAAACTGTCAATAAGTACTGAAAAGAGGTGGTGGTGATTTGCCAACACTTCAGATCTTTTTAGGGCAGGTCCATACAAGGGCAGGATCCTAAATGCAATCAATTGTTTTACAAACCAAACAGCCAAGTAGATGTTTCTTCTTTTAAGACCAAAGGCTTCCAAAGTGCTGCTTCTTCATACAGGCACTAACCTCCATCCTCTATCAGTCAAAGCCATGCTGCCCATCCACCCCCATTATTATTATTATGTGGGTTCCTTCTCCAGTTTTCAATGAATGGCTGGAAGTGAGAAAGCAGAAGGAAGGTCTCTTTTCCCTTTCCACTCTGCAAACAAACACAAACTACGGATTTCCTACCCCTCGCCTCCTCCCAGGCTTTCCTCAGATCGCACAGATCTTTCTGGTGCCACCTTAAAGAGAACGCGAACAGCAACTGTCTGCCGGGCAGCCAGGCAAGAACAGAATTGCTTGGGCAGCTGAGTTCCTTTTCGGATTTTTTTAAGGATGGGGAAAATCCTTAAAAGGAGGTAGGGCGCCTCCAATTGAGAGCAACCTCGTGTGAACGATGCCTAGAAATCATGGCCTCGGCCTCAAACTCACGGTAAAGCCCGGTGTGGGGGAAGGCCTTCGCCTTCGCACAACGAGAGACTTAGCATGGACAGATGGATGATGACATGAAGGCTTGGAGTCTATCGTTTCCGTCTGTTCTGAAACGTGACCATAAAATTTCCGTTGCACGTTGCAAATGCCCTTTCCTCCGTAGGAGCAACGGAGCAGTGCAAAAGCGCCTCCAGGGAGCTGTGGGTGCACATAGGAGAGGCGGAAGCCTACTCTACGAAGCAGAGCGAGCGGGTGGGAGAAGCCGAGCGGCTCCTCTCCGGCGCTCTCTTCCAGTCGGTCCCCAGCCTGACGGAGGCTTCGGTCGACCCACCCAGAGACGGGATAGGTCAACCCACCGAAGCCCTTTCTTTCCCAGGCACTACCTTGACTCAGCGGCAGAACCGGAACTCCAAAGCCGGCTCCTTTCATATGACCAAATAAATAAATAAATACAACGCTGCGCTTCCTGGTTATTTTCGCCATTGTGTTTTGCTTTGCCTTTTCATACTAAGGAAACGTGAAAGTGACAGTTGCTAAATAGGAAACAGTAGGGGAATCCGGGGTTGTATCAAGGCTGTGCTTTCCCGTCTCTCCCCTCGCCAACTGAGCAAACTAAAGTAGAAGCGAAAGCAAGAAATAACCCAAGTGGGATCTGTAACGACACCAACACGTGTGCGTGTTGTGTTAGGTTGGTTTTAAAATTTAAGCAGGAGCGGGGAGGCTGGGATTATTGTGCTCTTACTGCGGGTTGCCTGCTGTTAAATCCTCCTAGTGCAAGGTCGAGTGGCGAGAGTGATCTATAGCAGTTTTGCAATCTTGTCTCCTTGTTGCAAGTGGTGAGACGGGCAGAGTGTGGCTTACAGCACCCCTGTTATGTAGACCAAGGCTGTATCCAACTTTATACGTTTTGCTCAGAGGAAACCCACTGAAATTAATGCGCCTGCTCATATCAACGGGTCTAGTTTGAGTGTAACTAACGTTGGATGCAACGTTTGTTATCCTCGGACTCTGGAGGTATTTTGATCGCCACGTTGCACACGGGGCTGAGGTTCCTCATGTTTCATAGACAGCTTTGATAACTTATCACCTGTTACTCAGCCTTTTGGCAAAATGCAACGTCAGGGTTGCAATCGTCCGCAAAGTAGAGAGATAGGAGAGCAACGGCATCACAATACACGTTACAGGTATTTCAGGTGAACTCGCCCGCGCCGGTGTTCTGTGTCAGCTGCAATGCTCCACACAACTGTATGGAAAACAGAATGCAGAACAGAAAAAAGACAACCCATTCAAAACATACCTCGCGTTAAAGCAAATGTCAGTTGAGTGGTCACTTACATCGCCCCCATCAAACCCCAGCGCAGTTTGACCTGCGCTTCCCTGAATGAGGACGCTGTTTCCATTGTAAAATGAAAGCCCCGCCCCCTCCAAAAAAAACAGGAAGCCAAGGGTATGTTGCTCTATCCCTTTTTTCGTCTATGGGCATTTCGTTCCCCTGCTGCAACCAACTTACTTTCGCTCTACCGTCCTCTAGAGGTGGGAGGGTGTCCCGGCATGTTGGCAGGGCGAGCAGAAGCTGGCAGCGGGTGAACTAATCGCGTTGCTGGTTATGTAATGTTGAGATCCTTTCCCATAGTTTGATTTTACAACCTTCTGGGCTGGGCAGAGGGAGTCCACCAACCATCCCACCCACCCCTCCAGGGCAGTGGATCATGAGAGTTAGAGTGTACACAAAATTATTGAAATAGAGCAGAACATAAATCACAGCTCTAGTGTTCGGCAGCACCACAAAAGAAAATATTGATCCAAGGCAAGAATCCTCATGATTTTTACATATGTTGACAACAAAGCCACCAAGAAATCACAGAACATATGTGTGAGGTAGTCTATGATTTGATGGTGGTTTTGAGTGGGTCCTTTGTAAGTACTATGATGATCCATACGGATCTCTTTTATAATAACTGGCTTGGCTTCTGTTTCAAAAATGCCCAAAGGCAAAATGTCAAGTAGGGTTCAGAGACAGGGACAAAGGAAGCTGCCTGATACCGACTCAGAGCATTGGTCCAGTAGTAGTAACTTAGTACCTACTATCAACACTGACAGGCAATGACTTTCCAGAATTTCAGACAGAACACCTTCCCAGCTCTACCTCAAGATTCCCAGGATTGCATGCAAAGTGCTACAGCTCTGGCAGCTCCTGTGCCAAATTTACTTAGTTGGTGGGTGTTATCTGCCTGCCATCCCAGAGGCTAAAGGTGATGCAGCAGAATAGACAACAAATCAGTTGGCTGGTGAAACTTGCCTGTCATTCCTCACTGCCTTCTAGTTCCTGAAGGCCAGAAGACCTCTCAACTGAAAATTCAACACAAAAAGTAATTGACACTTACCTAAAATCTTCACTGCATTTTAATGATATATAGTAACCTCCAAACAGGTGGTTAAACACCACTAGAGATTCGCCATTTACCAATGACTTCCTATGTAAGTGCCGTCAGCCTTTGAATTATGGTAACTCCCTTCACATTCGACTTTGTTCTACCTTATCTTGTTTTCGTGATATTACTGAAGATAAGGATAAATTTTATGATCAAACTTTCTCTGTGACCAATGGCATTCTTAAGAATGTTTATTCAGAAGTATTTTGTTTATTTACTCAAAAACATCTATGCCCTTAACTGCCCGTGAATGGTCCCCAAAGCAGCTTGCATACGATTCAAGAAAACACAAAGCTAAAATCAGTAATGAGAACAGCATCACCATGAACAACAGTTAAAAACTGATCAGAAATCATTCACTAGAATTGAATCCATGCGTCTAAATTCATATCCTGAATGAAGCGCGTCACAGGCATGCATTCAACAGGTGACGCTTCCCCTCCGCACGTTGCTAACAGGTAAACCTCCTTAGTTTACAGTGGTAACTCAGGTTAAGTACTTAATTCGTTCCGGAGGTCCGTACTTAACCTGAAACTGTTCTTAACCTGAAGCACCACTTTAGCTAATGAGGCCTCCTGCTGCTGCCGCGCCGCCGGAGCACGATTTCTGTTCTTATCCTGAAGCAAAGTTCTTAACCTGAAGCACTATTTCTGGGTTAGTGGAGTCTGTAACCTGAAGCGTATGTAATCCGAGGTACCACTGTATTAAACTTTTTCCAGCAGACATATTAAGCTCAGAGGATGTTGGCAGGGGAGAGTTAGCGCAGACATGGGAGGCGGAGATTGGACCTAATAAGGCGGGCAGCCTAATAACACTGCAGTTTACACTGGGGACCGCCTCTCGTTGCGCTTACCTTCCTCCCTATCACGTGACTCAAGGCCCGCCCCCGCCATTTCCTCCATCCGTGCGCCATTCGCAGGGCTAGCTGATGGTCTCGCGACGCATCTCCCCCCCCAACCCCGCCTCTTCCCTCGCACGCGACACGTGACCCGCCTTCCCTATCCGCCATTTTGTCGGAGCGGCCCGAGGAAGCTTTTTGTAACCTCGGGCTCTTGCGTTTGCGTCCGGTGCGCGCGCGCATGCACGCATGGAGCGTGCTGAGGGAGGATGGTCAGCAGGAGGAGCAAGGAGGAGCGGCTTCGGCGAGGAGTGAGGGCGGGCGGCCTCCGGGGCTCCTTGAGCCGCCGCCACTACCACCACCGCCGGCAGCGCCATGTACCGTACCAGTAGCGTGTCTTCCTCCAGCCGGTCCAAAGAGAGCAGTAGCTCGGGCTCGCGCAGTTCCCGCTCCGCTGCCTCCGGTTCGACGCGGGGCCGGAGCCCGCGCCGCTCACGCTCGCCTTCCCCGCGAGGCCGCCGATACCGTTCGCCGTCCAGCAGCCGCTCTTCTCGCCGCTCGCCGTCCCCGCGCCGCAGTAGTCGGGTACGGTCTCCGTCCGTGGGGAGCCGGAACCGAGCCGGCTCAGAGCAGGCTTGCCCGGCATACCGACCTAAGGACCGGGCCTTGGGAATATTAGTCCGCCCTCCCCTTTATCCCCCCCCTCCCCACGGCCATGGCAACGGCTCCCTGCCTGGCCGCTCGCTTTCTCGCCTGAGCCGCACACCGAAGTGGTGACAAACGGAGGATATATCCCCTTTGGTCTCTTCCTGTCGTCACCTTTCCTGCAGGTTTCAGGAAAGGCGAATCTTCCTTTCGCGCTCCCGAAGTGCACAAAGATCTCTCACATCGCTGGGCCAGGGCCTTAGCAACCTCTTGCATCCCCCCAACAGTTGTACCTGCAAGCACAGTTTTGATTAGGGGAGGACTAACACAAAGGCATAGTTGTTCAGCCAAAGTTGGCGGGCTTCCCCCCCCCCCAAAAAAAAAGTCACGGAGGACGCAATCCTATGCACACTTACTTGGGAGTAATTTAATTTAGTAAGACGTCTCAGTAAGTTTAGAGCTGGCCTAAGAGGTTGCCTAAGGTGGAGGAGCAAGTGGTACACCTGCCCTCCGTTTATGGTTCATAAGGCTGGTTCAGTGATTTTGGTATCCAAGGCTGGTTCAGTGATTTTGGAACATGAGACAGAAAATCCAGAAAAACCTCTTCCACCCCCCTTGCTGGCAGTAGGAAGATAATAACAATAACAGACTACTACAAATTCGCTGCCCTTCCATTACCCTTAAAAGCAGTTGCCTAAGGCACACTCTTCATTTCCTAATGGTAGGGTTGCCCAACATGTTTTTGGGAATTTATCTTAAGGTTCTTTGGTCATTATTCTCTCTTAGAAAAGCAGAGAATGCTTGTGGGTTGTGGGAGCTTAGTTTTTTTGTGGATTGAATAGGAATGTAGGACCATGCTAAGTTTGAAACTAAACATAGTATAGGTACTTGAAATATATTTCGGGAGAAATCAGTAGGGTTAATAAACAGGCTAGGTCATACAGCAAATTGCTAAAGTAACCTGTCCTTTGGAAAATAATAATTGTGTCCATTTTCATAGGTGTATATGGGAATAGGTAAGGTAAACAAAAATAAAATAAAAGGAGCAATATTTATACAGGAATGAAAAGCAGTTAAGCAGTTGTCCATATATGAGGCTACAACACAAATTACCTATCTAGGAAATAAGTCCCTCTACACATAGTGGAGTCATTCTGAGTAAATATGCACATGATGACACTGATTGCAATTGTAATAGCTTTGGTTCCCAAAGTACTTCACTTATCTTTTGGCTTTTGATTTTCAGAAATTCTGCTAGTTTGAAAATCATTTCAGCTAAGCATCTGAGGAACAGTTTCTTAGATGGGGATATTGAAATAAAATAGATTATTTAGGAAGTATAAATATTTCATAATTGATTTTTAATGTTCTTATTGTTTGTAGGTATGAAACCCAAGTAATCTTAAATACTTATGTCTATTAGCCTTTGGCTTACCTCACAATTCATCTTTTAATTTCTGCTCTACTGCTTTGCAGTTGTAACCTTAGAAGAGTTTTAGTATATTTGTTTTGATTTATAATTTTACTATGCTTGTTCCTATAGCAGAATATAACACAATCCTAAGCATATTGACTCAAAAATAAGCCTCTTTATATTCAATGGGATTTGATTTCTGATAACTCTGTTTAGGATTGCTGTTAGACAAATTAAGTTTATACAATAAAAACTTTTTATACCCCATCTCTTAAAGCAGTACTAGAAAATACTTAGCCGTTACTGAGGGAAATAAATCAGTTATGTGGGCAGACAGCAAGAGTGTGTGTTTTTTTAGCCTAGCACGCAATTTCTTGGAAATTAAAGGTGGCAGTCTCCAGTGTTTTTCAAACTTGGATCCCCAGCTGTTGTTGAACTACGACTCCCATCATTCCTGACCACTGGTCCTGCTAACTTAAGGTGATAGGAGTTGTAATCCAACAATAGCTGGGGACTCAAGTTTGAGGAAAAACTGCTGTAAGCAGTGTGGGGCCAAATCCTTTCCCATCATTATAGATTTTTTTTAACCCATGGGCCACATACACATTTAACCAGACCTCCAGGGACCTCATGCCAGTGGTGGATGTGGCCATCCCACGCTTCCATACCCACAGTCACATGTGCACACAGGGCACATAGGCCCTTGGCCCTTAGCTGTTCCTCAAGCTGGCCCTCACATTCCTCAGCCCAGCAGGGACCTCCCTGTTCATCAAGTTATCAGACTGATGGCTGGGCAGGGATTGATTGGATCGTCATCAGGGCACTAGACCGTGTGTTTTTTTTTGTTTACTTCACCCACCCCAATGTTATGTCTCTCTTATTTGCTCCCAAAATTGGTAGGTTCTTTAGAGGGCCAGGGAAATGATTTGGGAGGCTTGATTCAGCTTCCAGGCCAGGGGTTCGCTACCTCTGCTCTAAGGAAAATAGTGCTGGGGGCACAGCACTGATGTAATATGTAGATCAAGAAAACTGAACAGAATTGTGGGGACCTTTCATTAAAGCTCCTAGAGTATGAGTAAGAACCTGCTACTGGTCCTTTTTGATCTTCTGGCTTAGAATGAGCAGAGCTGCTTGTGATCAGCCCAACCAAGTGAGCAGGAGCTTTCCCCAAATATTCAGTGGCATAAAAAAATAGTGAAATTGTACAATACTCAGGCAAGATTCCTGGAAATTAATAGTACTGTATAAAGATTTTCCTGAAAATCCAGACTGCTGACTTGCTGCCCAGTGTTCTGAAAGGGAAAGGTTGAAAACTTGTGATAGCTGGGGAGTTGAAACCCAACTTAGAAGTGAACAGTAGCCTACTTGAGAGGGACATAAGTCACTTCCAGGTTAGATAAAGGAGCCCCAAACTGCAATTATGGTTTTATTTCTGCTCATGGCATAAGTGATACATGGGTGGAGTTTATAAAACTACCCATATAAAATTGCATATTTATAAACATGAATTCACCAGTAGTCATATACTGTGGCAAAGCAGTTATGTGAGTTTTCTGGATAATTTTGAATCAGAATTTTTCAGTGCCTTAAATTGATTGGGATTGGATTTAGTTTATTTGAATTACAGTGGTACCTCCGGTTGTGCATGGGATCCGTTCCGGAGTTCTGGTCAGATCCTGAGGAATTTGCAGTCGGAGGTGCCTGTTCTGCACACGGTGCGGTAGAGCGCTTCTGCGCATGGACGCGGCAAAACCCAGAAAAATACTTCCGGCTTTGCCGCATGCGTAACCCGAAGGATACGCAACCAGAGGTGTATGTATCCAGAGGTACCACTGTATTTGGTTTTTGGTTTTTAATTAAGCCTTGTTTATACATGCATGCTTGAGCACACAAATCTACAAATCAGTAGTTCTCATGTGAGAGAGAAGATGCTTTCCAGAGACAGTAATCTAACCAAAAAAATGTTGTTGAAACTTTGAAATGCCCCAAATTTAACTCTATTCTTTCCATCCATTTTATTACTAATTAATTTTATGAAACAATATAGTCCAAGAAAGTGAGAATATTCTGTAGAAACAAACATCACTGGGGATATTTTTTGCCCTACATTATTGGCTGCAATTTTTCTTAATGGTAAAGTTGTCAATCTAGTTCCATTGCCTACGCATGTGTTCACAGATGCCTTCAGTGCAGATGAGTGCAAATTTGATGTGCATTGTCTGATTTAAGTTGGCGTTAACACTTTAAATTGTTTAATTTCACAGTGGCTTTGGCTTATTCCTTGAATTTAATTTGATTAGTTTTCATTTCAAAGCAACAAAGGTGATGTCAAAGCAGCTTACAACAATAACGTAATCTATCCTAATAATTAGCATGATGGAACTGTATTTTTCTCCAATTGCAGAGACGTTCCACAGGCCGGCGCTCATGTTCCCCGGGCCGGCACTCACGTTCCCTGGGCCGGCGCTCACGTTCCCCAGGCCGGCATTCTCCAAGTCGACATTCTGAGTCTTCAGTGGAACAGAATTTACGGATCACAGTTGGCAATGACCGTTACGGCATTGACACACCTGAGAGAAAGAGAATATCTGATAGACTAGGCTCACCAGTTGATAGTCTAAGTGATTTGGACAGGTATGCCTCTGAAGGATAGCCTTTCAGAATTACACCTTTTAGTTCTTGTATCATAGGTGATATAAATGATCACGAACTTGCTGTGAGATGGTATGGAAATTGTATTGGATGGAATATATCAAGAATCCCACATCTAAGAGATGTTTTGCTTTCTTCACTTTTACGTCGTATTGGTACTCCCAAGTAGTTGCCAAAACCCGGTGGTAGCTCTTAAACTAAAATTGTGCAGTAAGATTAGATTCTGAAGAACTGCATGCATACAAGTACAGGAATAATATGAATGTATGATTGTTGTTGCTGTAATGTTAACCATGTTGTTGATAGTGATGAAATATATTATAAATGCTCATAAATTAGAAAGGGATAAAGTTGAAGATAAAAAAACATAAATTAGGAAGTTAAACAGCTAGTTGGCTGAAGGCAACATAAGATTCTCACTAGATCAACACTCTTGAGTTTTTATGAGAATTTATTTCAGTGGTGAACTACTGTGGATAAAGTTTTTATGTTAGAATCTTGTGAAGCATAATTTATTTTTATTTTTTAATTAGCTCATTTGACTGGAGGGGTACATTTAAATTTTGTTCTTCCCTGCTGTATGGTGGTAGCAGTGCTGGTAAAGTTTTTCTGGGTACTTTATTCCCAGTATATATAAATAAATAGGAGAGTGTCTTTTATGAAATCTGATGAATACTTTTTCTCCTTCCTGTCATGCTGGCTTTTGTGAAGGCAGACACTGCATTATTAAGAGTGGGAAATGACTAATTATTTTACTTGCATATAGGGGAGGAATCATTTAGAGACAGTTAACCTATAATGTAATCCTTCAGAGAAGTTTACAACAACGTTGATTGCAGTGGCAGAAAATAAAGTTGCTTTGATCCAGGAATTGTAAATAAGCTTTGGAGAAGGAGTGGACCATTTACAGTTTAGTGAGATTGTAACCATAAGAAATTGCTGAGTGCTTGTTCACATGTAGTGCTATATAGGATGGGTGGGAATTTATTTATGCGCCTCCTCTATATGTAGGACATGTAGTGTGAATTGTGGCCTGTTGGTGTATGTTTGTGCACTCTTCACACCAAACATCACTTTGGCAGGGCCTCGTTGGTATGAATATTTAGTAAACACCCAGGACAAGCTTTCGGAATACCACTCTTGCCGAATGTATACAATATTGCCCACAGAGTGGAAAACAATAGATTTAAAACAGCGTTCTTCTGCTAGCATCAATGATAGTATTACGAGAGGTTTTGAAAATATGTTTGCATCTGAGGAGTGTGGTGCATGCAGATAATTTCACACAACCTTTTCTGAAGAAGAATGGTGGGAGATGGGCAAAAAAGTACAAAGCTGGTTTTTAATCATTTTTCCTTAATTGAAATCATGAGGATTTTTAATTGTTCAATCTACAGTACTACCTGTTTTTTTCTGCTCACTTTATTTTTAGTAGACTCTGATCTAAGAGGTTAGCAATAACAGCAAATACGGAACTGAAATATTTGCTTTCTGAAACTGAATCGAAGTTCAAGAGAGAATTAAGCACCCATTTAGTAAATTTACTAATTAGTGCTTCTTGGGGGAATTACTATTTCTAGGGTGAAACTGCTTTCATTTGCTTTATTTTTCTGATATTTCTTGTGAAACGGAAGAGTCTTTGAGACATAAAAAGTAACAGCAAAGTCATAAGAACAAGGATGGCGTAAGTTGGACCTGTAGTTGAGTGCCCATGCTTAGGGTGCTAGTTGTCTATACTTGCTTTCAGGATTTTCCTTCTGCCCATGCCCCTTAACAGTGAGTCAGTATTTGTTGTCTACAGCAGGGATGTCCAACTCCCAAGAGACTGCGATCTACTCACAGAAAAAAAATATGACCTTCTTTCAGGGTTCAGGTCAAAGTTGTTGAGCTTCTTTTGGGGAGGAAAGTCAAAGTTGTTGAGCTTTATTTTGGGGGGAAATGGAAAAATCACTCACCAAAAGATTGATCAGGAAACAAAAAGCCTCACAGTGAAAACTCCGTCTTCTATTCTAGCGATCATGCGCAAATGGAGGCGCCGGGTCCAGGTCCTATTTCCTCCCCCCCCCCCAAAGGAAAAATCGACCATGATCAACTCAAACCTCATGGGGATCAACAAGTTGATTGCGGTCGACCGGTTGGACATCCCTGGTCTACAGGATATACTCAATTGTCATTTGGATTCTTTTGCCTTAAGTCTTTTGTGTAATTCTACAAATCTTGAGGTTTTCCTGAGCCTGCTGACAATTGCCTCATGTGCATCAGTGCTGCTCTTTTGACTTAAGTAAATTTCTGTGCTGGAGAATTGAATTCACTTTCTGTATATAGGATACTTGCACTGTCCATTGTTTGTAGCTAGTTCAGAGTGGCAACTTAATCTTGGTAACAAACATAGTTTTGATTGAAACTCTCTTCCAATTGATATCCTGATCCTATGGACTTGTTTTAGGTGTAATTGGGTCTATAGTGGCTTAAGTGCTATAGCTAAACCAGAGCACTGTGTTGGATAACTGAGTTGAGTCCCATTTGCCATTATCTACCTTATTCTCCTGGGAACTAACTACCTTTTGGTTGCAGATGTACACAATACATTGTGAAAGACCTTAGAATGTAATTCTGTATTATTTGCTCCTGTCAAAGTGGCATTGCTGTTCTGTTTTAAAGTTCATATTTGAGGTTGGGACACTTTGGTCTGATTATTTGAGCAGTTTGTGTGATGAGCTGCTCATAATGTCAAAGCACAAGAAATCGGCAAAACCACATTTCACTGTTCATTCACAAAATTACATTACATGCATATATTATATAAACTTCACTGTTTTTCTTGAAAAATCTTTGAACTGTTAAGGACAGTGATATTTTGTCTTCTAAATGCTGGGTGCATGGGGGGGAATCTCAGAAAGCAGGTTTTGAAAATACTAGCAGGGAAAATGCTTATGTTTTCTTCTATAATATTGTCGCTGATGATGGAGGAATCATAATAGCCATGGTGTAAAAATACTTCTAAGTAATGTTATGTTGCTCACTTCTCCTATTTCCATCCTGATGAAGTTATTGCTTCCCTGGATGGTCAGTCAGACATAAGAATGAATGAATGAATTGTAATGTATGTAGTCCAAACTTAAGTAAAACAATTAAGGGGTGGGGGGGGTGTATGTGTGTGTGTGTATATATATATATGTGTGTATATATATATATGTGTGTATATATATATATATATATATATATATATATATATATATATGAATGAAATAATCTTACAAAAATTACTAGCCTGCAGGTCAAAGGAGGGACAGAGCACTGTGTTTCTGTGCTGGGCCAAGAGGAGGAGGCTTTCCTCCTCTGGCAGCCTCTGGGTTTCTCTGTTGGGCTCAGAAGTAGCAGAACGCTCTGTCCCTCCTCTGCCAACCTACTCACTCAGCTGCATGCAGCCCGTTGTTGCCTTTGGCTGCCAGGCTAATGCTTAAAAGCTGTATAAAATAAAGATACTTGGTTGGATCCAGAGTTCTGTGGGCAAAATTTCACTCATGGAACAAGGTGCTCTCAGGTCTTGGCTCTCCTCTGTTTATGTTGCATGTCTCATGGTCATAAATATCAAGACCTCTAAAATGAGTGGTGAAGGTATTGCTTAATATGCAGCATCTCCAGAACCAGCCATCTTAGCTTCAAAGCATGAATCATGCATTTTACGCCTCTCTGAGTTCAGGGGATGCTGTTCCAAGTTCCTGACTTTGTTGTAACTTATGTGCCTCTCTTATCAGGGATGACTTGGCCGATGGTCCAATATTTAGCAGAGGCCTTTCACGTCCTCGAAGCCTTGAGCGATATCCCTCCTGTGAGGAAAATGCTTCTAGTCCTTTCAGTATGAGACATAATGAGGACTCTCACAGTAGGGATGTTTTCCTCCACCAATCAGACTATAGCATGAACTATGACCATCTACAGGCTCTACCAAGGGAAACTGATAGGGATGGTGTACTACTTAGGAAGTCCTCGTATTCATCAGAGGATAGAGGGCGAGAGCCCAAACGTCCTCGATATGACAGAGACGACAGACTAATTGATATGAGCATAGAGCCTCAGGGTTTCCTGCCAGGGACACGAAACTATCGTAAACGAAGTCCTAGTAGGAGCCCAAGCCCACCATATCTGGATTTCCGCGAGCTTGAAAGTGCTAGGAGAAAAAGAGAAGAGGAGCTGAGCAGAAATTTGAGTCGAGAATTGCCTGGACATGGTTATATGATCCCTGACAGGAGCAACCCACTGCAGTCTTCTGAACCTCGGTATCTCTATAGACCGGATGAAGCACCAGCAATGCCCAAAAAGTCCATCTTGAAGAAACGCGTGGACGATCCTTCTGTGCAGGTTTGGCCTATATTTTTTTCTCTCCTTACTAAACTGTCAGTTACACTTTGCTGCTTTTTAGTAAATCTTATTTTACTTAATCTCTGGAGTAGATACCCTCAGAACAATACCCAGGTCACCCTTGCTGTTGTGGAATCTTAAATGTCAAAATAACAGCATATTTAGGAACTGCTGTGTCTCTTTCACACCTTCCTACGGTTGACTGTTACTGTTCTAAACCACTGGCTACGATCCTGGTGTATCAAAGTTTTGTCTGTTTTATTGGTTATCACTGAATGTATTCACAAATGACAATTATTTCTTTTTTCTTTTAGCCTGAAGTCTTTTCCAGCAGTTCTGCCTCTGTCAAAGAGCCTCCCCTTATTACAGATCATCCTCCTTCGCAGAAGCGTAGCAGCATTACTCCTTTTTCATCTGAGGTGGAGAATTTCCTTAAACAGTTCAACAAAAGTGCAGTTGCAGAATCTACGAATAAAGAGTCTCAAGGGAGTGTGCATAATTGGAAACTAAATTCTGGCCAACAGCAAAACACTTCCCCCTTTGAACAGAATTTCGGCAGTTTTTTGAAACAGAAAGACTATCATGAGTCCATATCAGAGCCTGAAGACCGGCACAATGACTTCTTACTTCCTCATGAAAGAGCCAGCCAGGATGGGAGTGGCTTTTCACGCATTCTTGGTATGATGGCAGATTCTACCAGTGCTCAGGAAAAGAGAAGGCGTGGCTTTCCTGACATTGAGGATGAAGAGAAGTTTCTTTATGGCGATGATGAAGATGACTCTAGCATTAATTCCCCTGCTACTCTAAAGCCAACACTTAGTGTTGTTAAAGAACCTGAAAGCCTGAAAGAAAGTTCTCCACCTCCTGCTAATCCCTCTGTAAAACCTGGAAAATCCAGACCAGAGTATGAGAAAATTCATGACTTGCTCAAAACTATTGGTCTTGACATTGGGGTAGCTGAAATTGGTAAGCTTGCTGCCCGCACTCAGGAACGACTCCATGGGAAGAAAGCATCTCGTTCTCCTGATCGTCATTCAATAACGTCTCATAAATTGGAATCTAGGGAGAGGCGTCGCAGTCGTAGTGACACTCATTCTCCAGAATCAAGGCAGCATCACTCTCTCTCCCCCTCTGGTTCTTTCCCACCATCTAAAGATATACCTTCTATTTCAAATTCTGAGCACACAGAAAGCATAACTGTAGGGCAAAATAATCCCACTCCCATACCAGAACAGTCTGTTCCCCCAATATCTCTAATGCCATCGGCTCCACCTCTTCCTAATTTGTCTTCTACTTCCACTTCGGTTTCCCAGTATAGAGTTTCTCGCTTTTCACCATTCACTGCAACTCAACTGCCACAAAACTATCCATCTCCCACAATGCCCCCTCCTGGTTATGATGCATATGGACACTATATGGCATATGCAGCATCTGGCTGGCCCATGTATGCTGCTCCTCAGCAGGCTGACCCCACACTTTCAGATGTACATGGGCTTGTCACACTGACAGTACCATCAAATCCCACGCGACCCAACCTCCGAGTTATTGAGACGGTTTCCACAGGCAAAGGGACTCCCGATACCAAGAGAGATGACTCTGTGCTTGTACAAATCCCTAGTGCTACGACTTACTCAAAATTATCCCCTCAGTTTTCTCAGCCTTTTCTTAAAAGTGTTAAAGAAAGAATATCCGATGAAAGAAATCGGGCTTCTCAGAAGCTAAAGGTGAGTATTTTTAATGATGTTGATAATTTTGTTTCTTACAACACACAATCTAAAGGCATAAGAATGCTGAGTATCTGTGTTTATTTTTCAATCTTGATTGCTATTTTTGGAATAGAATGTGCCTCCAGTGTTTAAAAATATTTGACTGTTCAATAATCTGTGGCAGGAGATGCCTTATAAACACTTGAAACAAGGACACATCTTATTACTGAGTTGAGTTTCTTAGTGTGTTTCAAGTAGCATTTAAAATTCTTGAAACAAAGTGAAACAGATTACAGTCCTGTGAAATATCCCAAATTAGCAAATCTCTTTTAGGTTTTCTTTTTATATTCAGTTGCATTTGTGCATTTGTTGTCTTCATTTAGGAGTGAAGAGAAACATCTACTAAATAATAAGATTCTAGAATAGTAACTAGTACAAGACTAAATTCACCAGGAAAACAGGCAAATATTTCCAAAAATGGATGCTTAATATTATTACATTGCAGTAGATTATGGCTACGTTCCAACAGTTAGTATGTGCTGCAGCCCATTGATTTTAGTGGGCTTAAGCGTGCTTAATTTTAATTAAACATCCAGTTGTGTCCCTCCTTTGACAGAACATTCTTTCAGACTGGAGGCTTCTGTGAGCAGGAAGGGGTGTGTATGATTCTTTTTTTATAACATTTTCCATCTGCAGCCCCATCGCTCATTTCAAAGAACTTCCTCTGTAGTTGAGAGAAAAGCAAAAGTTACTTAATTATTAAACTTTTATTTTGATTGAAAAATCAACATAGATACAGCATAGAATAAATGAGCTGCAACCTCTGAGCAGAGATGCATTTGCATCAGATACTAATCCACAAGGCTACTTTAACATGATTATTGGAATTTCTCAAATTCAAGAAAAAGCAGTGGGAGTCATCCCAGTAGTCTTTGCAGTATTTCTTTGACTGGTCCATGAAAGAGGGTATTTTTATACCTTTGTTTCCTTCATTAACTTTCTAGGTAATGGAGGAAAGAGAGAAGTTGAGGTCTGAACAGGAAGCACGACAGAAGAAACTGCACTATCTCAAGACTGAATTAGAACGACTTTCAAAACAGCAAGGTACTGCTTTCTCTCATTTTATGCCTCATTTTTCCCTGTGATGCTCTATAGTGGTGATACCAAGTGTAGGATTATTTTTACTTCTACTAATTTAGGCACCCCTACATATTATCCTAAACAGGAATTAATTATTGTGGATCCTGTATTGATTATTGCCAGTTCTGCATTCAGTAATGTGGACAGAACTTTCTGGCATTTGGGCCCAACAGAATGGTGTGGGACACCTTTAGGTACACAAAATAATTTTGCATGTGTTAACATGATTTTCTTATGCTTCCTACTCCACTACTTTGACCGACTCAGGGGAGATGCTGCGGAAGAAACGTAGGGAGAAGGATGGACACAAAGACCCTTTGCTAATAGAAGTGAACAAACTACAGGAGAACATTATGAACGAGATTTCTCAGCTGAAGTTACATGCAGAGGCTGCAGAGAAGAAACAGTCTGAGCTTGACAAAGTAGCTCAGATCCTGGGTATTAATATATTTGAGAAGTCCCGGAAGCAATCTTCAGAAAATAAGGACTCATCAGAAAAAAACAAGTCAGAAAATGCAAAAGGTCAGGAGAGAACTTCCAACTCAGTCAAGGTAAAATTCTAAGTGCTGATTCTAACTGATGTTCTCACTTTTGGTAAAAACAGGGTGTTTGGAAGAATTTCTTGCCACCTGCTTCTTACATATTAAGTTCAAACTTTGTTAAGCTGTCACTTGTGTTTGACATAATTTTTATTTATTATTAGTATCCTGACTTTGGGGGTCACACATTCTTACCATGTGACTTAAAAGTAACATTAAATTCGTAAAAAATACAATAAACAATATCAACAAAAATAATAATAATCAAGATCCTTCCCACAGGGAAGTTGGTGATAGAAAGGCCTAAGACAGGGAGGTAATAGTCTTTCCTGAATCCTTTCCACTGGTCCAGGAGTGGAGGGAATGATTTTAAGAGGAGGCTGGTGTTAGAATAATCTGATGGCATTCTGCAGAGTAGAAAAAAACCAGAATGTTTATGCACAACAGTTATCAGGTAGTTTCTGAAGGACCATGAATGTTGATTATTTCATGGAGCTTGTAATTTTAATTTCAAATAGCTTTCTGTGTGGTCCAGTTTTGAAAAACTTACATAAATTGAATTAATAGAAATTGCTAAAAACACAACACCCATAATATAATGTTGATTTTTTTTCTCCCCTTCAGCCTGAGGAAGTGCATAAAGAGAGAAGTCTATGTGGTGCTGAATATGATTCATTCCTGTTTTTTTCTGTCTTAAATAATGCTATGATTACCTTTTGACTTGCTATGATTACCTTTTGACTTGAAATTCTCTACCTCAGGCAGATTTTTATGCTCCTGCAATAGCCTTCATTTTCTTTAATAAACATTTAAAAGGGAAGAAATCATTGTGGCATTTTCTGGTTTGATGTAAAGAATCTGATAATTATTCGGGAAGGAGACATGCATGTTTTTTCTTGTTGATCACAAGTGTGGAGTGACACAGTCTCTGCAAAAATGACAGAAAAACCCCCAAGAAAATTGAGTGGGAATGCAATTCTAATTTGGGTTGCCTTCCAAAACCTAACAGCCTGCTTGCATCAGGATGGATTTTCCCTTCTGCTACTCATTAACTTGGAAACTATGAGAGAGAAATTTCCTAGCTCTTCTGAAAGTGAAACACTATGGAAAACACTGGATATGTGATCTCCTTAAGTCTGCTTTGCCGACTAGACCCTGCTTGTAGGCTTCCCACAGACAGAATGCTAGACTAGATGGGCTTCATCCCAGCATAGCTGCTCTTATAATCATATAAAGACAAATCAGTTGTTAGAGCTCACAGCCCATTATTTGTGGGAGCAAGCAGATCAGTGGAAGAGGAGGGGGATGTCTATATAATGCCAAAACATTCTTTATGATTCTCAAAGAAGGGAGCTAGAGGATATGAGCACACAACATTAAACATAATGCTTTTCTTCACTGACTGACAAACATTTTTGGAAGAAAAAACTACAGTATCTTGATTGGAATACAAGGGTCTTACGTTGGTACTCTGGTCTCCTGATCCAGTCAGTTCTTACAATAGGTTGGAAGAGTAATTTATGTTTCCCCTGCAACTCTTTACAACTCGTTTAGGGAGGCTTTCCTAGGGATGTGGACTTTTAAATAGTTTTATCACGTATATTATACTCTAGGGGATCAAAGAGTCAAACAGCATGACATAATAGACACCATTTCTCATGTATGTTAAATGCAATAGCAGAGTCAGTAATTCAAGATTTGAGACAGACCAGATTCTTCTGCTGCAAGCTTTCTTCATTGACAGCTTAGAGCCTGAGCACTTGTGTTTTGCCACAATATAGAGTGCATCATATAAAGTAGTTGCAGGTAGGTAGCCGTGTTGGTCTGCCATAGTCGAAACAAAACAAAACAAATAAATAAATAAATAAATTCCTTCCAGTAGCACCTTAGAGACCAACTAGGTTGGTTATTGGTATGAGCTTTCGTGTATCTGAAGAAATGTGTGTTTATTTTATTTCGTTTCATATAGAGAGAGTATGCAAAGTGACTGGCTTTTTCAAAGACTTTTAAGTGTTTTTGAGAATTTACAAATTCATTGGGAGTTGCTGGGTGTTTTGTACTTAAGTATTTTGTACTTAAGTATGCATACTGCACACATGCACCGTGTACTCCATGGGATGTCATCCCTTGATTGCTTAGTACCTGCAACCTTGGCAACATGCTTGAGTCTCGTTGGAAGTTCTTTCCTGTTGACTGAACAACATCTGAGTCGGCAGTGCCTGCTCACTGAAATGGTGGAATTATCCTGGGCATTGACAAGCAGGTGATATATAGTTACATATATGTATATTTTGTGTGGTTTCTACTAAAGGCTAGTTTTGAGGCACTGGCTGTCATTCCACAGTTAGTAATATTTCATTTTTTTCCAATTTAGGATTTAAAAACTAATGACAAACCTGGGTGCAGGAGCCCCAAGTCTACAGAACCTCATTTTCAGCCATCCAAACAGCATTCCCAGGAAACCAATATTTATGACTATTATGACACGGGAAACCACTGGTGCAAGGACTGCAATACCATCTGTGGGACCATGTTTGATTTCTTCACACATATGCATAATAAGAAGCACAGGCAGGTGTGTGCTATCAGGTTTTCATTAAGTAGTTTTAATTTGCTCTTCCAAGTTGTAAAATAATGTTTTGTAGAAAGCAAAGAACTACATGCCAATCAACTTTCCTTTTAGAAAATACAGTTTGGAATAAGTTCTTATTCCTAATCTTTTTGGTATGGTTTGTCACTTACTATATTTTTCCACGTATAAGACGCCCTCTGTTTTTTTGAACCCAAAATTAAGATACCAATATTTTAAACATCAAACAGAACAACTTTTATATTTTCTTACATATTCAATGTCTGAGGGTAACTATTTGAATCCCAGCTTCATTTTGAGTGTCAATATGTGAGACAGTTCAGTACACGCCCATTTGGTATGTATAGTTCTGTTTTTCCTCAGTGCTTTTAGCATTCGGCAGGAAAGCAGACCTCATTTTAATATTTCTTTTGTCATTGTAAATAGACCTTGGATCCATATAACAGACCTTGGGATTTGAAGACTCAAACTGAAACAAAGCAAGACCTTACAAAACGCATTGACAAGATACCAGTTCCTGCTAAAGGTAAGTTGCTTTTTATAGTTTAAGTGGTGTTTAGGAGGGCCAGATTGTTCACCTTACTGCCAAGAAATGTTTTGTCTTATTAGTGTCAACAAAAGACTGTCACTTCCAAGTAAATGTCTGTCAGCTATTTTGTTTGCATGAATTGCTCTGTTACTGAATTAGTGGGGGATTGAAATGCAACATAAATTTGTATTTGAATGATAAACAAAGTATACAGTGATAAGAATTGTTGAACAAGTGTAGGTTTCCATTCTTCAGATCAGTTTGTTTCAAGTGGAATCCATGGTTAACTGGCTCATTTCAATTGTAGGGCTTTTTGTGTACTTTTAGTGTTTTGTTTGAATTTTTTGTTGTTCAAATCTGTAGTGTGTCTTATTATCTTATTTCTGTAATTGATTGTTTTGGGCGGCATTTCAGGTTCTGAATTTCTAATCCCGGTCACTGGATATTACTGTCAGCTGTGCCAAGAATTTTTTGGAGATCAGATATCAGCAGAACAACATGTGAAAAATAATCCACATAACGAGAAATATAAGGTACCTGGAGTATTTGTTTTGAATAAAAATGTTTAAAAGACATCTTATTGAAGTCTTAAAGTCTTCTGTTGTAAAAGGGAGGAGAAGCTATAGCTAAGTGGCATGACATATACTTAATATGCAAAAGCTTCTGAATTCTGTCCCTGGCATCTCCAGGTAGAGCTGGGAAGGACTTTTAATCTTTCAGAGTCACTGTAGATAATATTGTTGGACTGTGTTCCCAGTTGACACTTTGGTTGTGTGTTACTGAAATTTTACTGTACTAGATTTGTTTTATGCTGCAGTTTTGTCACCTCATTGGAATAAAGCTTTTCTCATATTACTTTATATATAAAAGTGTAGAGTTGGAAGGGACAACAAGGGCCATCTAGTTCAGCCCCCTGCAACGCAGGAATCTTTTGCCCAGTGGGGCTCGAACCTATGAACCTGAGAGTGTCTCATGCTATACCAACTGAGCTTTGCTAATGTAGATATTCCGATTAATAATTGTCTAGTAAAACCACTCTTTCTCCTCCCTCTTGCATTTCTAAGCAAGTACAATTAGTAGTGGGGTGGTGATGTGGAAGATAAAATATTAAGGAAGACAAACCTGTACCACTACTGAAATTTCACATTAAGTAACAGTGCTGAAACTTTTCCTTGTCCTCACAGAAATATGTGGATGAAAATCCACTCTATGAAGAGAGAAGGAACATTGACCGTCAGGCAGGATTGTCTGTGATTCAAGAAACAGAACGCCGGTTGAAACGGAAGCTGTGTGAAAAGCAAAAAGAAGAGAGAGATGAAAAAGCAGTGAAAGTGGCAAGGAAAGAGGAACGAAAAAGTAAAGAGGAACCAAAGAATTCCAAAGAACTAGGAGATGGGGATAATGAAAATGAGTCTAATAAAAGGAAAGGAGTTTCTAATGGCCAGAAATGTGGGGTTAAGCTTAAATTGAAAAAAGATGACAAAGAGGTTGAAAAGAAGGAAGGGAAAAAAGAGGAACCACCAAAGGAGTCAAGAATGACATCTTTTGGAAAGTTCAGCTGGAGGAAGACTGAGAGAGATGAAAAAAATCAAGGCAAAGATGTAACTGCCTCTAAGGAGGAGAGCTTTGAGGAAAGTAAAGATAAAGAAAGCAAGTCACAATCTGGAAAACCAAATTCAAAGCCAATTGCAATTAAATTGTCTGGGAAAACTGTTATCCCACACACTAGTCCCTGGACACCAGTTGTTTCGACATCATCACAAGCAAAAATCAGGCCCAATTTACCAGCCCCCATGATGGTTCTCAGAAAGTCTGCAACAGCAACAGTAAGCAAGCCTGCACCTTTGAATACTTTCTTGTCCATAAAATCCTCTGGTGCCAGCACCAAGCCACTTCCTGTTGTAAAAGAGGGTAATCCAGAACTTGTTCTACCTCCTGATATTATTTCGAAAGCATTTGGGGGAGAAGTAGTAGTTTTAAAGGGTTCACAGGAGAATGCAACGGTACCAGAACAAACAGAGGAACCTGATCATGAAGCTGTGTCCCGGGCTGTAGAACATGCAAAAGCTGCGGAACATGCAAAGGCGACTGCAGCAATAGCACAGGAACAAGCAGCAAAGGCACAGGAGCAAGCAAATGTTGTGGCAAAAGCACAAGCAAAGGCACGGGAACTTGCTGCTGTGATAAAGGAGCAAATTACAAGATTGGGTATTTTTGAGAGACCTAATCGGCGTCCTCCTCTACTGCCATCAGGACCACCGCTGTCAGTAGCACTGCCAGTACCACCAGCAATGGCATTCCCACCTCCGCCCGCAGTGCCACCCAAACAAGCAACCATCCTTGCAGATGACATGGCTCCTGGTGTGTCTGAGGATGATAAAAACATACTGGCAGTGCCCATGTGTCCCCATCCTTTGCCACCACCAACTATTTTCAGAGACCATGTTAAAAAACTGGAGAAAAAGAACTCTTGCCTAGCAGCAGGTAATGCCAAAGATCTATACGATATTTTCTACAACCGCAGTGGGAGGAGTCCAGCTGATAGCAAGTCTGTGAACTCTGCAACTTCAGATAAAATTAAATCAAATCCTGCTGAGAGACAGAAAAAAACAGACCAGCTGGCAGATCCCAAACCAAGCAGCAAGCCTGTCACACAAGAAACTCTACAAAACATACACAGTTCCTCAGATGTTAGCAAAATCCCTTTAAATGACAAGACCCCAGAAACAGATGATGCTGAAGTTGAGAAACTTTTGGCAGCCTATGAAGAAAACTTTAAAACTGGTGTTGAGAGGGAATCAAAGAAAATCTCTCTTTCAGATGCACAGTCAATATTAAAATATGAATCCAATGATTTTTCAGTAAATGCCCCTGAGACAACAGATTTTAAATCTGATGATGATAAAGAATTAGCAGTGCAGTTGTCAGTAGATTGTGTTTCTCTTTTAGAAGATGTTAGCAAGAAACCATCTGAACTTGAAACAATAGAGTTAGCTATGCAGTTGCCAGAAAGCAATGCTTCTCCTTTGGAAGAACTCTACAAGAATTCCTCAGTATGTGAGGCAGCAGAGGTTAAATCTCATGATGATGATGAATTAACAATGCAGTTATCCCTGAAACCTGGTACTAAGAAGCCATCAGAGCTGGGGACAGCAGAATTTGTGCTGCAGTTGCCAGAAAGTAGTGTTCCTTCTTTGGATGACTTTAGCAACAAACCCGCTGATCTTGTGACAACAGATTTTAAATCTGATGATGATAAAGAATTGGCAATGAAATTGTCAGCAAACCATGTTGATCTCTTAGAAGATGTTAGCAAGAAGCCATCAGAGCTGGAGACTGCAGAATTAGCCATGCAGTTGCCAGAAAGCAATGCTTCTCCTTTGGAAGAACTTCACAAGAATCCATCTGTGTGTGAGGAAGCAGTGTTTAAATCTCTTGATGATAAAGAATCAGCAATGCAGTTGTCACAGGAACATGATAATAAGAAGTCATCAGACCTGGAGACAGCAGAATTTGCTATGCGGTTGCCAGAGAGCAGTGTTCCTCCTTTGGATGATGTTACCAACAAGCCCACAGGCCTTAAGACAACAGACGTTAAATCTCCCGACGATAAAGAACTTACAGTGCAGTTGTCAGAAAGCAGTGTTTTTCCTTTGGATGATTTTAGCAACAAACCTGCAGACTTTGAGACAACAGACTTTAAATTTCCAGATGATAAGGAATTAGGCTTACATATGTCAGAAGACCATGTTGCTCTTTTAAAAGAGCACGATGTTAGCAAGAAACGATCTGAATTTAAGACAGCAGGATTAGCCATGCAGTTGCCAGAAAGCAATACTTCTTTGGAAGAATTTTGCCAGAATTCATTGGAGTGCAGGGCAGCAGAGTATAAATCTCCTGATGATAAAGAATTAGCACTGCAATTGTCAGAAGACCAAGAGGCTCTTCTAAAAGATGTTAGCAATAAACCTCTGGGGCATGAGATGGCAGAGTTTAAATTTCCTGGTAAGAAAGAGTTAATAATGCAAATGGCAGAAAATGAGACTGACTTTACTGCTGAAGATGTTGGTGTGGCAAGTGGCACAGACATCAGCGACGAGTTACAAGACCAGCAGAAAATGGATAAATCCAAATTAAACAAGATCAGTAAAAGTTTGGAGATGAAAGCATATTTGACAAGTTTAGGTGAGAGAGATGTAGGAGGAGAACATACAGAATTTGCAGGACATCAGTTTGTTGTTAGTCAGGAGCATGAGTCTCGGTTATTTGAAACACAAATTGATACCCCTAAGGGAGAAGGCCATACTATAACAGAAGATAAGCAACTTGATGACAGCTCTGAATCAACAATTTCTATGTGGGTTTCAGAGGTGCGTGTTCAGAGACCACTGGCATGGGAGCCAGCCTCATCTTCAAAAGTGAATAAGGAAAATCCTCAAATAGCAATGATAGATCAGAGTTCCAATAAAGAACCATTATTGGATCTAAAATGGGGCAATGTGGGCCTTGATAGGCTTGAATCAGCAGTCAGTGATGAAAGTCCGCAGACTTCAGAGGTCCAGAACATAGATCCTGGATTGAAGCCTTTAAATACAGATGAATTTAATAATTCCTGTATAAATAATGAACAAAAATTGTTGACTAGTTCTCAACCAAACGATGATGAAAATTGTAATGTAGTTGGTGTTCCAGTATCAGAAGAGATGTCAAATGAGTGCCTTGTTAACGTAACAATGATAAGCAGTACACTAGGGAAACATGAAGAAATTAGTCAACATCCATTAAGCTGTGAAACCAAGGATTCCCAAGCTAAGGGAGCTGAAACTTTGGGCAGTATGTCTTCTGCAAATGATGAACTTCATTCCAGTGCAGAATTAATGTTTATAAAAAATAATGGGTGTGGGCCTTCTGAATCTGATCTCAGTTTAAATGACAATGCAGAGAGAGGTTCTGTAGAAACATATAGCACTCACTTTTCCAGTGTTCAGCCAGAGATGGTTCAAGAACCACTAGGTGCTCTTCCAACAGAAATCAGTGTTGAGCATCTTGGAGAGGTAGCCCTTACATTCACAGACATGAACACTGGGATCTTGGATACCTCAGCAGCTGGTGACTTGGACTTGAATAGCACTTATTCAGAACTTAACTTTGATCATTCTACAACCCCTTCTCCAAAGTCTGGAGAAATAAAGCCTAATGATTCTCCTAGATTGAAACCAAGCCTGGAAATAGAAACCATTAATTTTAGTCTGGGAGATATTGAGGTAGAACGTGAACATCTGGGCATCCTACCATCTGAAATTCTGAATGAGGATATTGTAGGGAGTCCAAAGTTAGAAACCATTTCATCCATTTCTTTAGGGTCCAACAAAACTAGAGAATTGGGCATTGAGCAACCTACAATTGAACCAGAAATGATTGCTTTTGTTGAGTTAGCATCTGGTGAGGAAGAGGATAAATTTTGCTCCTTGGTTTCTGATGTAATTGTCCCAAACATAGTGTCTCCTGCATCAAATGGTAGCACTGCTGGACCAAGCATGTCACTCATCGAAATGCAGGACATGCCTCCAATTTCCATGGTATTGCAATCAGATGTTAGCAGAGACAGCACTTCTGATATGCCACCACTGAGTAGCGACAAAAAAAATGTGCAATGCCAAGCAACTGAGTGCAAGGAATCCTTCCTTCTAGATCTACAGAAAACATCTGTAGAAGTGGGGGGCTCAGGTGACAACGAATTGTACATTGTCAAGAATGAGATGCAGGCATCTGCAAGGGAGTTAAACAAGACAGATGAAGTGGAAAATAATGATAGTAGATATGAGATTAACAGTAAGTTGACTTCAGAAGTAACTGAAAGCTCTGCAGAGTACCTGGTAAGTTCAGATAATATTGATCCTGATGTTTGAGTAGCTGTTGTGTAGATTTTGTAAATACTCTGTTTGAGTTTGATATGTTAGATATTTTGAAGTAGATATTTGCTAAAGCCTGAACTTCATTTGCCCTGAAAGATATACACCATTGTACATATTGGATTGTATAAACATTTTTTTGTTGAACTTAGAACATTTCATTTCTATTTCTTGCAGTTAAAATGCAATTACTCATCTATAACTGACCTTCACATATAATACAGAACCATGGTTTAGCATTATCAGAATGCGTAACAGTGAACCTTTAGCTTGTACACTTCATTTTACCTCTCCTGGTGTGACTGTGAGGAAATTGAACGTTGCATTAATCACAGTTTCACATGATGTCTGAAACACAAACTGTGGTTAATCTTAAGCTTCATAAATTATGATATGAACTTGGCTTGTTTCCACCAACCATAGGACTAGCTGCATTTTCTCTGGATATGGACAGCAAGACAAGCTAAGCTACAGTTGGTCTAAAATGGAAGTGAAAGTTTCCAAATGTCATGACTGTACTGGAGGAAAAAGGTGGTAGCAAGTGAGCTCACGGCTTGCTGCAGATTTTCCTTGTAATGCTTAAACAGTAGTTCGGCATTTTGTGGGAATGCAGCCAGTGTGTATGTGGGCCTTTGGAGGGTTTCTTGCTGTTGGGGCATATATGGGTTTTGTGGGGGTTTTTGCATTTTTCTTTGACTATTTTAATGGTTTCTGATTTACACAGCTTTTGTAAGTAACATTCCAAGTGCAACAGTGACAAGCGCAAGAAAACCTGTTCAGAACTTGAAGAAAAAAGAAGGCTCTTGCTGAAACATTTGAGCAGAAAGTTTATTTGAAATGTTATGCATGTTTTGTTGCACAAAATGTAAAATGCATAAAGATTGTTCTGCAGTTTTGACTTGTAATTACGTTGTTGAATTGAATCTGTAATCCAGACTGTAATGCCATGTTACTGTGTGTGTGGATATCATCTCGTTGAGCAAAGAAGAAAAATCTACCAACTCACTTTTGGAGACGGAAACTATTTGGTAAGGCTGTGGCCCAACAACTGGACTCTGCATATTGAGGTCACTTACATGATTTGAAATCACATTTCATTTCATTGTATTGTAATGCAGTAACTGTTTGTGTTGAATTGTTTAGCAGCTGCCCAGCTCAGAAGAAATAGAAGATCTCAACTTTGCTCTCAGGATTGGATTCACTTCACATACCCAGACATTACATGCCTGAATGAACCCCTGAGCCGCAAAATACTGTTTCGTGAAGGTTTTTCACTTATTCAGCTTGTCAAGATATGAAGTAAACGTTTGCATGGATCTATATAAAAGGTTTATCTGTAAATCTAAAATAAACCCAATATATCAAATATATTGCCATTTTCCCCTTTGTTCTTTAAATAAGTGGTTCTACAAGTTGTTTTTTGTGAACATTCAGACAACTGGTTCTTCAGTTAATTTCCCATTTTCACCACACTGGAAATTAAATCAAGCCATGAATTATGCAGCATTATGAGAAAACTTTGCTTAAATATTCAGCAGGTTAAACACGGTGTGTAACTTACATTCTTTCAATTTTAAAAGAAAACAGTATGGTAAAAATGCTTTGAAAACTTCTGGTTTTCCCCCCCATTATGTTTTAAAAGATGTCCACAAATAAAGTTAGTGTTTGTAAAGTGGGATATGAATGAACTGTTAAAAAACAGAAAAAGGGTTTATGCTAATTTAAAATGCAGTTGAATTAAGTAAATAAGTATTTATGGTGGAAATACAATTAACTTGTGCTATCAGTTGTTCAGCCTGCACTGTTGCACTAGCACTTCTGTACTGACCCAGAACATTACACAGGTACAAAAGTAGGAATTGCTGCTAGCAACCACCATTACCAATATCAGAAGCAAGATAGCATAAAGGAAGAGGTGGGATTGTGGTTGCTTTGCTTGTCTGTATCCATAGGTTACTGACAACTCGGAAGCCAACTCTGCTGCTACAGTTCTGTACTCTGCGTGATAGTATATATGAACAGGATTTCAGGTGGTGGGGCAGCAAAGACATGCTTCTTACTTTGCTTGGAATATCAACAGGTGCAGTAGAGGTCACACTGCTGTTGCAGCTGCACACATCTGTGGATTCGTGGTTTTGATCAAAGAAGTAAGTTTAGTAAACATTTTCTGCCTCTCATAACTTATTCCAGTGAAATCCAATAAACACTGGTTTCATCTTATATTTCTTCCAATTTTATCCTTCCTTCAAGGAGTTACAGGCTCTCTCTTCTGTCCATTTTATAATAATCAACAGTTCTATGAGGTATATTGAGCTAAGAAATGTTGACTAGATTAAGGCTACCCAATGAGCTTCAGAGCTGAGGAGGTATCTCTTCCACACTGGTGTTATCCAATGTCTTCCAGATGTTGGGTTACAGTCCCATAATCCCTGGCCAAAAGCCATGCTTTCTGGGGCTGATGGGAGTTTTAGTCCAACAGTATCTGGAAGGTGTACTACATTGGCCATCCCTGCATTACACCACAATCTCTCGTTATTTTCTTATCCATATTACCTACCATGACTATGCTTTTCCCCTCACAAACTTGGATTGAAACTCCTACTTCATGTATAAGAATGCTCCAAAAGGAAAGGGGAAAAACCTTTTTTTTTTAATTCTAAATGCCTTCATTTTACTGATAGAATTATAGTTTAAAAATGTAACGGGTAACTTAATTGATGTTAGTTCATGTTGAGAGAAGTTCTTTTAGTTCAGACAGTTCAATGTGAAAATTGCATTACAGTAGAAAACGATACTGAATAGCAAGATGGTAAGAGTTTGCCTATGCACATGAATTGACAATGTGGTAAAACGGAAACAAATTGTGATGACAAGGGATTGCCCTTATTAACAAAAATTAACTAATCACAGTGTCTGGGTGGCATCTACCTGGCATTTCTTAAAAGATTTCAAATGTTAAATTGCTGGTCTTTTAACAAAAATAAGATCAGACACACTCTGAGGATTATAAAGTAGCCAACTTTTTTTTTGGCGGTGGGAGGGATGTGGGAAATAACAGGCCAGTTAGCTTAACATCTGTTCCAGGAAAATTGGTGGAAAGCATTATTAAAGATAGAATTGTGAGGTATATAAAAGTACAAGAGTTGTTGAAACAAAACCAGCATGACTTCTGCAAGGGTAAGTCCTGTCTCAACATTCTAGAGTTCTCTGAGAGTGTCAACAAGCATATCGGTTGAGATGACCCGGTTGATACTGTGTACTTAAAACTTCTAAAAAGCTTTTGATAAAGTAACTCACCAAAGACTCCTGAGTAAGCGTAACAGACATGAAATGAGAGGTCCTCTTATGGATCAGGAATTGGTTAAGTAGCAAGAAGCACAGAGTAAGAATAAATGGACAGTTCTCCCAGTGGAGGACTCCAAAGGATCAGTATGGGACCTGTACTTCTTAATGTATTCATTAATGATCTAGCGTTTGGGTTGATCAGGGAGGTAGCCAAATTTGCTGTTGATAGCAAATTGTTCAATGTGGCTAAAAAGAATTGCAGGCAGTTCCAAAAGGATCTCCAAACTGGGTGAATGGGCAGTAAGATGGCAAATGCAATTCAAAGTATATGCTAATGGAACCTGAATTTTCAGTGACTGGCCAGAAATGAGACACACAGAGGATAAGCGTGAACCAAATAGCAAAAGTGATGTCCACGTTCGGGATCTTTAAAACTGTCAATATAATGTTATACATATCTGGTGAGACCACACTTGAAATACTGTGTGCAGTTTTGGTCACCTCAAGTTGGAAAAGGTTCAGAAAAAGGCAACCAAATTGGATCATGGGACTGGAACAACAAGTGCATAAGGAAAACTTAACAACATTCAGGCTCTTTATTTTAGAAAAGAGGTGAGTACACTTGATCTTACCCAAAAAGCCAAGAAGTGATGATAAGGATGTAGAAAATCATGTATGGTAGGAAGAATAACTCTATAATTCTATAATTTTGACCATCCAATGAAGCCAAATGCTGGAAGTTTCAGGAAAAACTTTTTTCTGGTCCTAGAAATAGGGGTAGAAATGGTGTAGTATACAGGACAGCTGGTTGTGTACAGGTGTGACACGTTGACTTCTCTTGTCAAATACAATTTAATTTTCTTGTAAGCACTAGAAAATATATCTGTGGTCACCAGCTACCTTAGTAAACAAAGATCATTGAGGTGGTTTTCTGCAACTTCAGTGAAGGTTAATGTTTAAAGTTTATGCAAGTTGAATTAAGTTCTAGGTTTTCAGAATGAATTGTTTCGGGTTATTAACATATGCATGCATCTACAGTGTTGTCTTTTTTGTTACGGATCTGGGATTCTTCCTGTTGGGGAGACAATGGCATAGTTGCATTGAGGGATATAAGTAGCCTCTTGAATATTGTGGGTATTGTTCTCTGGCACATTTCTTATTCTAATCTGAATAAGAGGAATCTCATAGAATGTGATTGCATAATACATGTGCTTTAGTGTGTTGCTACATTTGATTTAAGTGGTCATCGGCCACTTTACTAACACCAAGCATTTGCTCAGATTTGAGAATTAAATTTTAAATACTTGGGGGCAAATAAATATTGGTATGGATACATTTCAGGGCACTTAGGTGGAATCTACACAAATATAAAAATCGTTCTGAAAATGCTTTTTTTTTAAAAAAAAAAGAAAACATTTTTAAAAATACATTGAACTTAGCATAAGGCTCACTATCGCTATCTAGTGTAACATTGTATATTGCACTTAAAACACTGTTTTATTTGCAGCTGTATAGCTGAGTCCTTAGATTAAAAACTACAGGTAGTTAAAGTGCAAACAAGCTATGTTAATTCATTTTTTCCAGTGAGTCTTGAGTATGACTGACGTTGGATATCATTCTAAGTCTTCCTAGACAAGGGGTTGTTTATCACATTAGAGTGATTTAGTGGTGTACACAAACTATTTCGAGCACACCCACCCACCCATGCTTCCTGGGAACTGTGGTTTGCACCTCATGGAGCTACAATTCCCAGCACTCTTATCAAACTACTGTTCTTACGATTCTTCAGGTGTGTGCTTTAAATGTATGGTGCATATGCAGTCATAGTGATTTGCGTCAGATCCTGATGATGTTTCGCAACTTGTTGAATCGTTCCTGGGATCTTGCCCGTTAGCTGCTGAATTAGTGTGCCTTCCCCTCCCTCACTGCCCTAATTGCAGGGGAGCCTGTTGGTTACTGCATGGAGGTCCAATGTAGTGCTTTCCAGGTGTTTTGAACTGTAACTCTCAGCCAGCATGGCCTGTACTTAGGAGTGATGGTAGCTGTAAACAACATTTGGAGGGCACTGCATTGACTACCCCCTGATTAGTGTCTCTTGAGAGCACTTAAAGAACAACACATTCTTCCTCCTGCTGGTGTCTGACATTTACAATTTTTAAAAGTTAGGGGCGGGGCTTGCATTCTTCTATGGATAGGGATTTTGCATCTCCACCCTCACTCCAACTTTTAAAAAATAATATACCTGGAGAAGCTACTGGCAGCTTCCATGCATTAAAGTTATCTTTTTCCTCCACTCCAGCACAAAAAAAAAATCCAACACCATCGGAACGAGCAAAGCACAATGCTAATTCTAGCTTTTTAGCTTTAACACTGGGAGAAAGTCCTCTGAATCTTTTTTAACATTTAGTTGAAAAGTCAGCAGCTGAACATAGGTTAGTGGAACAGAAATAAGACTGGTTGCCAAAATACCTGGCAATATTAGAATGGGGGGTGGGGGGAAAGTATTTTAAGTAACTTCCAAGTTGCTGTTTTTAAAAGTATGGCAACAGGGCAATCCTGTATGCATTTCAGGCCTCGGGAGCAGAGTAATTTTTATGTTGTGACCAGCCAGTACTTTTGCAAGAGACCTTGGCATTCCATTCTAGAGAAGCCTTGGGGAGGGTTGCACAACAGAAGCCTCTAGCATAGACAAAATAAAACAATGGTAATGACAGGGCAAAAAGCAATGGTTTGATAAATATGCAGTGTTCACTCTTGATGACCACCCTTTATTTCTAGTTTATTTGAGCAATTCTGATACTTCCTGAGAATATTTGAACAGATCTAACAATAACAAGGTTGGTATTTATTTGCATGAACTGTGTCCCCCCTTTTTTTTCTGGGGGGAGTTTTCTTGCCCAGTTCTTCCTGTCCTGAAGGTATACTGGAGTGGAATATTTCAGGTGAGCTTCATAATGTAAAAGAAAAAGAGGTAGATAACAAAAATGAAAGTTAATTATCCATAGTTACCTGTTACTATAAAATTTCTGGTATCATCACTGAAATGTGTCAAATCACTGTATTTTAAACAAATACATTAAAATGCTTATTGTAAAATTACTCTGGTGTCTGGGTTTTCTTTTTGCACCATGACATTATTTCAACAACTTTTTTTAGTAACTACATCAGTGTGGGGTATCTGCAGCCCCAAATGTTGGACTCCAACTTACATCAGTCCTGGCCAACATGGCCAATGTTTGTAAGAGATTATGGGAGTGGTGGTTCAGCAACTTCTGGAAAGCAATTTCCCCCCAGCCCTGAACTACATAATTAACTTTATTTCAGTGCAGAGCAGCAAGTGTCTTATTCCTTATCTCAATGTGAAAACTGATTAAAAATTCAAATGTTAAACCAGGACCTGATTGATACAGTGCTTCCAGTCACTATTTCATGAAGCCTGTCTAGCAGTTGTTTTAAAAATGATGCTTGCATCCAGGGAAGCATGGGGCTGCCAAAGCATGCCATGCATGGTGCTGTAGAAAAGGTGGATAGGTCTCCCATAATACTAGACTCTGGGATCAACCATTAAAGTTGAATGGTGAGAGATTCAGGACAAAATGAAGTACAGTGGTACCTCGGGTTACATAAGCTTCAGGTTACAGAGACTCCGCTAACCCAGAAATAGTACCTCGGGTTAAGAACTTTGCTTCAGGATGAGAACAGAAATCGTGCTCCGGTGGCGTGGCAGCAGCGGGAGGCCCCATTAGCTAAAGTGGCACTTCAGGTTAAGAACAGTTTCAGGTTAAGAATGGACCTCCAGAACGAATTAAATACTTAACCTGAGGTACCACTGTACTTCAAACAGCATTCAGTTTAACAATGGAATTGACTTGCCACTGTATCTAGTCTGATGCTTCTGAAAATGAATCGCCGGGAAGCATGAGTAGGAGAGAAGGGTGCATGCTGTTGTGCTCATTCCTTGATTGTGGGCTTCTCATATAGGCTGGCTACTAAACAGAATGCTGGATAGGCCTTGCCTTTGGTGTGATCCAGCCAGGGTAGGGGGGCAGTATATCTCATGAATCTCCTACAACACAATTATGTTTCAGGAAATGAATGCAGCTAAAAGTGGGATATTCATGCAGGTATAAGCTTGCCCACAAAATGCTAGATTACATGGGCCTTTGGTCTGAGCCAGCAGGGCTTTTTTCTTAGGTTATGACTTCCCCAACCTCTCTTGCTCCCAGTAGTTTTCCAAGTTCCTCAAAAAACATTCTAAGGGTTGCGAAATGCTCCTGAATGGGTGAAGAATGGTTCGTGGAAAGTTGTGGATGTCTAAAAAGCAGACAGAAGCACCTCCTGTGAGCAGGATGTCTATTTTTTGTGATTCTTTTTCCTATTCAGGAGGGTCACTCAAGAGAGGCTTCTTGGAGAGCTGGGAAAGTCACCTTCCAACAGCCTCTCACCAGCACTTTCTTTGCTCCAGAATGTCATGCCAAAGAAGAGGTTCTGATTCTGCTAGCCGATTTAACAGATCTTGGATAAAGTTATCTTCCACAATCTAAATCTGAAAATATGACAAGGCAGTACCTCTGCAAGTTGCATAATTCTGCATTTTGGGATGGCCAACTGCAGCCATATAAACCTGAGGTCTTCTGGTTCAATGCCAAATTATATCTAGATCACTTGGTTGTTTAAGTCTCTCTGGTGTGAATCCAGCCTCATACTACCCATGTGGTAGATTTACTGTATTGTCCAGAAAATTTGCTGCACTGCCACCCCAATGATTTGTATTTTTCATAAAGTCTTGAGCAGGCCAGTTCTTCAGGGCTATAAATTATTCTTTGCCCACTATATCTTTTCGCCCAAGATGTGTCTCAATCATGTAAATTATTTGTAGCACATTTTGCTTGAGTTCAAAGTGGCATTTTACAGTTTATTTTAGAACATTTGTGAACTTACTGGTTCCTTTTCAAACATAAACCGTGAAGCACCTTTTCAGCTAGTCTCTCAGGGCCCAACTAGATAGGATTTGCCCTTTCCTAAAGAACATCCTTGACAGTAGCATTGAGAGCTTTGGGTTGCCTCGTTTCTGCTGTAGCTGCTTTCTTACCTGGGATCAACCCTTTGATCCACTAAGAAGCACTGCTGGGCAAACCCCATCTTTCCTTGCAGAGACAGTTTTCTTGCCATAAACAAAATGAAGTATTCATACACCTCTGCCTATGTTATTTAGAAAAACTCACATAAAACAATTATCATTTGACAGTTCTCACTTTATAAACCATGACAGGAGGAAAATGGGCGAAGCTGGTAGAATGAGAGAAAGTGGTCATCAATGGTGGGGGCAGGGAGTAATAGTGCTAAGAAATAAAGCACTAAAATTGCTACTGGACTATGAAAGGCAGATATATTTTACAGTTATAGCCTGACTTTGCTCCAAGGAGTTCATGGTGGTGTACATGGTTCTTCACCTATCCTCACAACAACCCTTGAGGTAGGTTGAATTACTTTGGGGGTGGGATTCACACATAGAATCTAACATGGAGCAAAGACTGGTTTTTGGACTCCCATCATCCCTGACCTTTGCCTTAGCTGGCTGGGGCTGATGGGAGTCCAACATCTGAAAAGTCACAGGTTCCTTCTTTGCATGTTAAAGAAATGGCTATCTGTTCTCCTTAATCTCTATTACAATCCTGTTTTCATAAGATGTGTGACTAGCAAAATAAAAATAAAATACGGCTGATGGAAATGGGCCTTGCCGCCTCTTCTTTCACCATCCTACAGACTGGCTGGCTACAAATGGAAGGCTTAGGCAGGCTGGAATCCTATGCTTGCTTACCTGGGAATAAGACTGCTAGAAGGCAGCGCGGCTTATTTCTGAGTGGACACATTGCAATGTCAGCAGCACTGCGCTAGGGAGGTCAGTGGGAAGGTCTTTCTCTCTTTCCTGATTATCACATCTGCAATCTGAAGTGGTACAGTCCTGGAACAGTTTTACCTGCTCATCTACTTTTTGTGCTCCTGAGAAGACCCTGTGTCATACTTTTATTCCTTAGTTTGCAAAAGTGGTAATAGCTACTGCAAAATTACCACTTTTCGGGGCTGAAAGTGGTAATTTGCAATAGCTATTGTTGGCCGCCACTCTATACTATTTTCATCATGCTTCAGCAATCCTCAATAGCTAGAAGAGATTCCATTTCTCACGAGGACGCCGATATTTGCTCCTTCAGCGCAGCTTCCATAAAAGCTGAACGGCTAGGAGAGTAGCGAAAGGTGAACCATTGCATGCTGGTTCGTGTAGTTTCACAAAGCGGAAACGCCCGTCTCTTGAAGTAGTTTGTCCCTTCTCCCACAACGTCCACTCCTCCTCCTTTCAGGCCCAGGGTTTTTTCCCCCCAACGTGGTTCCTTTATATAGAGATAGGAAAGGGAAAGCGAGAAAGTCCTCTTAGGGCTGTCCAACAGTTGTGCCTGAAGAAAATATTTATTGACGCTCTGAAATATAACTTCCTGCGTTAAGGGATAAAAAGAGAGGCTTTCTTAGACCAATATGAACCGTTAGAGGCAGAGTGTGAGGGAACAGGAGGGTTGTCAAGGCGTAGAGCGGAGCATTTTTTTCAATCAGGCGAGATTGGCGGCGCCCCCCCTCGTGAGGTGAAAGGTCAGGCAAAGGGGGCCTTCCCCTCTCCTCGCCCTTCCCCCACCTCCTGACATGCCAACCCAGCAGTCGGCGGCGGAGCAGCTGCACGAAAGGTAGGTTGCGGGGTAGGAGGTTTGGGGCGCTGCTGGGCGGGATGGAACGGCGCCCCTCAGTAGGGCGGGGAGGTGGGGGCCAGGCAGGCCAGAGCCAGTTCTTAACGGAAGCAGGAGCCCCTGAACGCCTGCCCACCTCTGGGACAGTGTCGCCTGGGAAGGGGGGGTCGGTGGTCGGGCATTCAGTGGGGCTGTTCCTGGTGTGGGGGGCAGGTCTGTGTGGGGCGAGCTCGATATCCCCCTCCCCAGGCGAACCGTGAGGCGAGCAGGGCATTCAAGCCACTCTGCGCCAGTCATTATGGTGACCGCTGCATTCTCTCAGGCGTTGCTAACGGAGTCTGGGTTTGTTAATTGCAGGTTCTAGGTTTTTCCAACCCCCTTTTTCTTTTGTGCTCATTCTGAAGCCCCGGAAATGGAGTTTGAGCTCATGGAGAATGACATCCTAGAGTCGCTGGAAGACCTCGGGTATGTATGAGAGCAAATATGTCTAAATAACTTGTACTTTGGATTTTTTTAAAAAAAGCTTTTTTTTTGTTATGTGTCCTCACCCCCGTGCTCTGTGTTTTGTGGGGCAGTTATTTACAGTACTAATCATCACTAAATTCTTGAAGTGTTTTTGGAGGGGGGGGGAGTTGCGTTGGAGGTGGGGAGGGGAGGTTAGTGCTCAGTGTTAGAAAAAGGCAGTATCTATAGTGGTTTCTTAACAAGATAACATTCTGCACATTGAAAGATCCATTCTCTTTGGCCTAGTAAACAGTCTCGAACCATATGATTTATTTCTGAAATAGAGCAGCTGTGGAGATGAACTGGATTGGAAACCACTATGAGCTTTATTTTGGAGGAGGGTTTTGATTTGGACCAATTAGCAGAATAACCTGATATTTTACCAAAAGCGTCTTATCATTTGCATCAAGATGGGTATACTGGTCTGAGGTTCTGAAATGAACAAAAGTATATCATCTGCAAATGAAACTAACTTACATTCAACTGAATTATGAACTGCTTTGTGAATCTCACAGCGTTGTCTAATAGCACTAAAAATGCTTGAAAATGCAAGTCAACCGTCTGCCTCCACCACCTTTCAAGGCATCCCAAGATCACAGAGTATTTGGTGTTACTGCCGTGTGCTGTGCATGAAGGCACATTCATTCAGCAGACATAAAAAAAATCTATCTGGCAGTCCAGCATCATTTAAAAAACCTCCACAAAGAAATTTCTACAATGCTGACTCCCCACCACCACCTCAGTGCTCCTTCTCCATAATATTTACTGTTATTCCCTATAAATATATTCTACAATATGAATCAGTTGTCATTCATCCTTCCCTTTTAGCACAAAGTATTTCTCATGCTGCAGCCCTACACATATGTAAAAGTAAGCCTAAATGAACACAGTGAGACATAGTACCAAGGAAACCTGCCTAGACTAATGTTAATCATGCTTTAGCCTTTTCTATGAGGCAAGTGTGATGCTCCGTTTATGTGGTGTGGGGACTAGTAATGCTATTTCTCTCTTGTACCCACACCATTAAAAGCATACTGTACAAAAGGTTCTCATTGCTTTTGGAACATTTCTCTAGCTGCTGCTGCTGCTGCTGCTTCTTTTTTGTAAGATGGCACAATTCCTGTAGTTTTTGTTTTGATTTGTTTGGCTTTTCAGGAAAAAAAGATGATAAGCTAGCAAGTATTTAGAAATACCTGCTGCAGAAAATTTTAAAATGCCTGCAACAGAGGATTTTGCTTACTGTTGCAAATCTTCTGAGTTTTCTGTAAATAGTAGTAATAGATAATACACTATGAATGGTAAGGAATTTTGTCATGTGTGTTCTCAAAAACAAATTTGTTTGCATTATTCAGTAAAGACCTGGATTGGGATCCAAAGAAGTGCTGAAAGTGCATGCATGGGGTAGTACTGTGAGTACAGTGGTTCCCAGTTTGAAAGAGAAAAGCTGCTTTTAAAGCAGAACAGGGGCTTATCTCTTTGGCATTGTTATGGCTGGCTGGGCAGTTGTCCCAAAACATCTGCACCAGTTCTTTGAATTCTCTCCTTGATTCTGTTGTTCAGGGACGTGGTGGTGGGGAGAAGTAGCATGCTAGTGCAGCCAAAAATGAATGTATATTTCCCCCTTATCTTCACTACTATACTTTTATTGTTGTTTAGATGTATCTTACATCTCCAGTTTAAATGCAATCCAGCAGCTGACAAAAAGAGGACAGTTCCTTGCTCCAAGGAGCTTATAATCTAAACTTTGCAAGGGCAAGGAGCAGTAGAGGAAGGACGAAAGGGACAAAGAGGCAAGGGCATCAGACATTAGGGAGAAGAAGGAATGAGAAGATTGTGAGCAAAAAAATAAAGATGCTGATGAGGATATAGACTTCAATTCAAAGCATGCGAATTTGAAGGAAGTACCTTTGAAATCACTGGTGTTCCAGATAAATATATGGAACTGTTAGTGGTGTTATCACCAAATATGCATGGATTACATACCTCAGAAATTGTACAGTGGCTTTTAATAACATGTTCTTTTTTTTTTGTTTGTTTGCCAGTTACAAAGGCCCATTGTTAGAAGACGGTGCTCTGACCCAGGCAGCTTCTGGGGGGGCCAGTTCCCCTGAATATACTAAACTCTGTGCTTGGCTAGTGTCAGAGTTAAGGCTATTTTGCAAACTAGAAGAAAATGTGCAAGCGACTAACAGTGAGTAATCATGAGTCTGACACCATTGATTTATTTGTGCCTTTCATATTAACTCTGAAAACGTGTGCTGGTATAGATGCTTCCAAAACTGATGTGATAGGTTTTTCATATGCAAGTTGAACTTCTCAGGAAGCTGAATACTGTGCCCAATGCCACATTCTGTTTTTGCCTACATACTCATGGAATCAATTTTACTAGTTGACTTCCACTATATTTCGTACAAGTGAGCTCCCGCCCCCCGTGTTCATTTGAAGACACTATTTTTGCCATTCTGTATCACCTGAGTTCTTAATTTTGTTTGAAATGTTAATAATATTTTTGAGGTTTTTTAAAAAAGGAAATAGGCTATTTTAATATTCAGCCTTGAATCTTGATAACATGTATGGAAGCAGTCTCTTCATAATGTAACTTTGTTTTAACTCGTGGCAAAGAGTTAATAGTTGAACCTCTTAAATGAAAATGATCTATGTCTTAAGGTCCCACTGAAGCCGATGAGTTCCAGCTTGAAATGAGTGGGTTACTGGGCGAAATGAACTGCCCATATACAACACTAATATCAGGAGACGTCACCAAGCGCCTTCTCAATCAGAAGAACTGCCTGCTGCTGCTCAGTAAGTTGAAAATAACAAAATATTTTTGTTCCTTTTTGTGCCACTGTGGAGATAATTAGGATACTTGTCCTTTCGCTGATGCTTCTTAAGAACTTATGATACTATGATATTTAGAAAGAGAATATAGTCGGATCTGTTGAAGCTTTGGATTCATATCGTCTGTATCGTATTGGAAACTGTCCAAGTAAAAACAACAACCACCAAGCATTTTTCTCTTTGCTTGTTATGAACAAACTTTGTCAGCATTTGAAAGTGAAAAGACATCTCATTCAGAAGTGATGTAGGAAGGAATAGCAGCTCTCCCCAGCTATAAGAACCATCCTGCTCTTGGGAGAGATCTAGCTCCCCCCCCCCATTTGTGCTTTCTCTGTGCTGTCTTAGTACAGAGTTGTAATTGATATTTATGTTAATAGAATCATAGAATTGGAAGGGACCACAAGAGTCATCTAGTCCAACCCCTCCCCTTGCAATGCAGGAATCTTTTGCCCAGCATTGCGCTTGAACCCATAACCCTGAGATTAAAAGTCTCACACTCTACTATATTCTTATGTAAACTGCTTTGTGAGGTTTCCTTGAAAAGCAGTGTTTAAATATCTAAATAAATAAATCACTTTCTACAAAGGCATGCCATGCTTGCTTGAGCACTGTTACCCTTAGCAGATCTGCCATTTGGTATTCGGTTTTTTAGATCCTTGTCTTATCTGAACCTCACCTCTCATTCAGTTAACATAAATATGTTATGGAATCCAGAATAGTTTCTTTTATGTTCACAGCTAACTAAGGCAGATTTGTTAAAAGGTGCTAAATTGTAGCTTTTCTTCCTTCAGCATACCTCATCTCAGAACTAGAAGCTGCCAGAATGCTCTGTGTGAATGCTCCTCCCAAAAAAGCCCAGGAGGGGGGTGGTAGTGAAGTCTTTCAGGAGCTGAAAGGCATATGTATTGCTTTGGGCATGTCCAAGCCTCCTGCCAACATAACTATGTTCCAGTTCTTCAGTGGAATAGAAAAAAAGGTAAGAACTGAGGGTTTTGAGGTACATAGGCTTGGATCCATGATTTACAGCTGTCATCCTACCGCAGTGGAATGGCATTCTGAAGAGAGCCTGGCACTCAGAAGTGACTTTTCTGGGAGCATGATGGACTATGGCAAGAATAGATAGGTGGGAAAGCTCGAATGCGTATATAGAGCACCGTAAGCAAGCCCTGGGATCTAAGCTCTCTTATTCATTAGGCTTTTGTTTTTATGTTTACTTAATAGATTTATATGCTGCTCTTCAGTAAACATATTTCAGGGCTGCTTACAAATAAAACAATAAGATACAAAGGAAAATACATTGTTTAAAGCAATGTATTCGAAATACTGCAGATAAAGTAGCATAAAACGTACAATGGGTAAAATTAGGGAGTGAAAAGGCCAGGAAAGGAAAGGTGCTGAAAAGACATTGGAATAGGCACCAGGCAAGCCGCCTTGGAGAGAGCATTCCACTAATGTAGCCTGCCCATAGATATTAATGGAGTGATCAGAAATTTTAATGTAGCTAGGGTTGGGCACAAGAACGTCCCCACTGCAAAACAAACAACCGGCCAGTGAGAATTAAGCATGCTCAGTGGACAAAGAATGTTCACTGGCGGGAATGGAATGCAGCTCCTGGAACCCTGAGCAGAAGCACTCACTGCAACTTATTTTTCCCGAGACATACGGTTAAGAGGCTTTCATTCTTGAATTGAGAATTTTTTTAAAGTTGTCTGTCCTTCCCACATTAATAAGAGGTTGTTTACTGATGTCATAATGATGTTATTAAAGAATTGCAGAAGATTCTTATTTTAAACCAACACAATTATCTGAAAATTTTAGGAATGTATTCTTTTGTGTAGCTTCTATTATGTATGAAGCATTCAAATTCCCCTTCCAAATGCATATGTTTGGTGGGGAAGAGAGCAAGCATTCACTGTACGATACTGTGCTATTCTATACTAACATAGTATTTTTTTTATTACAGTTAAAAGAAACATTAGCAAAGGTTCCTGCAAATCATGTAGGAAAACCTTTACTGTCAAAACCACTGGGTCCAGTTCATTGGGTAAGTCGTATGTCTGTAAAACTCTTTTTATTCTATCCTTGACTCTTTTTGTTTTATATATTTTCTTTCGTGTACATTAAGCAAAGCTGTGTGATGATTTTTCTCAAGGCCTAGCCAGTTCTGATCAAGTTCTCAGTTTTACTTAGAGTGAAGCAAAATGCATTTGAGAAAATAGATTCTTGATTGTCCCAAGTTCAACACATTCAAATTCACAATTGATAGTTAGATCTTGACATCCCTCAGGAATGCAGGATGAGGAACCCCATATTTAAGGATGATATTAAACCATAATTAAAGAAGCAATGCAACTTGGGGCAGGGACAGTTCAGCAGTGTGTGATATTTATACACCTATAAATAGAAGGTTACAGAGGATCTGGGTCTTTAGACATCCTGATATGGGGAAGCTTTTACAGTGGTACCTCTAGATAAGAATGGGATCCGTTCCGGAGCCCCGTTCACATCTAGAAGCAAACGTAACTAGGGACGGCATGTCTGTGCACGCACACGTCGCTTTTCGCTGCTTCTGCGCATGCGCATGGCATCATTTTGAGCATCTGCGCATGCACAAGTGTCGAAACCCGAAAGTAACACGCTCCGTTACTTCTGGGTTGCCGCGGAGTGCAACTCGAATGCGCTCAACCCAAAGCGCATTCAACCTGAGGTATGACTGTACTCCAAGTTTTCAATGATGCTGAGCCATTGTTTGGCAGGAACTATAGCCCATCCTAAAATTAGTCTTGGCATCCCCAGTAAAGTTTTTAAGCAGGAGCTGCAGAGGTCCTTTTTCTTATTCTGCAGCTAATTACTTAGAACATTCCATCTGATGCTTCTCTTCCTGGCATTTGTTCTTAATATGTATAGTTGTGTTTATTTTATAGATAAGAAAATGTAAACCTTGGCCTTCCATTACAGTCACAGCACTAATAGGAACATTGATATTATAGTTCTTCTAGGAATCAGTGTTAGTTTTATCAATTTGCATTTAAAACTTTTGAATCTTTATGGAACTGTTGTGTTCTTGATTGTCAGCAAGATGAAGGCTACTTTAATTCTAGAATTTTCAAAATTTTAACATCTTTGAGGTAGTGCTGGAGGATACAATGCTGTCTTCCACTGAGAAACACCATGGGACTTTTTCCTCTTCTGTTATTTGCATATCAAGTAAATGTGAATTGAATGATGGATTAACCACCAAGGTCTGGTCTGCATGTAACACTTGTGGTTTCATAAACTGTAGTTGATCAAGCCAGGAAAAATTGTTGACTCTTGTACTCTCCCTTAGCTTTCCCGTCTTGCTCAGTGACTTTGACCATTTGGTCCTGACCTCTTTAAAGTATGGTTTTCTGTTGCATCCAAAATGGGGAGCAGTCATTTGATGTTGGTTTACTTGCTAGGAATCAGACCGTGCTTTAAAATTGTAAACTAACATTAAACTGCAAGTCCCCATTACAGTGGAACCAGGGAACTATGGTGTTAAGAGACTGGGATCGAAACCCCCCGATTAGCAACATGATTGGGGAGCACATGGGCCTGAGATGCTGTTTCTTGGCTTAGTACGCTAGTACATTGCACACTAGGAATGCCTTGGCTGAGAACCAGTGTAATATGTGATATGCATTTTTATTTCAGGAAAAAATTGAAGCTATTAATCAAGCCATAGCCAATGAATATGAAGTCCGGAGGAAATTGTTAGTGAAGCGTCTGGATGTGACTGTCCAGTCGTTTGGCTGGTCAGATCGAGCAAAGGTACAGTGTACATTCTGCAACTTACTTTGGCCTTGCAAAGAACTTTTTTTCTCTCTGTTGCCAAAAAACCTCTCTGATGGCGCTAATGGGGGTGGAAGTAGCCCATAATTTAATTGACTTGTCTCTGAATATACTAAGCACTTTTGTTTAAAGCTTATATTTCATTTGGTAACTCTTTTGTTGACACTTAGGAGTAAATTTAATCATCAGCTGTGTACTTGTGCTAGGGGCAAGTGAAAACTTCCGTGTAGCTCACTGCGTATCTGCATTTCACATGTGTTGCCAGTAGAAGAATGTCATCGCGAAAGGATTATTACCACTTTGCACTTTTCCGCTTCTAATTGAACAGTTACCCCATAGCATCGCTAATCATTTGCTTCGCAAAATGTACCCCAATCACTATATTACGGTGCCTCATAAATATTTATTTTGAACCATTTTTTCTCAGGAGAGCTGTAAATGGGGGAAACTGCAGTTTTAAAATGCAGTCTGAACAAGTTTCAGAAATGCAGAATGAGATACAGACTTGGAAAATGGTTGGCAAAATAGGTAGAGGAAGAACAAAATAACATTGGAGATAACTTCAAAGCTGGATTTACACCTTATTTATATAAGCTGGTATATTGTCCCATTAGGCACTTTCCCATCAGCTCATACAGCATTTCTCATGAATTGTTAGTCGCCTGCCATGTGGGCCTTAATCTGTCCTTGGAGCTGTTGTTTAAAATGGTAAATAATTAATTTTTAGCTGAATGTTTGTTTACATCTGTTGACTCTCTTCTTTTTTGGATCACAGAGCCAAACAGAGAAATTGGCTAAAGTCTACCAGCCGAAGCGTGCCACCCTTACTACCAAATGCGCTATATCTGTCGCTCACCTCTTGGCAGCTCGGCAAGACTTGTCAAAGATTATGAGGACGAGCAGCGGGTCCATCAGAGAAAAGACTGCATGTGCTATTAATAAGGTACCTTTGTTACATTGATATAATTTAGTTCCTACTGTGCTGTGGATATTGTTGTTTTTTTAGGTGGTGACCAGTGTATGCTAGCCCCAAAGTACCCATGCGAAGTGTTGATGCTGTGCCTGTTTTCTAATGCACTGCCACTCCCCTATATCTCATGCTTCCACTGTGTAGTCATTTAGGTATCCCAAACAAAGGCCCCACTATACAAGGACCACCACTACCTCTTCAAGACTAATTATTTTCAGAAATGAAAAAAATACAGTCAAAGCGTCCGTAGATTTAAAGCAAAAGAGCAATATATCGCTGAGTCCCAAAATGTAAAATCTATCTGGAAGATACCTTATGTCAATAAGAGAATATATCTAACAGAAAATTTAAAAATGAAACGTAATGGGCAAGGAAGCCCATTTTTTCTGCATTCCAGATGTGGACCATCTCTGTCCCTAAGCACTGCTATAATAAAGGATTGTATCTTGATCTGCTGAAAGATCCTTCCCACCCCCCTTCTTCAGTACATCACCTCTGTACACTTCCATTTCAACTCATTTTTTAAAAATACAGTGTTTTCAGATTATTAAATAGTGTTATAAATTATTCAGGTACCAGGCATGCTTTGTGACTGGCGTGGGTCCAGTTGCAATCCCATGGAGATCTCTGGATGCCAGGTTGGCGACTGGGAAAAGCAAAATGTCACTTAGACTCAGGTCCTTAGAGAAGAATCTGAAATATTTTCCTTGAAGTGTGAATTTGTTTTATTCTGGATTGCTTTATTTGATGTGTTGTAAACCACTTTTAGATTTGTTCTTTAAACTATAAAGTGGTATAGAAATGAAATGAATAATAACATCAATTGCAGAAAAAGCACCTAGACATTCCATTGTGGCACCCATAACCTAGGTTTAAGGTGCCATTTGGCGATTAGCTTAGATATCAGAGTTTTTAACACTGTAAGTAGTGCAGTTCTTCCCTTATGTTAATTCTTCCAACACATTGGCTTCTTTTACTTTTAGGTATTAATGGGCCGAGTGCCTGACAGAGGTGGCAGACCCAACGAAATTGAACCTCCTCCTCCCGAAATGCCACCGTGGCAAAAAAGGCAAGATGGTCCTCAGCAGCAAAGTGGTGGAGGCAGGGGTGGCAGAGGTGGCTATGAGTCGTCCTACGGAGGTCGTGGAGGTTATGAGCAAGGGGGCCACGACCGAGGAGGCCGCGGAGGATATGACCAAGGAGGCTATGACCGTGGCAGCCGCGGAGGGTACGACTCATCCTACGGAGGCCGTGGAGGCCATGAACACGGGGGTCATGAGCGAGGAGGGCGAGGACGTGGTGGCTATGACTATGGAGCCAGAGGGGGAGGCAGAGGAGGCAAACCCCAAGGAGGCTGGACTGATGGTGGAGGAAGTGGCTATCAAGATGTCAACTATAGGGATAGTAACTACAGAGACGCAAGCTTTCAAACTGGGGGTTATCACGGTGGTGGCGGCTATCAAGGAGGTGGCTATGGTGGTTATCAATCTTCATATTCAGGAAGCGGATATCAAGGTGGTGGCGGCAGCTACCAGCAAGACAACAGATATCAAGATGGGCACTCCAATGATCGAGGTGGAGGCCGCGGAGGAGGCCGCGGCCGTGGTCGTGGCGGCCGTGGCGGGCAAGGAGGTGGCTGGGGGGGAGCAAGAGGTGCACAGAACTTTAATCAAGGGGGGCAGTTTGAGCAGCACTTCCAACATGGGGGATATCAGTACAATCAGTCTGGATTTGGACAAGGAAGACACTTCACAAGCTGAGGCTGCAAAAGCTTCCATTTGGGCAGAGCTCATGTAATAGATTTTCTATGGTTTTCTTTCTGAATTAGTACCAGGCCATGTCAGGCTGCTTCCGGAAAAGGATCTTTGCTTTTGAGCACCTGCGAAAGGTGCGCATAAGTCTGATGCTGCCTAAAATGCAGCATTTCAACTCCAGGAAGCTCAGAACTTTAAGACAGCAGCCCTGGTTCTGTTCACTAAAGGAAAATTGAGTACATGTCTGTCACACCTTTAATATGCAAACTAGTATGTCTGTCGGTTTTTACATGAGCTCATTCTTCCTTTAAGAATCTTCCGCTCTTCAAGCCACTTTGAATATTGCTCTTCACCCTGATTTTCTGTAGACAACAAGCTGACTTCAAACCTGTATTGTAAAGCTGCAGGTGTGTGTAGTTAGTTGTGTGCAAGACCCTTTGAAGTGGGTTGGATTTCTGCATTTGTAACTGCACAGAATTGCAGCCTACTTCACGGGGTCGATGTCTATTATATGAGCTCTACTGCTGATGACTTGTTCAATAGCCTTATCTCTCATTGATCAAAACCACACTCATGTCCCCATCAGAGACCCAACCACTGTCATGCCACGCAAAGGTCATATAACAAACCGAGCTAAGTTGTGAACAGATAGTATATGTAGCCTTATGCTTCAGCATAATTCAGATTCATTTCACACACCAGAAAACAGTTGATCCCCTGACCAGCCTAATTTTTACTTGAAATTAGCTAGCAGTAATGGCAAGCTGAAACTTGTTTTGTGCACGAGTTAATACCACTGATCAGCAATTATAGGATGGTTTCAATTTTTGGCATCTAACTTAAGACAAAATGCCCTTCAGGTGGGATTGTTACAGTTTTCCTTACTAAAAGTTACATCAGTGCGCCTTGCCTGGGGGTTTTTTGTGTATGAGTGTGAGTGTGCGTGTGTGTACAGAAACATTGTCAAGCTGTGAAAGAAAAATGGCTGAAGGTGTGCTATTGTATAAAAGGTGAGCAATAAAAGTATCTGTTCTCCTATTGGTTTGTTTCTCTTTACCTTTCAGTTGGTGCATGGGTTACCAATATTTTTGAGCTAGCAGGCACAGCTTGACTTTAGAGAAAATGCTGTGGATGCTAGCAACAAAATGGCTGCCACTGGGCATGGACCAAGTTTGGAAAGAGTAGACAGTGCTGCTGCCCAAGTGTCAGGCTTTCCATGGGAAGTAAGCTTTTGTCCTGAGTGTCGACGTCACACCACAGTTAAAATACACAACATGGCCACACACTCATACACACTGCACACACACAAACCGCAAACACATGCATCTGCCACTCAGGTGTACACCACATTTCTCCTTCTTGGAGAGACAACACAATATTCATACTGCCTTTCCTTCCTCACCTACTTCTCTCTCACAGAGGCCACACATCCATGCATCTGACCCACACGCACAGACCACGTTTACTTCTCTCCCAAGTGCACATTTCCCTCTTGCGTGCACAAGGGGGGGTTGGCAGGAATAGTTAAACACTAGACAGGTGGAACAGGCTGTCTCACCTATATATTTTGCCTCCTAGATTTTAAGAATGCGAGACATTTAATGGCTTCCATCAGAGGTCAAAAAGCTCCTTGCAAATAGGGATGGGGCTTCTCACCTGTCTGCCTGTTTCTTGGTTGTAGCAAGTAGAACAGCTAGTAGTGGCAGGGAAATGGAAGGCGGTGGTTCTGCCCCTTCAGGTGTATTGATCACAAGCAATTTTTGATCCTAAATGCTATTATAGGTCAAGGAGTATAAACGTTATGTTTCCCTGCATAGAACATATTCATAGCCAAGTTGCTAATTCTCATGGATGTAGAAAACATCTTGATCAAGTGTTGGCAAGTGTTTTTAAACTGCTTTAAAAAATGAGAGGAGAGTGGGCTATCATTCTATTGTATGCCTAGAAATCAGCTTTGTACTTGCTCCTCTTCCCTGACCTTGGGACTCAGTTTCAGTTTCCCTATATGGTATTCTCCTTTCCCTTTTGCCACCAAAGTCTTTAACCAAGAAAGACACCCTAAATTCACCATAGACCTGAATTTTGTAAACATACTAAGATACGGAAAGCAAGTAAATGCATGCAATTTAACTCGGTATGTGTATTTTATACTTTGATTAGAAGGTTAATTGCATTTAATTGCTTTGCATAGCTTATTAGAAGTACATTAATTCTTATTTATGTGTAAGGTATAGATTACTTGTAAACCGTAACCCATTAGCATTAGGTATGTATAGCTTGGAAATCAACAGACTTAACACAGAATAAGATTGTGGGCACAGAATTCTGGAGCCCACTGTACCTCAGACTTGGCAAAAATTCAAAAGTATGTCACAGTATACATACTGGCATCACAATGGTCAATCAAGTTGTCAAGGTTTTTATGACCACTAGGTGTTGCTCCTGATCCACAAGTAAAAAAAAAACAGCAACAAAGAAAGGTTGTTCTCGATTCCTACTAATAGACTGAAGTGGTTTCTGTGTTCCATGTCCTAGAAAATGATGCATCCTTGTCTCCACGTGGCGTTAAATTACTGCATGTCTGTGCAGATGGGTTTTGGTCTCAGAAAGCATTGGGTTTTTAATGCAATCTTTCTATGCCATACTGCAAAAGATATTGAAAGTAAAAAAAAAAAGGGGGCTCAGTATAAACATTGCTGATTCAGAGCAAGGAACTAGGGTGAGATTTTCAAGTAGCTTGGTATCTCTGAATTCCTTGTCACGGTTTTCTGGGAACCAGCAGTGCTTAGGATAGGCTGTGAGACTAGTTTTCAGAGATCTTTGAATAAGTTACACATACCCATGAAAATGCAAAAGAACTTTGTTATACAACATGAAGGCATTCTGCTTGCACGGGTGAAACGTGCAGTAGTGGCGTTTAATCTACCATGTTAATTGAACAATGAGTTAACACTAGTGAACATAATTGTGCTTGAATAAAATGCTTCTTGCTCCTTAGTAGCATGAGATTCGATCCATAACAAAATTGTGTTAGACAGTCTGAAGTGGCTATGGAATTGGGATGGATGTGCAGGCCTCAAATGGAGCCTTTCTCAAGTTACCTCTGGCTCCTTGCTTTGTTGTCAACAGTCACAGACTGGAACTATGTGGGCAAGGCCAGTTATGCTGGTCATTCTCCTTCCTATACAGCTATTAAAAATATATATGTGGTTAGCCCTGTTCACATGGTGCTGGCTATAGGATACCATGAGTCTTTTCGAGCTAGGAAATGATTGTACAAGAGAAAGGCTGACCAGCAGATGGAAAAAGATTTACAGTATGTGAGTGGCTGTCATCGTATGGTTCCAGGATACATCTAAATGACACATGGAAAGCTGCCTTGTACTGAATCACACCATTGACCCATCTAGTTCAGCATTCTCCATGCTGATTGGCAGTGCCTCTCCAGATTTTCAGGGGTTTTTGGTTCTGGCAGAATTTGTGTAATACTGCCAGTTATTTTTGTAGTCTCAATAGTTCAGGGAAACCCTTGGCACAAGGTCCTGTATGCATCATTTATCAAACATTACTGTTGCTGGTGCATCCTTGGACAGTTCCGAAGATCAGTCAGGAACTGTTTAACCAGTTAGGTAAATTAATTAGAGGGGATGCCTATTCTCTAGCATAGCATAAATATAAATACTACAGAATTCATTTTTATATGCATCTAGCTTTCTCTGGCTTTTAGTAGTGTAGTAACACGGAAGAGACCTCTAATCCAAGTATCTGGGTGCAATACAGAGGGTCGGTAAATTGCAGAATAAAACATTCTGACACAGTGTTATGGGGACAGTGTTTCTCATTTTCTAGCCAGGAAAGCTTAGCTCAGGCAGGCAATAGCTTACCCATGTAATTTGGTTTCATAAATGATCTCTGCAGAAGGACACACTGCTTCGGTATATTCTTGAGTTGCATTAAACATTCTGTACTGCATTTTATGAAATCAAGTGTTTTATTTAGGTAACTTCTAGTGTGCTGAAAAGAGTAAAAACAAAACACCAGTAACCATTAAACTAAAATGTGTACTACCTGATCCTTCATCATAAGGCATAGCACTTGAAAAGTCTTCTCTCTCTCTCTCTCTCTCTCTCTCCAGTTCCTTCAATGACTCATCATAGCACCTGTATTCCATTAGCCTTTCCACATCTGGTATATGTTGAAGGTGACATCTTCCAGTGAACTATTGCTGGGAGACTTTGTAGCACACACAACAGTAGCTTGTTACAAATTTAATGGAGAAAAATGTAAACCTCTTCCAAACTTCGTTGGGGTGGGGACAAAACAAAACATTCTGGCGAAAGCTGGAAATGAAATGACTGTGCAGAGGTATTCTTTGTGATAAGAGAATCTCTAGGCTGTGCAAGTCTTCAAGTGCCACCCATTTATGACGTAGCTGTCAGTGCCAGACAAAGAATGCGGTCTCATACTGCATTCCCCAAAGAACTGGGGAAAGCACATTGTCCATATCGGAACGTGTGACATTAACATATACCAAAATATTAACATGTGCCCGGCAGATTTCCACAACTGTGATTGCTGCAGATGCCAAGGTGTCCTTGCTGGTGAAATAGTCTGGAACCACAGTTGCCGGAGAAATAGAAACAAATAATGATACGCTGGAGCTATAACACTCCTTTGTTTTCTGTCTGTGCAAGACTGATCAAACTACTTAACCTATGTGAACAAAAATAAATACGGTAACTGTCATTAAATTTCTTTCACAGGTGATTTTGGAAAAAACCAAACTGCTGAATTTGACAATGGAATGATGTTCAACCAAATCTGGCAATTTATGGAATATCACATTGTACTTCCTTGAACTATCTTCCAGCTTTGCAGCAGCAGCAGCAGCAGCCACTCAACTAGCCTGTAACAAACAAAAAATGAGATAACATATATTAGTTCTTAATACAGAGGTACCTCTGGATGCGAACAGGATGCCAAGGTGGCATATGCTGGATTACAAATTAATCATGCTACCTGATGTTAAAAATCAATAACAAAAATCCATCCCCAACCCCTGGGGAGCAAAATAATCTAGGCTCATACAATGCTATGAGAAGAGGTTTTTTTATATATAAAGTGACCAGGCAGTCTGAACCAGTAAAAGCTGCACCCTGTGACATTAGGTTATACAAATTAACTCTCAAGCCAGTATTCCAATTGCCATGCTTTAATTTGATTTATTCTATTTAAATATTTTGATCAGAACATGAACTATATGCGTATTTACCTATAACAGGATGCACAACTGCCACAGTGGCAAAAAAATTCCACAGATAAATTAAGTTAATGCTCATGGTCTTGAATGGTGAGCATTTGTCCTGCCCCATCTAAGAAAATTCTTAGGCACGACTTGAATTGTAGCACTTCAGAGAAAACACAGAAGCCCTGACAGTAAACGTTTAACGACATCCTATAACCCACCTCCATTTCCTGTCTTTCTAGGAGCGTTTCTGTTCCATTCTGGTCCAATACATGTGCTGTAGTTCCTACTGCAGTGTCCATATTGGCTTGAATGTTCGATTTTTCATTCTCCCACTTTGCAAAGCCTTTATTCTTTCCTGATTTCCCATGGAGTTTGGACTTCATTTTGGGGAAGGTGTGTGGTCCTGAATCTCCCCAACCAGACTCATGCCACAGCGGCTCTGTCTGGGTTGCTTGGCTGGTGGTTACCCGCTGTAGATGGACCGAAATCTTTCGAGAATTGCCAGTGACGAGTGTGATTGCTCTGCTGTCTAGATCCTGATTTTGTGGAGTTACACTAGGAAAGTTAAATACTTCACCTTGCACTACAAAGGGGAAGAAAGAAGCAGAGATTAATTTTACTAATAACATTGTCTCCTTCAAACCAATCACCTTTTCCTAGCAGGGGTGGGGAACCCATGGCCTTCCAGCTGTTCTCCACCAGCCCCAGCCAGAATGTAGACCACATGTATACCACAAGGTTAACATGAGTCAACAGTGTGATGCAGCAGCAAAAAAAAACCCTCATGCTATTCTAGGCTGCATCAACAGAAGTATAGGGTCCTGATCAAGGGCAGACCTTTAAGAAGGATATTGAACATGTGCAGAAGACGGCAAACAATATTATCAAAGGTCTGGAAAACAAGCCTTATGAGGAACAGTTGAGGGAGTTAAGTATGTTTAGCATGATAAAGAGGAGACTGAAAGGAGATATGCTAGCCATCTTAAAATATCTAAAGGGCTGTGACATGGAAGATGCAGCAAGCTAGTTTTCTCCTGCTCCAGAGTATAGGATTTGAACCAATGCATTCAAGTTACAAGAACGGCGATTCCAACTAAACATTCAGAAGCACTTTCTGATGGTAAGGAGCACTCTCTCTTCCTGTGGTTTCTAGCAACTGATATTCAGGAGCCCTGCTGCCTCCAACTGTGGAGGCAGAGAACAGTCATCATGGCTAGTAGCCATTGATGGCCTCCATGCATTTGTCTAAGCCTCTTTTAAAGCCATCCACTTGGTGGCCATTGCTGCTTCTTGTGGAAGGGAGTTCCACAGATTAGCTTCGTGCTGCCTAAAGAAGTACAGGCTGAGACCATTTTAGGCGTGTCTGATATGTACACGTCCACATACAAGTGCATCATACCGAACTCAGAAGTGACCTGACCTGAAAACGTCCCCAAATGGGCGGAACAGGCTGTCTGCAGGCTCTCTCAATGGTGTTTCAAATATTCACAATTTCACTTAAATTATTAGGGCAGTGCTGATCATGTGGTTTGAGCAAGTTGTGTGGTTTCACGGGCAAAGGTCACTACTCTGGTATGGAGCCTCACATGCAAACACATGGAAGTGAGGTTTTGGGATCAGCTGTGCAAATTGGGCCACATGCATCTCACTGGAGAGGATACTCCATCCATCTCACTTCAGGGCTATTTATTGTGGGAGAGAGGTTATTGAGGATATCCTTGGGAATAAAAGAAGCTTCTTGCTTTATCAAAGCAATGGCTACTGCATTCTTGGAAACTCATGTGATAAATTGTTGCGCAACAAGGGAAACTGTTCAACAACCCATTGTTGTCCTCTCTTACCTGCTGGCAATGATGGGCTATTAGGCAAAGAACCGTGACTGCTACCCAGTGACATCCCTCTGGCAAACTTCCTGCAGGCTAGAACTAGAAGATCTCTGCATTGCTTATGACAGTTAGCACCGCAATCTGGAATAAATTGCCAGAGAAAAGAAAAATTGGATCTGGCAAACTACAGTTTCCAAAGAGATGCAAACAACGACAAAAAGAATTCAACTCTGCAAAAGCTTTCAAAGTCTGTCTGAGGAATTTCCACGTAAGTGGCATGATGTGAGTGGAAGCCAAGCATGAAATGTCACACTAGAATAGAATCTAGGGCTGCATACAAATTATTATTTCTGTGAAGCAATGAGAATGCTCTTTATCATTATTAACTATGATCAGCACTGACAGGTACAAACATGACAGACATAAAATGAAGGGGAAAGTTGTTGGGGAACCCTTTCCAAAGAGTTTGGAGCTTCAGAGGGGGAAAAGCAGCTGATTTGAAACTGGAAGGTTGCAGGAGGAAGAGAAACTCCCCCCCCCCTTCCTTCACTGTTTCTCCACTCCAAAAGTGGTGTTTCCTAAGAAAACCTATTTGTCAGGCTTTTTGTAACATGCAGTTCCAGTCTTGGTGTTAGTGATTACTTAATAGGGTCACAAAAGGCCAAGCCAGAGCATTAGTAGCCAAGCGTCCTTCCAATGTGCTGGAATTACTTTTCAATGCACACACCATTACGGGAGATGTTAAGCAGGGTACAAGGTCTAAGCACTTTGAAATGCCAGATTTTTCACTGCAGCTTAATTTCAGCTGGAACATGCCATTAATTACAAACAAACAAGAGCTGCAACAAAATGTCGCAGTGCATGTTTTATGGTGTGGGCCAGCCGTACATGCCCTTCACAGGTATACACTATTCCACCCTGCACCCCACCCCAATTTTCTGTTTGGGTTTCTTTCTTCCGACTGATATTTATCAGCTTGTGACTACGGCACATGCTCTGTCCCCACTGGGCTGTTTCAGGGAGGTTTTTCCTCCCCAAAGGCTTGTTGTTTTTGAAGGCTTATTTTGTACATTTGCAAACTTCACAACTCCCCAAACATGCTTCCCTCTTGTTTCTCAGTTGCTCCATATTGGCCACATAGATTTTGGCATGCACTATCTGAATTCACTAATAGCAAGAACAACAGTCAGTGGCACAGCATCTGACAAGGTGAACAGCATCTAAACGAAGCTGAGTGTTAAAATGAATTGAAGAGCTGAAGAATGAAAATAGTTTTTCAGCCTGCGAGTGATTAAGGCTGCAGTGCTATGCCTACCAGAGCTGTCTTTCCTATTGGGCTTACTGGTGTGTTGCACTAGGGCGCTGGCCTCTCAGGGGCGCCCCAGCGAGTGGGGGAGCTGCACGGCTTTGCCGGCGGCCTCCCCTTTCCCTGCACGCCCACCAGCTGTGCCCTGCCAACCATATGGCTGGCGGGCGTGCAGCTTCCTTCCCAAGCCTCCGCAGGAGGAGAGAGATCCCCGCAGAGGCTTGGGAAAAGGTCGACAACTCTGGGAAACGGGGGGTGGGGTGGGGGAGCCTGAGGGATCTTTGCACCACGGCGCCGGATATGCTTAAGACGGCCCTGATGTCTACTTCCCTTGGAGTAAGCACCACTGACCACAGTGGGACTTACGTCTCTGTAAATATGCATAAGACTGCACTGCACCTAACTCTCTAGATCAGCCTTTCTAAACCTGTGGGTCCCCAGATGTTGTTGAACTGCAACTCCCATCACCCCTAGCTAGCAAGGCCAGAGTTCAAGGATGATGGGAGTTGTAGTCCAAGAACATCTGGGGACCCACAGGTTGAGAACCACTGCTCTAGATCCATGAGGTCGAAAGTGCATTGTATGTGGCATTGCTCATTTGCCAGCAATTAAGAGATTCATTATGTTACAAACTGGAGGGGCTATGACTTGCAATCGGCAGCCACACATTATTTACAGTACCTTTGCATTTGTATCCTTGCTTGATTATACCCCACAGCTGCAATTAAAAGACAAAAGGTATAAAAAGGTATAAAAAAGAAAGCCAGAAAGAAAACAACCTCATTATAAAGGCAGGAACAAAAGGCTACAAAAGTGCAAACAGGAAATTACTGCTCGCAACACCCTTCCTGTTAGAAAGAGCTCTCCATTCATCTGTGAGGCTCAAGGCAGCACACTGGCCCTCGCCATTTCCAGGACCAACAAGTGAGGCAGCACAGGAGAACTGACTCAACAGATCACCATAAGGACTCTGGGCTGGATACACAATCCTGCACACTCTCACTGTGGTCTGGAAAGTGGTGTACACAACAGTTGCTACAATTCATCTCTTATAAAATACTGCATTTTGATATGGTTTCCCCACCAAACCATTTTCGATTTGAATTGAGAAAAAGAATAACCTAGCTACATTTTAAGCTGTTAACATATAGACAGTTTATTTCTACATTTTTAATTCATTCAATTTTGGCATACAGTTGAACCTCAGTTTATGTAACCCTCTGGTTGCGTAAACTTCGGGATGCACGTGCGGCAAACCCGGAAGTATTTTACCGGGTTTTGCCACACATGCATGAGCAGAAGCGGTCCTCAGGTTGAGGAAACCTCGGGATCCGACTGGACCTCTGGAACGGATCCCACCCGCAACCGGAGGTACCACTGTATTGGGCTAAAAAATTGGGATTAATTTTTTTTTAAAAAAGCAGCAGTTAAGTTGCAATTTTGTGCACCAAAATTGAGAAACTTCCAGCCCATGGTCCAAATTAGGCCTCACAAGCATCCCAATTTGTCCCACGGGGCCGGTTCCTTCAAACCACACCCACCTGCCCTGCACCTGACATCTTACGTGACATCAGGTGAGGGGCAGGTGGAGATGCTTCTGCCAATGCATAACTGGGAGCCCTAAAGGGAGCCTTAAAAGGCATTGACAAGGGAGACTTCCTTTCACAACCAATCAGCTGATTGACAGCAACAGCAAGCCAGCAGGAATCAGCTGCACTACTGACTTTCTCATAGGAACTCCATAGTGCAGCCGACCCATGCAGAAAAGCAGGGCTTGAACTGAGTGCCTACCAGCAGACAGGCATTTGATTCAAGCTCACTGGGATCAGCCGTGCTATTGGCGGTTGACCCCTGCAGAAAAGTGGAGCTTGAACTGAGTGCCCTATTAGCTGATGGGTGCTCAGTTCAAGCCCTGCTATGATGCAGGAGCCAACTGCAAATAGACCCGGTCAGCTGATTGGTACCTCAAAGCACCAGGGGACTTGAAAGCACCTTATCACCTGATGTCACTGTAAGGTCAGGTAAGTAGCAGGTGGGTGGTTCTGCCCACCTGACAAATTTGACCCATTTCATACAATGGCCGGATTTGATTCCCCACCTCTGCTATGCACATTTGCCTGGGCACCGAGTCCCATGAGCTCGGTGGGACATATTTCTGAGTAGGCATGTATGAGACAGACAGAGGAAGCGCTGTACTATAGGTCAGAGTGCAAAAATGCATGCAAAGTGCCCCAAGTCCAATCCCTGATATCTCCAGGGAGGACCAGGAAATATTCCTGTCTGAAGCCCTGAGCTAGACAGGCTCATGTTCTGACTCAGTGGAAGGTAGTTTCCTATGTTCCTAGGACTGCACTGTAGGGCTCAATTTCAGACTCCAGTGCCTTCAGTTACAGTCATCCTCACTTTTGATACCATTCTCATATGGTCTATTTAGACGCTCCTACAAAACAAATGTGTGCGCGGTTGATGTTTTTTACATTTATTCAAGCCGTTGAAACAGAGCAGGATAAAAAGTGTATTATAAAAAATGAAGAAACAAACACGTCTTAGCCCACAAGTACATTAGAACTGCACTAATCCATACTTACAAATCCAGCACAATGCTCACAGAACGTTGGCTTAAGATAGGTCATCTCCTGAAAGTTATGTATAAAACCTGGTCCCATTTTACACTGCAGCTGTGATTTGGCCCTCAGAAAATAAGCCATCATTTCTCCTTTGCTGATAAGGCCATCCCTGTTTCAAAAGAAAAAAGGGGGGAAGAGGTGGAGAGATCTGTTAGTTCTAAACCACAGATTGGGTCAACTCCAACTCCCATTATCCCTGACTGGCTATTATCCCAGGTTGGCTAGGGCTTATGGGAGTTGGAGTCCAACGATGTCTGGAGGGGACCTCATTGGCAGCCCCTGCAACAGATAAACAGAGCACCCTGTCCCTTCTCCATGGGCATAGTCTCTCTTATTTTAGAAAATGATACTGAACAACAAAACTTTTCACCTGCAGTCCTCATAGTGACTGATCAATGAGTGATCGGTTCCATGTAACTTATGTATGATGCAGAGTTTCATGAAATATTCAGCGAGTTATATCCAATGCTGCGCAAATAGACTTTCACGAGCACAATGGGACTTTCTTTTCCCTCCTGCAGTCCCTCAATCTACTCCACAGGGTTCCCAAATTCTTCCCGGCGGTAAAAAAGGAAGGGAAAGTCTACTTGTATGAGTGGAAATCTGTCCCACTTGGAATGGTAGGGTAGGAACAACCCAGGTTTAATAACAGGCATTCTGCGAGTATTGCTCATCCTTTTCCTTTCTATTTATGGTAAGTTCTACCTATGTGGCCACAATCCCTTAAGCACTTCTGATTCACCTATATGCATCGGAACCTGAGTTTGGACCCTGAACTAAACAGCTTGCACTGTGTGGTCACTCTCAGATGTAAAATGGGAATATTAATCACTCATTCCATGGGCTGTTTAGATTCTGAGTGAGAGAAGGAAACGCCAACACCCACCTGGTCATTCTGGATATGGCTGGGTATAAATTAAAACAAACTTAAGTAATTTCTATTTGTTTCTTGACACTTCTAAATTAAGGCTTCAATTCTATGCTCACTTATTTGATAGTAATCTCCACGGAACACAGTAGGGAGCCACCTCTGAGTAAACTTGCAGAAGGTTGCACTGCAAAAGCATAACAGGAGCAAGACCACTTACTGATCTTTGTCTAATACGCAGAATGAATCCAGGAAAGGGAAATTAGCTGCAATGCTTTCAAAGTCTTCTTGAGAGATGTAGCCATCATGGTCGTGGTCATAGTTCCTAAAAACAGACTGAAAAATGCAAGAAAATTATACAATGTAAAGTAAAGAGCAATAGATTATGACAACATAATTTCCCTTAAAATCAAAGCCAAGTATAATGATAGCAACCATTAAATGAAGAACATTACTGAAGGTCAGGTACTATATGCCCAATATCTTAAAGCAAAAACCAGCTTCTAACAACTGATTCATATCAAGAACTGATATGTCTGTATCATACTGAAAGATGATTCAACTAACCACTAAATGAAAACACACCTCCCCCTTCCCCAATATATACTCTCCTGTGCACTTCATTCACCAATCTAAGATCCTACTCTGGGTGTCCTTGCTGACTTGAGTTGAGCAGGAGTCTACCAGGAGCAGGGCCTTATCAGAGGTGACACCAACAATGTGGTACTCTGTGCAACCGAGGATGAAAGATAAACCTTCACATTTACTCAGAGGTAATTTGGACCTGATCCCTGGATCCTATCGGTGAGGACTCTGTAGGTCAGCTGCGGAGTAAGTGAACTTCTGCTTAAAGGCCCACCAACAGAAAGGTAAATACATTTATATATTCATTATGGAATTTAAATACTGTGCTTTCCAACCCCGCAGGGTGATTGGGGGTTGTTAATGGTGGGGGTTTGTAATAAAGGAGCTGCAGTTCATACATGCTGCCAGGGATATGGTTAGATCCTTAAAGAATTTGGAGCCCAGATCCAGATTTGCAGAAAAAATTGCACATGCCAATTTACAGTGGTACCTCGGGTTACATACGCTTCAGGTTACACACTCCGCTAACCCAGAAATAGTACCTCGGGTTAAGAACTTTGCTTCAGGATGAGAACAAATTGTGCAGCAGCGGTGTGGCAGCAGCGGGAGGCCCCATTAGCTAAAGTGGTGCTTCAGGTTAAGAACAGTTTCAGGTTAAGAACAGACCTCTGGAACGAATTAAGTACGTAACCAGAGGTACCACTGTATATGTATAGATGCTTCCGGGCAAATTAAGATGTCAGGGCTGGGATCTCACCTAGAGCACCAAGCCACCCTATAAGGTAGGGAGCCTGTGGTCCTCTGGTAGGTGTTGGATCCAATTCCCAGCAGCCCCAGAAAGCATGACCAAGGCTAGCGATGATGGGAGTTGTAGTTTAACTACATCGGAAGGACCACAGGTTCATCACCCCTGCGAGAAGTAAAAACAAAAACAAAAAAACTTAAGCTTCTAGGTTTGGGGAAAGGGGAGGAGATCTGGATCTCAGCACAGAAGTCCTGAAACTCCTTCCTGCCAACAATGCTTCTGGCCAGCTACCTAGAAGTTTGACCAGAGGGCACCTTGGCACCTCAGTGCAGATGGAATTGCCACCTGAAATTGACTCCTCTTTGACAATGTTTGTAGCCAATTAGACCTATTGGACCCTGTAGAGTGAAAATTATAGGGTGCATTAGTCCTCACTTCCACAGTGTGCTTTAGGCATGATTTCCCACATGAATTTAGATTCTGTCTAAAAAGAACTTTATGTTTATCATGTGCACACCATCACATGTGATGAACATGCACACACATCTGTTTGTCATGAGCGCATATGATGGGAAGATATAATTGTATAGTGGCAGCATCTATAGGCTGAAGGCATATGATGCAGTTCTGGGTCAGTATATGCCAGTATATGGGGTGCAGTATATGTCACACCACATACACTGCCTGCGAAAGCAATATACATTGCCTCTGATTTATGGTGAGAGAGGAGTAGATACCACATGTGCTGAAGTGAACCTATGCGCAACAGCACATGCCCATGGTTTCTATATGGCTTTCTACCTATGTAGCATATTCTTGCTTGCGAAGCAGCCCTAAGAACATGCACATCCCATGACCGATTTGCCAGTCATAGCTCATACCACTGGAATTGATTGATTTTCAAATATAATAACAGGAAATAAGTTTTTCAACTTGTAAAACTGTGCTTTACGTTTTAAGCCTGCACCAGCACATTCACATACTATGCTAGACAATCCTATGCATGTTGAGGGACTGCATCCCTAATCCTTCACTGACGCCAGGAGTGGGGAACCTTTGGCCCTCTAGGTGCTGCTCAACTACAACTCTCATCAGCCCTGATAAGCCTCGCCAGGGATGACAGGAGTTGTAGTTCAGCAACATCTAGCAGGCCAAAGGTTTCCCGCACCTGCCTGACACCCATGTATACCTTGAGCAGCCACACAAGTCATTCTGAGCACTCTCTCAAATACTTACATCAACTAGTTTTTGGATGTGTTTGTTAATAAGGTTCGGGTCAGGTTTCGGTATGACTCCGGACGCCCATTCAAGTGGCACCACTGTCTTGTTAGGGGTTGTTGGAGAGGTAGGCTGCTAACAAAGAAAATAAAAAAGCATTTTTAGGACTCACTGTGAATGAAGTTGTGGGTGACTTCTGTTAAGTTGTGGGTGAACATATTAGACGACACAGCGATTCTTCAAACAGCTCTTGTTTATTCACAGGCCAGAACAGAACTGAACTGAAGGGTTCAGCCAGCCTCCTTATATAGAGCTCCACTAGAACGCAACAGTAACCATTTTCTGTAACTATCCAATCACTGAACGTCACTTTCAATCCCTTATTTGCATATGTGGACCTGAGTGAAAACTATCTACAGTATCCCCCTGCTGGCCCAGAGTGAGAACTTCAGCACATAACTTCTTAAAGGATGCGCAGCTTGCTGCAGAGCGAGTCCAAAGTTGTGTTTCAACTTTCACATGAGATATAGGCTATAAGTCATTACCCCTTATAGTAGTGCAATACTTAAGTTCTAGTCTAAGAAATAGATCACAAGTGAAGATAACGTTGCACCAGAAGGAATGGCTGCAGTGAAGATACAACATCACACTAATATGATTGTTCCATCGGCACAAGTGTTTCTGCTTGCCTGACAGAATGATCTCCACTCCCCCACCCCCACATGCTCTCCTGGGTCCCCCCTCCAACTGGCAATGGGGGGAGGAGAGGCGGGAAAACCTCTGCTGCACTACAGAAACCGCTTGGTTGAATCCCACCCTGTGTCTGTTTGTTTTTTAACAATGTGACTCTGTTTCCTTCTCTCTCCGATTCCTTTGCATATTACTACAATGGAAGAATGAAACGGCAACAAGGCAGTGACCTTCAACAATGCCATCACTGTCCAGGGTGCCTGGTAATCAATGAATAATCAGTGACATTCTACTCTAGAGTGTTGGGCACAGGTGAATATGCAATAAATAAACAAAAAGTATCGACAATCAAAAACGGCAAAACTTCTGAAGCAGGAAGCACATTTCGTTTTTCAATTGCGTATGCAGCAATGCAATTTTACTTCCAACATTTCCCCCTCCCCAATTTCTCAAACAAAAGTAAGATAAGGTCACTTCGGATCATTTTGCATTCCCTCCCATCCTGCTGTGAATATTAATGGGGGGGGGGAGTAGTGCTGGATCTTCCTGACAGATAAGCATTTCTTAAATAAATAAGAAAGTAAATATTACTAAAAAAAAACCAAGTATATTACAAAGTTATAACACTCCTAAACCCTAAAAAGTTACATACTGATTTTGAAGTCCTTGGCTCGAGCACCAGTGAGAGCTTATAAATATCATCTTCTGTGTGGTAGAGATCCAGGGAAAGCTAAGAGTCAAACCAAAATAATAATAATAAAAGCATTATTTTAATTACTGGGGTGGAACTAAAGAAGTGTAACAAAATAAGAGAAACATAACTCCAACGGCTTCAGAAGATTACAATTTTTCAACAGACACAGTTGTGGGGGGAGAGTCTGGGCAGTGGTGTAGGAAACCTCTTCGGCACCTGGGGCGGGGTGCCAACCACCCACAGGGGTGGGGCTAATGACCCAGCTGCGCGCGCGCGCCCTTGGCCCCACTACAGCCGGGGGAGAGGCAGCAGGCAGACAGCACGGAGCCTGCGGATGCCCGAGACGTATGGCTCAGGCGTGCTGCAGGACCCGCAGTGAGTGCTGCCCGCCATTTTGTCACCCCCCCCCCTCAGGGTGACACTTGGGGTGGACTGCAACCCCTGCACCCCCCTTCCTATGCCCCTGGGTCTGGGGTGCTTGATCCTTTCCACACCCATGATTTTTCTGCTGCAAGGCCTCTGTGCAGTTCCAGATAGTGTTTGTTTGCAACTGCAAACATGAGAAGAAACAGAGGCTGTTTTGTATAGAAACTGTACTGAATGCCACAGTTTTTGGTGGAGATAACACCAAGGTTGCTATCTCCTGAACATAGTCCAAGTCGGGCTACTTTTCTTCCTGCTTGCTTTTTGCCCCAGCGCAAAACCTTACATTTGCAAACAAATCTCAATACTCATAAACAGTGCTTATTTTCTCAATTTTTTTTAAAGGGGTACTCTCATTTTCCCACTCATATTGAAATACTGCCCCTCAATGAGGCCAAACTTAGATTCACAAAATGTTTAGGGGTATGCGTACCCCTGCGTTCCCCCAGAAAAAAGCACTGTTCATAAACATAAATCACGACACAGAACAGAAATTGACCCACACATCTGCTTCAGCATCAGGTAATATTCAAAGCATAAAATCACGACGATCATATTGAAAGGAGGGTGGTGATCTGCTATCTTTGACAGTTGTGCAGCAGAAGGAATTTTGGTGGGACAGATTGACAAGGGGTGCAAAGGGCTGCACCTGCAGAAATTCCCCTTTCCACACAACTGTTAAAAGTCAGAAGATTCGGGTCTCCCGTTCACTGACCACAGGGCCATTCCCCAAAATGCATTGTGCAATAAGAACACGAGAGCTGCATAGGCTGGATCACAACATGGCACTGCCTTTGGGTCTGATCCAGAAGCTCCAGCTAATGCAGAATGCTGCAGCTAGACTAGTGGTGGGGAAAGACTAACAGCAACACATGACACCCACCTGCTACTAGGTCAGGTTCAAGGTTCTTGTACAAAGTCCTGAATAACTTAGGTCAAGACACCCCAAAGACTGTCTTACTCTGTACACTCCAAGTCAATCACTGAGATCATCTGGGGGAACACTATTAGTGGTCCACCATGGACCAGATGCATGACTTATATCAATGAGAACTTGAAGTTATGCTTTCAGTTCTGTGATCCCAACTCTGTCAAACTCTTTTTCCTGAGTTCCAGATGCCTGGTTAACATTGTTTTATTTCAGGAGGACTTTGCATCATGAATGCTTTTCTGATGTTTTAAAATGTTCTATGTTCTTTGTTTAAACCCCTGAGGTATTAAATTTTTGAGGTTTTCATTTATATTTTCATCATTGTAAGCTGCGAACAAGTCCTAGATGTTGAAAAGGGGGAGGTATCTGTAAAAATAATTATCCGCCTTCACCAGTCTGGTGTCCTCTAGATGTTTTGAGCTACAAGGTCTCTTCAGCCCCAACCAGCAAGGAAATAAAGCACCATTTATCTTTTCTGCCCTCAGCTGAGTATCTTGGATCAGTCCTAAAGCTGATCATGTGACTCCTAGGGCTATTGCTGTGCTGCATAAATTGCATTTCCCCCTCTTTTGCTCACCTTGGCTTTTCTTCACATTAGGTAAAAATAAATAATTGAGCCAATCTTCAAAGCTGCCCCTGTTGGAAAAGGAGAGGGAGGCTGGCTTTCCAGCTTCCAGAGCAGCCTCTCTCAGCACTGTTCTACCAAGGCTTCCACACAAAAAGGTACCACTAATCAGAAAATTGACAGGAAGAAGGGACAGGTCACTGCATTTTGCAATAGGGAAGGAAGCTGAACACACGAGCCCCTTGACCCTGAGGAACAGTATGGCCTGAGTACTACATGATTTTGCGGGTCTCATATTTCCACCTAGAGTCATTCTGTGGAGAAGTGTGTCCCTTTTCTAGTTGATAGGAATCTATGTGCCTCACTCTCATACAGAGCAGCAGCAGCTCCAACATGCCCTGCTTTGTCCTTTGTACAGATTTTATATTTAAAAGTGACTTATCTGAGTTAGTTTCAGTCTGATTAAAAAGAACGTATTCACCACAGTTTTCACAGACTGTAAAAGCACCTGGGGCTTTCCAGATATTTGCATAGTTTCAGAGTTGGTACAGACCACAGCATACAAACTATTGTTCTGTGCTTCAGTGTACCTCCACTTTCCACACTAATTATAACTGTTAATTCATTTATTGGTTGTATAGTGCACCACCTAAGCAAAACAACATGGAGCACTGCCTCAAACTGCTTTCAATCAGACGTTTGACAGCTGCGATGGAACAAGCGAAGGGGAAGGGTAGAAAGTGCAAGGAAAACAAGAGATGAATGTGAGAAAAAAACCACATTTACATCCTTTGTTTCTGATTTAGGGCCAAGGGACAACAGCCTTAAATTCACTTATTCTAAATAATACTGTTCTGGAGTTTGGGGTGGGGAGTAGGAAGCCAAGACCCTTCTAATTTCTGGATACGGCAAGTGTTAAAATCTAAGCAAGGATTCAAATTCCTGGAATAGCCAGGCTAGCTTCCTGGTATGCTAATGGGTCATGAAGGTAGAAAAGGGAAATATGCTAATCCAAAAGTACCAAGTCACATCCATTTCAGGGTGCTTCCATTTCAAAGGTGGTTGAATAAAGATCCCACTGCACAACCCTTATTCCCTGAAGTGTTTCTTTGAATCCCAGGCTATGTCTTTAAACACTGTAAGTTTTGAAGTAGCTCGTGTTGATCCAAACCCACAGCCCCACTAGACACAGGGATGGAGGCCTGCATGTTGTACCAGCTGCAGTGGACATTACTTCTGCAATGCCGCCTCAATGCTAAAACTGATTAGTTTTGATTATAGGAAAGGCAGTGGCAGTTTTGTAATGAGTCTTTGAAAGAATGGCCTTGAGTGTCTTAAAATTTATTATAATTATAATTATTATTATTGCAGTCCTGAAAATGTAAACAATAACTGCAACAAATTATCAGGGCAAGAATCCTCCAGGGAAGCTTCTCTGTATTTTGCTATAGGAGATACGAGGTTTGCTCTCACTAATGCTTTAGCAAAGCTGAAAGAAGCCCATTTTGCACTTCAGCTCCTTATACAGATTGAATTATATAAAATTCAGCAAAGCGCACGTCAACACCAACAGCTGCTGCCAATGTTCAGACTGCTGCAGTGACGTGAACTGCATGCAATCTTCCTGCAGCCCACTTTCCCCTTCAGTCATCTTGTTATTTTGCTGCAGCCGTATCTATCAGGGTGGGGAAAGTTTCAATGTATTTATATGAGCAAAGAATAGAATGGAAGAATACCAAATATCCAGATATAAAACTGGACCAAGGATTCCAGAGGAAACAAGAGTGTAAAATACAGCGCTCCTCATAATCTGAATTGACCCCATTTGGGCAAGCTGCAGAAGGCTGCTTCTGAACTGTTATTTATACTGTACTACAGTGTGAGAGCCCTGCCAACCTAGCAGTTTGAAAGCACATCAAAGTGCAAGTAGATAAATAGGTACTGCTCCGGCGGGAAGGTAAACAGCGTTTCCGTGCGCTGCTCTGGTTCGCCAGAAGCGGCTTTGTCATGCTGGCCACATGACCCGGAAGCTGTATTCCGGCTCCCTCAGCCAATAAAGTGAGATGAGCGCCGCAACCCCAGAGTTGGCCACAACTGGACCTAACGGTCAGGGGTCCCTTTACCTTTTACCTTACAGTGTGAGAGCAGAGGTAGAAATGTTACAAAGATAATAATATGTTCCTTTGCTGTCAACTGACATTCAGATGCTGAACATAAAATATTTATTTTTTAATATGGAAAGAGTTCTCTTGGCTTCCAGCTACAACAGCCACATGGACACCCTCCCTATTAAAGCTGGCTCTCTCTGGCTACCTAACTATGAGAACCAACTGCATGGGGTGGATATCACAATTGCATCTTCATGCTTATGAATCTTTCTGGTCAGCCATTGCTGGAGAAAGAATGCTGAGAATGTGAACGCTGAGTCACAGGACAAGTTGGAGAGAGAACATGATGCTGGGTGGCCAGACCCTTTAAAGGGCCATGTGAGCTTGTGAGACCCCACAAGATCCCAGGGAGGATCAGACCCTCTCCTGGCCATGGAGGCTGCCTCGCTGCCCTGCACTTCAGTATTGGCATGGAGATGTGCCAAACTGTGAGTTGTATTAAAGGAGCTTCAGCTAACATTGTGGTTCAGAAGGGAAAATGTGTGCCTGCAAAAATAATTGTGTGAAAGAAAACAGAGAGAGTACACCCAAATTTGTTTATTGTTCTGTTATGTAGCTTTCAATATTCATTCACTGCCCTGCCCCATCGCTGTGACACACAAATTAAGACTTTAAAAAAAGGCTGAAGGAATTTTAATAAGCAGGCTATGCAGCAGTGCTACTACTTGTGTGCATGTGTGTGGAGGGGCATATGCAGGGATGCCAACTTGAATAAAATCCTGAGGGGCCATTAAGCTTTGGCTTAGTGTGTTGCCCAAACCCAGGCTTGTGGTTCAGTTCTCTCCTTACTAACCATGAACTGGAAGCCATAGTTTGGTTTACCATGTTGTACAAACCAGGCCAATATCAGTGCACATTTAGCAGAGGGTGTGAATTTATTTTATCATACGACAAGGATAAATTATGTGTGCAAATTGTTCATCAAAGTTGTGAAATGAATAATCTACAGCGTAAAATGAAGTATTTGAAGAAATGAAGTAAGTCTCTTTGCAGGTTAATTCCCACCTAGCTGGTATCTGAATATTCTCACGTCTTTATCATTTTTATTTCTCTCTAATTTATTTGGGTTTTTCCCCAGAAAATGTGCAATCTGTTCTATTAGTAAGTCTAACAAATTCACCCCTGCCTTTTACATCTCCTCCTTGCCCTCAAAGGAAACAGTGATGGAAGGAAAAGGAATGTTTTCAAATTCAAATTTAACGGAACTTACTGTTAGCAGGTTAATTAAATCCATGTTTGGCTCAAGATGGTGAGAAGCAGTCTGCAGGGAAACCAGCTCACTCAAGGTGACTGAAAGCTGCTGCATTTTTACTATGTTGACTTTGTTCTCATTGATCCAGTCTGGAAAGACGACATGAACAGCTATCAGGTCCTTCAGGTGGACTCCTAAGATTGGGATTTTGAAGCCAACACAATCAGCAAAAGCTTTGCGGTAGCTGCAGTAGTTCCCATTGGAAGAGACTAGCTCGGTCATTTCGTTCCAGTCCTGTAAACAAGGTAAAGAAGAAGCAAACTCCGCAAAAGCATCCTTAACATTGCTTTGATTTATCTTAAAGAGGCAGCGCTTAGGAAAATCATACTGGGAGGACTGGAAACCTTTTCTTGGGGGGGGGGGATGGTGGTGAGGGGCATGATCCAATAACAGAAGCAACTCACACGATTTCTTCCAGCACATTTTTGAGGAAACATCATAGCTCAGAAGGAGTTCACATAGTTTGCATGCAGGAAGTCCAAGTTCAATCACCAGAACCTCCAGTTAAAAAAGAGATAGTGGGGTGGGAAAGAATCCTGCCCAAGATGTTGGTGAGATGCTGCTAATAAACAGACTGGGCTAGATGGGCCAAAGGCCTGACTCAGTATGAGGCACCTTCACTTGTTCTCAGTCTCCCTTATTCCAGTAAGAAAGGACATCTTTTTGAAAGATTACATTTGAGTTTGCTCATGTTCCTCTATATAATATTTACACAGACGTTGAGTCCATTACAAGAGAGGTGCTGTCATACCTTTGAAACTTCTGAGGAAAGGTGAGAATGAGTTTCTTTGAGACGTGAAATAGAGCTATGGCTTAGTCCTCCCACAACAGCCATCAGGGTATTGAAATTTTGAAGATGAAGAAGTTTCTGTAGAGAAATTAGACACATTGCTTACTTGTTGATGAAATGTTACCTGTTTCATTGTTCTAACAAGCCAAATGTATGGCTCTATCTGCAATCATACACACACTTACTAGATAATCCAACTGATAATAACAAGCAAAGGTCCTGCCAACCTAAGCAGTTTGAAAGCATGCCAGTGCAAGTAAATAAATAGGTACTGTTGCGGCAGGAAGGTAAACGGCACTTCCGTGTGCTGTGGCACTTGTCACAGTCCTCTGTGCACCAGTAGTGGTTTAGTCATGCTGGCCACATGACCCAGAAAGCTGTCTGTGGACAAATGCCAGCTTCCTTGGCCGGAAAGCAAGATGAGCGCCACAACCCCATAGTCAACTTTGACTGGACTTAACCATCCAGCGGTCCTTTACCCTTTTACCTTATAGTTATTTGTTCCAATGTGCAAGGCCTAGAATAATAGCTCTTGACTGTTGGCATGGTGCCTGATGAGAACTATGTTAAAAATGAAAGGCAAAAAATTGTTTGCCAAACTGAATTTCTTTTTTCTCTCTTCAAACTATCCTAGTAGAGATATTAATAAATGAACTTTACTGGGACATCCCCAAACCCACCTAAATGTGTAAATGATGAATTCTTAGCTGGAATAATATTACCAAAATCCTCTAATCTTGAATCAAATATTTTAGAAGTTCCTATCAAGAAGCAAACAAAACTAATATAAACCTTATGAACAATAAATCACCCATGACAGTAGGATTCACCACTGTATTTTATAAGAAAATTGAAGAATGCATAGTTCAACAATTAATATGCATAATAATGCCATAGCTACAATTTAGTTGTTACAAAAGGCATGAGCAGAAGCTGAAATGGTAATTATAGCCCATTTAGGTACAGATCTCTTACTCTAAGGTTCAAAGCATCCAAAACTGGACAGCTATCATAGCAGAAAGGCTTAACAAGTTGATAATAATCAAATATAGGCAGCACTTATTTTCTCTATGCAGAGAAAACATTTGATTGGCTAGAGTGGAAGTTTTTGCACTGGAAAATTTTAATGCAGGAGAACAATATCTTTGATATACAACAAATCTACAGCAAGAATTTACAACAGCAAATCCCTTTCACAGTCAATAATTTACAGAGGTACAAGAAAAGGATGTCCTTTGCCACCAGCACTGTTTGTTGCCTTCCCCACCCCTTGCCAACTAGCCACTTATATTAGGAACAATATCAAGATACCTGGAGTAACACTGGGATAAACAGAATGTAAACATAATCCTTACTATGAACACTGTATCTGGGCTTCCTACATACCCTCTTTATTTTGGACCTCCATCCCACAGTATTTCATTCCAAGGTCATTATTACCTGTGCAACATTGATGAATTTTGTGATTACTTCTGCCCTTTGCTGAGGGGTTGGTTTGCTAAGGACCATCAACTGGACCCACTTGGAGATGCCATTAAATAAAGCGATTGATCTTTCCAGAGTTGGGTTGTTCTCCAGGCAACCATGGATCACATAGCTCTGATAATCTGTAAACTAGACAAATTCATTGTTATATGGCTTTTCTAAACCACAAAAAGGACATATACTGGAGTAGACCAACATTCCCTGATAAGATCTGTAACTTAGGAAATCTGACCTTTAAAAAAAAAAGTCCTCAGTGCACATAATTTAATTATTGTTTGATGAACACTGCGCATCCTTGACAGGGACAGGGAGCACTACTAGCTTTCATTTCTGTTTGGATGAGGAAACACAGTGAAGCCTTGTGGTATCTCTGCAATATTTCTTTTCAAAAATGAAACCTGAGCATAAGCAGAAGTCCTTGTGCAGGGCTTACACTTATGGGACTCATTAGCTGAATCCCACCCACAGATCTGCAGCTTGCCAGCAGCAAGCAGCACGAACACCTTGATCCAAGACATTAGATCCTCATGGAACTTCCCCATTTGTTTACAAAGGATGCCAACAAAACCACCAATGAAATACAGAAAACGTCTGTGGACACAAAGGTGCCTGATGATTTGATGGTGGTTCTAAGCAGTTCCCTTGTAAAAACTATGCGGATCTTTAAGGATCTGTGTTTTGGATCCATATTTTTTTTATCACAGTAGTGCTGGAAAGCATCCGATCCATTATTTTCATGGCTCAGTTAATGGGACACATGTGACCTGTGATTTGTAGGTGATTTGGAGGGGGAAACTCATTAAAAAATAAGCAATTTCAACAGGATCTACTTTACTGGACCCAGTTTGTGTGTTTGCATATGCACACCTCCTCTCTCATAGACACAATATCCCCCAACTCCTGTGGCACCCCCATTTCTGGCAGCCGTCTACAATCATTCTGTTTTTCCTCCCCATGTCTCCTACATCACTCTCCTTTCCATCTTAGACTTTCAGTCATTCCCCTTTCTGTTCAGCGCATCAGGTGCCAAACTAAACCTTGAAAAGTGCACCAAGCCGAAAGAAGAAGTAGAAAAGAGCACTGCTGTTCTTACTTCCTCTTTCACCTTTAGGTGCTTTTCAAGGTGAAGGTAGTGGTAAGATAACTACTCTTTCCACATCACAATGAAGAGAGAAGTAAGCATGGGGGCAGGGAAGGTGTAACAGGTTTTGTGGGTGGAAGGAAAAATAAGGGTGCCTACAGGCACTGCACTGATGACCCCAGAATGCTACATCCAACAAGCAATGAGTAGACACGGATCAGCCAGCACTGAGGCTGTATACACACCATTCATTTAAAGCGCATTTAAATATCTTGACTTCACCCAAAGAATCCCAGGGAATGTAATTTGTTAAAGGTGCTGGGAATTGTGGCTCTACAGCTACAGTTGCCAGAAATCGTTGGGGGAAGTAATGCACATGGTGTTACATGGTTTGAGATTTGATGTAATGTATATCCAGAGTCATGGAAATGGGCAATAGGAGCTGTAAAGCCCAAGTGCCGTAAGAAATTGTAGGTTTCTTACCGAGATCCTTCTGAAAGATTTATGCTCCAGAAAAGTGAGGTGCTCGGCAAGCTCAATGGGTTCCAGGTGATCAAACAGCAAACAAGCTTTTCCCTTCTTGGAAGGTTTTTTCCTTTGTGTGACTCTCCTCATCCAGTCATAAGAGGGACTGCAAGAGAGAATGATGAAGCCACTTTCAGGATCTGACACCCAATAATACAAACATGGAACTAGAACCCAGTGATGGCACTGCCAAAAAAACCCTGCATTTTGTTTGTGTGAAGTCAAACAGTGATATCTCCTTCAATTTAGATGTTCCACAAAAAAGGAAATAAAAACCAATTTAGCTATGTCTTACCTAAACAGAGAACTGTTTTGAAACTTTCTGAAGACGAGTCTGTAAGAATAGCTCTGTTGGATCAGAACAAGGGCCCATTACATCCAGCACCTCAGTTTCTAATGGTAGTTGATGTCAGTAGCAGCCAGTGAGGCAGTGTGTGTATGGGGGGCACCATTGCTCTCCTGTCTTTCCAACACAGCAGACATGGGTGAATGCATAGTGAGAGTGGAGGGGTGAGGAGCTTTGTCCCATGCCATGAATGGCAGCGAGTGTCAGACTGGCTCCTTTACAATTTGCTGCAGTGGGCCAAGTTCCCCACAACTCCCTCTTCCCTCTCGGTAAGCGCCAGAGGCTCATTGTGTTGGGAAGACAGGAGAGTAATGGTGTCTCTCCTGTGCCACCTCAACAGCTGCTGCTGCTGGCTGGCCTGGTCCTTCCTCCAGGTGGTGCACAAATCCAGGGCATGAAGGCAACAGCTCTCTTTCTTTCTTGTTTGTCCCCAGCAAATGGCATTCAGACATATATTACTTCTGAACCTGGTGAGTCAATTTAGTTATCATTGCTAATAGCAGTCAACTGAAGTAGCAAACACAGAGTTCTACTTCATTACACATCAGAGAGACACGTTCCAAATTTTGTATTTATTTTAACTAGTGGCTTTTTTCTAATAAAAAAAATAACACCACAAAGAACAAGAAGAGGAATTTAAAAAAATGTTACAATGATCAGTACTGGGATGACAAGTTACCTAATTATTGTTCTCTCCCACCTCCTTTACCCTTTTTGCTGTTTTGCCACGGCTGTCAATATCAATATTCAATCTTACTAGGAAGTCCTGGCTGAATAATCAGTCCTCACAGATGGTAATCCTTACATGCTAGAGATATCAATAAGATGGATGTGCTCTTCATAACCTAGGTGGCTGGCTAGTTCTTGAAACTCCTCAGTCAGACGAACCAAACCAAGGTCCAGATTGAATTCTGCAGGAAATTCCAAAATCCAGTATCTGAAATCATGACAGCAGAGTTATTTAGATATCAAGCCATGGAGCAACTTTGTGCTAAAAGCCTAACTTACTCCACCTTTTGGGAAATGAGCCTCCCTTAAATCAAATGAATTGACAGCTCGGTTGGAGAGAACTTTGGGCCTTGAATTGCACTGGCGGCAGTAGTCCTTTGGGTGTGGGTTCATCCATCACACACTGGTGTAATGATGGGATGATCCCTAACCATGAAAGCTTTCCCTGCCATGCAAACATTTATAGTCTCTCAAAACATTTCTATACCACCTAGCACAGAAATCTTGGGGTGGTGTAAACAAATGGGGGGGGGAGCACATCCATATTAAAATCATCAGAATTCTGAGTTGTTCTCCTCTAAATTCTACTGATTTTAATAATATGTGAAGTTCTAATAAAATGTATCTACTGAAATTAACCACCACAAAGGCGTGGGAGCAAAAGCAGGTTTTCAAGAGAGGACACAAAGTGGTTTTTTTAATTATTCAGAAAACATACAAACTTCCAAGTGGAGCAAAATTGCATTTACCTCATGAAGTAGCAGATTTTTAAGCGAATTTCACTGCAGTTTTCCCCACTAGCAGCTCTATATGTAGCTTAGTTAAAGAAAAAGCCATGCCTTTTGGTTTCAGTGGCTTGCTAAGGTTCCATTTTCTTGTTCAATTAAGCACTTGATAAAATGATAAACACTATATTCAACACAGCACTTGGTTTTGCAAGTATATTATATTTTTATTATACCCTGTCTTGGTGCCATATTGTGATGGAAGTGTGGACAGGAGTATTTTAAATAAGATAAACCAAACAGAATAATGAAAAAGTCACCAAGAAAATGTCTAGAATACAGGAGGCCAATTAATTTGACCCACTGCTAACAATGGCCATTAGTCTCCAGCAATACAGCAAGTCTTTCCAAAATAGCCATTCTATAATGTATAGAATGCATACAGTGGTGTATACACCATTCCTTCCAATGATGACCAGTTTGAAGTCAAAGGAGAAAATCCAAGATTATTCAAGTTCATTGCTAAAAAGCTATCTACACTGAAATCATACAAGTAACTACTATTCAATAAATAGAGTATCCAAAAGGATATAGGGAGAGAAGTTTTCCTGCCAGTTCTGTGGATGGTAGATACCATCGGTGCATTAAAAGGAAGGTTCGTGGCAGATGACTGTTACTCAGTTCCCCTCTGTGATCTGCAAAAACAGATATATAACATTCCAAGGTGGATAACGTGCATTAATGAATGGTACCATGTAAAAATAGGCACATTAAAAAGTCAAATGGACATCTCTCTCATACACACACACTTTCTAAAGTGATATTAGGAAAGGTAAAAAAAATATAGCTTACTATCATTAGCAGTGAGATGAGCACATTTATAAAGAAAGAATAACTCACCCATGATATCAGTATAAGGATGTGTGTACACCAGCTGTTTTTCCAAGGTGACACGATTTTAACCTCGGGAGCATTTTGTGCCTTCATGTCTTGAAGGTTGCTTCACACATTACATTTTCCCTACACAGTGGTAATATTTGTGTAAGAAACAGCATGTTCTGCAACATTTCAACTGAGGTGAGAGTATCCTTTTTACCACAGCAGTTGATCATGCCACTATCCCTCTCAGCAAACATGCAACAAAGAAAACACTACAAACGATACACAGAAGTTTCCTTTATGCAGGAAGAATGAAATGTGTGAAAAGGATCAAGATAATAACAGTTCTACAAACCCTCGATTAGTCTTGCTAAATATTTTATAACGTCTCTCTTCCAATCCATTGTCCAAACTAACATTTTCTTATCCTAACTTTTTTCTTTAAAACAAACAAACAAACAAACCTCAGCTGACTTTGCAGCATTCAACCCATTTCACATCCAGCCCCAAGCAGCATCTTGTTAATTTCTCCCCCCCCCCCCCTTTTCTTGTTTGGCAATGGGTTGACTTTGCATAGGCTCAGCAACTTCATAGTCCACCTCAGGATTTCCCATCTTCCTCCCCTCCCCCCCAAAATAACCACATCCAGATCACTATGATTATATATGTGCCAATAGCACACATGCAGCATTATTTCAGGGGAGGGGAAACCCACCTACTCAAGAGACCAAAATCTCTACTAGGATGAATTACATTTTTACTAGACCATTCAAGGGTCTCTTGTGGCACCTGAAAAGACTAAGCACTTTTTTTATGGCATAAGCTTTCATGGACTCAAGGCCATTTTGTCAGATCCGACACAGTGAGTTCACAAAAGCTTATGATGGACTTGGGAAGAAAAGAAGACTCATACCGAACATTTTAATGCAGGTGCTTAAAAGTTCATCCAACGTTGCGGCTTTCCCAAGTGTATTGGACCCCATCGTCCTTTAATTGTTAAAAGAACGAATACACTTCCACCACATCAGAGAAGGGCAGCAGCGGCGGCAGCAGTGGCAACCGAGGCTCCATTAGATGTCTGTCAGTTGCATTATCTGTACCACTTCACCAGAAAACTGGAAAAAGAAATAAGGTGGGGAGGAGAGAGAACCAGACTGCAGTTTTATATGTGGGCCAAACATTTATGGTTCAGCTCATCTTTTTAAAGATGATGATGATGATGATGATGATGATGATGATAATATGCCCATACAAGAAGTGAAATGCAACTTCTCAGCAGAACCAGCTCTTCTTGTTTATATATCTACACCAGGAGCAAGGAACCTTTTTCAGACTGAGGGCTGTATTCTCTCGTAGGCAACGTTCCAGAGGCCACATGCCGATCGCAGGCAAGGACAGGACCAAAAGTCAGTGTGGCAACAGATATGACTTGTACCTTTTGAGAGTAGCCTCCATTATGGCTTCAAATCTCCCTCTCCATCTAAGTAAGCAAGAGGCATTATCACAGTTTGTGAACATATTCCAGTCGGGCAAAAGCACTTGCAGATTGGGGCTGGGGAGCACAGTGGCTGCGGGGAGGGGGAGGGCCAGGGGAAGTGATACCCTTCCCCAATCTTAATCTCAGTATTTTAAAAAAGCTCTTCTTTCTTTCTTTCTTTCTTTTGAGTAAGTTGCTAGCATTTGTAGAACCTGACATATCAGGCAAAATGTGCAGGCACTATCCTTCTCATTTCATTTCATTTGCAAGAAACTAGACTGCTCCTCCTTTCAGTGTTTTAGTTTGCCCTCCCCCAAGAGTCCCCGCAGATGCCCATCTGGGGCTTGGGGAGAGTGGCCATGGCCTGAGGAGAACCCTGAGGGCCACAGGTCCATGGGACAGAGGTTCCCCACACCTGAGCTATACCATTCAGGTAGGATTGCCAGCTTCCCCCACCCTGGCAGGACTGTGACTTTAAGAGCAGTGTGATGGGAGAACCAGAAATTTAGTAAGCAAAACTTCTGATAGTGTAACAGACAGGAGAAGCTTTGCCTGCTATATTTTTGCTCATTAATCAGCTGTTAAAAGTTGTGGGATCCCAGGCAGGAGAAAAGTTGGCAACCTTCAGGTTGTTCTGTCTCACACACATAAAAGTACAGGCTGTGAGTACCAAAAGGACAGCCAGGAATTTCCACCTGTAAGATTGTTCCTGGCTTTGGGACTGGCTTAGTTCTTGGGGACTGGGGCCTACATTGCTACATATTCAGTGCCTCGACTTTGCACAGCACCTTTTCCAGCAATCTAGCAGGACTGTGTTATTTTGCTTTATGTCTTGATCTCTGCCTATAGTGTTTTGTTCCTGGTGCTCAGGAGTGTTTTCTTTCTACTGCCCATTCATCTCCCCAATTGCAGCAAAGACATTATCAGCCTCCAGCTGAATGGAAAATCCATGTGTTGTTTCTAGCAACTCCTAAGTGGGAGCTGCCACTTCACACATTCCTGGCCTGCTGCTGCTGCTGACCGGTTGTCCATTCTCCCTCTCTCATGGAATTCCACTTACTCGGTAAAAAAACAAAACAAAAACATGTACAAATCACAGAGGAGCTCATACACTGTAGAGACAGCATCGAATAGAGGGAAAGGCCAAAAACCACAGAAAAATAAGTAGTGATGGGGAGATAACACATTTTAATATGCCCTTGCTAAGGACTGCAATCTTAGATCTAACCTCTTAGTAACTGGCAAAGGGGAAGGAGATGCTAGTGGTTAGAGCACTCCCCCTGAACATGTAAATGTAAGGCTCTGTTTTGGGCAAAAATCAACCAAGCCCGGCTCCTTTCCCTTCATTTATTCTTTGCTAAGTGCTGCTTTGGAAGCTAGGGTCAGAAATGTTGTACAAAATCAGATTCTCTGTTTCACAACAGTTAAAGATGCAGGATGGCTCAATGTAGCAAGCTGCCTTATATAATATGGTATACAATGTCATCCTTATTGGTGCTAGGGTTGCCATATTTTGAAGAGCAAAAAAGAGGACACATTTGCCAGTTTTTAACTATGGATCTCCTATGACGACTTTCATTTTACATACCCATGGAAAAGAGGACTTGTCCTGGAAAAAGAGGATATATGGCAACCCTATAATGGCCCATCTAGCCGAGTATCAGTTACACTGACTGGCAGCAGCTCTCCAGGGTTTCAAGGCAAGGGTCTCTCCCAACCCTACCTAGCAATGCTTGGGATTGAACCTGGGACCTTCTACATATGAAGGAGATGTTCTACCACTAAGGAATGTCCATTCTCAGAAGAGTGGCAGAGGGCATGCTTTGGTTGTAGATGGTCCCAGGTTGAATCCTGAGCATCATCAGCTCAAAGGATCTGAGGGCCAAACTAGACATGACAAAAGAAATATGTGACTACATCTCCACTCACAAAAGTTTACAAAGAGCAGCTGTTGGTGGGATGGGTTGATCTGGATCGGGACTGTGGCACAGGGTAGGGGAATTGACCCTTTCCTCCTTGATGCTTCCCCCAATGAAAACTGCCCCCCAAAGCTGTTGTTTGCTATGATATATTTTCCCAAAGTGTGCAAATATATTTTTCCTATCTGGGCTACTGGAAGCTGAGGGGAGGGGAGGAGATTTTCATTGAAATGGAACAAAAGGAATAGTTCACGCAAACACACACATCAAGGTCTCAATCCAGAACACTCAACTACAATAAATTAGTGAAAATCATTTGTTTGCAGCTCGTATGCAATAGATTTTTGCTGTTCATCAGATTGTTAGGAGGGTACATAGGTACTCCAACTGCAATGGAACGGTGAGAAATACTCAGCTGCTAAAAATAAGGAAAAGTAGCCCATGTTTAAGCAGCAACTTTTTTTTTTTATTTTAAAAAAAACTTTTAAAAAATGTTTTCCAAGTGATGCAGACATGTGGAGGGAACAGAGCACCAGGCAATAGTTCCTCATAATGTAATCAACACTACTGACAGCAATGGGAGCTCTCCAGGGGCAGCCCTACTGTTAGACAGAGTAGGGCAGCTGCCTTTTGTGTCAGGTGCTGGCGAGGTGCTAGACGGCAGAGCTGCCATTGTGCCACCCACCCTACCCTACCCTTTCTTAGCTAGCCTATTTTCCTCAAGTGTGACAGAGAACACTGCTCCACTACCAGCGTTGAGGTACAATTCAGCTTAGTCTGGGAATATTATTATTATTATTATTATTATTATTATTATTATTATACCCCGCCATCTGGCTGGGTTTCCCCAGCCACTCTGGGCGGCTTCCAGCAAAATGTTAAAATACAATAATTCATCAAATATTAAAAGCTTCCCTAAACAGGGCTGCCTTCAGATGTCTTCTAAAAGTCAGATAGTTTATTTCTTTGACATCTGATGGAAGGGCATTCCACAGGGCGGGCACCACTACCAAGAAGGCCCTCTGCCTGGTTCCCTGTTACTTCGCTTCTTACAGTGAGGGAACTGCCAGAAGGCAAAGATTATGTATGTGGTACAGGGCAGGAAAGAAAAAAAATGCCATTTTGTCCTTTGTCATGGGCAACAACGCTTTTTGAGACAAGCCTTCACTTGGATGAAGGATCCATTTTCCCAGCAACTCCACAGTGCAGTTTGAATGGTAGGAAAATGGAGTTCTCCTACAATAATCTGGGGCAACTTTGCCTAGATTGTGCAAAAGGTCTGTTACCATTTTTTGTTACTTCTGGGAAATAAACATAGTGTGAAAATGTTCTGGGAAAGGGATTATTATGTATTACTACTAATACCGCTACACAGATTTCTATTCTGTCTTTTAGGGCGCATACCAGGGTGGGGGAACTTGCAGCCCTCCAGATGTGTTGAAGTCCCATCATCCCTGACCATTGGCAGTGCAGGTTTGGGCTGATGGGATCTGGAGCTCAATAAACATCTGGAGGGCCACAGGTTCCCTACGCCTAGTATATACCCTCCGAAGGCACTTCACGCTAAATTAATACAACATAAACATTCCAAAATTTGGAACAGCTGTATAAAAACACACACATTAAAATCGTAGAAGGGAGATCTGCCCTATTCAGAACCAGACTCTAAGAAGATACACTTAGGGCCCATTTTCATTACTGTCTGGTTTCACTTCCCATGACCCTGACACTATATTAATGAACCGAAAGGTCTATAATTTTCTGCCAATCATTTAACACTTCAATGTAATTTTGGAACAAACTGAATGGAAAAGTCACTGTTTTTTACACTGTTATGATGCTAGTACTTTGGGAACAGTCTTTAGATAAGACCAATTAAAGGAACGTGACCAATGGGTCATTTCCAGGAAGTTCTCAAGCAGGGCACACAGGCAATCGCCCTCCCATGCTATCTGCCAGCCCCCCACTAGGAGCATGATGGTAACACCACGCACCCACCCAAAATATGAGCAAATATTAAATGGCAGTAAGCCTGGTGCCTGTTGCAAGCTAGTTTTCCCTTCTCTGTATACTAGTTATGCAAATGTTTCCTGAAGTGCTCTCAAGCACAGTTGATGAAATAGGGCATTTCTGCTCATTTCATTTTTATTAACCAAAAGTCAGAGCCCTTCCATCTGCCTCCCCACCCCCCTCACACCACAGCTCCCGAAACTGTGCTGCTTTGAATGAATTCCTTTGTAAACAGCAGCGGGACAGCTAAAGTGAAATACAAAGACGACATTACATTGTGACCCACTTCGTAACGTGACAGGGAAACAAAATCATCAGACCATTAACAGGGGACACACACCCTTCCAAACTAAGACAGGTTTTTACACCTGTAATTGTTTTGCAGAAGGGAGAACTTTCCCAGGAGCAGCTTCTCCATCACTGCAACACCACCTCTGTCCTCTCCTGAACCTGGCAAGCCAAACCGTCAACTATTTTATTCAACTTTACCTTTTCCTCCTTAAAGCAAAACACAGCAAGGCAGGTCCCCATTTTATAACACAAAGGAGAGTCTTGCTAATAATGGGTCCTGGAAAAGACTGCTGTTTTTGGAACTGGATCAGTGAAGTGGTGACAAGCTGCATCTCAGCTGCACAGGGATTTTGCAAGACGCTTGAAGAGAAAGTAGGAAGCAGTCCTGGCTTTATAAAAATGCAAACACACGCCCAGCCTAACGACAACAAGGAAAATTACTTACTGTACTTCGTTCTGCGGAGGTATTCAACACAAACATCTCCCTTCTTTGTCCAGCTGCCAAGTGTTAAAGCATAAATGAGCAGCTGTTTCCTTCAAGCTGGGGTTGTGTGTCTTAACTAGTCACATGCCCCCTCTGATAAATCTCTCTGTTGTGCCAAGAGGTCAGACTCTCTGAAGATCATTATTCCCCCCTCCCTGCCACCCCGCATTAAAAAACAACAACACCACCAAAACACAATTCTTTTCTTGACATGAGACTTTGCTAAAACATTTGAGTGGAACGTGGGCCAAGTCCCACAATTAGGATATTAAATCACCCATTAAAAATAATAAAATAAAACTGATAACCCTCATCAGAGGGCAGGACAAGTTAGGATGGAAAGTTAAACATTCTACTGTAGTTTGACCTGTGTGTTTTGTTTTTCCATCTGGTACTAAAGCATTCTTGCATCACTGGTTGGGTGGTAGCCAAACTTCAGAAGGACTTTGCTGTGTGTTCCCCACCTTTAGGAGGGTAAGGACTTCACAACATGGCACATTAAACTTGTGCTGCCTTTTCTGGTGTGATTTGCTTTGAAGCGGGACATTCCGCTCCACACTTTCCCAATGAAAGTGAGAAACAATGCCCGTTTCTCCACTGGGGAACTTATGAAATAAGAGATCCTGTGTAATCCTGTTTCCAGTTCCTTATCTATCTATCTATTTAAATTTGTTAGTCGCTTTATCTTGCCCAGGGCACCCCAAAGCAACTTACAACCAACCAACCAACCAACCAACCAAAACCCTCACAGAGAATTTCTTCTCCATCCCCAGCTCAAGACACAGGTACAGAAAAACCCACAGAATTTAAGGCACTACAGTCTCTGGGCTAGAGCCACAAGGAAAAACACCCACACCCAAAGAGGAAGGGAGTGGCATAATGCCTAAGCTTGTCTGACCAAGCTTAGGAAGCCTCCATGACAGCCGGGGTGGGGTGGGGAACTCTTTGCAGCCTGGGGGCCACATTCCATTTTAGGTCACCTTCTGGCGCAGCTGCATACCAATGGTGGGGATGACCAGACACACATCACTCCATCTGGGTATCATCACAGTTCAAGGATACATTCCAGCTATGCAAAAGCATGTGAGGAAGGCACAGAGAGAGGTATGACCTATGGGCATGGCCTGGGCAGAGTCCCAAGAGATGTGCAGAGAAGCCTGCATTCAGCCCCCAAAGGCCTCAGGTTCCCAACCTCTGTGCTAAAAGTAAGCAAAGGGCCTTTATGCAGTCTGTACCGTTCTGTATTTGAAGGCATTCTCTCCTTGAAGGCCTGCCGGATGCAAATGCTCTGGATTGAATGATACAGAATCCTATGAGGGCAGAGCAGAGACCTCAAAACTGTTCAGCAACAGTTAACACTTGGTTAGCTGATAGAGCAAGACACACAGGTCACCTGATCACCATCTTCCCCACTGTTGTAGAAAGCAGCATTTGCAACTGGTATGCAAATCTGTGTCCTCCTTTTCAGGATGTATTTCCTCTTTTTGGGCAACGCATAAATGACTATTCTAAGAGTAGGTAGAAGGACTCTGCCTAGGTTTTAGCTGATTCTGGTTGAGAAGTTTCCCTGAGCTGTGTAAGGCAAGCTTCAGCTTTGTTCAGCAACCTTGCTTCCAACCTGTGGACTTTCAGATGTTGGTGAACTAAAGCAGCATCATTCCTGACAGGTTCTCCATCCTTAATGCCTCAACAACTAGGCTCTGGAGGCTTTTCTGCACAGCTGTGTCTGAAGCGTGGTTAGGTCAAGTACCAAAAGGTGACACTTACCATTTTGGCGTGATAAGCTTAGCTGGTCACCAAAACACTGTCTTTCTTGGGACATGCATATTTAAAATAGTGAAATATGGCTGAACTCTAAACATGAATGCTCCCTTCTCACAATTAAGAGATGAGCTTTTAATTCATTACATTCTAAATCATCTTGTACTTTCTACCTTTCATAATGTGTCAGTTTGTTTGAATTATTCAGTCAATTCAGGTGAAGAAGTTTCAATTGATTAATTGAACAATAAATTATATATCACTTGATAAAACTTCTTAGCTGTTTACAAGAGATAGTAAAATTATTTTAAAAACAGTTAAAAAACAACCAAAACATTAAAAATTAATTAAAACTAGCAGTAAACAAAGCAACATCTAGCTAGGACTGACTAAACAAAAATGTTTTCAGCAGACACTGAAAAAATACAGTGAATGCACCTGCCTAATGTCAATAGTCAGGAGTTTCAAAGTGTGGGTGCTGCCAACCTAAAAAATCATTTTCTTAAACTGTGGAACAAGTAGTATGTGGCCACTTCTGCAAATTGAAGCAGTTGATTGGGCACATATGGGGCAAGGCGATTCCACAAGTAAACTGGTCCATGAATCAGTGGATGACCAACCCCATTATCAGACCATTTCCAGAGACTTATGGACTTCAGCTGGATCTAGACACATCAAAAAATGTTTTGGGAAAACACGTTGTAAAGCTCATAATGGGAAATTATGAAGGATCAAACACTACAGCGCCATCTAGTGTCACAGTGTTATAACGCATTTTAAATGCCTTTTTTTTAAAAAAACTAGTGTGGCTGAGTTCAATATATTTCTGAATACTCTGATTTTCCAGTGGACAGAACTAGCCTTCCTGCTGAAGCCCTCATCTTGCTACGGAACAGTGACATGTGGAGGACCAAAGATATAGTGAAGAGTTGGTGCTGAAGCAAATTGGTTATGTACTAAGTAAAGCACCTATTCTTGTACTGTAACACCATGACCATGTAGGTGAAATTGACAAGTCTTTACACCATTTACCTATTCAGCTTCCATTTAAAAAGCAAAATCAGATGAAGTGGACAACTTCCTGGACAATTCCACCTCAAATCGCCTTTTAAGTGTTACCCTAGCATGGCAGGAGCTTTTCCATGGGTTCATGCCATGGCATTAATGCAATTTGTAAAAGCTTCTAGGCAATACTGATACAGCCTATGACATGGTTTCTGATGTGATCAGCTGTCTGCAAGGAAAGAGTGTGCCTGTTCCATAAGAAAGACACACATAATGAACCCATCTCCACACAGCTGTGGGCCATTGGTTTTTTTTTTAATCAACCAAGAAATACTTCCTATGCTATCAGTGAAATGTGGGCTTAAAGGGCACCCCGTTTTGTTTGAGAAATTGGGTAGGAATTAGTAAAGTTTCCAGTTGAGGAACTCCACAATATGGTTTTAGAACAGGTGTGGTAACGGAGGCAGGTAACAGAGAGGTCATCATCGAATGTGTAACAAATTCCTCCAAACTAAATGAGATAGTTCAGACCTCAAAGCTTGCACTGCACTTTTGCTGGAAGATCAACAAGTCACTAAGAATAGCAATAAAAACAACTTTGATCCTACACTGGGTGTAAGTGTAGGAAACTAGAAATATAACTCATTTAGATAAAGGTCACTTTAGGAATAAATGAATGAATGAACGGTCTCACTGCTGGGAGAAAGGACTAATGCACAAAAGCTCCTGGATCAGACCCAGTACGCTCATTCATTCAGCAGAGACCCAAATTAGACGTAACATACAATTGTGCACAACATTCCCACAATGATGACAATCAAAGCAGCCTCAGGGGGTGTCAGTCTGAGCGAAGGAACGGGGTGGTAAGAGACTGCATATCATATAAGCCTTTACCCGTCTCATAAAAACTTGAGGAGGAAGGTTTGGAAGGAAAGATAAGAAGCACCATCTTGGACAGAGTTAAGATGTTATAAACAGAACAAGGTGAACTACAACTGCTCTGTTTGTGTTTCAGTTAATGCCAAAACATGAAGACAATCATGCAGACAATTAAGAAAAAACATCCATAATAGCTAAGTGCTCGTCTGTTTTCATTTTTGTGTGGTTCTTAATTGTATTATAATTGTTGTAAATTGTTGCTTTGATTTTTTTAAATGAAACTGCAGTATGCAAATATTTTTTTGTAAATGAATAAAAATAAACAAACTGCACAGTGTATTCTTAATTATTTAAGAAAGGCAGTATAGCCAAATATCCTATGAATAATTATTGTGTGTGATTCACAACATTGACAGTTAGTTTAAAAGTATCTGAAAGAAACAGATGGCGTGGGAAAAGTAACTGAAGACTTTTAAAATCACTTTTGTATCATATCTATCTTCTTAAAAGCTCAGGACAATAGCGTGGATTTATCTCATCTTAACCCTGACAACAGTGACTTGAGCTTCATGGATAAAACAGGAATCTGAACCCGAGTTTCCCACATCCAAAGCCAACGCATTCCATCTATTGCACCCGACTAGAGGGGAGAATCCCATCTGCATGGCTCCAATCTACAGCGCTGTCTGCAGTGTTATCACTTATGCCCGACTCCTTGACTCTGCTATCACAGAATTGCAACATATTAGAAAAGCTCTCATACACACTGATGATTACAAATCCACACAGTAACATCAGGAACAATCTCTCTAAGCATGGGTCAAGGCTGAAGAGTACTGGAATCTGCCATGATCATTCTTGCTAGCAGAAGGGTGATGGGGGGGGGGCATTTCCCCTTTTAATTGCCTAAGCAAATACCAAGAACTGCTCAGAGAGCTTAGCTTGTTTTGACACCAGTTGCTTCAGTCCATCCATTTATCCAAATTCAATAACTTGGCAATACACAAATAGTGCATTCAATGGAATCTATGTGCTTAGATTCACCCCACCTGCAAAAATAACGATCACAGACCAATTAGCAGACTTGCCCTATGAGCCAATATATTCATATAGCAGATAGAGTTATCAACATACATCTGCCTAACACATAGAATCAAATGCCATTGTTTGACTGCACCAAGAGAAACCAAAGCTAATAATGGCCCAATTCCAGAACAGGCAGCACCAGCAGCCATGGGTGCCGCTGTGCAGTTTATTTGCCCTCTTGCCTCATCTCAAAGCCTTGCACCTAGAGCTTGATAAAGTTGATTTACACAGCATCTTCTGGGCCTCCTTGACCCACTCAAGCTGCAGAGGGCAGCACAACCTAACTTGATGTTGGTAAAAGGCTGGAGGGAAGGTTTTCTGAGCAGAGCTAGCATGACCATACAGGTAGAATAGGAAGGTGCTTGGGGAAGAATAACTCAAGGGATGCCTACCATGTTGGTAGAATTTTATGAGTGTGCCCTAGAAGCCTCTGCAACATCGTGGAAGGGTGGGGTTTGTGGTTCACTCACCCCATCTCATCTGCATTGCAGGGGGGCTGGACTACATGACCCTTGGGGTCCCTTCCAACTCTACAGTTCCACAATTCTAAGATGGAAAGAAATCTCAAGTCTGCCCCAGAATGGGTGGAGGAATGCTATTACCATTCCTAGGGACATTTCCACAATAGCCTCAAGGCACAACCACACTATACATTTAATGTGTGTTGAATGTGCTTTAAAAATACAGTGTCCTTAGTTATGCTCTCAGGTTCTGGAAAGCAACTGTCTTGGCGAACCCCAAAGAGCAGAAACCTTTCACAAGAATGGGACAAAGAAAAACCTAATTTGTGATGTTGTCATCTCTGGCTCTAACACTGTATTATGTTCTGCTGACCCTTTTTTCTGCCTATTTCTTGAAGGTATCTGTTTAGGCTAGACACCACCTGGTAAGAATTACAGATATACATTCCTTACAAGCCTAAGGCTACTCAAGCTTACATAATTAAACTATGTTCTTAAAAGGGTACTTTGCTATGAGACTTCTTTGTACAATTGCTTCATCCATGCAATTACTGGAATACCTATTCTTCTGGCTAACCTGACCAGCAATGAGCGCTATACATTGTAGTACCTTGTGGGTCTGGGAAGGGTACTCACTGTTTGGAAACCTTGCTCTGGGTCTGCCCTAGAGCCAGAAAGCAGCAGCAGTCAGGAAAACCTCAAGAGCTGATTTTATTTGTGAACAACAAATCAACACCTTGGCAGAGCAGCTGGGACTTACTACATAGGTTAGCCTTAGGGCCCAGCTATAAGCTATGGAGGGAACCACACCCAGAGAAAGGAGTTTCTATTACTGACCAGGCATGTCTCTTAAAGAGACACTCACTAGATACATGGGATTATATATAAACTGTGGGTGTCAAGCACATTAATTTCTTAGCCTTGAAGGATAATAGGGGGAGATCAAATGTTTTGAGTTACTGCTTTTATGATGCAGTGTAAATAAGGGGGAAATGCAAGAAATGTTCTTAAAATACTCTGGTTTCTTGCAGCTTAACCTTGACTGAGTGGGCCTTGGACCTTGACAAACCTTTCCTTTCCTGAAATCGCACCTCTCCTCCCATCCAGAGATATCTGAAAACTAGCACCCCTTTAAAGTGCTTACAGCCATATCAGTCTTTTAGCACTTTTAGCTGAAGTGGTTGGCACTAGAGAGTCTCAGGAGGTTTCTTGAGGAAAAACTGCTCCCCTTGATATTTCCCCACAAAGTCCTATATATGTGGGCTATATTAAAGAATGCTACAAAGATGCTGGCTTGGATCCTAAGAAATTCATGGAATAAATGTTTTCCATTTTCTCCTCTGTCTTCTCTGAAAGGGGGCTTCTTAAACCAGAGCTGGCATTTTCACCTGGCACCCTTGGGTAGCTACCAGGGCCCCAAAACCGGGCATATCCAGCTGATGCCGGCCCCTTGGGGTGGGGTATGAGACGTGGCTCCATCAGCAGCACCAGCCAGCTGGATCTGGCCACCCTTTTAATTTCCCCACAATTCCCCCTGAGCAAGCATTGCTCTGGGGTGTCGTGAGAAGTTAACAGGGTGGCTAGACCCAGCTACCCACCACTGCTTGGAGCACTGCAACCACAGTCAAATGAGCCCACCACAGCCCATGGACAGACAGGTGAAGCCCCTCCACAAAAGGACATATTGCCCAGGGCCCCTTCAGATCTAGAGCTGGCTCTGCCCTGAGATCTATGGATGAAAAGTGGTATACAAATTTAGTAAATATTAATAATTGTGATTGGGCACAGAGGACTTACAGTACTTTAAGATCCAAACCCAATGCAAAAAAGCAATTATGTCCTCTCCTCAGGAGGGCCCTTCCCCAGTTATTCAGGACGGCCATCAACCGTCAAAAGGGGCTTTTTTGGGAGGTTAATGTATATTTGGGTTACTATGAACTCATTCACCATGAGTCCTGCAACCAAAGTGCACATTGTTGTTAACCCAGAAACTGTCCTTAAGGAGCGTGCCTTTTTTGAAAACTTGGTCCTTGTGCTCTACTCTCACCCAATAGCATTTTTGTTTGTTTACTCTTTTTTATAATTATATTAGCTCAAAAGAAAAGCTGCTGCCAGATTGGCTGATCTACCTCACTGGTCCATACATCACGCAATAGGGCTTTGATGGAAATAGAGTTAATGAAAGCAGCTCCAGTATCACCAGGCAGGACGTTTTAAAAATATCCAAGTGTGATTAAGATGCCAGCTATAAATAAATCAGCAGCTCTCACATTAAGTGGCTGAGCTTAAAGGCATCTGGAGGACATGATGGAAAGTAAAACTTTCTGCAGATATGGCAGCCCTGGGGCAGTAAACTCAGGCAGCATGAAATGTCTGCCACCATCATATGCAGGGTCTGGTGATAAAGTCTGAATTCAACAAAACAAAGGCTTTAACTCTAGGGGATGGCCAAGGGCTTCACATGCCTTTTCCCCATTTACCACTTTGGGGAATTTATTGCTGTTAATTATTAATTATTATTATTATTATTATTATTATTATTATTATTACTACTACTACTACTACTATTATTACATTTTCTTATCTGTCCTTCACCATGAGGTTCTGGAGCAGATTACAACAGTGTGAAGATGCAATGTTAAAGGATAATATGAGACCCAAAAAGAAATCTCAGTTGTTTGCTCAAGAAGTATAAGCTAAGACCCAGAGGTTTCCTTTGCTCTATTGCTCTTCCACATACCCAGATTTAAGTGAATGCTCAAAGTCTTGAAATCTCTAGCAGGATTGTGTTCTTTCAGAGAGCTTTCATTCTTGGAAGTCCATGCTTGCAGTCTGCTGCAGTCACCAATATGTCTAACCGGTCAGGTCATAGACTAGGGACAGTGCCAGATTTATGTATAAGCTAAACAAGCTATAGCTTAGGGCCCCACTCTCTTGGGGGCCCCCCAAAAAATTAAAGGAAAAACAACTGGATGTACATTTCCAAAATATAAGATTAAAAAAAATAAAAATAAAACTTACATACAGCAACACAGTTTAGGTCCATAAATTACTATATAGCATATATTGAACACAAAAAACAGCAATTTGTTGTTGACAAAGGACAGCTGGACATATAAAGCGCCCTATTACCTTCAGTAGCTTAGGGCCTCATCAAACCTAAATCCGGCCCTGACTAGGGGTGCAGAAAAGGATCAGGCTGGTGGGCCATACTGTATAGGCCTAGATCCAGCACTTAAGTTAGGACTTATGTTTGCAATGGGGTTGCCACGAGAAAGCTTCCTGAGACTACTATATTCCATTATTATTAATAATTATTGCCATCACCACCATCACCTGATACAAAAAGGGCCTTTGAATATATTTACGTACTATTATGAAATGCAACAGTTAGATACAATCCAAGGTTTTTAAAAAATACAGCAGAGGCTCTGCATAGCAATTTATTTCATGTGAATCAACTTCCACTCTTGAATGTCCTTTAGGTGGGCTTCAGGCTACATGAAATTATTCCTCAGGACCCTTTCTTTCTCTGGTTATTGTGCTATATACACACACTAACTACAACAAACATTTTCAACACTGATTTTGCAGTGTAATGTTGAATATAAAGGTAAAGGGACCCCTGACCGTTAGGTCCAGTCGTGGACAACTCTGGGGTTGCGCCGCTCATCTCTCTTCACTGGCCGAGGGAGGCAGCATACAGCTTCTGGGTCATGTGGCCAGCATGACTAAGCTGCTTCTGACGAACCAGAGGAGCGCACGGAAACGCCGTTTACCTTCCCGCCGGAGCGGTACCTATTTATCTACTTGCACTTCGTGCTTTCAAACTGCTAGGTTGGCAGGAGCAGGGACTGAACAACGGGAGCTCACCCCGTCACGGGGATTCAAACCACCGACCTTCTGATCAGCAAGCCCTAGGCTCTGTGGTTTAACCCACAGCACCACCCACATCCCTTAATGTTAAATATATCCAAGTATTAAGCCTTGTTATGAAAGACAAACTTTGAAAGAGAGGCATTTTAAAAACAAAAAACAAAAGAAAAATGAGCGTTAAAAGAGGCCCTCCCATGTGGCTTCTCCTCCTGTCCCTAGACTTTTATGGTGATGAGGACTGGATGATATGGAGTGCTCACGGATGCTCCTGCATGGAATCACTGCCCCACTATGGCCTTTCCACAAGCACCCATGTCACAGCCATATTGTACGAGACAGCCCAGCATTACAAAGTAACATGTAAACACATACATACACCACCACAGCCCCTGCAGTCTTGTGACAGGCAAGCAGCCAGCTGATTCGATCCACAACTGGAGGGATTTTCTAACCACACCATGCAGTGTAAGTCCTTGGCGTTTAAGTGGAAAAGAGGTTTAATATATTACTAGTCTGCTCAACCAACATGGAAAAAGAGCTCATGTCATTTCCTAAGTCAGGTGGGTCCCACAGTTCATCAAGTGTAGCATGATTAAAATTCCACATAAACAATGTCAGACCGTTAGAAGAAAGGGCCTTTTATTCCCGCCTTGCTCCCATTCCCAGTCCAATTCATAATCTATTGTCATGAGACATTTATGTATGGATACAGCCAAGAAATCTTTTCCACCACTCTTAAAGATAAACATGTTTATTTCCTTTCACATTAAGCCCTTTTGCCATTTCTGAACTTGTTAATCTATGTATTACTGTTGCCAGCTACAGCATAAAAGGACCTTTTTTCATCCTGAGAGACCAGGGCAGGGGTAGTTAGTGCTATCTCAAAAATAGCATTGCAAAAGGTGCAAAAAAGGGTATCTAAAACGGCCAAAGGGCAGGAGCAAATCCCCTACAAGGACCTGCTACAATAAAAAAGATAACACGATAGAGGTTTCTAAAAGAACACATGGGTATAGAAAGTAGATCAGGGTCTTTCCCCTCCCTCTCAGGTTGATAAAATTAAACTGATTTGACAGAATATTCAGGATGAACGAACGAAATGACTTTTTCACACAGGGAGTAATTAATATGTGGAACAAGCCATGGTGATGACCACTAGCTTAGCTGAGTTTAAAGGGCATTAGGCAAATTTATGGAGGTGTCTATCAAAGGTGGGCTCAGATGCTGTTTGCTGTATGCTGTCTCTGTTACCAATGCCGTAATTAACACTCAAATCACAGCTTTTTGTCTTAGTGGCTTAGGGCACTATATGTGCTATACACATAAATTAGTAAGAAATTTAGGAATAGTACATTGACTCTAAAAATGCCCTATGATTTCAGGGCTTGAATAAATGTTGGCGTATTTATATTAGCAGCAAAACATTTTAGAACAAGTACTTTCCTACGGTGACTTTTGTATCTGTGCATAGCCATCCTGAGAGCACTTGTGCAAGTTTTCAAAGGAAAAACAGGATTCAACGGTAATAAATAAGTGAAGTTACCTAAAACCAAGTCAGGTTAAAAGCAATATCCTCATCATTTCATTACAAGACTTCCAACCTAAAATTAGCTCATAATTCAACCTCAGGCCTAAGTCATCCTGAAGGGGCCAGAGGCCAGGCAGCCTGAGGCCTTACTGTACTCACGGCTCAGAACCTCACAGGACCAGCCCATTCGAAAGCATCACCATCCTATACCTTGGCCTCAGCTTTCCACTGACAAAGCGTTGCCTTGACAACAGCAGACTTCAAGCAGGCCAATATCCCACTAGGACAGGTCAGAGTAGCACCCATATTTCCCGTTCTTTATCTGCCATCAGGCATATATTGCAACAGGCAACTAATGTCTAACAGTATAACAGTAAGTCCAAAACTCATCAAAGTGTGTGTGTGTGTGTGTGTGTGTGTGTGTGTGTGTGTAAAAAGACATCTTCTGCTACTTTAGCAAAACCCATTAGTCACATGATTCAGTAAAAAATGGCAAATAGTCATAACGTTTGCCATAGCATGGGGATGGCACTGAATCTTTTTATTGTTCATCTCCCTATGTAATCCCCTCTTTAAAGTCATGAGACTACCACCTAGTCAGGCACAAGATGAGATACGCATATGGAATGAAGAAACCAAACAGTTCTACTTTGCTGTCAGCTGAAACTCACAGGCTGGGATCCAAAGAGCTGTCTGAGATGCAGCCAAGAGCTGGAGCCTCTCTAGTGAGTTTCTTCCTTTTCTCCTCTTTTTTTCTAAAAAAAACCCCCACCTCATTCACTTTGAATGACAGAACTGCTACCATATCTTAAGGGCTTTTAAGCACCTCTCGGTTTCAAAACCTTGCCGTGCAACTCAGGGAGCTGCTGTTTAAGAACTACTAACCTAAACAAATGCCTTGAGCATATGGAACTGATGTGGTTCTTTCGGTCCTGGCCAATATGTGTGCATGCTGGTTTCCATTAAAAAGCCTCATTTTTTCTTCTTCGGAAACCTGCCTGAGAGAATGGCATGTGAGGCTGCAATTGGCCTGATCTTCCTTTAGCTATGAAACATTGCCTGACAATGTATTGAGGTAGCTCTGGCACTGGTTATAATCCATGTTGGATAAATGAGGCATCCATGTTCAGAATAGTCTGCTTCTGAACTCCAGATGCTGAGAACAAACAACAGGGGAAGGATTTCACTTTCATGCCTTGTCAGTGAGCTTTCCAAAAGCTCCCAGCTATTATTATATCGCTTACAATCAGTGGCTCTGTCACTGGCTCTGGCTCCACCTACGGCAGGCTTCCCTGCCTATGCCCTACCACCAGTTCTTACAATATACTAGATGACCTCATTTCCCATTCATACACACTCATTTTTGCTACTAGACGCCACAGCAACCATCATGTGAGCGTACAAAACCTGAGGTGAAAAACACACACCTTTAAACAGCTGGGTAGCAGAGCTCCAGTTTGTTTGTCTCTCTCTCTTTTTAATGACTACCCAGTAATATGGAATAATTTTCCTACCTTCAACGTCAGGAGATGGTTTCTCAGATTGGTTTCTCAGAGGGAAAAGCAAACCTCCACCCAAAAGTTCACCATGATTAAACAGAGAATACGAAGCCTAACAAGAAGAATAAGAATGAAAACAGATGAGCTATTTTGTTAAAGGGCTGCCTGGTAAGGACCATTTTGTATGCCAGAGATGGGTCACCACATTTTATGTAGCACCAGACACCTCCCAAAGTTGCTCATTTCTTCTGTCCATTCCTTCCTGTTTACTTCCTCCTTGTTTTTCCTGGCTTTTAAAAATGCTTCCTTTCCTCTCTAGCTTCAGAACTACTGAAAGGGGTAGTTCTGACTTATTTGAGATAGCTTTTTTCTAGTTGTATGGCTTGGGGAAATAGAAGTTATTTCCCTGCTCTCTGAGAACTAATTGGTGGACTCCTGTTCTGTGTGCGTAGCAGAGGGGTGGCCTGGGAGCTGAATGTGGCTTTCCAGGTCTCTCTATCAGGAAATCTCTCCTCACCACAAACCCTCTTCCCAGGCTGCATCCCTCACTGGCTCTGCTCCATACCCCAAATATTTTGTCTTTGAACCCTGATAATGCCTCTTCTTGCTTGCCTGGATGGAGGATAGAGATGAGCAAGTAAGTGTGAGTAAAACTAAACCACTGTACACAGGTAAATTTTACATTTGTTCCACTCACATTTGCCTCTTACCTCACCAACCACCATAAAGTGGCCCTCAGATAGGAATCCAGCCTTCAGGCTGAAATAAAGGTTCCCTATCCCTGCACAGTCTGCAGCACACTAATGTCAGAAAGGATTTGCTCCTGAGTAGGTCTGCATAATCTCAGGGATTTTATTCTGAGGTAGCCATGGTGAAAAATGAAGCACTCCTAGATTTAACTCCTAGACATCTCAGGATGGAACTGTTAAATGAAGAAATCTAGAGCAGTTGGGTTGGGGGTAGACAGTGAACCACTGATGACCCCAAAAAATCATCACCAAGAAGTAAAATAGGGACAAATCATTGACTTACCAAGGCCATACATCACAAATTAAAAGAGAGCTGGAGTAGATATGTTGTTGTTTTAGAGGCATCAGTGCCTTTCAGAAGAACGGTAGATGCTTTCCTCATTGCAGATGACGTGTGATTCTTTCACAGGAGCAGCTATTGGCTAACCAATGTTATCCATTGATTTATGGTTATAAACAATTAAATGGGCCCTCTCACTCTAAAATTAATTGACCTGTGTTGATAATATTTCTGTAGTTATTGTGAGGTACACAACAATGGTCTTACAACATACTTAATTTTTTAATGATGTTTAGGCTTGACTGCAACCAAGAGCAATTACCCTTCTACAATCTCTCTTCCCTTATTAAAAAAGGTATACTGAAATCTAAAACAGTGACCTTATTTAGTAATTAGTTATCCAGACCTTAGAGTTACTTGCATCTCTCTGTTAAGCCAACAAACAAACTCACTCTGAAATGCAGATGCGGACACTTACCTCTGTGTGCGTGTAATTGATGTGGAGATCTTTCGTGTCTGACCAGTTTCTCCTCCTTTCTGCTCTCTATAACGTTGAACAGCTAAGGGGTTTCTTCTTCATTCCATCACCCTTCTCATTCAAGGCCCTCTTTTGAATATTTCTGAAGGACAGACAAAGGAATTGTGCTCAGATCACATTCTCTGCAACAATGGCAAAGCTTGCAAGTTTGGAGGCTCAATGCCTTCCAAATTGTTTGGCGAAATGGCAGCCACACTTCCTCCTATTCTTTCCTGACTTGGTTTTCCTGCCTCCAAAGAGCTTTTTCCTCTTCTTGTACTATTAATAGGGCTTCTCTAGCACAACCTATAGCAGCAGCAAAGGCAGGCAGGAAATGCAGGGCAAGCTGAGGAGAGACCTCCCCCAGGCTTGCCATAATATGACATGAAAGTTCCAAACAACTCATATTACACGCTTGTATTTTACACAACCAAAACAACATTCATGGGTTTTGCGCGGAGCTTCCCATTTTCATGCAAGTTATTTATATGCTGCTTTTCCAAGATGCACTCAAAGTGGGTGCCAATAAGTGCAAGAAATAACTACAGTATAACAGCTTTAATTAAAATAAACCTATCAGTATATTCAATGTAGTATTTAAAATCCACACTAGCAAGCTAACAAAAAAAATTTAGGACTGCCTTACAGGTATGAAAAACATTGTAGGCCCATGCAACAGCAGCCTTTTGTCACCAGAGTCAGTTATGGGCCTGTCTACTGAGGACAGGCCAGGTGGAAATGGACCAGGAAGCCCGCCAAGGCCAGCACTTGCAGGACTCACAACTAGATGGTCTCTAGGTCACCTAGACAACTATTAACACCAACATAACCAGTTATGCAGCAGGGCTCACAGCCTTGCTCAGCAATGCCCAATTTGTCTGATTCTTCTAGCCACAGAATCTGATATCTGATTCTGCACATGCAGAGATAGCAACTTTATATGGCACAGTGCCATTTCCCAAAAGCCCAGCCAGGCACAAATCAGAGATATGAATATGTAGCTTCCCCTTTTTGTGTTTCCATTTTAACATCTAAAGGGGGAGGGAGAATGGGGGTCAGGCCCACTGCTTAGGCAGCTGAAGCATATGCATATCCCCCACTGATTAATTCTGATTTAGACATTTCAGCAGACTGCACAGTGTGGAACCATTGGTCCAAAGCCTTAAAAACCAATGTGGATGAAACCCAAAAGGTTGTATACACAAAGTGTGAGAAGTCCATTGCAATTAAGAACAAAAGAAGAGCCCTACTAGATCAAGGCCCATCTAGCCTAACATCCTGCTTTAACAACCAGACGCCTACAGAAATCCAACAAGCAGGAACAGAGTACAATAGCGCTCTCCCCACTTGGAAGTTCCAGTGACTAGTATTCAAAGACGGATTGCCTACACTCCAACATTGAAGGTGTGCATAGGCATCATGGTTAATGGTCACTGATAGCCTTATTTAATCAATGGCTACCACAAACATGGCAACAGGAATAATTGGATTGTATTAGCTAGGAGCTACCCACCTGGATGCACCTTCACGCTTCAGCCTCTGACCTGCAAGATTGTGTTCTCTTCTCCTTCTTCTCTTGTCCAAATCTCTTCTCACCAGCACCCCTGCAAGCAAGTTTCTGAGGACATATGGCTGGCTTATAAAAGCCACAGCTGCTGATTCCCCCCCCCCCCTATGCAACTCTTAAAGGTACAGGATCCATGGGCATAGCCAAGGGGAGGCAGGGAGGGAGAGCTGTTACTCCCCAATCAATAAAATTCAACAAAAATACATCACAAACTGAGGTTCTCCCCCACCTTAACAAAAGGCCTGCCCCCACTAACAAAAATTCTGGCTACGCCCATGGCAGGATCCTTGTCTGCTTTTCCACCTGGCCTCCCTAGGTTGGGCTCAGGGTGACTCCACTCCTGATAAGATAACCAGGAAAACTGGGTGGGTGGGTTATAGATAAGGGATTTCTCCCTGGCCTGAAGAATAAGAAAGGGGATGCGGTAAAAGAAGAAACAAACAAACAAACAAACAAACAAACAAAAAACCTTGAGAAAAATTGTAGGTAGCCATGTCCCATTAGGAAAAACAAAAATAAAAACTAACAATTGGACAATATACTTATTTAGGTCTAACCAAATGGCCACAAACAATTAAGCAAAATTCTTAACCCAGCAGATGTTAAGTATTAAAACATAAATTAAAACGGCATGGAGGGGAGAAAGAAAGGCAAGTTAAAAAGCCAATGGGTATAGATTATGATAGCCTTAAAATAGGATGTGGGGGATGTTACGCAAACATCAGGATAGATTGTGCAAAAAGTTGCAGCAAAGGCTATATATGCAGGAACAGAGCAGCCAATTTGCTCTTCCTTAAAATGGTAAAAGCCAGCAATTATTTGAGTCCCTCTCTAGCACTGATCTCAGTGCAAAGGTTTCTTGCCAAGCAGAAAGAAGTAAAGAAAAATAGGATAGACGTTAAGTTTTGCAATGCTTATGATGCTCATTATGTGCAGCTACTCATAACATTTGCATATGATCATTTATTTGTTAGGATGTGTATTTAGAAATAATAATTATCATTAACAAGAAATACCTCTTGTTACAATGGGAATGAGTGTGACTACTCATGATTTGTGTGTCTGCTCAGTCAGCTCTCCATGGCATGACCATTGATATGCAACGTCAAGGCCCCCTTTCTCCCTTATTATGGTTCTTTATCTTTAATCTGTTATTGGACTGGGCCACCCTTCAAACAGAGGGCTGTCCTCTGTAAAACGAGACACATGGCCAACCTACACCATAGCCCATTTTTTGTGTAGTGAGACAGCAGTTGCTCCTCCTTCCTTCTAATAAAGGCTGGCTACATATTACGTCAATACAGTGGTACCTCTGGTTAAGAACTTAATTCGTTCCGGAGGTCTGTTCTTAACTTGAAACTGTTCTTAACCTGAGGTACCACTTTAGCTAATGGGGCCTCCTGCTGCCGCCACACCACCAGCATGCGATTTCTGTTCTCATCCTGAGGTAAAGTTCTTAACCCGAGGTACTATTTCTGGGTTAGTGGAGTCTGTAACCTGAAGTGTCTGTAACCTAAAGCGTCTGTAAGCCGAGGTACCACTGTAGTGTGATTAGCAATCAGATTTGGGATTTTTAAAAATCAAATGCCAGGTGCAGAGGAGTTGTCATTGGCAGCACACTTTTCAAGGAGGTTTAAGAATTCCCTCCCCAGCTGCAATTTTGGTAAAAATACCCACCTCACAACATGGCAATTAGCACTGATTGGGGTGTGTGTGTGTGAAATCCTTTTGGTACCATTGAGGGGTTTCCCCCCCTAAGGCTGATGGTTGCATGGAGAGTCGCAATATTTTATTTCCTTTATTGACAGCAAAGACACTGAAACACAAGAGCCAGCTTGCTATACTTTTTTGGGGGGGAGGGGGGACTCATATTTCTAATTACATTGTACACAGATCAACTGCCGAATAGTCTACAATTTTTTTAAGAAGCAAAACCTTTAGCTTTTACTTAAC